ACAGACCGTCGTCTGTCTGTTCGCCGGTGGTGAGATCGTGCAGTTGTTCAGGTAGGTATCCCAAGACTGATGAGTGGAGATGATCCTTTTTCAGCTGCCAGAATCTGTGCCGCATACCCCGAAGCAGGGTACCGATTGTCAGCTTCAGATCTCTAACCACTCTTTCGCAATAGCGTGTTCAAACTTACTCGGTGACAAACCGCGCCTCGGCGTCATTCAGCTTCCTCCTCTCCCCCGTCCTCCCCACCACGAACCCGGCGTGCTTCTGCAACAGATCCATCCTCATCCTCAAAATCTGCTTCAACAACCACTTGCACCTCTCCAGATCCACCTGCACCAAGTTGAGTCGAAGATACTCGTCTTCATCTACCCCACCACCCACGTCCTCTCCTCCTTCCGCGTCTCCCCCATCCATCGACATCGATGCTGTCGATAGGTGCAGCAGAGAGTCGAGGATGGATTGCTGCTGTTCCATCTGTCCGATGAGCAAGTTGAAGGGTGTTGTGGGGAAGGGTAAGAGTTCGGGCGATGCTTTTTGCGTCGACATGAAGTGTGTTAGCTGTTCGAAGGGTGTGAGGCGGGCGAGCGGGGAGGAGGAGGAGTACGGCCAGCCTGTTGATGACGGTGTTTGTGGATGCCGTGAATGCGTGGATTTGAGGTGAGAGGATGGGTTGGATTCGAGTAATGCATCGACATCGAGGCTCGAGGGAGCGTCGTATGCGGACAGAGAGGGCGAGAAGGATCGTTCGCCTGCGACGGATGGTGTTTGCGAGAAGCTTGTCGATGCTCTAGCTTGATTCGAGATGGAAGAACCAGGAAGACGCGATGCAGACGCAGCAGACGTGTAGGACTCTTCGAGCGTGTCTTCGTCTCCATCCCCGCCGTCGTCGAGGGAGTATCGAGGTAATGGCATCCTTGTCTTTGGCTTCTTCCACTGGGAGCGCGAACGTTTGACTGATCTGTTGCTTCGCTCAGAAGAGATGCATAGGTGCGTTCCCGGTGTCGAGCGTTGACCGAGAGGGTATAGTGCAGTGGTGGCAAGAACACCAAGTCGAAAGTATCGAAGCTTAGGAACGATGCGCACATCTCGGATGCCGGAAACACACACATTTCCGAAAAAGACCAACACTCGATTCTCTCTCTCCTCTTCCACTGTACGCGACGCGTTGGCCTGCTCCTCTGCTTCCAGCCTCTCATTGCCAACCACACAACCCGATCCTCATTCACTCTCCTCATCCACAACCAAAGACCGATTCCATGACAACGAACAAGGTTACTATAATCGGGGATACAACTAACAAATACATGCGAGAACGTGAAACAAAGCAACGTAGGTATACATGAACAAGCAACCGAGGCGGCGGGGATCGAGCTATCACATTGCTACGCCGACCCACTCTGCCTCCTCCTCCTGTTGCTGTTCGTGGGCGTGATAAGAATGTTGTGGTTGCTGGTAGAACTGGGACGGGATGATGTGGGTCTGCTCCAGCACGTGTTGACCGTAGCTTCCCGGTGCGATGGCCGCTTTTCGAAGCGGAGCCTGCGGCGAAGGGGACTCGACAAAGTTGAGCCCCAATCCAAAACCGCCATCGGCTTTCGGCACGCCCGAAGCCGACACTATGCGTCCAGGATTGGTTTCGACCATCGGCGACGGCTTGCGAGGAGGCGTCTGTGGCGATCGACCAGCGATCGACACGGGTAGAGGAGACATAGCGGCCGAAGAAGCAAAGTCCTTCATGCCCATGCCGAAGCGTGGTGCCGACTTGGCATCTGCAGCAGCTGCGCCAACAGCGTTGGAAGAAGAAGCGGCTCCAGCGATACGTGCAGAAGACTTGGGTGGCTTGATAGGCTGGACCTTTTTGGCGACAACCGACGTCGTATTGGGCTGACGTGCAGGCACTTCCGCGAGCGACTCGATCCCCTTGAGATGAGCCAGCCCGATCTGGCTAAGGCGTCCCAGGCCGAGCTCCTGGGCCAGATCGCTGAGATCCATGCTGAGCCCAAGCTGCCTGTTCGCCATGATCTTTTCTTGCTGAGCCTTGTCACGAGGTCTAGCGTTGACGCCCATTTGACGACAGGATGCAAGAGTCGGAGTCTCGCAGTCGCTCGAGTCCGCCCCTGCAGATTGTGCTGCATCGGCATCCAACCCCAGACCCTTCAGCTCGAACGGAGTCTTCAGCTTGACGGGCTCGCCCTTGGCCGTCGACGAGCTCCTCAATTCGGCTTCCACCTCAAAGATGCTCGTCCCGATCGAAGAAGCGACCGAAGAGCTGTTAGTTATCTTTGTCGGCGAAAAGTCGAATGAGTCCACGCTGGGCAAGAAGCCCATCTTGCGCTCAGGGCTCTCTGAAGCGTTGCTCGAAGCCGAGCTGAAGGTGCCGCCGCTGTTGAGCGACGAGTTGGACATGCTGCGTGAAAAGGCAAATGCGCCTGACGAGCTGCTGCGGGCGCTGCTGACCTCTGAGAGCTCGCTCGTAACGCTGTCCGTGCGGGGCATGCCAACGTAGCTCAACTCTGCCGCCACAGAGTCAGCGGTGACCTGCAAATCCTCCTTGGTCATCACCTCCCCATCACCGGTGAGGATGCCGTGAAGAGACGAGAAAGCGCCGTCGTTCGCCTCGGGCGAGTAGACCGAAGCAGGTGAATAGACGCTCTCCGGACTCATGATGACGACCGGAGCAGTCTCGACAGACTTGCATTGCGCTACCACGACGGGCTTGGTAGCCGGCGTTGGCGTTGTTGCTCCTTTTCGAGAAGACACGGCTCGCGCTACGGATCCAACTTGCGTCTTGACCTGTGACGAAATATTGCCAGCCGCCTTGACAGCAACGGGTGCTTCGACAGCCGCTACAGCTGGCTCTCTCGTCACCGTCTGACTAGGAGCAGTAATCTCGTGCTCCTGCTGAGGCGCTGCTGCTTGAACCCTCTCATCCTGCTCGCTTACGCCCAGATCGGGAGTGGGAGGCATGATGTTGACAACAGGCAGAGGCGTACCGCTGCGGCCTCCTCCCAAACGTGGACTCTTCGAGAGCAACAGAGGGCTGGCGACGGCGACAGCCTTGGCGCGCTGACCTACAAAGTTGACACGCCTGGCTTGATGTGTTTCGCCCGACGTCTTGCGTTGTGGGCTTCTGCTGGCCGGCGACGGGCTGCGCGCGATGCTCTGAGCGGCGGACCTGCTCGGAGAGGTTGAAGTCGGAGTGCTGAATGAGGGCGGCTGCTTGGGTGTGGGTGTGACAGAGTTGGCTGTCTCGACCTCGGCAAAGTAGCGAGGTTGAGGACTGCTGGCCCTCCCAGGTGAGGCCGGAGCATGTCGGACGAAGGCGGGGAAAACAGAGTCGGAATGGCTGTTGGAGCTCGCAGGACTGACAACATCGTTCTGCTTGAATGAAGACAGCGTGCGACCGTCGACGCTGCGGCTTCTCCTGCGTGCTGAGCGCACTTCCATGTCGACTCTGCGCGAGCGCATCTCTGGTTCCTCGCGGCCGCGGTCTTGATCGAGGAGACCGTCAACCACCTTTTGCGTCATCGAAAGTCTCTTCTCGGCACGTCTAGGCGAGGCAGCGGGCCTCGTCACGCTAGACTTGGCGGGAGCCGACTTGACATCATCAGCAAAGCGAAGGGCAGGCTCATTGCGAAGCGTGAGGGTCGACTTTCGAGGGTCATTGAGGCGAATAGGGTTGAGACCAGGGCTGGGTACGCCACGACTCGTGCTAGATACGACGCGGCTTATAGGTCGTGCATTGGAGCCTGTAGATGGCATCTGGCTTTCTCGGCCAACGCCGCGCTTCGAGTCCCAGGCGAATTCGAGTGGGATCATGGGAGAAGAAGTGTCAAAGCTCGGCAGAGGCGGAAGAGCTGGCGCGACGTCGAAGGAGTCGTTCCTCGACGGCGCAGTCGACTGCCTAGGTCGTTGCCTCTTTTCCGGGCTGGCAAAGACGATGGATCTGGTTTGAGCTGTGCTGGCGGCATTGTGCGCCTCGCGAATCTGACGAAGGGCAGGCATGCTCTGCTTGACACTCAGGGGTGATGTGTGCACCGGGCTGAAGTCTTGGGCCAGCCGGACGGGTCGACGCTCTGGACTGGTGGGTAGCGACGAAGGCGAGTCGTAGAGGCTGCAGGAGTCCGAGGCTTTACGTTGCGGCGAGAATGTGAATCCGGATTGCTCAAAGGTCATGGTGGTAGGTGGAGCGCTCTGAGGGACGCCATCAAACAGATCAGGCGTTGATCTGGATGCCAAACCGCCGAGGTGAGAAGCCTTGTCCTTCTTCTTGCGGGCGAAGAAACGGGAGAAGGACGACGCACTCGAGACAGAAGCAGCGCCTGCACTGCGGTTCGGCTTTACCTTGGCACCAAGGGGAGAGAAGAGGACATCGTCGGTCGGGGTGGCTGCCCTGGCCTGAGCGACGCTCTTGCGCGACAGGAAGCGTCTTCGTGATGATGTCTCCGGGATGTCACGATCGTCTTCGAAGACGGATGACGAAGCGGAGGGCTGTCGTGTCATTTCGGCGGCGCCTGCTGCGCTCGACGATCCGTGGTAGGGCTCGTCGACGGTAGGGGTCGCAAACGCCTCGAGCTCGGGTGTAGGGCTAGTGGTCCACTGCTGATTGCGTGCACTATCCTCGCTGTGACGGAGGGCAGGCTGCGCAGAATGGCTGAACGAGGATGGCGAGCTAGAGCCGTCGTACCAGTTGTTGCCCGAATCGATGCCCATAGCAAGGCGAGGGTCAAACATGGCGAGACTCGCCTTGGAGACGAAGTTGATCTTGCCCTTTTTGGTCTTGGAAGTGGCGGGCTTCGCCGAAGTTCTGATTGCTGCTGGCGCCTGGGCTGCCGAGCGCTCTTCGACGTACTGAGACATGTAGACGAGCATTGTTGCTGTCGCTTCAAGAGTCCGGCAAGCGAAAAAGAAGATGAGAGTAGATAGCACCGCAAAGTAGACTTTTGAGCAGCGGTTGTGGTGGTCCGAGATTGATGAAGAGATCAAAGTTGTGCAGGATGGAGGTATAGACGAAGAAAGTTGACGAGCAGCAAGGTGAGGATGAGATGGAGCAGGGCGATAATGAGAAGGAGCAAGAGTGGAGAGGATCAAAGAGAGTGTGGGTACGAGACAGGGAGTAAACGGGATGATGATGATGATGATGATGATGGTGAGCAAGATAGGTTGACCAGGTCGAGTTACTGTGATGTGAACGGCTGGAAAGGTCGTCGAGTGCGGAATGTTTGAGACAAAGTCGGTCGATGGCGGCAGCAGGTCTACACCGAGCGGCAAAAGATGCAGAGTGCTGCAAGGTAGAGGTGCGCACTACTGGCACGGAAGGCAGCTGCTCATGTTGGGTTTCGCGTGAAGAGGAACAGGTTGGGAGTCGAGGTCGCTGATACAGACGACACGACGGGCAGAGAATGCCAAGGCTCGGATTGAGTTGGCGAGTCTTTCGCGCTCTGAAGGCAGCTTAGCCAGGTGGCGTCGTGACCACTCTGTGCAGCGCGTCGTACCACAGGCGGGAAGGGAGGTCGCCTAGCACGAATGCAGCATGGCCGTTCTTGACAGCATTCATCGGGACTGGCACTAGGCAGCTGCAGGGCTCAAGGCGGACGGAGGATGCGGCATCTGGGATGTATCGCCGCGAATCCAGGTTTGGCCGGACGAGGGATTGAGACTCGGTCAAAAGCAGATCGAGGCTTTGCAGCAGTGCTGCGAGATGAGTGGATCGGTATGCTGCGACGCCAGCAGCGAATCGGAAAGGCGACAATGACATTTCATTGACAAGACCGGCCTCAACCTACTCACGTCGGCGGAAGCGAATCCCGCCACAATACGAGTGTCGTTCTTGCTTTGCTTGACAGCTCCCGTCGCCCGTGGTTCGGTTGCCGCCATCCGTCCTTTCGCCTCCGTTCGAAAGACCTGTTCTCACTCGTAGTGAAAGCCATCCGTCTGTTTGAGTCTTCTCCCTGCTCCTGTCTTATCCACTCTGGCTGCCTCTGAAGATGAGCGAAGGCGAAGGGAGCACGACGAATGCTCGAAGGACGAAGCGTCGTCTGGCCAAGGCCGATCTGCTGTCCTGCAGAACCTCGGACATGTGAGAAGAATTTGCTGCAGGTCGCACTCGACGTGCATGGAGGCACGGGAACAGTGTGCAAACGAGCAAGAAAAATTTCGCTGGGCGGCTGCTAACCACAAGAGCAGGAATGCACCAGGACGCGTCGCGCGCTTAGGAAAAGTGTTGGTCTGGGAAGCGAGTCAGGGTCTCTTTCTGTCTCGCAAGAGCCTCACCATAAGGGTTGCCAGCCAGCTGCTTTCTACTCGTGAGAAGCCAAGATGAGCGAACCCTCAGTGTGTCTGACTTGCTTGTCTAGCAAGGTTCACTCTGAGGCAGCAGCTCGAGAACAGCTGGGCTGCAACAGCTGATAGACAAATGGCAGGCGGAAAGCGAAAAACACAGGCAAGGCCTGAGCCTGCTGTCATTTTGCATGCAAGGGGAAAAGACGGATATTTGGCTCGCTCAATGGCTCGGCTCGGCTGGACTCGCAACGAACTCCACGAGGATGACGACGGAAGGCAACTTCCACACAAACCGGCTACTGTACACTGTACAGAACGCACGGTCTGCGGTTCCTTTCAGATAAGCGACATGCGTGCATGTTTGTTCGGCTAGCGAGTACCGCCGATCAGCAAGGGGTCCGTCTTCGGGGTCGATGTGAGGGACGGCGACTCTGATCGGATTCTACTGTATCCACATGCTGTAACGCTCTGTAAGGGGTCGTTCCTGACGATGGACGTTCTTCGCCAATCGGGATCGCTTTGTGCATCGCTCCCGTAGTCGTGTCTCGAATCGGCCGATCTTTTACTCTGCACTATATTTAATATGTCCTCTTGTGTACCAGACTTTCGAAAGATGAGCCGATCCTGTCGTAGCTCTTCGGAGCAGCATTCGGATGCCGTAGAGGCATTCGCAGCGATATCGAGCCCGCTTGCCGTCCTCGCCGATCATCTGGCATGCTGTGCAAACGTCAGTTGAACTTGCGGGTCAGTGCCAACTTCATTTCATGGGAGGGATTCTTTGCCACTACTGGAGGTGCCTCCATTGCTCCTCCCGGATGTAGTGCCCGCTCGATCCGACTCGAGCGCAGCTCTGACAAACCCGTCACTTGTTGTTGGCATCGGCCTTGCTTTCCAGCTTCGCCAGATCGCGATCTCCGAAATCCGCGTAGTGCTTCTTCGTGGAGGGAGCGAATCGCTGCGGGTGATTTTCAGAAATGCGCCTGTGCGTCGGATACAAGAGCCGAAGAAGCTTTTATTCCGCTTCCTGCAGCAGGTGCCTTGATCTTCGAACAAGGGTCCGTCCACGCTTAATTTGTGCTCAATCAAAGCGTCACCTGCTTCTGTCTGTCCACCGATCCGATCACGCTTTCACCTCACCATCGTACTTGCGGGGAGCGGCGCAGCCGAACTCAGCAGACCGACTGACACCGATTCGGGTCGTCTGTTGCGATCACATCTTTAGCCGCCACCAAGCAACGTCAAAGCGTTCCGCTCTTGAGTCAAGCGTCTCTGGGTCCTGACAGACTGCTCGCAACACGATGCCGTCGGATGTACATTCGTCCCAGAGGCGGTCGGCGCCTTTGGTGGTGCTATCCGGTGGTCTCGTTTCTCATGTGCACACCGTCATGGGCTTCTTGGCCTTCCTTGGTGCACTTTTCACCGCACTCTCGCTGCACTACCACAAGGTGGTGAAGAATCACGTCGCACAGTATCCAGACGAATGGTGGCCATCCGTGTCTGCCACCATCGGCGACTGGTACCCCGAGCGCAACATCTTCCAAGTAGGCATCGCTCTCATGGCAGGACCTCGCTTTGCCCTCGTCTTGCTCTCGGCGCTGCTCGTCTCGCTGTCCATTACGAATAGGTCTCCCAAAGCTTCGATACTGCTCTTCGTAGGCATTCTCAGGACTCTGGCTTGCGGAGGTTGGGTGTATGTCACCAGCACCGACGACCATCTTGTGCATGACATTGCCATGTTTGTCTACCTCGCGCTCACACCACCGTGGATGTTCATCACCAGCGGTAGCCTTGCTCAGCCACCTTCGGTCAAGAACCCGGCCAAGTCGGACGACAGACTCGCATCAAAAGCGCGAAAGATGCGCAGGATTGCATGCTTCTCGTTCTTTGCCTGCACACCCTTCATGGGCTTCTTCTTCTACCGACACAATGCGCTACGCATCCCTGGCGCCTACTCTTACTACGCCTACTTTGAGTGGGGTCTCATCATCTTTGTGAGTCTATCTTTGCTTGACTGCCGAAATGCATGCTCTCATACTGACCTGATTCGCCATGCGCGCTCCTTCTTGGATCCACAGGACCTCTTGTTTGACGCTGCCAGCGTGTACGACCTCTCCCGCTTCGAAATCCACATTGTTGAAGCATCCGAACCTCCAGCAGCTCACAGCGCTGCGCAAGGACCCGAGGGCAGACGTCTCCTCGACGGTGCCTGGATTCGTGGCGGCAGAAATCAGGCTATTGCCTCCGGAGCTTGGTCGACGATCCAGTCCGACTCCCAACCAGATGGGTACGATCTTTTGCCACGTGTCTGACGCTAGATGACACGTTCGTTCAAGGCAAAGCGCTGCTGCTTCATGTCGATATATGTACTGACAGAAGCTATCATGTTTCCACCACATCTGCTCTACGCCACGCTCGAATCGCCAATGCATTCATTTCACATACCTTGCCCTCATATGGAGTCGTCCGCATCACAGTCGACGAGCCACATCTCAGGTCGAGAACGGAGAGGATGGTGGCAGCGTTGATGCTCTGCCTCGAAAGACGCCATCCAGTCCGACGAGCCTCAGAGCTATCGTTTCGCTGGTTTCGGACAGCTACCTTGGTACGTGCAAGCGGGCTCTTGCTCCGATCTCACATATTTTGCTGACATGCATGCACGCCCTGCGCCTTCCGCGATCTTTCTTGACAGCGTTCTGCTTCTGGACGGCCCTGACCGCTCTGCACCCCATGATCTTCTACTGTGAGCCATCATCGTTTGCTTACTTGCGGTGTACAGGCTCTGCAATCTCTGACCAATCTCCTTCATCGATTCCTGCACCTTTGTCGCTCCAGTCAGTGTCTACAATCTCGCCATCGGTGGTCACGAGGCGCTGCTCATTTCTCAAGTCATCGGTCTTGGCCTCGCCCTTGCGATTCCCACGCTGCGCTCCCGTGTCCGCCAAACGTCGCCGAGCGGTGCCACAACCGTTGGTCTCGTATCGTCCCAAGCAAAAGCTTTTGGCTGGCTCTTGTCGCTCGCGGGTCAGGCGAGCTGGTTCGTCGCGGATCCTTTGGCTCGACTAATTGCAGTCGCATCCTCCAACGCGCTGCTAGCTGTCTTGCTTGCTCTTGAGTGGGGCGCCGCCTGGGAGACGGATCAAATTGCTGTCAAAGTGGGAGTCTGGCTTATCGGTCTGCTCGCTTCTAATCTCGCCAAGTACGCCAATCACAGCAACAATCCCGCCTGGCCGTTTATGGACTCGACTAATGGCGGCCACAACGTCGTTCTACTCGCCTTCGCCATCGTTGCTGTCGTAGAGACAGCTGTTCGTCCAAAATATACCCATTTGCCGGTGGTCCAACGTCGTCAGGGGCGCCAGACTGCCGCGATCGGCCCAGACAAGGAAGCACAAGCAAGGGACGAGGGGTCGGGCAGTTTCGCTGCTGCATCGGTGGGTGTCGGCGCCTTGCTCTATGCATTACATACGTTCCTGACCGACACGGGGACCATGATTGCCTGGGGCTGGACCGGCTACCCGGTCACAGGGCCTATGGCCATCCCTCATGGCTGCATCATTCTTATCACCATGGCATTCTCATCGCTTGCCGCGACGCGCTGGACTTCTTTCGGGTATCGCCTCAGTCTATTCCTGGTGCAGTGCGGCTCGGCAGCCTTGCTCCACCTCACCGACGACTGGAGTAGCTTCGCCGGAGCAATCGGACTCGCACTCAGCTTGCCACCTCTGGCGTTCCCTCTGATCTCGGCGGCGATGCGCCATGACCCCATCAAAGTGATGCTGTTCGGCTGGCTCGTAGCCAATGTGCTCACATTCTTTGGCGTCTTGACCGTCGCCTATGCTTTCGTGCCTGGAGGTAAAATCATGAGAGAAAGGACGGGTATGATGCTGGTAGTGCAACTCGTACTACTCGGCCTCGGCTTGGCCAATGCTCGCAGTGTCGATTCGAAACGCTTCACCTCGCAGCCTCGAGGCAATGCAGCATCGACAACGGATTACTCCACGAACAAGACAGCCAAGGCGAATGACGCCAGCAAGGCGGCTCAATTTGGGTCGACATACTACATCTGCCTCCTTATGGCGTTGATCGGTCTTGCTGGAAACTTGGTGCCGCTCTATCGCATCGTTCCGGCCTCTGCCATCGTGCCTCACCATCCGGATGATCGCTTGGTGACGGCAGGGATGTGGACAGTGCATTTTGCGCTGGACCAGCACATGCGCGACAGCTCGCGTCGGATGGCGTCCATCATGAAGACGCTCGACATGGACCTTTTTGGGCTGGTGGAGTCCGATCTGCATCGACCGGTGTTCGGTAACAGAGACCTTTCCCAATACCTTGCCGAGGAGCTCAAGATGTATGCCGATATCGGTCCTTCTCCGAACAAGCATACATGGGGAGCAGCTCTTTTCTCGAAGTTTCCGATCATAAATTCGACACATCACCTGCTCCCTTCGCCCGGAGGCGAGCTCGCACCCGCCATCCACGCCGTCATTGACCTCTATGGCACGCCCACGCACGTCATTGTCTCGCACAACGGTCAAGAGGAGGATCCGCTGGACCGCGAGCTGCAGACGACCGAGATCGCGCGCATCCTACGCGAAGCGTATCCGCATCCTGCTATCTTCTTGGGCTACGTTGTCACCAAGCCGCACGACGAGCGTCCGGCACCGTACAAGATCCTGTTCGAGGACGGCAAGATGCAGGATGTCGAGCCGACCGACTTTGGTAGGTGGTGCGAGTACTTGGGTCTGCGCGGCCTCGAGAGGATATCTTACGTCAGGGTGTCGAGGTACACAGTGACAGACACGGAGCTGCAGACGATGAAGCTTGTGGTGCCCAAGGAGCCCATCGATCCGGACAAGAACGACTTTACACGCTTCGTGATGTGAGTACAACATGCGTGTTTCATTGCACTCGTTGGCGGGCTTCTTGACGCTGACGTTCGTCTTCATTTCCTCATCACCTTTTCCCAGCGCCGAGACGTACCCTGAATCTATGCGATATCCAACGTCGCTTATCGACCCGGACGCTTTTGTTTACGACAAGTGAGTATTCGCCCAAGTGCCTCAACGTTTCCAGATGATTACGTCGCTGAAACCTTTTGAATTGCTTCCGTGTGGATCTCGTCCGCTAAACTTAGGCACATCTACTCACCATATCCATGGCCGATCTACTATGGTCGACCTGTACCCGACTTTTGAAGTTCACCACTAATCACACACCCATTCGGCAGATCCGATCGCACCGCCTCTCGGCCTGTGAGTCAAAACCAAGGCGGAAGTTGAGCCAAACCTTCGGTCGCAAGAAATTTTTTGGAGGCCGAAATTGTCGACTCGTGTCGTTGCAAGAACGCTCGGCGTGGCTTGTGCTGAATCAACCTTCTCCACTTCTGCGCATGTCCTGACGTCTCGCCACTTTTGACTTCCTTGACGCACGGTCCAGCGACCATCCATCGCAGTGCCCAAACTGTGAGCTGACCAAGTATTTGAGGAGTCCGCACTGCATTAGTGCTTCGATGGGCGCATCGATTCGATGATAACGAGATGAAGATGCGCAGCCAAATCGCGCTCGGCCCAGCGTCTAGAAATCCCACCAAAAGCACAGCGAATCTGCACATGGAATCAGAGACGGCGCTTGGCGGCAATCAGCGTGGATACAAGAAGGGACGTGGAGACTGCGCCCAATCTTCCCTCCGTCACCTGCTGTCCTTTCCAGACGTTCTTCTGCTATCAGAGACAAACAACCTCCTTCTGCTATTTGGCCGCACCTTTTGCATACCCCCTGCTGCCCCATATTCGAAGCCGTCTCGAGATGGTCAGGACTAAGCAGACAGTCCGCACGAGTACCGGTCCAAAAGCACCGAGACAGCAGCTGGCGCCTGGGCCCGCACGAAACCCGCCTGGAGCGGGTCCTTCCAGGGTTGCAACGACGGCCGGAGCAGCTGTCAACGGCAGCGAACAAAAGCAAAAGCGCAAGCGCGGTACGGAAGATGCTGAAGAGAGGGAAGGGACCTCAACGGTCAAGAAGTCATCCGGGAGCAACGTAGAGAATGTAAGGACTGGATGACATGTTGACCAGCCCAAGGGTCCTCAGAAAGAGAGAGCACGCTACTGACGTCTGGAATGTTTGCATTTGACATAGCCTCCCGACGAGTGGTCCAGCGAGGAACTGGTCAGTTCAAGCACAGCAAATTCCAAGGCTCCCATATGAAGAAGAACATGGCCAGTACTGATTGCTTCTGATTCTGCCGAGCCTGTCAGCAGAAGCTCCTCCTGGGTGCTCAGATTGCGTTGAGCGAGCTGCACGTCGAAGAGTTTATGGATTACCCTCTACTGCGCGTCCGGGGTCGCGGCAGGTGAGTTTCAAGACGAGCGTTCGTTGTGTGCTGCTTGGCCCTACTCTGACAGTCCGATTTGTTCCGTTCACCTTACATACACAGCGTTCTCAAGAAGCTCAAGGAGATCCACGCGCAGGTGGTTGAAGCCTGCGAGGTCGAGGCTCTCCACGCGGGCCGCAACAGCAACTAGCCGCGTGGTTCCCCTCTCAACTGTATGAGCGAGCTTTAAGCCCTTGCTCCCTTGTCGGATATCTTTCTCCAGAAGTCGCCGTCCATGTACCCTTGTCCTGTGTAGCGCCCTAGGTCAGGGCCATTTCTTCGCTTTTTCAGCAAGGCCGCTTCAAGCTCTCGTGTTGAGCGAATACGTTGCCGCGACGAATGTGACAGACAATCCGCAAGCGTGTCTCAGAAGCTTTACTCATCGCCTGCTGCGAATACTACGGCTGCGTGCACGATCCTATTTGGGACGATGTGAAGACGTTAAGCGACGCTGCAAGTGGTCTGGAGGGAAGGTGGAGTATTACGTAAGCCAAATTATTCTCGGTGGAATTTTTTGTTGGAAGAATCAAATGAGAAAGTTAAATTCATGCACAAGCGAAAAGCTTCGCAGAAAGGGTCCTTTCACCGCCTCTTTCTTCCTTCCCTCCTGACAACAACTTTGCGCAGCACCACATCACGACAGACATGCCGCCAAAGATTCGACAGAGAGGCAAGAAGCCCACCAAGGCTCGGAAGTTGCAACAAGAACAGGAACAACAGACGCACGACAACGGAGTTCAGCCAGCGGCTTCCCTGTCCTCATCAACTTCGGCCAACCAGATCCAATCGCAGGCCGACTTCATTCCCTTTGACAGCGGCAACGACGATGCAGAAGGGCCTACAGCGCTTCATAATGGTGATACCGAGGAAGACCAGCCGAACTGGGTGAGGTTGGGAGACAGGCCGAGCAAGGCTGAGCACGAGGCACCATTCGGATACGTCGATGCTGAGCTTAAGGCATACCTACGAGCTGGCTGGGAACGGGTGCTCGAGCTCGAGTCGCAAGGCTATGCCGCCAAGTCGACTCTGACTGCGCTCGCTGCCGCAAGCTCTCCTTCTGCTTCCCAACACACCGGAGCTGGCCCCGACCACGAGGAGGATGAGCTGGCCTTGCTGTTGCAAGCGACGCTCAAGGAGATGGATGGGAAGGAGCTTCTACTCACCACCGATCCAGACACGTCGCTCATCGTTGAGGCGATCCTCCATCGTCTGCCTGCCAAGCCGTTACGGGTCTTTGTCGATCGTCTCGCCGGCAGCTTTGCGGTTCTGTCCAAACACCGCTTTGCCAGCCACGTCACACAAGCCTGCCTCGCCACCCTCCAGCCCGCCGTCACCCTCGAACATGCCACACATCAGCATTTCCAGCAGCATCAACATCGTTCTTCAGGCTTGAACGGAAAAGCAGCCGCTTCATCATCATATGCAACCGACACGGCGACCATCGTCAATGAAGACGGCATCCTGCGGAGCGCGACCCAGCTCATCCTCGACCTTACCGAGGAGCTGTCTTCCGACCAGAGTCTGCTCACCTCTCTTGTTAACGACTCGTTTGGATCGCACGTCCTTCGCTCTCTGCTGTGCGTCTTAACGGGTCGCAACATTCAGACAGATCCCTCTTCCTCGGCGCACGCAGCAGCAGCTTCTGATCTGAGATCGCGACGCAGTGCCAAGTTCCGATCTCGCAAAGCACCAACGGCGCCCGGCAGCGCTGCAACGGCGGGAGCTGGTTCCTCTGAAGATTTGCTCGTTGTCATTCCTGATCTTCTCTACAATCGAGCTGCCGATCTTCGGAAAGAGATCCTCAACGAGGCCAGCGTCGAAGTCGTCCGAAGATGGGCTACCGATGCCGTGGCATCCCCACTTTTGCAGCTTCTCATCGAGACCGAAGCGGACTCCCTCGATGCCGAGGCAGACGGTGAGTCGTGGAAGGGCACACTGGTCGACAGTCTTCTGAACGGCTTTGTGTCCTCCCCGCCTCAGGCCGTAGAAGGGGAAGGACACAAGAAGGACGTCTACCTCGAGACTTCCTTGCGCGACAGCGTGGCATCACACGCCTTGCAGCTGGCTCTCGAGCGTGCACCCGCTTCGACAGCCTCGCGCTTCTTCGACATCTACATTCGCAGCCGCATGGCCAAGCTCTGCGTACACCCGGCTGCCAACCACATCGTAGCAGCCCTCTTGCGTCGACTTTCTGCAGCCGACTTGTCGCCAGCCGTCGCGGAAATGACCAAGATCGCGTCTGGCATGGTCAAGGAACAGATGGTGGGCTGCTTGCAAGCCACCGTCGATCGTGTGGTCCAGCTGACGCAAGAAGAGAGCGAGAAGGAGGATGTTAGAGACCTTGTCAAGGCGACGAGCGAGGTCGTGTTGGCAGCTTTCAGATTCAAGTCCAAGTCTGCGGCAGAAGAAAGCGAAGATAATGAGGGCCTGAAGTTGCTCGTGCCGGCCGTGTTGGCGCTGAGGACGCGAAAGGCTTACTTGCATACCTACGCTGCTCACATCAAAAAGAGCGGCCAAGACGGCGATCGCGAGAAGGAAGCCCGTGGGTCCAAGCGCGGACGCGATGGAAAGACAAAGCACAGCAAGAAGAAGTACAGCAAGAAGAAGGACGCTGAAACGTCGGACAAGGAGGAAGAACTTTCGCCTTGGGCGATGGACGCATCATACGAGCTGCCAGCTGCGGAAGCGACGACTCAGGGTAGTCTCCTCCTTCAATCGCTCTTGCGACTTCCCGGACCTCCAGCGGTTGCACGTGCACCACCGAAACGCACATTCGGCCGTCCCACACCCGCCGCCGCACCCGCAGCTCCCGCTGAATCTTGGAGAAGCTCGCTCGTCCTCGACTCGCTGCTCTCTTTGCCCACACTCACGCCTTTCGCCCGCAACCCCACCGCCGTCCACATCCTGATCGCATCCCTTACGGCTCCATGCCACCCCGCTTCTTCACATTTCGACTGGATCCAATCCGCACGTCGGCGCAAATTCTCTTCCGCCCTCACCGCGTCGCTTCCTACCTTTTGCGGTGACAAGTACGGTTCACGTCTAGCCGATACTCTTTGGTTCTCCGTTGACGGCTACTCCAAGGAGAAGATCGTCAAGACGGTCATCGAACATTCGACCGAGATTCTCAAACAACCTTATGCTAGCTACTTTACGAACAAGTTGCAGCTGCAGCTGTATAGGAAGGGCAAGCTGCGTGAGTGGAATCAGGCTGTTCAGTCGGCGAGCAAGCCGGACAGCAGTGCAGTGGTGACTACGCAGGGCGGCGATAGGAGACATCGGGCGGTTGTGGTTGAGACAAAGAGGTAGGAATCGAATGGCAAGGGTGGTAAGAGGAAGAGCTTGGTTGATGGTCAACTGGACTCGATTCTTGATCAGATCTAATTGTGGGGATAGACAGCAATACAAGACTTGAAAAGGGACACTCCGTGTCTCGCCAAGACTTTCTGTCGCTGTGTGAAGGTGTGTTGTGGGAGATTGAGATTGCATTGAAGTTCGACAGGATGTGGAAAGGCGACATGAGACATTCACACGAGCAAAGAAGGACTCGTCAAAAAGCGACACCGACAGTCGTCACTTGCTCCTCAACCACCAGCACGCCCTCCCTCGGCGGTGCGACCCTCAGCACTCCGTCGTCGTCCTCCTCGTCGATCAGCGGTCCAGCAAACACCACCGACTTTCTCCTAGCCCGGTCGCGCGCCAAACCTGTCTCGCCACGAGCTCGTTGTGATGGTGTACGAGCGGTGAACAGTACTGGCAGGGAGAACGACTTCGTCATCAAACCTCCCATCTCGCTTCCGCCCGCCGAACCACGACGACGCGTTTTGGCTGTGATACCTGCCGACGCGCACACCTCTCTCTCGTCATGACGCTGAACCTGCGTTGTCGATGGCAGATCGCGATGCGTGACAGGCTGCAGATAGGCTTCTGCTGAAGAATGATACTGGTCCCTTGGCAGTTCTTGACGGATGTTCATTCGAGGCACTGCATCTGTAGGGACGACGGCAGAACGCTGTTCCGCAATCTGATGCAGATGAGCTTCAGCACGTATGTCGAGCGAACTTTTGCGTTGTGGTACCTTGATCTGCCTCGGAATGGCCGTGGTAGAGGCAGACTTTGGCATCGTCTGTTCTGATTGCGAGAAGGCGAGTTTCGGCCTAGCGCCCAGTCGCGGCTGAGAACTCTTGGACCGAGGTAGAGAAAGATCTTTGTTGGCGAAGGAAAAGTGACCGTGACCGTCTCCTGAACGGGATGGGACGGGTCGAGGTCGATTGAGCACTGAACACGCAGAGATGGTTGTTCGGCGAGCTTGTGAGATCTGCGCTTCTTCCTCCAAGTCGGTGCCGTTTCCTTCCTCGTCCAGACCTGTCTGCTTCTCCGATGCGAGATTAGAGATCGATACTGGGCAGGAGGCGGAGCTGGTCAACGACGACGCCGGCTGCGAAAAGCTTGGTTGCAGGGAAGAGTTGAACCTGAAAGGGTAGATTGAGGAACTTGTCGAGTAAGGCCTACATCCATCGATCACCGCAAGATCGACCTGCTTTGGCGAGAAAGATCTCGTGGTTGCTGAACTACTCTGGGCGGGGAACGGCGACGGCCACTTGTCCAAAAACATGGGCGAGGCGCCATCCAATCCCAGTTCCGGCGTCGTCAAGGGGGGCGTCATCAATCCGCTTTCAACTGAAGCGCATGTCTCTACCGCGTCTGACTGCCATTCTTGCGAGTTGATGAGATCGTCATCTACCAAGTAGCTGAAGTCTTCGCCCAGGAAGTCTTCGGAAGCGCTGGATTCTGGTTGGAAGTGTGGACGGATGGTGACGTCTTGATCGTGGTCGAAATAATGGTCCGCTTCACCCTTCGCATCGTCTTGATCGAAACTCGAGGAAAGCATCGAACCCAGGATGGGACTGCTCTGGCCCGAAGTCACAGCAGACGCAACGTTGGAAACCACTCTAACCATCTTATCTGCACCCACCACCTTGGGAGCAAAACTCTCCACTGTTCCTTGCCGCAATTCACCTTCGCCGTGCTCGTTCTCGCGATGTTCGACAGAGTCGCTCGAGCGTTTCCTCCCATGACTTCCCTTTCCTCTACGATACCTGTACCCTAACCCACACAAGTATGCCATCTTCTCCTCCACACTCCCACCCACCACCACCTTGTCTTTTTCGATTGACCCCGCCGAAAGCGGTAGCTCGCTCACCCCACCATTCAGCAACATTAAGCTCGCATGGAGCCTCGCAAGCTTCGCTGCATCCTCCGAACCCAGCCCCTCGTCCGTCTCGACACCGGAATCGGTCTCGCTCTCCTCCGAGACAAGTGTCTGGGAAGAGCACGAAGACGAGGAACCGCCTGCATTCCGAGCGAAAGAGTACCTCGGCAGGTTTGCAGCTGACTCGTACGTCGGTGGTTGACTTTCTACGGAAGAAGACGAGTCGAGGCTGAATCTGTGAGAGTGGGAAGCTTGACGCGGGGTCGGCGCGACTGAGGAGTAAGGCGACCATCCGGAACGTGGTTCTTCCAGCGCCGGAGAGAGGGGCATCCAGGATCGATGTCTCCATCCTGGTCCGGACGAGCTCCGGAGTGGTGGACTGGTATAATGGAACTTTGCAGAGGTCGATCTAAGCGCTGATTTCAACGGCATCGTCTTGCCGGGCGGAAGTGGAAACTTGAACGTCTCAGACTTACTCCTCACCTTCCTCTTCGGGTTCTTCAACCCGCTCGACAGCAGATACACCTTCTTCGCACTCGTCTCTTCCTCCCCCACACCAGCATCAGACAGATCCGGCGAGAAATAGCTCAACAGCACATCGTGGGTGGCCGATCCACTGGCACTGCGCTGCTTGACGCTAGGCTCGGATTCGGAGGAAGAAGAGCTGCTTGGGGTGGGCGAGCTATCGTATCCTCCAAAGGTGTGGGTGCTGCTGTGGGAGCGTGTCGAATATGGCCATCGCAACTGTGGTTGTCCGAGACCGAGTGTTGATAGGGTTGCAGATTTGGGCTTGACGTCGTCGAGAGGCGGGAGGGTTAGGCCGATACCGATTCCTAGACCACCGATTGCTGCGTTCATGGTGGGAGAGACGATAGTGTGGAAGAAGGTTCTGATTATACTTGTCGGACACCAGAGGCTGGCACTTTGACGTTGATCTCTAGTCCGGCTAGAGATGAAAGAGATGCTACAGAGTCGAACGAAGAAAGAGGACGAATTGCTAGTAAGACATCGATCAACGATGTTCCGGATTGATGAAGAAGAGGGTATGGATGAAGTTGTGCAGAAGGAAAGGACCGAGATGAAGGACGGAAGCAAGAAGGAAATCAATGGCGATCCGTGAGGTAGATGAGACGCAGCTGTCTGCACAGCGACCACCTCACTTCTCGCGAGGGGCTTCGCCGAACTCCCATCACTAGAGGTGAACAACGCTGGTTGCGGTAGAGTTCTTCTCAACCGCGCCACTTTCCTCTCCTGTCCACGATCTGTACCGCTACGCAGGATATCGTCATGCTGCGCCCACGTCAGGCTAAACGACCCGCAAGTGAGCGGATCAAGAGGATGCAAAGGACAGCGCCTTCAAAATCCTCGTCTCGCGCTATTTGATGGGATATATCAATTCCGCGACATCAAGCATCGCGTTTTTCCGAGCCTTTCTGCCTGCATTTCGGTCGAGCTTTCTTTCCTCTTCCGACACTGTAATCGAGTTGTAGAAGTTGTTCCCCAAAACCACAGCGACCGGCTACGGCTGCACCATAGCGATGCAGTAGCTCGACAAGAAGAAGGAGGTGAGATCGGGGAGAGACTGGCTTCGATCGGGTTCATGGAGTCTTGGATGCCGTCAACAATTTTCCCGGAAGTCGGGGCGAGGTCGAGGTGGACCCTGAACGATTCTGTATTCACGCCTAACGCTTCTTGACCGTTCTTCTCATCAAACATTCTCTGTCGATACGGCGCCTGGTCAACTTTCCACCTCTGCCGTTGCTTGCTCATAACCAGCGCGAGCTGAAGACCTCGTCGACATGCCCCCGCGGATCCCCCTCACCCCAGAACAAAAGCGAATCAGAGTAAGCCTCCCCTTTGCTCCACCTCTTTCCTCAGCTTGATCGTATCTGACCCGTCATCCCCACTTTCTCATCCTCTAATACCCTTCATCTATCGACCATTTTCTCCACACTCTCTCGACTCGGAACCTCAACTGGCTCTCGGACGTTCGTCTCCACCCTCGCCTCACAACTGCTGGCGCTGCGCCAACACCAGACGATCATGGTCTCATTCCCCCTGCTCGTTGCGACCAGCGTAGTGCTCTTCAAACGACTCTACCTGGGCGAAGAGCAACGCACACTGCCGAGTCAGGGAAAGATCGCTTCTAAACCAGCATGATCACCAGCACTCGAGTAGAAGAAATGCAACAGGAGCTTTTGAAGGATACAGTGCGTGTGCGTGTGTGTGTGGTCAGGAGATTGTCGTTGGTTTTGGCGTGGTCGTAAGGATCACTCATGTAGCAACACGCTCGCTCTCAATAACGGTAATGAGGATCTTGCAAACCGTCGAAGCGAACCTCATCCCATTCACAAGATCACTGGAGGGACGAAGGTGGTCATGCACAGTCGAGCGATAACTCTGCGCCCCCTTCAAAGCGGGCAGAATGCGCCATCGACACTAATTGACTGGTAGACAGCAACGTAGTCGCAATCTGCGAGCCTTGCAAGCTCCGTCGATCATGGCAGCCAATAACGCAGCTTCCTCAAGTCGAGCCTCGCACTCACCTCACAACCCTCAACCTCCGACAGCACACCGCGCCATTCGAACGTTGAACAAAACAATGCAAATATAATTTGGACTTCTTCTCACTCTGACGAACTGAAGATCACCGCATCGCTCGGAAACTGCTCCGGCTCCTTCCCCAAACCCGCTGTTGCTCCACCCGACCCACTACCTCCTACTACTCCACACTTGGGCAGATCGAATTCCACCGTAGCCATGAGGATCATTGTCTTGGTCTCGTCCTGGTTCTTGACCTCGTGCACTTTGACGGGCACAGAGACCTCCTCCATCCCAGACTTGTCCTGCGTACGACGGTCTGCTGGATCGGACGTGTTCGAGGGGATGGCCGACTGGACGGCGCTAGGGCGGACGCGGAGGATGAGCCGTTTGCTCTGGTTAGGACCGAGCGAGCACGTGACGGTCGAAGAGATGCGTTTGAGTTCTTTGGGCTTCTCGAGTCCGATCGTACCGGCGCGGCCTGAAGGTGCGCCTGTTGTTGCAGACTCGACACCGTCCGCTGCCGTTGGCGCGCCATCTTGCTTGCTCGTCTCGCCACCGCCTGGCGTACCGTCCGCAGGTGCATTCTCACCCAACGCCTCCGCTGGCGCACCTGCATCTGCCGAGGCGGCATTCTCAGACGAAAGGCTAGGCACCTTGACTCCCAAAGCCGTCAGGCGTTCCTCGTACTTTTTCACCTTATCCGCATTCCCCTTCCTGCTGGCGATCTTGAGCTTCTGAGAGAGATTCTCGATCTCCTCCTCTTCCTCCTTCGACAGCGTACCCCTCACCTCGTCATCGCTCGCCGTGCTCAATCCAACGTCGATCAGACAGCGTTGACGCAGCAAATCGTGAGAGTCGATAGCAATCACAAAGGAGCGCGACTTCGACGTCGTGTTGGTCAACACAAAGCTCTCCGGGGTCGACAGCTTGCCCGGAGCGCACGCGCCAAAGTTGATCGCACCTGGATCGACCGCAAAATTGGGCGTCTTGCGCACATTGGCTTTCAGCACCACCGTCTGGTCGTTGTCGCGATCCGCCACGTTCTCCACTACCAGCTTCTCTTGGAAGGGCCCCGACATGGACGGCGAAAAGACAAACTCGACTTCGCGCTTGCCATAGCCAGGAACCACGCCGTACCGCCCGCTGCTAAGCTTGATGTCGCCACTGGCGATGCTGCCGCTTTTGCGGATGCAGTAGCGCAACGCCCACTCGCTGCGGTTCTGGATCAGAATCTTGCGCGTCTTGGCATCGCCCTTCTCCATGTAACCGAAGTTGATGTGGGGCTGACCGAGCTCGAGCAAGCTGCGGCATGTGTTGCTACGCAGCATCAGATCGCGTACCGGCAACTCGTCAGCCTCGAGCTCGGCCATGCCGGAGAACTCTTCGGACTGTCGGACGACGCCCATGTCAAAGTCAATCAGTCGCATAAAGATGCGGGAGTCTTGCTTTCGCGCGGTGCCTTGGATGTGGGGCCGTGTGCTACCGCTTGGATGGTACACCGCAATCACCTGCCCTTCCGAGCGCGGCGCCACCTCGAGCACCTCGAGCGGGATCAGCTTGCCGGCATCGATGGAGCTCTGCAGCTCGCGTCGTAGGTTGATCTCTGCTCTCACAAACTGCTCTTCTGCCTCGAGGCTGCCGAGGAAAAACGTGCTGAGCATGCTCGCCTGAGCTTCGACGGCGGCAAGCAGGTCTTCGATCGGCAGCCGCGACACGTCGACGGGATTCGACAATACCGGTGGTGCTTTGCGCTTTCCAGTCAGTGCGGGCGAGAAGTGAACGCGAGCCGATGCATCGCCTGTCTTGCCTTCTTTCGAACTCTTGCCATGCTGCCGGATGGCTGAAGCAGGTTGCGACTTGCTGCCCAATCCAGAGCTGGTGCTGTTCGCATCTTTCGGGGCCGCGGTGCGTTGCGATGCATCGCGTGCAAGAATGTCGTTGGCCAGAGGTGACGGCAGACGGCGCAATGTCATGGCGGCTTTGGCAGCTGAAGCCTTGGGCGATAGGGATCCGGCCTCGGATCGTGACTCTGCACCTTTGTCCTTGACAGCCTGGGTCGACTTCGACTTTGAGCCCGACTTCGGCTTGCTACCACCACCATTGCCCGTGTCGTCGTCGGCAGCATACTTTGCGCCAGTGGTCTGACCAAGAGACTTCGGCTTGCCGCCGGTGGTGATGTTCTCAAGCAGCGCGTACTTCTTGCTCTTGGCGGGAATCCGCTTGGCATCGACAGGCGGACCAGTGGCAAGATCGAGATATTCGAATTCGCTGATCAGCGTCCGATCTTTGAAAGTGATCGCTTTGCCGTAGCCCACCGTGATCCTTCCCTTGCCACCCTTCTTGAGCGCCGAGACCAGATTGATGGTAGGCTTGGTCTTACCCGAGGCGTTTGCCTTGCGTTGCGTCGAGACGATGCTGCCGTCCTCCTTCTTTCGATAGTGGCTGTGTTTCTGCGCTAGCCTCCAAGACGCATTCTCCGTTCGCACCGTGGTTGGCGAGTCGACCGAGATAGTTTCGAGGAAACGCTCCTTCAGGTCGGCGCCTTTCATCGAAGGTTTGCTCGACTTCAACTTTGACGAGCTGCCGTTGGCGCGACTGACACTGGCACCGTCGGCTGCTTCCGCGCTCGATTTCTGGGAATCGTTGAGCTGCGTCTCGCTGTATTTGGAAACTGCCGCTTTCGCCTCTACTTTCGGGCTCCTCTCGAGACCTGCGTCGGTGTGCGGGGCTTTGATGTAGAGCGTGACATCTTCGGGATGAGCAGGGCTCAGCTCGAGCGACAGCTTCTTGTCCGATACATTCTCGATGGTGAAGGTGCGCATGCGCGTCGAGTTGATGTCGACGTCACCGAAATCCACATAGTTTGCACCGCTGGGCGTCAGGATGCGGTAGAAGAGCGAGTGGAAGCTGATGCGCTGCTTGTCGACATTGCGAGATCGAACCTCGAAGATTTGATCGCCTTGTCTGTTGAGCAAATTCGCGACGGTGATCTGCTTCCGATAGGTCTCGTTGACCCTGCGTGGGAACGATTCGACTTTGAGCTCGACCGTCTGCAGTGCCGGGATGGCAACCTCGTCTCGATACATGCTGAGCACCTTGGAGACAAAGCGCAGATCCACTCGTGCCGTCAGCTCGGACCTGTTGGTGACCGAGATGTTGGCCGACTTGCGTGTGCCGACCTGCACCTCGCCTAGATCAATCATCTTGGGCGTGATCGAGATGAAAGAGGTGCAAGTGCGACTGTGACAGACTATGGTGCGCCTCTCGCGGCCGCCGCGGCTGCGCATGTTGGCCAATTTGGCACGCGAATAGTCGAGCGAGATGCGGAACGTCTTTTCCACGAGACGGCCCCCTCTGAATTCAGCGTCCCAGGCGACGCGCTCCGGTCGATACGACACAAAGACACGGTATTCTCCACCAGGACGTAGCATCAATTCTTCGAGCTGGTTGGTTTGCGCGTGCTCGACATTGCGCAATCCTGAGAGGGCTGCACCAGCAGTGTTGCGGTGCTGATTCCGACCAGAGGCCGTGGAAGAACCGGCATGGGACGAGCCAGCAGGGTACGGTCCAGGTCGGCTATCTTGGGATAGTGCAGTGTGGATTGAACGCACCGAATCGGCATCATCGTGGCGTTCGGAGACTGTCGCGCGTCCGCGTGAAGCAGGTCGAGACCTGAAACCGGACGAAGTCTGACTTTGCGGGTTGGTCGAGACGCTCGCCTGATCGTAGTCGCTGGTTGCTGAGGCGAGCGATTGCGGTCGACCCGAGTGGACGCGATCCATCAGGTTCAGGTGGGGATGTTCCGCCTGACCAGAACGCGCAGACTCCGCGGCCGAGGACACAAGCGGGGCAGTCACAGGTAGCTGCGACGGGATGCTGGCAGCTGGACGGACCGGCGAATTGGATCGCGACCCCGCTTGCGATGCCACCGAAGAAGCATCGACACCGTCTTCGTCTGTCTGAGCGCTCCCCCTACGACCTCGGAGCAAATCGCAAGCATCGCTGCCGTCTGCGGCTGGTAGCTCCAAGGCGGGCGGCTCCAGTGCTGCTGTTCCCTTCGGAACGTGAGCGTGGTGCGTCGGCGTCTTGGCAAGCTCGGAATTGGTGGCACCGTGCTCGCCTCCCGCGTCTGATTGTCGACAGTACTCATAGCCACTGGATGCGCCATCCGCTCCGAAACCTCCGCTGCCGCTGTCGCCCACGGACGACATCAAACTTCGGTCGTCGGTACTTGCCGATGACAGCGAAAGTTCGCTGACGTGAGCGCTAGGCGGAAGCTCCTCCTGTTCCAGCGAGTCTTCCTCGGCTTGCGGTGCCAACTCTGCCAACTGGAACATGACCTGGAAGCCCTTCTGCACTCCGAAGGATACGTCGAGCAGCACATCGGCATTGTTCTTGAGCACCAGCAGCTGTTTCGTCCAGTGACCGCCATAGCAATCGCCAAAGTCGAGATAGTCGCCAGAAAGCACGGACAGCGCGTCGTCCTTTGCGGTGCCTAGCATGTTTGCTCGAATGACGACGCGGATGCTGTTGGCCGAATTGTGCAACGAAGTGACGGTCAGGATTTGCTCGTAGTCACGACAGGGCTCCTGTGGCTTGAGCGAAACCTTGATCTGCTTGGACTCGAGGCGGGCGAGAACGAGTGGATCGTATGATAGTGACTCTTGATCTCCCGCCCAGACGGATGGTATCGCATCGTCGGTCTCAGCTTCGGTCAAGCTAATGGGCGGCGTCTGGAGCATGTTGTCGGCCTCTTCGAGCTTGACCTGACAGAAGCAATCGATTTCGGAAAGGTTGCGCAGCGTCAATGTTTGCGACTGCGAATGGCCGACGATCATGTCGCCAAAGTCGAGGTAGATGGCCGAGCCGTGGCTCGTCTGGGTGGGGGCGTGGAAATCGAGCGGGGCTTGCGTGGCGATGGCAGCGTCAATCAATGGCTTGCAACATTGCGCAGCGACAGGAATGCGGATCTTTTGCACTTCCCGATCGTCAGGCTGCGACCTGGACGCAGAAATGGCCGACGAGGCAGCCGAGGTAGATGCTGCCTGGGAGTCGTAGGTACTTGCCGGCTTCGAAGGAGTCGATGCCGAGGCCGAGGAGGACGACGGGATCAGGGTACTCGGCTGAATGTCGCCTTCACCCTCAGCGACAGCTAGAGTCCAGCTGGAGACGGTGATCGTACCGCGAAGGCCAAAGGCAGAATGGAACGGACGCGCTGTGTGCGTGCGAGAGGGAATGCGTGAGCCCCGCAATTCTGGCGCTGAACGCGGCGAGGTGAGTCCGAGCTCTTCAGCGCCGGCTGCGTCGCTGTCCTGATCCGAGGCTGTGGCGCTGAAGCTGTCCCGCTGGTCGCCGAAGGCAGCAGGCGTCGACACGGGCGAAGTGCTGTGATCCAGGCGGCCCGAGGGAGGAGCGGGCGAGGCCAACAAGTCGCCATACTGGATGGCTGCAGCTTGCGACTGAGGCGAGGTTGGCAATGGGTACGGCCAGGTACTGTTGGCACGATCTGCTTCGGCTTCATCTACGAAGTCGGCGGGTCGGAGGACTACGTAGACCTTGGTAGTCTGCTGTGGATCCAGAATGAACGAGTCGGCATTCTCGAGATTCGCAAGGACGTGCCTCCAACCCTTCAAGTTCTCGGATATAAAACCACCGTTCTTGGCCCAATGAAAGCTGTTCGAGGGCCATGCGATGGGTTCGAATTCGTTTCGAGACGATCGTTTGCGACGCATGAAGGTGAGGCCTTGACGCAGATCCGATTCGAGGCGGACGAGTGCGCTACGATCCGAACTGTGGTTGGTCACCATGACGTGATGGACGCATGGTGCGTGATTGATGTAGCTGCGTTCGAAGCGAAGGCAGTCTTGCACATTGACCGACACGATAGCTGGACCCTGAGAGTGCACCCTGAGCTCTGCGGTGTCGTGTAGCTGCGGAGGAACAATGTGTGCGAAAGTGGGAGCTTGTTTGGTGCGAGGTTGCAGAGAAGCTCCATAGCTGGTGCTGGAGGAAGCATTCTGGGTGGATGTAACAGACGAAGGGGGTAGGGAAAAGCTGCCGCTGGACGAGTTTGTGCGGAATCGTGTAAGGCCGCCGCCGTTGTAGCCAGTCTCTGAGCTGGACGAGGCCTGAGGTTGGTCAATTGGGCTATTGCTTACGACAGATCCTTGTTGGATCGCCGGAATTTCGGACGTCGCAGTGCTTCGGAAGGAGGGAGAACCCTGGCTGCTAGAATGCGAGCTATTGGCTCGAGAGGCAACGGTGGAACGAGATGGTTCGCTGACAGAATCCTCGGGAGCAGAGAGACGGTTCGGCAGCGATCGATTGTCGCGTGCACCGATGACAGGATTGGTGGATGGCACCTGCTTCGCCGATGGTCTAGAAGATCGTTCGGAGGCGAGACTCTCGCGGTCACCAAGGACTCGTTCAAAGGCACCGACCCATCGCTGTCCGGAGGAATGCGAGTCGCCCGGCTCCTCATCGACGTCGAAGCGGGGCGACTTCAGTTGATATGTGCCGTCAGCCATTGTTGTTCAGCCGGGATCACGAGTGGAACAAGTAGGTGAATGGAGGTCGATGGGGGGATGGTTCACAAGGCCAAGTCGTCAAGTATGTGTTGAAAGACGACGCCAGAAGCCGACAAGACGATATCTGTGGTGCTTCTGAGAATGGTCGAGGGTCCGATCGGACGGCCACAGAGGGCGATGACCGATTGAGTGGAAGATCAATTCAACATCATGGTTGTGGGTATATGTTCCAGAGGAGGAGATGGATCAGCAGCCAACGCAAGCTGCTGTTAACCAAGAAACAAGGACCGTACGAAGGGTGCGAATGACCAAAGGAGAGGAGTCGAACACTCCGTTGCGGTAGGGTCTAGCTGACAATCAGCACTGAACGCTGCTCTTTGTCGAGTTTGCAAATGGGCGTAGCTGCGGGTATTGGAAGTGGAGACAGAGGTTGAGTCGTTTCGTTCGAGATCGCTGGCCTTGCTTGTGACCAAGTCAGCAGAAGAGAGCTGGTGTCGTTGAAGTTGCGTACGGCAACAGCCGGTGGAGCTGAGTTGACGGTTGAGAGTCAAGATGAGGAGCTCGAGAGCTGTGAGGCTGAGCAGTATTGGCCGGCGCTGCGAACGAGCAAGCGAATGAATCGTGCTCAATGCTCGTCTCTTTCCGCTCCGCTACGGCTTTGCTCTCGGAAGGCAGGGAAGGGTGTCTGGCCGCGACACTGCCGATTTACAGTTTGGACTTGGCCTTTGCCTGTGGACCCATGGGTCTGACGACACGGGCCTGCCTGGCTACAGGGCCAGATTTCCGTTTCCACCGCCAAAAACAATTTTGGAACCGTCGGGTTTCGCCATCCACACTCACACCAGCCAGCCAGCCAGCCACCGACGCAATCAAAGATGGCTCGACTGGAGAACTGTGGATTTTGTTTTTTTTTTCCCTTTGGGTCTCCTCTCTCTCCCACCGCAGTGTCGCATAAACTCGCCTCGGAAAAGGCTTCGGCAGCTCAGTGAAAAAGGTCACACGCACCGCGCTCATGGCTCAACTCGTCTATGTGGCTCAAATTTCGCTCGGTCGAGCCGACTGATCACACTGTTCGAGCACGTCTACTGGCTCGAAGCGTGCGTGCGTGTGTGTGCGTCCTCGGCTGCTCCGTTTGCTCCATGGACATGGACGTGCATCCATCAGGGCTGCGGAAATCTGTCAGTAGCAGTCAGGAGGAAGGCGCTTCCCAAGCGCATCCCCAAGACCTTGCGGCAGCAGAAGCGAACTTTCAGGAATGTTTCGGTCGAACGGGAAACAGCATCTGCGGTAACGATGAGCAAGCGGTTCACCGGTGAGAATTTGCACCTCTCGGGAACGGCTCCCAGTACAGGTACACTTTTTGACGGCCACCAAAAGCCTTCGAGGTGATTGATCTACGTGAGACTTGATCCGATCGACTCCCCGATGACAGTCGATTTAGATTGCAATTTACACGAGGCTCGTCTGCGCGACGCGCTGTCCCAAAGTAACACTTTTCCTTTTCCTTTTCCTCCTTCTCCCATTGCTCTGCTCAACATCGCACCTGCTCTCATACATTTCGGGCAACGATGAGGATCCACGTCAACCTCCCCGTCGCGGGGCCCAGTACACTCAGCGCCCCCTCAAACACCCTTTCGCAGGCCCCGACACCACTCACCGCGCTCTCACCGTCCGGTGAGCTCCTCCTGATCGAACTTCAAGGATCGCTCGAGATCGAGAATTCTTCTCCTACCGGCAACCAGATCCTCGGCACCATCAGCTTCGATCCCACACGACAGGATCGACCTGTACTTATGATTTCGCACCATCGACTTGAAGGAAAATTCGTCAATTTGGTCAAACCGTTGGCAGTGTTAGAGAAAAGGGTTCGCGAGGACAAGGTGTTGAGCGATGTGGCGAACGGGAAGAGGCAAGGTGGGGAGGCGGTGGGAAATGTCAAGAGAGCAAAAAAGGAGGTGTCAGGGACAAGAGGCAGTTCACCGCCGGTAGAGACGAGAGCGAAGGACGCGCTGGATTTCAGCTCTTCACCACCGAGACAGACTCCTATCAAGTCGAAAATGGTGAGACATGTGTCTGGATTGGATGGAATTGATGAGAATGTTCCTGGTCCAGGCAACAGCTCAGAGCAGAACGGCAGGAAGTCGGACCGTACAGGCGAGGACGATGAGGATGAAGAAGAGGAGGAAGCCCAAACAGCAGTCTACTACGATGTAGTCAGCGTGATCAAGCGCAAGATTCTCTTTTCAAAACGTCCCGAACCCATCGTTCGGCTCGACACGTCTCCGACTGCTGTCCGTATCAAAGGGGCGTCTTCATAGGTCAGCCTCGATCTACATCCAAATACCCATCTGCAAACTCAAGTCACACACTTCGCACTCACGCAAGCAATCCATGCATTTTCCCCTCCGAATTCCTTTCATTTTTCCTGTGCGTCTATTGACCTTTGTACCTCTGTCCCTCAAACACACCCCAGATCCTCTTCAACAACACCTTTCCAGCGCTATCCAACGACCCAACCATCGCTGCGTCCCTCTGATGAGTCCCCATGATTGCACAGATCGTCATCATCCCCACTTCCAACTCCGTCCTGACGTCCACGGGAACCACACTGTTTTGAGCGGTGAGGCTCTTCAGATATGCCACTAGGACGTATGTCGCGTGTTTGCTGAACGCTCTGGCTAGGGATTCGGCTTTGACCGTTGTCGAGTCGGAGGCGCGGTGTTTGAGAGAGACGTTTTTGGCGACGAGGTTGGAGAGCAGGCGCGAGAGTGCACGTGCTTCCGAGTCTGCAGTGAGGGGAGAGACGAGGACGGGGTCCAGCCAGACGGGCAGATCGCGACGCAAGGAGCGACGTTGCGAGCCAGACGCTTCGATTTTGCCGGCGGCGTTGCGGCGAAGGCGTCGGAACAAGGTGATGAGACGTGACAGAAGCAGTCCCAACTGCGGCAAGAATCCGACGACCAGATCTTGTCTCGACCGCATCAGCGAGCTGAGCGTCGAAACGATGCCATTGAACAGCTTGGCGCGCATTGCATCCAGTTCCTCTCGCTGCATCTCCACCACACTCTGCAGAGGCTCGTCGCACAAGCTGGGCCCAGTGACGGTGGCAAAAAGCTGCAGCACTGCCCCCAAATCCTGCGTGCGCAAGAGCATCGCGTGATGGCTGCACAGCAGATCGAGCGCCGAGATCGCAGCCACCATCGAACAAAGTTTGACTCGCCCACCGTTGGCCATCGCATTACTGCTGGTCAGAGTGGCGAGCCAAGTCGAGATGTGCGATCTGGCGATTTTCGAGGTGCCTTCAGGAGCACCGCCAAGTACAAGACCCACGGTGCTGATGAGCGCAGCTTCGTCGCCATCCATCGAGGCTGCCTCTTTGGCGTCCACATCATCCACCGCGATGCTGGCAGAGGCAGTGGAACGAAGAGCAATCAAGAGTTTGGAGAGTACAACGTCGTACTCTTCCGCTCCCAGACGCGAGACGATGCGCTCGACACCTTGGGCCACGCGTCTCTGCTGTTGCAAGCTTGGAAGCGATGCAGTGAGCGCCGAGAATGCGAGGCAGGCTGCCAAAGCTGAGTTGCCGTCCGTAACGCCCTGGCCGCAGGCGTCGATGCATCGCACGAGCTCAAGTGCGACATCAGCAGCCGGCCGCACAAGCTTAGAAGCTTCGACCACGGCCGCCAAAGCATTGACGCGGCTGAAAACGATGCAAAGCGACCTGACGACTTGCATGGAGAGCCCTTGTAGGAGTTCCTGGAGCGTACCGTGCTCCCCGTTCATCGGATCGGCAAGCAGTCGAATCTCACGAAGATGGTAAAGCAACAAGTCGAGCGTCTGCACCACCTCGCCAGCAGTCCCGAGATGAGCAGACGACGATTGAAGGATCGCGTCCAGATTCGTCTGCACGCCTCCAGCTCCATCTTGCAATGCGGCATCTTGAGAATCGGCGCTGTTGAGAGTAGCCAGCATTTGCTGTGCAGCACGCATCTTGAGCGAGATTCTACCCTCGTCGTCGACATTTTCTACACCTGCATCCCGTCGAAGCTGCTTTACCACGTCAGAGAAGCGTTGCAATGCGCTCGAGTCTTGTCTGAGGCGCGAAAGTAGGACACGAGCTGCAGAGTGAAGTGCAGCCAGCGAAGCGCGCTCCCAATGATGCTGCAGATGGGCTCCATCGGCTTCGACAGCGCACACCGACCAAAAGGCTTGAAGAGACTCAAAGAGCTCGTCGTTGCTGACGCCGGCCTCTGTAGCATATGACTCTTGCACCCTTGCCAGCAGGCTGCGCAGCTCTATCCACTGGGTTGCTGAGATCGTTCCGGCAACCTTGTTGGTATGCTTAGTGGTGACAATTTCGCGGTCGAGGGAGAGGAGGGCTTTCAGGATCTGCCCGCGTGCGCTCTTGTTGACCCACTCGGATGGGGTGATGCAAAGCGCCGCTGTCGATCCTAGCCGGCGCTCGAGAGGCTGAGATGCCAGCTCTTGCTGAAGAGTGGCAACAATGTGCCTGCGCCAGTTCGGCAGCTCGAGGAACGAGGCGCTACGAAGCGCCGAAGATGTGATGTAGCGCATTCCGCTCTGCACGTCGTCGTGTTGCAAGCTTGGCTGTGCCGAATTGACGATTGTGCCAGCAAGCAGCTGCATGCTTTCGGTAGCTGCAATCGAATCGAAGAGCGGCGCCCATCGAGTGACAATCGCCATCAAGACGGTCTGCATCAAATCGGAACGCCTCCGGATCCTGTCGGGACGACCGCTCCATGCGCGGCCCTTCATGGAAGGGGCAGACGTCAACTCGCTCAAAAGGTCGTGAATTGGGCCGTCGGCCTCGGAAACCAAGCGACAGTAGCGAGACTGTCTCAGTCCGAGGAAGGAGTCCCTCTCTGCGCGCTGCAGCAAGCTCTGTACAATCTGAAACTGCAGCTGATGCAGCTCCGGACTTCCATCTTGCTTGACCGAAAGCAGCTCGATGAACGAGTCGGCACGCCCGTCGAATGCCTCTTCCAAACAGGTCAAACTTTCTGTGGGCAGAGAGCCGTCGAGCTTGACAGGTTCGGCAGGGTTATAGCGCCACTTTTCTGAGAGAAGCGCCTGTCTGACTCGCAAGGCAGCAGCAGCCACGCCGCAAAGCGTGGGAGACGATGCGGCTGTGCGTGTAGATGCCAGGCACAGGTCGATGCAGGGTACAATGAGGTTGTTGTGCAGCTCTTCCGCTGCAGCAGCGGACCGTGTGCGAAGAGTAGGTGCCAAGGTGACGCTCTGAACGACTTGTGCTACGATCTGCAGCTGCTTGATCAAAGCATTCGCGCCCTGAGCTCGATTTCCATCCACCTTGGCTGCATTGCTGAGAGACGTGCGCGCCTTCTTGGAAGTTTTGGGAGTAGCGCTGCTCTGCGATATCGAATCCAGGTTCTGCGCTAGGGAAGTGAGCCGCTGAATGAGCTCCGGCACCTGCATGGCGGTGACGCTGGCGCGACAGAGCTTGCCGAGTTCGGTCAGGAAGGTCTGAGACACGAAAAGAGATGCCGAAGGAGAGTCGTCGTCCGTCTTGGCGAGATGCTCAGCTGCGAGCGGGATGCTGCTGAGAATAGTGTTGACTAAGGACGGGACGGTTCTGAATCGCACATCTATGGCTGCTACCGCACGGAAAAAGTCCAGAGCTGCTAGCGTGGGAGCTGACAGATCCTCTGCCAGCCAAAGGGCCGCTTTGAAAACTCGTTGTGCGCCCACCAGCGCCATGACGGAGACCAGATCGTCTTCGACGACCGACTTTTCGAGTCGCCATAGCGAGGCGAGGCACGCAAAGTGGTCGGCTTTTTGATCCTGGGCGGCCAACGATGTGTCGGTAGCAATCTGACCCAGCTCGTGTTGAACAGTGTCGAAGAGTGCGCTGAACAGCGAGCGCCATTCTCCTGCTTCATCGGAACCGATGGTGTAGAGACTGTGGCGCTCAATCCCTGCAAGGAGATTTCTACGCGATGCTGCCTGATGTCCGCGGACAGCTTGAGCGCTGGTGACAAGGTGAGGTAGAAGGGGAAAGTACCACTGGGAGAGCATCGTCTTGCGGATCAGAGAGAGCTGAGCTTCGCGCACAGTGCCGGACGTCAGATGGCTAGAGGAGGCAATGGAGTTGAGGGCCTCGCTCCGGCTCAGCTTGGCACAGAGAAGGTCCGCTAGGATCGCAAGTGAGCCAAGTGCAGCCTGAGACAGATGCTGGTCCTGCAGAGAGGCGCAGATTTGAGAGACGACGCCCGATGCAGCGACGTGAGTTTCCTTCCAACTGGGCGTGCTTGTGTTCTGGGCGAGACGTCCTGCTTGCAAAAGGGATCGCTGAACGTCTTCAGTGAAGAGCGAGTCAGCAGCGATCTGTTTGACAGTGTCTAGAAGCAAAGCGCGGTGTGTGGATGCGGCGGTGTCATCCATGTTTCGAAGGCGCAGAGAGTGTAGCGCACGCAGGAGGGACGGCACTGCGCTGTTGCAAAAGTGTTGATGATTCCTCTTGGCGTTGGATCCATACTGCAAGGTTGTCGACCAAGTCGAAGTGATAGAATGAAGGATCGCATATCCAGTACGTTGCTCTTCCGCGGAGCGTGTTTGCCCAAAGAAGTCGAGCCACGCCTGTATAGAATCTGTCGCAGCTTCAACATTGGTGGCGGCTGTCCTTGAAGTGGCCGGCGGCAAAAGCTTCTGAAGGGAGCTCGCAGCTGTCTCCAGGAGTTGTTCGCGCTCTGCTAATGAAAGAGAAGCGTCTTGATTGAGTTGCCTAGCCAAGGAGCCTGCCAAAGTCAGCACTGGTTGTGTGTTCGCAAGGTGCGAAAGCCAGCTTCTCTTGGCAGCTTCTGACAGGTCGGAGCTTGCACTTATTTGGGCTGTCACAATGTCTGATAGAAGCTGCCAGGATGTTGGGTCTAATTCGACGGGGCTGGCGGAGATGTGCTGCTGTTGCTTGGCCTTGTTCTTGCCCTTATTGGGTGTGCTGGGGACTGAGGAAGAAGACGAAGACTTGAGCGAAGAGCACAGATGCTCGAGAGCCCATTGGGACAGCAGCTCGGCTTTCTTGGGTACGAAGAGGTCGTGCGACTGCCATGCGTCGAGAGCAATGTCGATCATACGTACCCCGTTTGGCGGTGGTTGGGGCACACGGAGCGTCTTGACGAGCTGTTCCGAGGTGGTGATGGAGGCCAGTGCAAGGGCTGATGGACCTGCATCGGCAGCCATTGCTTGTTTCTCCGTAGCCGGTGGCATCCCGATCCTTTCCGACTGGTCGATACTGGCGCTCGAGGTCAGCGAGAAGCTCGGCGGTGGTGGTTCGAGCTGTGGATGAAGCTGTGAAGAATTGGTGGTGAACACTCTTTGGACGTTGTGGAGGAAATCGCACCGAGAGCTGGAAAAACATTCCGGCAGCAGGCTGCGAAATCAAAATTCAAAGATTGGACCCTGAAAGAGAGAAAGTCGAAGCCAAATTTTCTTTCCTTTGTTTTCTTCTTATCGGGCGAGTGGATCAGTCAGAAGCTTGAATCCGGACTTGGAACAGCCATCATCCCATCTTCCTTGTCCTTCATTCCTCACCATCCCCGGCATCGACGTCACCTCTCCAAACCGCACAATGCTTCACGCCGTCCTTCGCACATTCGCCAGGCGCACGGCAGCCCTCGCGCCAGCACAAACGCGACTCTGCTCCTCCGCCTCCTCATCTTGTTCGTCTGCTCTGCTCAAGACCGCATCTACAAGCGTCAATGTAGCGTCTGCAGCTTCTACACGCTTCTCGACACAAGCCCTAGCTCAGGCATCATCAGCTGTCAGCTCAGCGCAACAGCAGCAGAGGGGCATGAAGGTTCGATCATCAGTCAAGAAGTTTTGCGATGGCTGCTCCGTCGTCCGACGCAAGGGCAGACTTTATGTGATTTGCAGCAAGGACCCCAAGCACAAGCAGGTATGTATGCTTTTTTCGCATCAGGTCTTTGTTGTATGCTCATGGCGCCGACATCCTTTTCCTGTACCTGCTCTATGCCACTCAACAGCGCCAAGGATGAACAAGAGTAAACCTGATCCGCAGCATCCTCTTCTGTCATCAATCTTGTATTTGTACACGCTCAGCAACTCCGTTATATTTTCTTTCAATGTTCATTGCGGACGGGACCGCGATACCAGCCTCACGATATTTGGATCATTGCAGGAGTCAGAAGAAGACAGGCGCATGCAATATAATTGCATGGCCATTGCTTGAATTCAACGACAGCGATGACAAGTGGCAGTCCCGTAGCGATGTCGATGTCAAGCCTGCTGCTCCTTCTCTTGCTGTTGCTTCAACAGATCTTCGATCTCGCGAATCTCCATCTCAACATCAGCCATCCTCTGGTTTACGCTGGTCAACCTCTGCTTCAACTTGTCCTCGTACTCCTGGTCCGATACGCTTCGGATCGGCATTGCCTTCTTGACCTTGTTCAGCCAACTTGACTTCTCTCCTTGTTCAACTTGCCCCTGCTTCGGCTGAACCTCGACCGCAGTCTCTGCTGCTTGAGACGCTGCCACCTTAGAGTCGCTCGGACCGCTTTGTGCTGTCATACTGTCCGGTACGGGAACAGCTCTCGGGGCGGGTCTGATCATCGTATCTCTGACAATCCTCGCCTCGTTACCTGCCAGCTGTAATCCGGTGCATGCGACTCCGAACGTCACTATACCCTTGTGAATCGCCGCTGGTCCTCTGGAAAAAGCTGCTGCACCAGCACCCACCACCGCACCCGCCAGACCCGACGCAAGCAGGTTGTGTGTATGCCGATTCTTGACCACTGTCCTCAATCGCATGTTCCTGTTCGCCGGATCAAATCCGCTCGAACTACGGTTGAGAACGGGCGACATGACGTACTCTCTCACAGCAAAGAACGGAAACGCAAACGCAAAAGTGCTGAAAGCCATCCTTGTACCGAGTACCGTTCCTGCTCCTTGACGACCTTTGAGCACGCCGTAGATCGAACCGGACACGCCACCGACGAGCGCTGAGAGGAGAGATCCTTTGACAACTTGCACCGGTGCATCGGATTCGATCTGGTATTCGGAGGACGCACTGTCTTCGACCACCGAAAGGATGCCGTAGCTGCGTCGAGAGCTTGAGTTCTGACGGCCTTTGGAGGCAGCGGGATCGTCGACGAATTCGTCGTTGCCCCATCCGCTCGATTGCGGAGAGAAGCTGGCAGGAGATGTCCAGCGCGGATCGTCCTCAGTTCCGGAGAGGGTCATGACAGGTTCGTCGCGGTTGCGAGGTTGCGATCGGCTCGCGTTGAACGGTTTGTCCGGTTGTGATGGAGTCGATGCTGTTTGAGACTGGTCGGAGTAGGAAGCCGACGGATCCTCCGAGTTGTTCTGCTCTGCTCGAGACGAAGTGGCAGAGCGGCTGTAAGCTGTGCGAGCGTTGTCCTGTCGAATGCGCTCCCACTTGCTCGGCTCGACACCACGGTCTCCTCGTAGTTGGGCCCAGCGTGTGCCTGGCCCAGTTCCGTCGGGCGCCGCGTTGGCTGACGCTTCCGTCGAGGTGTTTCGAGCACCGCTGCCACCGCTGCGTGTGCCGACAGTTCCCTGCGCTGTCGAGTACGCACTGAATGTATCCGCCGTAGCGTTCCTTTCATCGTATCCTGCGCCGTAGCTTTCTGCAGTCTTTTCACCGCCCCAGTTCTGCTGCGGCTGCTGCTGTTGATCAAAGTCGGCCTCTCCGTTCAAGCCTTTGGGTGGAGCGACCCCGACCTGAGGCCTCTTTCCCTGTCTCTGCTCCTCGATCGCCCCTGCCAGTACTTTTCGCAGATGCTGTGGATCCTCTACGTCCTTCAACACGTTCCTGCTGAGCAGGATCCCCGCCGGCATGGTCAGAAACGATCCACCCAGTCCTCCCACCACACACCAGCCCACTTTGGGAATCATTCGTGGCGGAGGCTTGCGTCTCGACAGCAGAATCCACGTTCCCGAAGCACCCAGCAGCCAGCCTGCGTACTTGGTCATGTCCACATTGCGCTTGATCGTCTTGAGCGCGGCAAGCTCGCGGTGCGTGAGCTGCTTCTCGGACTGGGTGCCTGCGAGGCCTGGGAGACGGGTGCCGCCATTGTTGCTGGACGGGCTCGAGCCGAAGCCGTCAGAATCTGCGGTGGATGCTCGACCGTCCATTTTTGCCGTCGACAGAGAGTCTCGATCGAGGTTGTCAATGTAAGTGCTATGGTGTGTTGTGTTCGGTCAGATGGCCTCGAACTTGTGCTCAAGCCATGGCGAGAAGGGCGAAGACTAAGCATCGAATCTGACCTGCGACGAGCGAAAAAAGTGGAGGCTGATTTTGAGGTTAGTTGTTAGGTTCGATGTCGCTGACAGACTTGTTTGAGGGACCGATTCGTTCAGGGTCCAACCGTCACGCTGATTCACCACCGACGTCGATGCAGGTTTGGCGCACTTTGACGTGCCCAGCCGCAACCGAGTTGGTCAGATCTTGCAACGACTTTTGCCGCCAGAACCACAAGATTCGAACATGATGGATGCTGCTCTTGTGACTCAGACGGCATGAGACCGCACGGACTGTCAGAAGATGCTGACACTGAAGCCCTGCGTCGGTCTGACGACCTTTCTTGTCCCTGTGGCTCGCAGAGATATAAGACCGGTCGCTCTCGCTGCTCACCTCTGTCCCATCCCTCCATATCCACATTTCTACGACCGGCCAGCCAAAATGACCAAGAACACCACCGACGAGTCGTTCAAGAAGACCCACCAGGTCGTCGGAGCCAACGGCGGCCAACTCGTTGACGACCTCAATGGCAAAATCATGAAGGAGGCACCCGGTCACGACGGCGTAAGTTTTCAAGATCTCCGTCCTCTCCCTGTCTCATTCTGTTGTTCCCATCGAGCTGACCCTGACGATTTCACCAATTCACTTGCCTTCATCAGAATGTCGCACTCGAGCAATCTGGCCAGCAACGCACGCACAACGAACAGATCGAACGCGATCTCGCCAACAAGGGATACTCGACCCGTCAGACCGACGAGGAAGCTGCCCTCGACGCCGATCTCAAAAAGAAGCTCGAACAGCGTGGAAACCCAACGAAGTGATCATATCAATTCACAATCAATGCTTTTCCTGATTACGTACGTAGCTAACGAATGTGCATGACCGTTCACGAGCGCGCACTGCCGCCACCACTGAAGTAGCTCAGCGCCCTCGAGACAGAAGCAATCGCACCACTAGCAGTCGCGGGAGTAGCACTGGCTGCCGAAGGCGCCCCCAACACGCGTGTGGTCACCAATGTATCCTTTGCGACTTCCTTCTTCCCGCTCGCAGCAGCGAGGTTTGGCAACCCTAATCCGATACCCATCCCGACCTTCTTACCATTCCTCACCCCCTCTTCAGCCGCATCACCATCAACATCTCTGAGCGACGATACCGCTGTGGATCGCAGCGCAATCTCCGTCTTGCCGATGTGACTCTTCCTCGTCAATTGACTAGCCGGTGGTGCGGCTGCCACCGTCACCATGAGGTTCTTCAAGTTCGGCAACGTATGTCGGATGTCGATGACGGTAACGGAATGGACATTCATCAGCTGCTCGATGTCCTTGTTGAGCAGAAACGCTGCGTACTCGTATCTGTACCTTTCCATTCCTTTTGCGTAGAGCGGAAAGGCACGTGGACCGCTCATGAGCGAGATGCCGTCCTGAACCACTGCTCGACTGCCCGCTGTGGCCAAAGGGTAGTGGACGGGCGTAGCTAAGTACGTGCTGAGCAGCACGACGAGTTGGGCGACGAGACCTAGCGCGCTGCTGACCGTGTCGTCGTCGAACGGATGAAAGACAGGTCGCGCGGATGCAGGGACGTGGCGCTTGACGGTATCCTTCCATCGCTTCTCCTCGTGTGCAAGCTCGGTCGGCGGCAGCGAGGGCACTGCGTTGGGCAGTGGCAGACCGCAGATGGAGAAGAGCAGTGAAGACGCGTCTGACAACTCGATGGGGAAGATGGCCTCGAGATCTCGCAGCAGCGATGCTTGTTGGATGTGCAGTTGCAATGCGACATGCGCCTTCTCGTCCTTGAACGCCTGCACCTCATCTTGCAGCTGTCGCGAGGTCGCTTCGGCCGACTCGAAAAGTGACTTTGAAGCCCGCATAGCTCGATGCCGGGCCTCGAGTGCCGATCTCCGCGTCGCCAGCTCGGCCCTCTTCCGCTCTAGTTGACCCGATTCGTCTATCGCCATCTGTCTCACCGCCTCGTATCTGGCCTTCTGCTGCTCGCGCTTGAGTCGTAGCTGTACAAGTCCGGCCGGATCTTGAAGCGAACTTCCACCGACCTGTCTGAGCTCCTCTACTTCGGCAAGCATATCCCGCGCTTCTGCTTGTTTCTTTGCTAGATGCTTGGCGTCGTCGAGGGTGTAGCTTGGCATCATCTTCGTCTCTCGAAGGCTCAGTTCGAGCGCACGCCGCTGCTCATCCTCGAATGCTTTTCGTCGCTCTCGTCGTCTTGCGTCTGATGTCACAACGAGCGCATGAGACACTCGACTGGCAGAATCTGCTACCGCGGCGATTCGCTCCGGTGCCGTAGCGGCATTGGTTGTGCCACTCGGAGCATTCTCCGGATCAGATGCGTATCCTTCCAGCGATGTACGCCTATGCAGCTTGGGCGAGCGGCTTGAGCTGGCCCCCCGTTGTGCACGCCTCTCGCTGGCGTCTGCACTGTTAGCCCTGGTTGCGGTTGCGTCCGCCGAACGATCCTGCCGCGCTGGCTTTATCGGCACCGCATAGTACACAACACTTTCAAGCACGTGTCGCGTTCTCTCCGCCTCCCTCTCGCTTACACTGCGGTTGAGCTTGGGATCCTCTCTACCCTGGTCCGAGACTTTGGTCGTCGTCGCTCTTTGCGAGTCAAAAGTGACGATGCTCGCACGTCCTGAGAGCGAATTTGCGCCGGGCGCGAGACCGAGCAGGATCGAGTTGGGAGGGAGCGAGAGGCTTGCGTCTGGCGCGTTTCCTGGCAAAGGTTCCAGGTCGCGAAGATCAGCGCTCGTCTGACAGACGAGCTTCCAATTTGACCCGTCCGTTCGAGCAGCACTCTGTTGAGATCCACCTTTATCTGCAGGAGGAGATCTTGCCCAGACCTTGATGCTGACATCTGACGCTTCCAGTGGAGAATCCACGGCCGATGCTCCGTATCCTTCCAGAAAGTCTCGCTCGGGGGTGATGGGATCACCGCCCTGGTATCCCCAGCTATGATGCAGGCCGGGCTTCGAGCTGGTGGTTTTGTAGAAGGTGCGCTCAATCCCAGGATTTGCGCTTTTCTTCTCGTCTTTGCCCTTCGATTCTGCGTTGCCTGGTCCGTCACCCTTGTCGGACACGACCGATAGCTCGACGCAGCATTCCAGCATGCGATCCTTCATGATTTGGTCGAGACTCTTCTGAGAGAACAGCGCGTAGCGCGAAGCAGCGCTCAGGCGACCAGAGATGCGGGACGGCCGCCTCGCTTCGCCGTCACCTCCGAGCTGACTCTCGTCGAAGCGAACGCTGCGAACACTTGCGGACGAGGTCATGCTCGTCGTCCTTGCCCTGTGTGAAGGCCTGCGAATGGTGTGCGAAGAGTGGGAGGAGCTGCGAGAGTCGGATCGGGACAGCATCGTCGTTTTGGCGTCGAGCTCGTCGAGGAAGCCTGAATTGTCTGCACTAGCGGGTGAGCCGCCGTGCATGCGGGCATCTCTGCCACTGCGCGTGCTGGAAGCTCGCTTGAGGATGGGGCGCGGACTCACATCGACGCTGTGAGCGCCTTCGGAGGTCGATCCGAAGGAGGAGGATGTCGTTAGCTCCTGATCGGATGTGCGCCGATGGTTGATTAGGGCGGAGCGACCTCTAGCATTTCTTTGACTGCTGTTGATCTGTGACTTGGTCGGTCTCGATGTGGACGCAAGACTTGCATCCAGTTGGTCGACCTCTTCTGGTTCGTCTTCGTCCGAGGATCCGTCAACGCTGAGCCTGCTCCAACTAGCACTCCTTCGTCGCCGCTGAGAGGCGTCCGCCTTTCCTTTGCCCTTGCTGTTGGACCGTCCTATGCTGAGTGTCAGGTCGGCATCGTCCGAAGTAGTGTGGTATCGGTTTGAGCCTCCGGGTCTTTGAGAAGTCAGCGTCTGTAGGGCGCGATCCCGTGTCGGGCGCAGCGAGAGATTCCGAACAAGAACAGCACAGATATGTCCGATGCGACGCTGTTCGTAGTGGATCGCATGAGGCGCAACCTCTTCGTCGGCCCACGACTGGTGCGAGAAGGTAGCAGGCTCTGCCATGGCCGCGACCGCGACAGCGCGTCCTTTTGATGCGTCAATCGGCAACGGACAGCCGGGCCAGAGTCGTACCTAGACGTCCATGATCTGTGCGATCTCAGCAAGCTGGCGATGAGCTTGATCGAGTCGTGTCGAGTCGCGTAACGTTGGAGTCGGGAACGATTGCGAGTATTGTGTCGGGGTCGGTCGCGCAAGATGCACGGACGACCCAAGTCTCGTCAAGAGACCCTGAACAATGAGGCAGCACGCAGCACCACACGCTTCTCGGCGTTTTCGCTTTCGGTTCTCCACACCAACACACGCGGGTCTGGAAGGGATGTCGATTGTGAGATCGAGAGAGATTGCGACATGTACCCCAATACTCGAAAATGTTGTTTTGATAGACGTAACACATACATCTGGACGACGAAAGTTTGACTCAATGCCGGTTCTCTCATCCTGACTCTCATATGGATCTCCTCGTGCAAAGTCTTTCTCTGTACATAGAACCTGGCGCTATGTGTGAGCATCTGGCGGACGATGGAAGTCTCATCGAGGTATCATCGACGACTTCTTGTGGCAGATAATCGTCCTTTTTAACAACTACAGTAAAAAGATGCCCAAGACACGAAAAGAAGCGACAAAAGTCTGGCACCAAAACTCGGCGAAGGAAATTTATTTGCAACATGTTGCACGTCTCGTCTTCCCTTGGATGCGAAGGCAAGAGTTGAGCCAATGACAGATTCGCAGGCGTCTGCAAACATACAATCGCACCAGCAGACAGCTTGCTGGAATTGGGGTGCTTCCAGCTCTGAAGTGGACAGTGCCATCCGAGCGGCTCTTGTCGATCTGCGGCCGCGACGGCCCATCCTCGCGATTTCGATGGAAAGTACGATGATGGCCACCATGCAGGGCATGGAACCGAGCACAAAAACCAAGACGACTGGAAATTTCGGCAACACCCCGGAACTCCTTGGGGACTCGTCATTGGACAGCATCTGTTTGACACGGCTTCAGATTCGCGCAGACCTGCAGGGCTCTGCCGTGGGCCTGACTCCGGTGCCTGAGCCACAAAGTGTTTGACCATGAGGTGCTCGATGGCTTAAGGTGCAAATGGCTGAAATCGGGTCTGACGGCATGAACGATGGACCCGATTGAAGACGCTCTTTCACTTTTGTGGCATAACGCTTGACAGCACAACGCTTGATAGCATCCGGTCACCGGCTCTCAGGTCTCTAGCCAACCGAGTCGATGAGGCGTGAAAGAAACAGAGGACGAATACATGCGCATAGATGCTCTTATCACCTAGCTACGCGGCGCTTCAGTATGGAGGAAAAACGCTTGAAGAACTACCGAAGCGATTAGCCACGAGACGTTAGCCTGCGAGGCGGAAAGGGTCGGAAACAATCAGTATTTGGTGCCGCCGCTATCCGGCAAATCTTTCGCTTCGGGGCTAGTGTGTGGCGCGCCTTGATCCGATAGTCTAAAAGTCTCGCTAGTCTGTGACAGCATCACAAAATTCTCCGGTGTGGCAGTTAGCCTCCAGTCGCACATGAAAGCCGTACAGACGTATTGCTGGAACGTGGCAGATAGGGAGCACATCATTACCAGCTGAAGGCGAGAGGACCATTGTACGTCTAGCGACCTTGCACGGTGCCATATTGGTGTCGATAAGTTGTGGCTCGAGTGAGAAGAGCACGTTCTGGGCTAAATCACTCGTTGTCGGGCCAGAAGCTGCGACAGTGGAGGTATCTCGCAGTAACGAGACTTTGTGCGAAACATTGACCACGTTTGCTAGCCCTCAGGTTCGGCCGCAGACGCTTGGTTCGTTCTACAGGATCTTCACCATGTCACCATGCGCCTAGGGGGCAAAGGCTCGTTTCCATGCGCGCAAAATTGACTCCAGACAGTCGCACTTCTTGACGGGAACAGTCACACACACGTTCTTTGCAGGCAGACAATTCCGAGCTGTCACTTTGATGTATGGCCGAGCGGCAAGATAGCCAGAGGTGGTTGCGCCTCAAGGGAGGCGACCCAGCACCGAAATTGACGTGACAGACTCCGACGCCGAGACGCAGTTGCACATGGCTGTCGTTCGGAAAAATGCAGAGAGGGCAGAAGCATGGTCGCCTTGCTCGAGTGGGCGACCTGTCGGAAGGCGCATGCATGATCGAATGCGTTCTTCTGTCCAGCCATCCACGGTACGAACGTGTCGTGAAGTGTAGATGTGCTGTTGCGCCAATCCGGTCCGACACGAATGAGGCTCTGCCCGAGGTGTGCTTGTCTTATGTGTCCCCTGCTGCAGCTTGTGGCGATCCTGTCCTGAACTCCGCTGTGTCTTCCATTGACAGCGAAAGCTGATAATCAGTTGGACGCATGCGGTGGCGATCATCAGATCCAAACAGCACAGCAATGAGGTCTGTTTGTCCGTCTCTTGCAGTGGCCGAAGAGACCTTTTGCTCTAGGGTAATCGACGACGAGCTGCCAAATGCGAGGTCAAATTTGTCCGTTTCGCGATCTGAGCTAAGCTTCTCTCAACACTGTAGCCGCTTGTTCTAAGACTCGACACCTCGAACCAAGATGGTAGCCAATCATGGCATGAGTGTGATTGCGGTGCTCGCACGGCTGTCGTGTCCGTATGCTGACGTTGCGAAATGGGTTCGGAAGTCCATGGCGATCCAAGTCAATCCCTTTTTCATGCGGCAGACCTCGCGACTCCAAGGTCGAAAAGCCCCTTCGCGGCTGTGAAGGTATTTTTCTCCAATACAGCCACGGCAGACGACATGGACGACCACACACCGACACCAACCACGTCTGTAGCAGAAGGATCGATGGCGGAACATCCAACTGTTCATTCGACAGAAACCTGACGAGCTGAATGAATCAAGCCACAGAGACGAAATTAAGCGTTCTCCAAGGTGTTCGGTCGGTGATCCCGTCTCGGGCTCTTTGCAGCAAAAGAAAGCAATTTGCCTCGTTCCCGATCCCTGCTTTTGTGACCGCCACGTTTTGATGGCTACGAGTTGTTCAAACGGCTCAGCTATGCCGGCACCCACAACACCACTTATCTGTAAGCGGCAAAGTGAGCCCGAGCGACGTATGATCCTCGAATGTGAAACGGAATGCTAGCACCGACCTCGGTCCCTCTCGAAGCAACCGAGCCAAACCAGGAACGAGGAAATCGAAGAGCACACAGAGCTTTGCCAACAATTCGAGGGTTGGTTCTGTTCTGTTGCATGAATTTGTGTATTTCAGTAATGAATTATTATTATTTATAAACAATTGGAAGAACCGCTGGTTGCGGATCTGCGCGATCAGCTGCAGGGTCGTAGGAAACTGACACTGACCCTTTCGGCCTGGCTGTGCTTCCAAGCCCTAGCTCGGCACGCGGCCTCACTCGAAATCCAAGCCGAACCAACCAAAAATAAACCAGACTAAAGTGGCATGGTCGCCCACGCTAAAGTGCCTGTCTTGCTTTCAAAGAGTTCCGGGCTTGTCCACGTCGCCTTGGCCGTCGTGGTCTTTGGTCACGGCTAGGATTAAGCTGTTCTCTTCGGCTTGTCTCGGTCACCAGCCAACGCTCGGAACTCTGCTTTGGTACCATACCAACCCAGCACAACACAGGACGCTGTCACGGCAATTCCGGTTGGCTACAGGAATCTTCACTCTCCGCCCGTCCCGCAGGGAATTGACAAGGACCGACAGGAGCAGCAGCAAAGCGGTGACTTGATCCTTCTCGATTTTGGCTGCCTCTTGTCCCTCCTCCATCAGCACACGCTAGCTCGGTGACCGCTTCCAGTAGTATAACATGTCTTCGTCCCGCTCCCGCTCTCAATCACCCTTCTCTTCCGCTCCGAAGAACCCTTCGCTTCTCTCCATCCCACCAACGACACCGGCCTCCGTCTCAGATCAATCTCCAACCACACCCAAGACTGCCACAGTCAACGACTCAAATAGGTACCACTTCCCCTCCGGTCAGGCTTCTTCGGTCGACGCTGCTCTCAGAACAGAAGAACAAGCACTCCACCAACTCACCGCCGACGACGTCCACAATCCGCAATCGACCGCTATGGGCAACGTATCCGAGCAGTCCGCCATGGACCAGATCCTCTCCGGCGTCCTCGCCATGCAGAAGGAGCTCTCTCGGTTGAATCTGCGCATGGAAGAGATGGAGAACAAGAACGAGGCCACAGCACGACGGAACTCGTTCTACGGTGCCTTCGCCTCTGGTCAGATGTCGCCTGCCCTCAAGAGTCCCGGCCTCATGCCTGGACTTATGCGCAGATCCACTTCTCCTCCCAAGAATCACGGCGCCATGGACATGCTGCATGCTCCACACCTTTCCATGGGCTCCTCTGCCTATGCACAGCCTGCTCCCTTGCTCGCAGAGGAGCCCAAACTTGGTCTCTGGGCCGTCGTCCCTGCCGGTGGTGCCGGTACCCGTCTTTGGCCGCTCTCGCGAGAGTCGTACCCCAAGTTCCTGCTCGATCTCACCGGGTCCGGAAGGACGTTGCTGCAGAGCACCTGGGACCGTCTGCTTCCCCTGGCTGGCCAGTCGCAGATGATGATCGTCACCGGTCAGGCACACGTCGGTGGTGTCACAGCACAGCTTCCCGAGCTTGAGCAGGCCAACGTGCTCGCCGAGCCTTCGCCCAAGGAGTCGATGGCCGCCATTGGTCTTGCGGCTGCCGTCCTGCTTCAGCGCGACCCAGAAGCCGTGCTGGGTTCCTTTGCTGCCGATCACATCATCTCGGGTCGAGATGCTTTCGAGTCGGCGGTCACCGAGGCCGTCGCTACTGCCAAGGCTGGCTACCTCGTCACCATCGGTATCGCCCCTTCGCACCCCTCCACCGGTTTCGGGTACATCAAGCTCGGCGAGAAGCTCAGTGTCAGCGATGCACCCAACGCCCGTCGCGTCACCGAATTCAAGGAGAAGCCCGATGCACGAACCGCTGCTGCCTACCTCTCCACCGGTGACTACCGATGGAACGGTGGTATGTTTGTGGTCAAGGCACAGGTTTTGCTCGACTTGCTCAAGGATTCTAATCCGGAACTGCACGAGGGTCTGTTGCGCATTGCTGCTGCTTGGGATTCGGACGCTCGTGACAGCGTCATGAGCGAAGTCTGGCCGACGCTGCCCAAGATTGCCATCGATCACGCCGTTGCGGAACCCGCTTCCAAGGTGGGCAAGGTCGCCGTCGTACCCGCTACCTTTGGTTGGGACGATGTAGGTGATTTCGCCTCGTTGGCCGACTTGATCCCTGCCGAAGAGGGAGAGCCGAGGATCCTAGGTGACACCAGGCTGGTCGTGACCGAGAGCCAGGCGGGAGGTCTCATTATCCCTGCTGCTGGTCGACCTATCGCGTGTTTGGGTGTGGACGATGTCGTCGTGGTCGACACTCCTGACGCGCTCCTCATTACCACGCGAGCACGATCCCAGGACGTCAAGAAGATTGTCGGTCGCACAAAGAAGGTCTACCCAGAACTGTGCTGAGTGCCATGGGTCGTGCTCACTGCGTTTCTTTTGTCATGATGGATCTTTTGTTAATGGACATTTACTTTTGGCATTCAGTTGATCTTTGCTGGACCAGGCCTGGAGAGGTTCTCCTTCGAAGCACGCTAGCGCAATGCGTCAAGTGACAAAGCCGGATGGAGCAGCTAGAGTGAGTGTGAGCCAGAGACCGCGTCGCTCGGGACGCCTGGACGTTGTCCTGCCAGGGCAAGTTGGCGTCCACTATGTCTAGCGTCAAAGCTGGGTCGAGTGGCAATGGGGAGTACTAGAGCGAGGCTTGGGACTTGCTTGCAGGAGGTCATAGAAAAGCTTGGACATTCTCCTTGCACTTGTGAGAGGGCGATCGAAGGGGGAAGCTTGAATCATTCTGATTGTGAGAAGACGGCCCGAGGGAAGCTTGCAGAAACTGCCTTCCCAAGAACTCTGGCGCGCTACTACCTTCCGCACCACATAGCCGTGTCATGTTCCTTCTCCCTTTTGAAAAGTTCACAAGTTCACACGGTGTGATGATCAACATGTATAAATATGCATTGCAGAATGAAAAAATGAAAGGGGAACGAGACTGGTATATAATGGTATGCCGATGGCAGCATGCAGAGGTCAGGAGGCGACCTGTTTCTCGCCCAACACCCTTGTGATGGTGTGCATCCTGTCCCTGCTCTTGCGGCTTAGCGAGCTGGAGAGACCCGTCGAGTCTGTGCTGCGACGCGCGGGTGGTGCTTTGGACGAGGGCTGTGGTTGGATCATGGATGCGATCGAGGGGATGTTCTCCGCCTCCTCGATGAGACGCATGATCTTGCTGGTCCGGGTGATGCGAGCCGAGAAGTCCTTCTTCTTGAGCGTACCTGTTGGGCGGAAGATGTCGTCCTCTGTCGTGTTGTGTGTGTTGGACAGTGCAAGGACTTTTCCGTCTGGCCGACTTCGAGAACGCTGTCGAGTGGGCGAGTTGTCGACACCCCCTTCCAGACCAGCTTGGCCGTCCGGATCGTCAAACACGTGCACGTTGTGTCGCAGGGCTCGCACTTTGCTGCCTCGCGACAGCGTGCCTACGGAATCACGAATGAGTGCAGCCACGGGTCCCCTCGCTTCGGGTGACGTTTCAGGAGACGTCTTGACTCGCGTACACCTGCCCCTACGACTGGGCATCTTGAGCTCGCCCTGTGCATCTTTCGCTGCAGCGGACCGCAGATCAGAACCAGAGGAAACATGACGCAGCTTGGAGCGTGGCTTCTTTTGCACTCGCCGATTCGAGATGATCACCGAACCGGATTTGCCAGGAGACCAGGACATGGGCTCGAATTCCTGGCCTTCCAGTGCCAGCTCTTTGGGCGAAGAGATGCCGCGTGGCGAGGTCACGGTGAGTCGAGGTGGTGTGGAGCGTTTCTTGATCGTTGGGCTGATCTGGCCGGCTTGCGTGTCGATCTCGATCGAGCTTTGCGAGGTCTCTGAGGCTGAGTGAGCAGGCGGCGTGGACGAAGCGGTGGCGGAGATGGTTCGACGTTCCCGTATGATCTTGGAGAGCACTTCGACGCTCTTCATGCGTCGCATACTGAGATGAGAGGGTGTGGTGCAGGAGGCGTTCCGAGGTGCGACGGCGGGATCGGTTGATAGGAAAGGCAGGGCTGGGCCGGACAAGAGCTTCGCCACTGCGTCGTCGTCGGATTGCGTCGCGAGGAATGCAGAAGGCTCTTCGGCGGTAGCCTGATCCGACTGACTGTGGTTCTCGACGGACGCGGTGCCTGCAGAGTCGTCGTTGTTTTCAGCCACTTCTGCTGTGCCGGCTTGCGCCTTTGCTGCGGCGGCTGCAGCTGCTGCCTCACGTCGTGTGCGTGATTGGTCCATCATCGCCTGCAGATCTCCCAGGGACTCTCTCCATGCAGCCCTCTCCTGTCTCCACTTGCGCTGACGACTGGGGCTGTTATGCGAAGGGTTGCTTGCTGGCCTTTTTTTGGTGGGACTCGAGAAGGCGTCAACTAGACCCGGACGCCTCTTGGCGTTGCCATTGGATGCTCCGTTCTGCAACGCCTTCCAGGCTTCTTCCGCATCGTGATCACCATTTGCAAGCTGTGAAGAGACCGCGGCATTCTTCCGGACAGGAGCCGTGCGTGACTTTGCGGACCTGTACGCGACACTCGCGGTCCAGACCGAGTTGTTGGATGCGGTTCTTTTCGTCTTGGTCGGCACCGCAGATGTCGATGCTGTTGACGCAGAGGTGGGCTCAGCTGTAGATGCCGATCCTGATGCTCGCGTGGACGATTCGGACTCGATCTGGTGCGTCGCGATTTGCTCGCTGCTGCCCGCCGGTACGGCGAGCGGGTCGGCGGCGTGAGAGTTTTCGGCAGGGATGGTGCCTGGACCGAAGAACCAGAGATTGGGGAACCAGCTCGATGTTGAGGCGGCCGCGTCAGGAAGCGGTGGCGCGTGAGCCTGCGCTGGAAGCTTGTAGTTGCGAGATGGCAGGCTTTTACTGGTGGATGCTTTAGGTGTCGAGCGGCTTGCAGTACCCTTCTCAAAGGCGCGTCTCAGCTCGCAAGCAGCAAGCGAAGGTGAGTCTGAGGAGAAGTCATCGACGAGCCTAGGCTTCCTCGGTGGAGTGGCGAGCTTTTTCGCAAACATGCCTGCTAGCGATTGGCGGTCGGGTGTGACGATCCGCGTCTCTTTGTAGCCGGCTCGTTCCAGGAGCTCGTGAAGACTGTCAAAGTGTGATTCGGACGCGCTGGATTCAGACGGAGTAGCGACGGCGTCAGTGCGATACGATGGCTGAGCTCTACGCCGCAGTGTGGTTGAAGACGATGCTGCTGCCTCTGCGCGGTAGATATCTGCTCGAGCTTCGTTGGCAGTAGAAGGTGTGCAGTGTGAGGCAGCGATGGCGTCGGGTGTGAAGGAGGGAGTGAAGCTATCGGTGCTGGTGTAGCTGGCACTGCTGCCGCCAGCGATGCTAGACGGGCTGAAGGTGGGATCGGGAGAAGTGGTTGCAGACGACGAAGGAGCGGATGGAGGATGGACTTGCGGATGATGATGACGGCCGCGATACGGCGAGGAGCCCAAGGAGGAGTTCATTGGCCTGCCTGAGGTTGGACTCTGAGTGTGTACATTACAATCGTACCTTTCACCGAGTCTAGCTGGACAGCCAGCATAAGCGACGGTCGTGGTAGTGGAGGAGGACGAGGAGGAGAGGCACTTCAAGATGCCAGCAGAGCCACGTCCGAAAAAACACACAGCAGCAGTCGGCTTGGCCGAGCTCTTGTACTCTGTCGAACTTTTAAGCGCTTCGGTGTAGATCCAGGGTCCGACGCTTTGGATCTGCAGCCAGACGGTGTTCGCTTTCGACAGGACAATGACAGAGGCGAGCTGCGGTCTAGGTCTCTATCGCACCGTCCTCTTTCAGCACTCGCTTGTTCGTATAGGAGCTCACCTCAAAGCGAAGGCAGGCTGTGAGTGGTCCAGTCAGTTGATACAGCTGAACCTCGAGCCTGTGTGTGTTTTGCAGTGCCATGTTGAGGATTCGCACGCGCGTGTTGCATTGCTGCCCCTCGAAATCCGAGAAATGTCGTGCAGCAGCGTCGCATCGCATCGGACCGCATCGAAAGTGCAGCTTCGCTCACCTTCTGCGCAGCTCGGTAAAGTCGGGTCTGAATGCGTAGCAACACAAAGCAAGTCCACAACCTGTCAAAAGGTAATACCGAACGGTGGTGCAGCTCGACGATGCCACGCTCGACGGCGTTGCAGTCGGAGCTTGGCAGCAGCTTCCATTGGTCGTTCCACGTCGGCTTGAAGGTGACGAAGGATGCATATCAGAATCATACAGTACCACGAGCGAGACATCTCACCTGCGACTAAAGTCTGCGAGGAGAGCGCGACACAGCGCCGAAGTGCAGCATTGCTGTCTTTCCATCTGCGTTGCTTGCATTCGACGTGCATGACCGCAATGTGACTCTCGTGTCGAACCGAACGCAACGAGCCAAGAGAATGCATAATTTGAGGCTTTCAAGACGCGCCGCGCGACCGAGCATGCACGAGACTTCGAGGCTGCCTTGATCTGACACAGATCTCCCGATATTCTAATTTTCAGATTAGATTCTACCGATTGTTGTTGATTGGTTTGGAGTACCGACTTTCCCGTTGTGGAGTTTTTTTGCGAAAGTCAGCGAGCACGCCATCCAGCGTTTTCTGACGTGACGGCTTCCTCCTGCCTTTGCACTTCAACTTGTGCGAAATTTTCTGGCAGCAGCGCGCGTCCTTACTAACCCCGCCAAAGTTCCAGTCAGCAGGCTGTCGGCGTCCCACCTTGGAGGTGCTTTGCCGAAACTCGATGGATCGACGGATGATGAGCACTCGGCGAGACTCTTTGCTGACCGCACGGTTTGCCCTCTGCCTGACCTCGCACCAAGCTGGCTTCGCAATGTCTGACTGGCAGCTCAGCCTCGACAAAGTATGCGACTCTTTCTTGCTATTGCTGACTATGATGACAAGCATGTTCAGAAACCACTACAATCGGGTGACGGCGATGAGCGGCGCAAGCTCAGGATCGGCGCAGCGGTCGCATGCTCATACGACACAAAGCGCGAAATTTGCGGCAGCTGCTTGCTTTGTCCAAGTTTTTTTTTCTCCCGCCTCCAACATGCAAAGCCGTTCAGCAGCCATGTTCTTCCATTGCCTGCCTGGGGTTTCGGTTGTGCAAAGCGAACGCCCGGACATCGCAGTTCCAAACCTTCTCAGATCCTATCCCCGAGCCAGCCAGCCTGCCCCGCCTTGCCTTGCCTGCCTGTCTGTGGTGACTAAAGTGATGCTTCTCCTGTGACTGATGAATGCTGCCGCTTCCTTGCCGCTGACGGTGGGTTCAATGCTCGACTCTCTGAAGCTTGTACAAAGCCTGCACGGTCATCACCTGTCCTCCTACTGTGCATACCTCGTCTCTGTTCCCTCTCTACCACCACGACCACGTCCACATCCGCATCCACATAGACATCCTTCAGTCTCATCATACAATCTTCGCTGAACTTCGACGTTCCATCCATCCCGACCCGTACATACGAGCAACACATCCTCCGCGTCGCCGCACAAACGACATCACTGCGATCCTCTCTGGTGTCCACATTTACACGTTCTCACCCCACACAATCGTCCACCATTGAAAACATTCTCGTAGACTTGTCCAGCATGACCGCGCCCAGTCAGACCGCACAATCATCAAAACAGGCCGAAGAGGAGGCTCAGATCCGCCATGTCATCCAGAACCTCGAAGCCATCAACCGCAAGCTTGGTGAAGCCGATCCCACCGAGATCATCGAATGGGCGATCGACAACCTTCCCGGTCTCTACCAGACCACCGCTTTCGGCATCACCGGTTGCATCACCGTCGACATGATCTCACGCATCTCCGAACAGCGTGCTGCCAAAGCCGGCGTGCCTGCCAAGCACCTCGTCCCCCTCATCTTTGTCGACACGCTATACCACTTCCCTCAGACGCTCGATCTGGCCCACAAGGCCGCCAAGCACTACAACGCCGAGATGTTCACCTACTACCCTCCCGGCACAAACACCGTGCGCGAGTTCGAGGACAAGTGGGGACCACAACTATGGGAGAAGGACGAGGACACGTACGACTACCTGGTAAAGGTGGAACCTGCCCGTCGATCTTACGAAGAGCTCGGCGTACGAGCCGTATTCACCGGTCGTCGTCGATCTCAGGGTGCCGACCGGGCCAGCTTGAAAGCGGTCGAAGTGGACGAGACTGGGTTGGTGAAAGTCAACGCACTGATGAACTGGTCCTTCGGTCAAGTGGACGCGTACGCGAAAGCGAACGCTGTGCCTTACAACGAGTTGCTCGATCTGGGATACAAGTCGATCGGCGACTGGCACTCGACAGCGCTGCCCGGTTCGGGCGACTCTGGTGAACGCGCTGGCAGGTGGAAGGACAAGGCCGGCAAGACCGAGTGCGGCCTGCACAAGGATTACTTCAAGATGAAGAACCTCGCAGAGAAGAAGCTGCGTGAAGCAGAGCTCGCACGCAAGGACGAGGCCAAGGACAAGATCGCTGCCGAAGCACAAAGCGCCGCGCCAGCCGCCGTCGTATAGAGCATGTTCTTTGCTTTGCACCTCGTACATTTCCCAATGAACCCAAAAGGATCTTCCTGTACGCCGCCACAGGCATCGACTGGAATCCACGCTAGAACGAAACGCATAAGCATTGTCGCTCGACTCTCCTTCTTCTTCGCATGTAATCGTATATATCCACACTCTACAGTGTTTCACCTATTCGCAAAACCAACAGCAGCAGTCTGTATTGAATTGACCACAGCATGCACGTCGGAACGCACATGCGTTTGAACGCAGTCCGGCGAACATTCACAGTTGAGCTGAGTGACAGGCGAGACAGCAGTGATTGCTAAGCCAGCGATCTGATCTGATCGGATCGCCCGATTCCAACAAGCTTCCTTCGCACTCGGGGAAGACGATTCAGGGGAAGGTATACTTCGGGCATCTCCGACAAGGATCCCATCTGACAGGCACCTTAACCTCATAGTAAGATTGTCAAAGACATTTTCATTGGACGGCTGGAAGCGATGATGCGCATTCGGCACCCCTTTGCTGTAAGAAAAGTGGGCAAACTAGGCGGTTGTAGCCTTGAAAGCAAGGCAAGCAAAAGCGACACAAACAGCCGAGCTCATGCTGGAGCGGTTGTGCGTCCCGGGAACGGCGCAGTTCCAATGAGGATGTATGTCTATCGCATCGCAGGACTCTGCCCTGCGAGCGAACGCATTGACAGGAAGAAGAACCCTTCGCAGAATGTGGTTCCACAAGCTCCCGAAGTGTCAAAGGACCAGCCAGGTGTGTAGGCGCGTGCGAGGTTGCCAAATCTCGGAGATCGCCGTGACTAGGTTTCTCCCTCTCTGCTGTGCCTTTTTGTGTTTTTCTCTCAGAGTCACCCCCCACAGAGATCCCTTGCCATTGTGTGTGCGACTTATCGCAGCTCGCTCTTTGCAGCAGCAGACAGCTTTCTCTGATTGGTTTGCTTGCACGCACGCAGCACGAGCAAGGAGGGATCTCAGGGCCCCGCATCCTCTGTACCGGTGACGCTTTGAAGGTCTGCAGACATATAACAAGCTCGAACTGAAGTAGGTCCGTTATTTATACAACGTCCACATTTGCATTCGCTTTCTGCTCCTTTCACCCTCTCAACACGTTGCTCAGAGCCAGCCCGAGTTGAACTCCACGTAACCTCTGACCTCCTCAGAAAGACGCATTGCCGCGACCCACCTGACAACAGAAAGATCGTGGTATCACCGGAAAGAATCTCGACGACCACCGACAATCGCAACGCGTGACTCCCCCACGATCTTGCTATCTCTTTGCTCTGCTCTCCCCGAACGCCAGCTTATCTCGAAAAAGAGGCTTGAACAACATCCGCGTTCTGCTGCCCAAAAACTCGGATCGTCGGAAATTTCGTTGAGCGAAGACGCGGCCAAAAAAATCAAAAGTTGCCAAGCAGCACGTTGGCAAGTTTAATTTTGACTCTGCATGGCACGGATCACACCAAAAGATACGGACCGTACAAGCTCAGACTCTTGACGCAGTGCCTGCCGAATCCGTGGGAACCCTCTCTGGAAGCCTCCCTTTCTCTCTCTCTCGTGTTTTCTTCTCGTCAGCGACTCACACCCGACTGTCACATCAGTCATCGTTCGGAAGGACCGATCGATCAACCGACGCGAACCGAAGGAAGCTCAACTGTCACACGCATCGGACTGTCACCTGCTGCTCTAGAAATAGACTGGACGAGGAGCTAGAAGAGGAGTCATCATGACGATCGCACGCCCCAATCTTCGTCCGCCTTTCGGAGGCAATGGACACGTGAGTAGACGACACGACCGGTTGTCGACGCTTGATGCCGCTGCGCTCATTACCTCTTCCGACCCGCCATCGCTTCTGCATTGAATTGCTTTGCTGACCGAAGCCTCGCCTCTTTCTTCATCTTGATCCTTGGCTCTGTTCTACCCCTCTTCAAACGAACGCGACCTCGATGGGCACGTCTCACCTGCAACGACATCGAATGCTGCCACCCGTCTTCACTGTCATACCACACAACAGCCGACCTCGGCATCGGAGAACTTCCGGCCAGCTATGCCAGCGCCCCATCTGCTGCCGAAGCGAGTCTTTGTCGGCGCCATCATCAGCTCGCGATCAGCCACCGACCTGAGCATCATCGAACGCGGAATTCTCGGCGTCGGCTCGGGCGGTGTCATCCGCTTTGTGGAGGATCTCGACGTGCTCGAGCGACAACTCCCTCGCCCTGCCTCTCTGTCCAACGCAAGCACCGGGACACCCTCGACCGAATCGTCGGCCTCGACCGCCTCAAGTAGCACCGCCGAGGATCGCTCCTCTACACCCGTACCCATCCCTGGCTCCACCCAGTCCACGCTTCAAGATGCACCGGAACTCACTTCCTTGGAAATGCCACCCCCTGTCGTCCCCTCACGTCATCCCACCACCAACGCTCCAAGTCACCTCGACGAGGCATCGCAACGCGAGCAGCAGCTCATCAAGCACGTCCTCGACAAGCACGGCTGGCGCAAGGGTCAGTACAAGCTCACACGCCTCCCGCCCGGCAGCTTCCTCTGCCCTGGCTTCATCGACACACACACTCATGCCTGTCAGGTGCCCAACATCGGCCTCGGCCAGCAGTACGAGCTGCTCGACTGGCTTCAGCATGTCACCTTTCCACGTGAGAGGAGGTTCGAAGATGCCAGGTACGCTCGCAAGACGTACGAGTCGGTGGTGCAGCGTCTCATCGATTCAGGTACCACCACGGCGTGCTACTATGCTACCCTGCACCTCGAAGCGTCCAAGATCCTTGCCGAGATCTGCAACGAGCGAGGTCAGCGTGCCTTTGTGGGAAAGTGTCAGATGGACCGCAACTCGCCCATCGACTACATCGAGAAGAATGCATCGCAGTCGATCGAGGATACCAAGGAGTTTGTACGCTTCACAAGGAGTCTCAGGCCGTACGGACAGCCGCCCGACGTCTCTTCGCCTTCCATGAGCCCCGCTGATCTACACAGCACTTCACCCGAGATGGACGCCAGCATCGCTCGTCTCAGCGCCACCATGGACGAACTCATGTCGCCTACAGGCAGCAAGCCGCCTTCAGAAGCCGGCGGCAGTCCTTCCTCTGCCAAGAACAACCCTGCCATCAAGTCGCTTTCCACCACATCAAGGACAAGCGTACCGGTAGTAAGGCAGGCTAGCAGCGGCAGCATTCGTTCCGCCCGCGAAAGCGGCGCCTCGACTCCGTCCAGGCAACGAGAACGCGAGCTAAACAATGCGCTCGTCCAACCCATCTTGACGCCACGTTTCGCCATCTCGTGCACGGATGCCATGCTCACCGGAATCTCTGCACTGCTCTCTCGCGATCCCACTTTGCGCGTTCAAACCCATCTCAGCGAGAACGAGGGCGAGATCACCTTCACAAAGCAACTCTTCCCCTTTGCCAAGAATTACACCTCCGTGTACGACCACTACTCCCTGCTCGGTCCACGCACCATCCTGGCCCACGCGGTGCATCTCGACGCCGACGAGCTCGCGATCATCAAGAAGCGCAAGTGCGGCGTTTCGCATTGCCCTACGAGCAATCTCAACCTGAGATCGGGTGCGTCCCGTGTTGGAGAGATGCTCAACATGGGCATCAAGGTTGGACTGGGTACGGACGTTTCCGGTGGTTTCGGACTGGGTATGCTATCGGCGATCAGAGAGGCGAGTGTCGTCGCCAAGGTACTGGCTTTCCAACGCGCTCAGGCCGAGTCGAAGGAGAAGGAGGAGCAGAACGCGCTCTCGGCCACAGCTCCACCGACGAGCGAGCAGGCAGCTCAGCAAGCGCAGCAACCGCTCGCCGGTGCAGCCGCTGTCGATGGACGATACGCTGGTCCCCCCGTGGCGGGTCAGTACCAGCCTAGGAAACCGCACTCGGTCACCACCTCGAGCCTCAACACGGTCGAAGTCTCGCAATCCGTCCAGGATCCCGCCTCGTCGCTCACCAACAGAGCTACGGTCGACTTCACCAAGGGTCCGCTTAGCATCGCCACCTTGTTCTACCTCGCCACGCTCGGCGGTGCCGAGGTATGTGCGATGGTGAGCAGGATCGGATCGCTCGATGTGGGCAAGGAGTTTGACGCGCTGCTCGTGCAGACGACGAGTCACTGGGGTCCCGCGGGATACACGGGTAACCCGGGATGCTTTGTCGAAGAGGACGATACGTTGCCGGACGTGTTCGAGAAATGGATGTTCACGGGTGACGACAGGAACATCGGGACCGTGTTTGTCAGGGGCCGAGTGGTGGGTGGTGCTAAGCCGTTGCGGGAGTAGCGGAAGGAGGGTTACGGATTGTAGATTCTTTTCGATCTTTAGAAATGCATTGTATTGCGTTGCCATCTGTCACCACTTTGGAGACTGTGTGATGCGTGAGTAGTTGCAGCATAGGCTTGAGTTGAGAAGCACGGCGTGCATATCATACCTCTGAATCCATTGGCGAGGTTACGTTCGGAGACGGCTTGCTGAAGATCCGATCCATTGGCATTGCACCCTTTCCCTCTGAGCTAAGAAAATATCAGGGCGGCTCGCACGGCCTTCATTCGCGGCTGTCAGCGGAGGTCTTCGGGAATTTCATTTTTCAGGTAACAGGTTGGAAGGGTCCCTCGCTCGACCTCCACGTTGCTCTTTCGACACCTCACCATCATACCAGCTGCAGCAGTTACACAAAGGCTCTTTCAGGTGACAGGATGCCGCCACCTGCACCGCCGAGAGCGACGGTCGAAGAGATCTCGGACGACGACGATCCCTATGCACCCTACCGACCCTCACAACCACGTTCACGCACGCCTTCGTCCAGCACCACGTCTTCGTCATCAACTGCTTCCTCCTCTTCATCTTCATCGACCGGTCGAACATCGACTTCGACGCACACTCGCTCTTCTCCCAGTGCATCTTCCGCTCGCGTGCCAAGTGCGTCCGAAGCATACTCGCAGTCGCCATCCTCCGGAACCCAGGGCACGTTCCCTCGCGCGGGAGGGGATGAAGAACCACTGTTCGGCGGTCGACCGTTCCGCGATTCGCATGCCTCTTCCTCTTCCTTTCCCGCTACTGACTCCACGAATCGAAGCACGGACAAGACCTACCTGTACACAATCCTAAACGTTCCCGTCGACGCCTCGGCCGAAACGATCAAAGAAGCCTACCGGTCGCTAGCGGTAGTGCTGCACCCCGACAAACACAAAGATGCCTCGCGCAAAGCCGCCGCCGAATCCAGGTTTCGAGAGGTGCAACGTGCCTACGAGATTCTCTCCGACCAAGAGAAGCGGACGATCTACGACTATTTTGGCGAAGAAGGGTTGAAGTCGACGTGGTCGGTGGCGGTGAGGGGTAGGAGTGCGAGGGAGATGCAGGAGGAGATGGAGAGGGAGAGGAGGAGGAAGGAGGTGGCGGATGCCGAGGCGCTCGTGAAGAGCAAGGGTGATTTTACGGCGCACATCGATGCTAGTGCGATGTTTGCGCCGGCGAGCAGGATCGCAAGGCAGGCAGCTTCGGGAGGTCCGATGTCGGCGCAGCAAAGAGCAGCCGTAGGTGCGAACAAAGACGCAACACCAGGAATGCCTGTACCGAAGACCTTCCCACGCCCGATCACCTTCGCCGACAGGATCGCCAGAGTAGGCTGTACCCAACTCATCGGCAAACACGGCTTCGAAACCCAAGTCACCCCCACCACCTCCGCCACGTTCTCCGGCCAAATGGTCTCCCGCAACGGCCTCGGCGGCGGCAACCTCGTCGGAACCGTCAAAACCCACTGGTCACCTCGCCTCTTCACCGAACTCACGCTCTCCTTCCTCCGCCCGCAGATCATCACCACCAAGGGGCAGTTCACCCTCGACGCCAGCTCGTTCTTCTCCTGGCAATCCACCATCCAGACGCTGCTGATGCCTCCGACGCTCAACCTGACGTACGGCCAGAGGTTGTCGAGCAAGAGCAGTTTGACCGGGTTCACGAGTGTCAGGAGTGGAACGTGGAGTGTGGGGAGATGGGGCGGTGCGGGGATGAAGGAGGGGATGATGGTGAGGCGGGAGCCGGCGGCGGTGAGTGTAGGGTTGACGAAGCAGGTGGATGAGGGGAGCGGGTGGACGGTTCAGACGAGTGTCTCTACGGGGGATCAGAATGTCTCGGTGGATTATGCGCTCAAAGTGTTGGGTGGGGTCAAGGTCAGGACAGGGTTCAACATGGGTACGGGATCAGGGGTGAGTGCGTTCAGTTCAGCGGAGCGACGGTTGACGGAGAACGTAAGGCTATCCCTCGGTCTCACTTGCTCGTTACCGGTTGGAGGGGTGACATTGAGGGTAAAAGTGAACAGGTTGGGACAGAAGATCTTAGTCCCGATCATGTTGAGTCCCGAATTCAGATCGGATCTGGTGGTGCTCTTCACCGCGGTCCCCGCAGCAGCGTACACCGCTTTGCACTGGGGCTATCTGGAACCGAGGAAGCAGAAACGATTGAAGAACAGGCTGGGCGAACTGCGAAAGGTGAATCGGGAGGTGATCGTGGAGAGGCGGCAGGCGGCGGTGGAGGCGAGAGAGGTGCTGAAGGACCAAGCAGTGAAGCGCGCGAGGCAGGAGTTTGATCGAAACGGACTGGTGATCCTGGACGCATGGTACGGGCGGAAGGAGTCTTTCCCGGCATCCAGGGATGGACTTGCATCAGAGGCAGAGAGCATCTGGACCGAGGTCAAGAATGATTCTCCTTCTCCTGATGATAGTGCAGATTTGGAGAAGGAAACTTGCTGGGACGTCAAGATTCCGCTGCAGGCGTTGACCGCCAGATCGCAACTCATCATCCCGGGTTCGAGGTCGAAGGCGAACCTGTTGGGATTCCACGACCCGGTGCTAGGAGAGAAGAAGCATCTGTTGGTGAGGTACAGCTTCAGAGGGTCGCTGCACGAGGTGCTGGTGGAGGACCTGATGGAGCTGGCCTTGCCGATGCGCATCCATCAGGTAAGTTGAAGAGGTCGAGCTTCGGACGATCACCACTCTTTTTCTGTACGAATCGCTAATCTTCCGATCAAGAAGCTCGTCACAAGCGATAATGATGTGTGCGTTTGCTGTGTGAACATCTGGCATCGCCATGCATCCAGCCATCCCGCTCACACACTTGCACGGTCTTGAACCATTTGAGGACACGACAAGTGGATGAATTTCGATTATCACTGCATCGCCGACAACAATGCCTTCAGACCATCAACGCTCGCATTCGCCTCTCCTGCATCCCCTTCCGCCCCCTCCCTGATATTCACTGATCCCGTCAGCCCATCCTCAAGATGATCCGCGATCGCATCCAACCACAAGTCCCACTTCCCTGCTCCCGCCGTCGTGCCCTTCCTGGTCAGTAATGCGCTTCTGAACCTGATCAACTTCAACGCCAGCATGTCCAGAATCTGTCTCGAAGTGACATTCATCCGCCTGCTCGCTAGCAGCGATGTTGACGTGACGATCGAAGCGACGAGGGCGGCATCTGAGCCTGCGTCCGCTGATGCTTCGGTAGCGCGAGGCGTGGGTAGAGGAGGAGTCGACGGTTCGTCGTCGAACAGGTCTGCTTCGCCGGCGTGGCTCGTAGAGGCAGCAGGAGCCTTGCTGGCCATTCCGTTGGGGGCGTCGGTCTTGGCGAGCGAAAGGATCCGCTTTGCCAAGGTATCGTCGCCAGCTCCTCGTGGAGCCTCGGATGCCCCGATTAAACCTAGCATCAACCCGATGCTGCGGACGACATTCTTGATGGCACCCTCTTCCACTTCGCGCAAATCCAGCTTCTGTACGAACCTGAGCGGGGCGATGAGATCAGTAGCAGGCGATACGAGGCACAGCCAAGCAGCCAAAGCCTTTTGATCTCTTCCCCTCTGTCCGATCTCCCCCCTCGACAGCGCACCAACGATCCGATCCAGCCTATTGGACGAACACCTGGCAACCATCGACACAAGCTTGGAATCCTGCTGACCAACAAGCGACTTCAACCAGGACCCTTCACTTTTGCTCAGCAACTCCGCTGTGATCCCCGCGCCTTCCATTCTCGCCTTGAGATTCGCCAGGTTGAAAGTTTCGCACCCAGCAGCCAACGTCGCTGCTGCCGTTGCATCCGCCCCGATCGCGGTGACGAATCCATCGAAAGCCTTTGCAATCAACTCCCTCACACTCGCCGGACAGGCATCGGTGTCCACGAGCAACGCCAGCACTTCCAAACACACCGTCCTCGACGTAGCGTTTCTCGGCAGTCCATTCGCCAGCGTTCCATCGCTGCTCGGCACGTCCGCCACCGACGATTGCAGTCCGGAATCCGACAAGAAGTCAAGAATCGGCTGGAGCGGCGTCCGCGTGATCTCGGACAGCAGCCAGATGAGCGCACCTGGAAGAGCGAACGAGAGAAGATCTTGGAGAAAGTAGCTGAGTCCGCCACGAAGCGTTTCCAGGTCGATGATGCCGTGCTGACAGGCAGAGATGCTCTGCGAGAAGAGGAGCGGAGACAGCCGGAGAAGAGTCGTTGGAGGCGAAGCCGAGATGAGATCGTCCGAGATACCTTCGTTGCCGAAAAGTGCATGGACCCAGCGGGAGACGAGGCCTCGGTCTTCCTCAGAGAGCGCGGTGAGAGGGTAGCTGACCGACGATGTTGCGAGATGCGTCGCCAGGAATGGCGATCCGGACTTGTCTGATGGAGCGTAGGTGTCGTCCATGTTCATGTCGGAATTCGGCGACGTATAGCGCGAGATGTCAGAAGGCGCGATGGTGTATCGATAGCAAAGCAACTGCACGAACAGCAGAATATTGGATAGGGTAGACGGCTCGTCGCTGGTCTGACCGAGGTCTTGGTGGTCCAAGATGCTCGCTAGTGGATCTAGCAATTGAACAGGTTCAATGTAGATCATGACGGTATCCAGCATCGCACCGCCTTGGCAGGCTTCCTCAGTCAAGGCTTTGGACCACCTTGCGATGCTTTCGAGATCATGCTGCTCAAGCCAGTCCTGCATTTGCAGAACAAGCTGGCGCGCGAAGATAAACTGGGTGCCCGGGTCCGATGCAACCCTTTGCAGCAGTTCCACTGGGTCGTCTGTAGAGACCCTTGTCTCGAAAAGCGTGTCGAGCGCGAGTCCTTCGAGCTGTGCATCCATTCGGAGCGATTGCGTCAAACTCTGTACCTCGGAGGCGAGCTTGTGTCCGTCCGGAAACTCGTCTGCGATCGCTTCTGGTCGAGCCAGCGAGTGCTCGATGCACGCTCGCAATAGCCAGGCCTTGATAGGTTGTGAGGGCGGCGTATCCAGCCCGAGGACATCTGTCATCGCATTCGCGTCGACTCCTGGCGCATCGCCACCGCTTGCAAGAGCAGCACTAGCATGTGCATGTGCCTGTCCAGTAGCACTCTCGCACGTGTTTAAACGGTTCGCCATGACGAGCAAAGCAGCTCGCAATGCAGCTTCGAGGCGAACGTGCGGTGCCTCGAGCCTTTGTCCCCGCAACGGCAAGTTTTGGTCGCCGTCGAGCCACTGCTCGAGCTGGAGGACGAGTTCGGGAATCATTCCGCAGAGGGCGTTCCTCCAGATGGCGGCATACACCTCTGCACCCTTGAACGCCGGTGGCGTCTCGACGACGGTGGCGCAAGCATCGATGCCCGCGATGAGCAGCTCAAAGTAGAAAGCGGTGAGCGACTTTTCGAGTGTCGATGACGGTGGAGCGGCGTTTCGACGCGCAAGGAAGAGCTTCTTGACGGCATTCAACTTTGCGTCCCAAGATGCGTGTCGATCGACGAGCAAATGCATTAGAAAGGCCACCTCGGGTTCCACGGCTGGCTTTTGAGATGATGCGAGGGTTGTCGTGTCTAGGAAATGGTCCCACGTCGCTCTCTGCTGAGCGTCTTGGAGTGTCTCGACTTTCCTCTTGGCGGGATGCAAAGGCACCTTTGAGGTGGTTGCCTCGGAGAAGCTCTCGCTGATCTGATTGATGACGCCAATTTGGCTGGTGAGGGAGCGCAAGAGCGCAATCTCGTCCTTCCACGCTGGATCCATGGACTGGAGCACGACTTCGATCTCGGCGACAGAACTCTTGCCGGTAGAGCGCATTCGCTGCAGAAGGACATCGTCCGGCTTGGACCTGTGATCTTTGGATGTTTGCGCCTCCGACAAAGCTTGTGTAACGTTTGCGAGCAGAGCCTGGGCGACATTGACGAGCACGGTGATAGCGACGCGTGGAGCAAGCAAGTTTTGCGGAGATGCAATGCTGGGGTCGGCAGCAAGCCCAAGTAGTCGAAGATTGGCGACAACAAAAGCAAGCGATGCGATGGTGGTCTTGCCGTCCCTTACCCCATCCTGATTGTGCTGCTTTGGAGAGCTCGACGGATCGACCTTGTCTTCCGCGGAATCCACGAACAAGTGCTGCAGCAGAGCGAGGAAGGTAGGACTAGAAACACCAAAAGGCGCAGGTGCTTGAAAGGTCATCAGAAGCCCCTGACCAACGACGGAGGATATTGTCTCGATCGCCGATACGTTGTTGGGTGTTGCTTGGACGTTGGCGAGGAGGTGAAGAGCGACGGTCATGACGTCGGTGAGAGGTCCTTGATCGGGCGAGACACCCGAGCGGTTGGCGCTGCCATAGATGAGTGCCTGCAAGTACTCAACCAGCAGTGGATCGACGAAGGGTTGCGAGAGCATGTGCTTGACAAGGCACTCGGCTGCGTGCGAGCCCGCCGGGATCGAAGCGGGGTCATGTTGGTCGCTGTCATTCTGTGCTGTGCTAGTGCGTCGTATGAGTTGATGGAGCAGGGAGAGCCACTTGGATTGAGGCAAACGCCTCGCCAAGGCTTGCAGGAGCAGCTTATGTATGAGCTGATGGGCATCGCTTGCCGACATGTCGGCTGTTGGCGAGCACTAGGAATCCACTGCTGAGCTGGTCGGGGTTGTGTCACGAGTCATTGGACGATCAAAGGTGGTGATTTGACTAACAGGCAGCAGCAATAGAGGTGAGTGGCGCCGATAATGCCAATGGTGCTGACTGGGTACGAGTGAGTATTCAGAGTGCAGGGGTAGTTGCGGTGAGTCGAAGCGTACGAGATTCTAAAGACGCTTGAAGTCAGTAGAGGTGGATAGTCTGACGAGGTTGTCAAAGGGTCTTCTGAAAGTGAATGGAATGGATCCATGATCCGAGCTTCTTTGGCGAATTTTGCAGAGTGTTACGTCGAGAGGGTCTCTCCTTGTCTTGGATTTTTTCACTCAAGGGTCACGAGAACAGCTGCGACCTTAGACGGAGGCCGCGGCTCAATGTCACACGAAGCAGGTCTGAGCCTGCAGTTTGTACCGCAGGATGAGGTCATGCCGTCTCTGGGGCTCACACGACAAGCTCGCTGGCCCTCTTTCCCACGATGCGATGGATGACCGATGACAGTCAGCAGGTTCAGAGGCAGAACAGCGATCCGTGTCAAGACTGCGAGCTATGGTACACCTTCTCGTCTGCCTGGTAGTATCGCGGCCAGATGGATGAGACGGCCATGGCTGCCGAGATCCACACGACAGCACGGTACAGTAGTCGGCTCGCTCTGTCCCGGCCAAAGGAGGGAAGCCAACGTTCCTCTCAAATTTGGGGGTTTGGCCGAAAGCGTGGCTACGACAGGGACACGTTTTTGCAGCCCGCTCAAATTTGGACCTTTTCGGATGTGTCGGAGGGCCCGAACTGCATACTGTTGTACTCTGCAAGTCACACTCGAACTCGAAAGCCGAGTGGGGCTCTGCGCCGCTGTGTGACTTTAAAAAGAGCTTAGATTCCAGAATACGGTGGTCGGCTCACTTTTGCGGCAGAGGTGCAGCAGCTCTAGGTAACTCAGTCCTTCACCTCGACCGTCCATCGTTCCGTCGTGGCCAGTCCTGCTTCCTCCTTCAACCACCATCTGCCCCGCCCTTTTCGTAGGAGGTTCCGACGCGATCCACCGTACTTGCTTCGCTCGACCTTTTGGACTGAGCCTGGGTTTGGAGTAGACGACGCAGCTCGCTCCGCCTCCGACAAGCTTACATCGGCACCACTCCATCATGTCAACCCCAAATGGTAACGGCAAGGCAAGGGCCATCCCCTCGCCTCGTCTCGCCACCGCCGACACCTCAGCTTCCACTCCCATCCGATCGCCTTCGCGTACATTCAACGAGGGCCTTGGTCACGCCTCTCCCTCGCTGCCCAACATTCCGCCACGCGTAGGCTCGCCATCGGGAGAGCCTCTCAACCTCTACTCCACATCGCAGCAGCAGCGTCACGATTCTTCCAACTTTCCTAGATCATTCTCCATCGACCCGCCTTCGCGTGACAGCGCTTCCCTCGCTCCCCCCAACGCTGACTCCGCCCTCTCGACACCCAGCAACATCGACAACCTCGACTCTTTCCCCTTCTCGGACGAGCGCAAGGCACGCATCATCGAGAGACACCTTGCCCGACCTGACGCCAACCGCGACTCGATCTCTGCCGCTTCTATCCCATCCACCGAGCACACCGACGAGGACGACGAAAACGACGACAGCCGAGACGCGCACGGCTCGTCGACCCCCAATCCTGCTGCCACGTTGGGTGCAGACGGCCCCAGCGGATCGCCCTCCGAGATCGTGCTCGAGGATGTAGATCAGAGCTACATTGGCCCTCATCAGATGCAAGGCGGTGCCATCACCGACGACGTCTATCGTTGGGCCCACAAGAATCGCAGAGTTTCGGCAAGACGTACCCGTAGTGAGAGCCTCCACATGCCTCGCACCGCCACCATCGACCCCGAGCTCGATGTTCAGGGTATCAAGGAGCCAGGTGGATTCCGTCGATTCTTCGTCATCAACCAGGCTCAAGAGCAGGGTCGCCCACCTCCGAGAGCGCTCCGCAGCTTCATTGATTTCCTCAGCTTGTACGGTCACTTTGCCGGAGAATTCTTGGAGGAGGATGACGAGGACGACGACGACGACGACGACTATGAAGAGAACGATGATGAGCGCGCTATTCCTGGAACCAGCCGAGCTGCCGGCAATGGCGACACTGAAGATTCGGGCCTTCTTCGTAGACGCAGAGGACTGCAGAGAAACGATACTCAGGCACGTATGCGCAAGGCCAGCAAGGAGCGTCGCCGCGGTGAGGCAACGGTGCTCGATGCTGTCATGATGCTGCTCAAGTCGTTTGTCGGCACGGGTGTGCTCTTCCTCGGCAAGGCCTTCTTCAACGGAGGTCTGCTCTTTTCCACCTTAACGCTGTGCGCGGTCGCCATCATCTCGCTCGTCTCGTTCCTGCTGCTGGTCAAGACCAACCTCAACTGTCCTGGCTCGTTCGGTGACATGGGTGGCATCCTCTACGGTGAGCGAATGCGTCTTGCCATCCTGGCTTCGATTGTCCTTTCCCAGCTCGGCTTTGTTGCTGCCTACACGGTGTTTGTGGCGCAAAACATGCAAGCTTTCGTCCTCGCCGTGACGCACTGCAAGACGCTGGTGCCCGTCTGGATGCTCATCCTCGGCCAGATGGCTGTCTTCTTGCCCCTCTCGCTCATTCGAAGGATCGCCAAGCTGTCGACGACTGCGCTCATCGCCGATGTGTTCATTCTGTTCGGTATCGTTTACCTGTTCTATTACGAGATCGGCAAGGTGGTCACGGATGGCCTGGCCGACGTTGTCATGTTCAACAGCAAGGACTTCCCGTTGTTCATCGGTACCGCAGTGTTTACCTTTGAAGGCATTGGCCTGATTATCCCTATCACCGAGTCGATGAAGGAGCCCGAGAAGTTCCCTCGCGCACTCACGGGTGTCATGGCAGGTGTCATGGTGCTCTTCGCTTCCGCCGGTGCGCTTTCGTACATGGCGTTCGGATCCAAGATCCAGACGGTGGTCATCACCAACCTTCCGCAAACGTCACGATTCGTTCAGGCAATGCAGTTCCTCTACAGCATCGCCATCCTTCTCTCGACGCCCTTGCAACTCTTCCCTGCGCTTGCGGTGCTCGAAAAGGGGATCTTCACCAAGAGCGGCAAGTACAACTGGAAGGTCAAGACCGAAAAGAATCTGTTCCGATTCTTGGTGGTGGCGGTGAGCTGTTTGGCGGCTTGGGCAGGAGCCAACGATCTGGACAAGTTCGTCTCATTGATCGGATCGGTGGCTTGCGTGCCGCTGTGTTTCATCTACCCTCCGCTGTTGCATTTGAAGGCGAACGCGACTAGGCCTGCGACCAAGGCTTTGAACTACGCCATGCTGGCGTTTGGAGTGGTGTGCGTGGTGTTTGCGGGAAGTCAGACGGTCAAGGCCATGTTGGAGAGTGGTCAGCCGAGTGGACCGCCGAAGTGTTCGCCGAAGTAGAGGGGGTTGGGGTAGAAGTGATTCAAGTTTGTAAGGGTTAAGGCGGAGGAGTGGTGCGAAAAGAACTTTCAATAGATGTGGGTCTCAAAGTGTGCGTTGGTCTTGTGCACATTCTTTCGCAGTTGTGCCACACAGCCTGTGAATGTCGATTAGAGCGAAGTTTTCAGATTACGAATTGATTCTTCTAGACATGATTCACCTAACAGCGGGCACTCTATCTAAAGCTTAGCCAAGACGTGGTCGGCGCCGCTGACCTCGACCGCGCCCGGGTTGGGTTCAGCGGCAAAGTCGACGACCTTGAGATCGTCTACGATGAGGGCGTAGCGACCGGTGCGTTGGCCGAAGCCCATGGCGCTGAGGTCGGCGGTGGCGTCGATGGACTTGGAGAATTCGAGGTTGAGGTCGGTGGCGAAGATGACCTTGTCCTCGGCTTTGTTCTGCACGCCCCAGGCGGACATGACGAAGGGATCGTTCTGGGCGAGGACGATGACGGAGTCGACGCCTTTGGATTTGAAGGAGTCGTGTTTGGCGATGTAGGGAGGGATGTGGTTGACGTGGCAGGTGGCTGTGCGAGTTAGCAGAAGATGAGAAGGAAAGAGGAGATTAGTCATGTGAGATTTTTAGGGGAGAAGATGGAGAGGTGCTAGAAGGACTTACGAGTGTAGGCACCGGGGACAGCGACAATGACAACCTTCTTGCCCTTGAAAGCTTCGTGCGTCTGAACCTTGGTAGGTGCACCACAAGCAGTGCCGTCGGCGAGCTCGGGTGCGTAAGGCACATACATGAAGGTAGTGTTGGGAATCTGGTCGCCCTTGGAGATAGCCTGACGCATCATCGAAGTTGCAAACGTTCGTGCGGCCATCATCCCAGAGATTGCAAAGGGGATTCGAGGTGCAGGAGGCGCAATGATGGAGGACGATCGACCGAAGATCAAACGAGTGGCCAAAGACGACGAAGATGAGGGTGAGGATGAGGATGAGGCAAAGGAGCAAGACGCAGCGGAGGTGGTGAGTCGCCTAATCGCGGGTGTGGAATGGAAAGCGCCGGCTCGCAAAGCGGGAAGCGTCGGAGCGATCAGTTGCTTGCTTACCATTTTTGCGATGTGCGTTCGTAAGGTTTGATATGGGGTAAAGGTAGTGGGGTGAGAGAGGTAGGGAGATGTAGATGATCGACGCCTGGCTTTTATGCCTCAGCTATCTGCCTTTAGGCTTATGCAGAGGCGGCAGGGAGCAGCAGGTGAGATGCCGCCGTTTGCCGAATGTGGTCCAAATTCTTGTGTCCGTGCGCTGATCCCCACCGAACTGCCATAAATTGTGTGGCTAGGTGCCAGGAAAAACAGAGCTTCTCGGCTGTTCGATGTCTCCATGTTTCGGCTTCTCCACGGCTTCGATCCGCCGAATGCGCTGTGTGGTAGAATGTTGAAGTTGTCTGCCATCGGGAATCGGTCGAAGTTTTTTAGACATCGGTCGATAAAGCCTGGCAGACCAACACTTTAGCGAGAACGCGCGCAGGCGGCTGCGAAACGCGTCTGAGCTGCACTCTGACTTTTGTCCAACCCTGATCCTCGCCCTTCGCTTGCAATCCCATCCCATCCGGCTCAGTCTGGGCTCCGTCGTGATGGCGCCTCTAGCAAAGCGACCGCGAACATCGGACGACTACGATCATGCTTCGGCAGTAATCGCAGGTGGAGGTGGGGCGTACTACGACAATGTTCCCGGTACATCCATGACCCGCCCCTCTGCGTCAGCACAAGCCTCCGCGAGCACCTCTGCTATGGCAGCACCTGGCATATCGTATCCATCTCACCTCTCCGCATACCCCGCTACGGCACTGAATGGTATCAACGGCTCTTCCGCCCTACCAGCGACGAGTCCGCGCCTCTCTTCGGCCAGGCCCACAGCAGCAACAGCCATCCCCAGCTCGGACAACGAAGAGATGGCGCCACCCAGAAGCTCGTCCACCACGACCGCCACCCGCGCCCGCGGTCGAGGTCGCGGTCGAGGCAGAGGTCGAGGTCGTGGAGCGATCGCATCCACCTCAGCCGTCGTACACAAAGTCGACCACGAACGTGACCCCACCGACGACACACCGCCCAATCCGCTCACATTCCAATGTCGGTCCTGCTTTCGACTTCTCGCCGACTCGCTGGCCTTTGTTGCGACCGATACGGAGCTCGGCTACGTGATCCTCTCGGACGTATCCGAGATTGTCAAACAGGACGCTTCGTACGAGACATCCACCGAACCGGGCAAGGACATTGGGTCGACATTCGCACGTCTCCGATGCGCCGGGTGCAACGCTACGGTGGGAAGGAACTACCGTACTACTCCGAAGGATTTGGACGACTTGAGGGATTGCTTTTCGCTCGAAGTGGATGCCATCTATACGTATCAGCTGGGTTCGAACTACACAAGGCAGATTGAGGAGGATGACGAGGCCGGTGGAGATAAGTCTGAAAGAAGATCCAGACCGACGAATGCAGTGGTGGAAGAAGACACAAAGACGTTGGTTAACAAGATGGAGAGGACTCGAGCTTTGACCATCGAACTCAGCGATCGGCTCATCAAAGCAGAGGAAGAGATCAGGCGGTACAGTGCGCTCGTCGATCAGCTCGTGAGCAAGCAAGATCCAGCGCCGGAGGCAGCACCAGCACACCAATCAACAAGCGCAGATCCAACCGCAACTTCCCCACTCGACTCAACAGAGCAGCTTCAACCCGCAACCACTACTCAGCAGCAACATCCTCCCACAGAACCATCGACACCGAACCCAGAAGACCCCCCAGCCGCATCAGAGCCGATCAAACCCGATTCCGTCTCATCACAGTCTTCGTCACTGCGCAAAGCGGGCGAGGTGGTTAAATCGAAGCCTGGACTACCGCTGAGCACGTCTACGCGAAGTACGAGGAGAAGCGGCTTGAGTCCTGCTCGGTTCTTTTAAAGCGTGTACTTGTATCAACTCATTCACCTCTTGAAACATCTCTCAGACATAGTGTCAGTCCTGTTCCTGGACGCTACAAGACCAGACGCCAACGTGTGTGGAGCAAGACTCTGCATTGCTAATCTATCTTCGCAGCTTAGCCCCGCTTTACGCCTTTGTGAGCGAAACCCTACGCAACGCGCGACAGATACCCATCGTACAGCTCCTTGACGAACTCCGGGTTGGTGTGAACCAAGCTGAGCAGTTCCGTGACGAATTCGCGTCTCGACAGCGGTTGGTTGTCGTCGCCCAGACCGATGCGGTCGCGGATGCCCTGTTCGATCAGCTCGGACATCTTGGGTGCAGTCTTGCATTCGGACGAGGTTTGTTCGGTCGAAGCTTGTGTTGAGGTGGGGTTGACGGGTGGAGTGGATGGTTGCGGGGTGTTGGTCGCGCCCAGTAGAGCTAGGAGGTTTTGAGAGTGGTTGGGTTGGGTTGACTGAGCAGCTGCTGGAGTGGTTTCAGCGGTGGTTGTGGTTGAAGAAGGTGCGGGGACGGCGTCGAGCGAAGCCTTTTGGAAGAGCGAGTCGAGCAAGGACGCACCGTTCGACTTTGGCTCCTTCGAGACCGCTTCTTGCGCCGGATTTGATGGTTCCTCTGCGACTTGAGCGCCGCTCTGCGATGGTGCGGCAGGTGCGCCAAACAGATCATCCAGATTGATCTGTCGACCCACCTCGCTATCTGTTGATGCATCATTCGCCGGCACCGGAGTTGCCCTCGCGCTTGTCGCCTCATCATTGCTCCTGTCGACTGCCTGCTTGGCGCCCCTCTTTGGCCTGCCATTCGCCTTCGCTTTGCCAGCTTTCCCCTCCGAGTCCTTCCCACTCTTCTGCCCTGTCGCTGTCGCAGCCACCCCCGCCGTCTGCTTACCCTCCACCGCAGCAGGTGCACCTGTCGCCACACTCTCCAAATTTTCAGCCAAATTGACGTCCTCCTCACTCGGCCTCTCCATCATGTTCTGCAACTTCAGCATTTTGTCTCCCACCGCCATCCTTTGATTCGCTTCGAACACCCAGATCCCGTACACCTCGTTGCTCGTCTCGGGTCGGTAAATGATGAATTCCGGCGTGATCTCCAGATCGTCTTCGGGAGTTACATCTGCCGAGAAGTTCTCGACGCCATTTCGGTTCATCAGGAAGAATCCGTTGTATGGTGGTAGGCGACGTCGGAAGAGGAAGAGCGGTCCTTCAACACCCGTCTTTGTCCATTCGCCATCGTTGTAGTTGTAAAGCACGACGAAGGAGGCAGTTTCGAGAATGGTGACGATAGATGGATCGTGACGACGCAGCACTTTGAGGTTGAATGCCGTACGGGCTGAAGGTGCGGACGACATGGCGACGTGGTAAGCTGGGGGCTTCGCAGGAAGTCGCCAGTCCGTACGATCAAGGAAGTTAGGATCTGGCTGGTAGGGACTGATGCAAAAGGCGGTGGTGATATCTGAGCTGCCGATACTCTTTGACGGGCCTCGGTTGCCTAGCTTAGGTGATGCGTGTGCGAGCGCGGGGATGAGGAGTTGACGGTGATGGTGAAAGAAGTTTAACGCAATTCTGTTTTGGCTCGTGCGACTTGTTCTGCTTGGCAATTGCGAAAATCGGCCGTTTCCCGAGTGTGGAGAAACTGGCAATTCGCCGCGACTGCTCACTTCAGCTTGCTCAAGCAATTCTCTCCCTGCCACAAGCACCATCCGACATGCTCAACATGCTATCTGCACACACGGGCATCAGGGTTGGGAGTCGTCGCGAAAGGGCCAATATGAACTAGATTAAGACGGACCAGGACGATACTATCACTCAAACACGAATTACAATGTTGATTATTGACTATCTTTAAGCAGTTTCTTCCGAGAAAGAGGCACGACCAAGACGTAGCTTGTCCACGCACCGTTCATCTACAAGTCGAGCTTCATATCGCCCAGATCCGAAAAGCTCGACGTCTGATGAGCGTCATCTCCCGACACCAACTGCATCGGAGACTGAGCCTCGCATGGCTGCAACTCAGGCCAGCTTCCCTCCTGCACCTGAGCGCGACCGCCGCGGCCCATCTTGTGGCGCGGACGTCCTCGCCAGTGCTCGTCGTGTGCATCGTGCGCGCGCGAGTTCTGGCTTCGTCCACGACGGCTCAGCTCCTTGTCTTCCTCGCCGCTCTGGTGCTCTTCTTCTTCGATCGGATCTACCGACGATCGACGCGGCAGTCCCGTGCGCTGGTCGAATCCTTCCAGCCACGCAGCAAGGGCAGGTGCACTTCCCATGGCATCGTGCGAGCTCGAGCTCGTGTGTGGGATGGACAAACCGCTCTGGTGCATCGACATTGATTGCTGATGCTGCGGCTGCGAGACGGTGGATTGCTGGTCCATCGGCATGCCCAAGCTGAGCAGGTTCATTGTGCTAAAGTCCTGCGGAGGCTGTTGATGCATCTGCTGACTATGCTGTGAATGTTGTTGACCGAGGAGGTGGGATGTTTGCTGCTGCTGCTGCTGCGTGTGGCCGCCAAACATGCCGGAGCCGTCACCGGTGCCGTTGTCAGCTTGGTTGAAAAAGGCGTGCATCACGCCCAAGCCTTGCTGCGGATCCGTCGTCGGAGGTGCCTGCATGCCTGACGCAGCCAACGCTTGGTGCGATCGGGCAAGCTCTGCCTCGAGGAAGCTGATACGGCCCATCTGCATGTCGAGGAACTGCTGCAGGTGCCGAATGTACTCGACACTCTTGCGCAAGATGATGCCCTTGTTCGGCTTGGCCTGTGCTGCTGCTAGCGCTGCACTGTTTGCATCGACAGGTGCAAGCGCTGCGGCGTACGCCTCGGTCGAGGATTTCGGAAGCTTGGTCGGGCCGTCGGCGCTGTCTTGCATCGTATCGCCTTTGGCTGCCGCTGCCGCCGCTGCTGCAAGTGCAGCTTTGGCAGCGAGAGCAGGCGCAAAGGCTCCACTGTTGCCTCCCTGCGTCGACGTGGCAATGGCGTCGAGCAGCATGGCCTCGGGGAGCAACGTCGCCAGCTCGGTGATCTTCTCGTTGATGTTGTCTCTCCTGCGACGCTCCACGGCGTTGTGAGACTCGCGACGCTTGCGACGCTTCTCGGCGAGTCTCTTTGCCTCTGCCTCGCTCTTGCCACCAGCTGCACCTCCGAGCTGCTCATCGTCGTCGTCACCGTCGTCATCCTCATCCTCGTCACCCTGCTGCGGCTCTTCGGAGCTGACGTTTTTGAGTTCGGTCCTGGCAGCCTCCGTCTTGATCTCTTTCGCTAGCTTCTCGCGCGAAGCTTGTGAAGCCACCTTGCTGGACCGTCGCGGCTTTGTAGCTGGCTTGGCCTCGCTGACCTCCGAGGTTTCACTGGATCGCCCAGACGCTTCCGCACTCACGTGAGCTTGAGGAGCGAATGGCTGGTGAGCCGAATCATCAGCCGACGTCAATGTCGAGTGGCTCCGTGGCTGCGTGTATGGAGGGAACAGGAACGGATTGAAAGGCTGCTTCGAGCTACTGTCTTCTTCCAGCCTATTCGTGTGATTGTGCATACCTGCAGAAATCGGCGGTGTCTGCAGATTGAGATGCGCCATGCTTGTGTGGAAGTTGAGCGGCGTCGGCAACGACGACGACGCAGAAGCTGTACCGGGGTGCTCGTGCGTACTCCAAGATGATGGGTTGTTGAAGTTGAAATGCAAGTTGCCACCGTTGTTCGCATCTGGAGTGCCAAACAGGCTCCACCTCTGTGTCTGAGGCTGAAAACTGGACGAGAGCCCCATGCCTGAGCCAACGGCAGCCATCGTTGAAGCCGAGCGAGTGGGTGCTGGCGGATGCGGGGTGGAGCTGTTTTGAAGACCATTGGCAAGGGCAGCCGGCCCTACAGTCGCCCTTCGGTTGACACGAGCTCTCGAGGATGGCGCCTTGCCGACACCGCTCCTTTCGAGGGAGGGAGAGCGATCAGCAGTTCGACGATCCGAGGCGACCGGTGCAGCACGGGTGCGACTACGACTCAGACTGCGCGCAGTCTTGGACCGATGCGTCGAGGATGCGTTGCTGGTAGATCGGTGATGGCGAGTGCCAGTTCCTTTGGGAAGACTACCACCTGTGGTGGCCATCGAGCTTGGGGAGATCACGCTTGTCGCGACGGTCGAGGTGGTCTCTCCGTTGGACCCGTCAGGAGAATCGCCATCGTCCATGGACGAGGCGTCCTTGCTCAGACGACTCACCTCAGGGCGAACGGAGCCAAAGGTGCGTGCCTGCAGTCCGAACATGTCGGTCGAACCTGTATGAGGGATGTTGACGTACGTTTCACCGAAGCCTCTGTCAGTGGCAATTTCGTGGTCTGCGTTGCCATCGAAGCCTGATTGCAGGTGCTCCCGGCCTGTGGTATCAGCGCCGTTGGACGAGGTGTTGGTGGTAGCTGGAGAGAATTGGCTCCAAAGGTCATCGTTAAGAAGGATGTCCGTGTCGATGAAGCTGCTAGGAAGACCGTTAGTGCCAAAGGGGCCGAAGAAATTGTTGGCGTGTGTGGCAGTTGATGACTGCACTGTTTGCGAGCTCATCGCGGAAGCGACGCTCGCATTCGGACCGGCGCCGGTAGCAGAGTGTCCTCCCATAGCGCCGGGCTCAAATCCTTGCTGACGCTTCTTGGGCATCATGATGTCGATGATCTGTGGCCCCGCCACGTCGATCGTGGCAGACATCGAATTGGACGGCAACCCTGCCGGTGTGTGCGAGCTTGAGCCTACAGGCGATTCGTGAAGCGGTCGAGGCGATAGCCGGCTATTGTTGACCGACGAATGGACGACGTTATTGGCTATGTTCGAGGTGGACTTTTACTGCGCTTGAGAAGCGTCTCTTGGATGGGAGAGTTGAAGATGAGATTCTACCGGTCCTATCAACACCGAGGAAACGGCAGAGTGGCGGCCGAAGGAAGGCAGCGAGATCAGGCAGTGAGGATATTTGTAGATTCAAGGTGCTTCGATGATCGAGGAGATTCGGGTCTGCGCCAAGTCCTTGGTGGGTCTAAATGCTCGGTGTTGAAGCGAACAAGCCGGCGAATGAAGGCGGCCGGTCTTTTTGATGAAGTCGAGTCGAACTGAAACGGAGGAGCAGAAAGGCACGAGCAACCGTTGCGACCGCGATGAGAACAGTCACAATGACGAAATGATGGACCTTGGTTACTCGAAAGGCGACAGAGAGCGCCAAATGGGATGGAGGCAGTGCTGGCAATCGACAATGGATGGTCGGGCAACAAGGAGCGGCGCGCACGACGGCAGATGTAGATGGAGGAGCGGATGCAAAGGATTACCGGAGTGTGTACGGGTGGCGGACGGATGCAATATCCCGACGAGGCCTCTCGGTGCGCAGCTGAGGTCGTGTACAGTGTACAGAGTGTTGGACAATACAAAGAGAGGAACGCGGAAGGACGCGCTTGTGGACTGCAGTAGGGCCAAACGAAGCGAGACGCGGAAGAGGACGAGCGGGCTGCCGATACCGGAGGACGAGGGGAAAACGCTGCGCCTAGACCGTGTGCGGTGAAGGGGAATGACTGTCTCTACAAATGTCGACAAAAGCAAAGGGCCAAGGGGAGAGTCATAGGAGCAAGTTCTGAGCAAGAACCTGGCCGAACACAAAAATGCGGGGAAGCGGCAATGGACGAGTGTGGGGGATTTTCGGTTTTCGAACCCGGATCTCGACCTTCTCCTTTTTCGCCCCATTCTTGAGGTACAGTGTAGCGTACTGCTCGGTATCCGAGTACCCCCACACTCTGCGCGCGGCTGCCTAGTTTTGCAGTCTGAATACAGCACCGCTGTGTCTGCAACTTGATCTTTTTGGGGTTCCAAAGCAGCTGCTCACTGACACTGGTAAAAAGAACACAAAGCGTCGGCGCAACCGAGGCAAGGAATGCGCCCGAATACGGTGCATTCCCCTTGTTTCTCTGTCTTCCGGACAGCTTACCGAGCCTCTATCGGCTACTTCGCGCCAGCTCCTTTCCCCACAATCGGATGATCAGAGCATAGGATCGCAGGGCAAAAGTTGTTGTTTGCAGTCTAAGAGGCATTTCGCCATTTCATGAAGGGTTAGAGCGGACCGGCATCACCGTAGTGGGTATGCAGGGTCGACCCCAAACTTCTCACTTGTTGAACGTGGCGCGACACTCCACCGACAGCCCGGCATGGGCGACCGCAAGTCGATGCAGTCAGTGAAATGAATGCACGATTGACAAAGAGTGTCTGACCGAGCCGTCCCTCTCCTGTTCCTCCTTGATTGAGTTGGGACTCCATTCGAGCCCGCAGTCCCCGCCACCGGGAGCTCGATTGTAGTTAATGAACTGACACTGGGTGCTCGGGCGGGAACCAAGGTTTGAGTAAGAGCTTCTCCGGGTGCAACACAAGCGCAATGTATGCGGTGCTCGAATCTATGCATGTACGCAAGTCTAAGGAACTGGATTTCGCTATCACTCGAATCTCGAGGCTTTCGCCATACCGCTCGGTCTGAGGTGACGAACGACGAGGCTGCCAAACGGAAGATCAAATGCGAGTCACAGGATAGAGAAGATGGTAGTGCGAGGCGACCCTTGCCCTTCTGGCGAATTGTGCGTAGGATTAGGCTTTTGTCCTCAACCAGTCCTGAGGTAAGACACAGACGAGGATGCTGCGGCTTGTCTGGTCTATCCATTGACTTTCGTTGGCGCTCAGAGTCTCACCTTCCGAGGAGGTATCATCATCAGACTTGAACGATTGCTCGTCAGCCTTCTGATTGGCCGACGTAGTAAGCGAACAAGGCTGGAGCGACTTGGCGCAGCCTCTGCCGATCTTTTGCATCGGATACTCCGGCATCATATTTCAGAATGAGTTCAGTCCGTCTACGAGACAGCCTGGACGGATTCGTGTGACTCTACGCTCGTCTGAACGCTCGGAAGTCTCCGCCCTGCCAATCACACAGCGCCAAGCGTCCGGTGCATTCTGACACTTGAGTCATTTCTTCCCGATGATCTTCCCCATGCTTTCTCGCTTAGGCAATGCGAGACTAATTGCAGCAGGCGGTCATAAATCACAACGCTGTCAACGTTCCCTCTTGGTCAGTTTCGCTAGACCTGTTGAGCGTGCAGAGAAGGACCGAGGACGCCTTGGCAAACGCCGTCGACCCTCGCAGAGAGACAGTTGCTTCCCACGGTCCACAATTGGACGACATTCAGCTTGTCGGATCCTTCCGATGAGCTGGGAAGTCCTAAGAAGTGTAGATTCGGCTTCTGACGCTGCACGTAACTGATCGATTGCTGACTCACAGGCTCGGATCGTCCATAAAGACTTGTTCGCTTAATCAATGCAGTACGAGAACACAGCAAGTAGACGGGCTGTCGATCTGGCTCATCTCAGAGGAGTCGCTTCGCGTTTCCGACCCTGCTTCTCACCACCATTCCGAATCGTCTTCTCGATTCTCTGGTACCTGAGCATATTCCATTAAGCACTTGACCATGAGCGAAAGCCGGTTCTTTGTTCCATCCGATTCTAGCAACCTTCGAGGTAGTTCGGAGCCCTCGCTGTCCTCATGCCCCAAAGCCGGACCAAAACACCAGCGCTCCAACTCGGCCCCGGCTCGAACAGCTTGGCTGGCGGAGGAACCCGCCCGGCGAGAATCGAAAGCGGGGCTTCAAACAGACTTGTATAAGCTTCATCGTCACCAGAGCGTCCAAGATGTGCACTCGGGGCTGTCAAAGTCACCAGCTCGATCTGGACCGCGCTTGCCATCATCGGTCGTAAGCGAAAGTCGCGCATCAGTTGAAGGGCCAGCTCCCATATCTGCGGAGTCTGCTGCCCCCAGATTTAAACGTGCGATAGAGAAAGCAGAGGAGCGCAGCTCCACAAATGAATCCGAAAGAGGCGCACCGTCTGCCAATGATACTGCAGGGCCGGTCGAAAAATCGTCCGAGCAACCAGCTCATGTTGACGAGGAGGGTGCGCATTCGAAACGTGTCGAGTCTGACATCGCGCAGTGGACGACCCAACGGCACAATAACGTCATTCAACGCAGCCTAGAGAACTCTGATAAACTTCCTCAGGCATCATCGTCGCCGTCCAGAGCAGCTGCTGGTGGCGAAGAGGAAGCTCGAGGCGTCCAACCCATACCAGATGATCAGTCTCGATATAATCTATTGAGTTGTTAACATTTGGCGCTTTGCACATTCCACGAAAATAGCCGACGCGTCTCTAGCTGGCGCGCCGCGTTGAGTAGGGTCGGTGTTGGATTCTAGATGCAGCTCCGCGATTTTGGGACACGATGGAATTTGAGCACTTGCTTGCGAACGTCTGCCACTCTCTTAGCCGTCATCACGAACTCACATCCTTTCCCAGGCCCGACATCGAATCGCCTTCTCAGACAACGTGCAGTGCACCTTTGACGCAGTCGAAGCCGAAAGCTCAGCTACGGCTTTCCGCGCATAGGTCAAGATGGCGAGCGAGAACGACTACTATTCGGACGATCTGGAGGGCGACGAAGGCTTTCTCACGGACGTCAGCGAGGACGAGTACGGCAATGATCGTGGCGAGACGGGGCACGACGAAGAGGATGCTCCGGACAAAGAGGAGATCCGAGATGCCGCGAGGGATCTCTGCATGCAAATCGGCCAGTACGACTATGGAGATGACGCCGACGAGCAGGACGACGGAGACAAAGTATACACACGGTGGAGGCATGGTCCACGCGCACTTGGCGCTCTGCGATCGCTTCGCAAGCTCTGGAAATTGGACGACGACGATCCGACCAGGAAGGTGGCGCGTGCCTTTGCCGACAACGAGGTGCTTGAGAACTTCATCGTACCTGCTCTGCTCGAGAGCGCCGGTCAGGGAAAGGAGGGCGATGCCATCGCATTGGCGTGCACCGATCTGCTGACCGCGATGACATGGCCTTTCGACGGCGTCGCTGAGCTGCGCGAGCAGGAGAAGCAAGGCTACGACTCGGACGAGCTGCGCGAAATAACCCACCTGGACAAGCACCTGATCAACTACAAATCCGTCATTCTGCGCAGTCAATCGCTCGACAAGCAGCACGATGTGCTCGGAGTGGTCATGCGCTATCTCTTGCTTCCCAATCTCGCAACAAAGCAACACCAGAGATCGAGTCTGGTCACTGGCATCATCGGCATGTGTCTGCATTTGTTCCGCAACCTGCTTGCCATCCGCGACCCAGTCACGACAAGTCTCAGCAGCGTTGCCCAATTGTCGAACGCACACCTGCAGAGCAAGCTCGTATTGTCCATGCAGAAACATCACATCCTCGACACGCTGCTTATGCTGGCCAGCAGCGCAGAGACTCCCACTTTCAACGCGTGGAACGCAATCGCGTCCGAATGCATCTTTCACATTTTCGTCGGAACAAAGGTCAAGGAGATCGCCGAGCTCGCGCCTTCCAGCCTCCCTTCAAGATCTGCAGCACCTGCGTCGGCGAGCGGCAGAGGTGCTGATGCCGAACCTTCCACATCAAGAACAGCGGCAAGGTCAGCCTCTGCGCTAGCTGAGAGCCTGGCGACCGAGGCCAAGATGAAGCGGGCATCCGCCTCCGGCAAGATCCCGACCCGACACTCTCGCTTCGGCACAACGATCAACTTTGTCGGGCCTGATGGCGAGCGTCGCGTGGCACGAAACCAGTCTGCGCTGGTCAAGTCGACGGCGCAGCTTGCAGAGGAGGCGATGAGCAAAGGGAGACGAAGAGCTCAGAGGCGCAAGGATGCACAGGAGAGGGGCGCACCGAAGCTCAAGTCAAACTGGACGGCAGACGCGGCCATCGTTCTGCAGGAGTGGGCCGACACATTTGTACAGTCTGGGTTTGAGCCTTTGGCCAAGTCGATCCTAAAGGACATTCGGTCGGAACGGGACAAGCTGGGAGACTTGGACGTGGCCCGCATTCGCATCATGCAACTTGGTGCATTCTTCCTCGAATACTTCCTCTCGCGTCGCGCAACTGCTGCGAATCGTCGTCAGCCTGCGAAGACCGCGTCACTCGTCCAATCAGCGCCGACGCAAGGGACGCTCGACCTGCTCGAGCCCGAGCAGCAGCCAGAATCGGCTGACGCGAGCGAAAAGCAGCCCGAGGAGGCAGAGGAGGAGTGGCCATTCGAGTTGGTCAGCCAGTGGCTCGAGCCTTGGGCGTTCCGCATGGTGCTCGTACGTACGATCCAGGCGCAAGAGTCGAAAGCGTGGCTCGAATTCGTCGCCTCAGTTCAGCTGTGGATCGTTCTGCTTCGACTCGTCGACGAGCTCGCCGTCAGCAAGAAGGAAAGCGAGAGGGACGTCGCCGAGGGTCTTCAAGCCGAATTTTACTATATGGGCGAGACCTTGGACGCATGCCACGCCATCGTGCGTTCGTACACCACGCAGAGTTTCGCCTTCCTCGACACGATCATCACGTTTGCCCACGTCATGCCCAAGATGCTCGAGCGCTACGCATCGAACCGCGACCACATGTACGTCCAAGCGAAGAAGCAGGTGCGTCGATCACGACAAGACGGCAATCTCGACGCCGACGAAGACGAAGCGAGGCAGATCAAGGAGCATCTTCAGGAGACCCGGTCCGAACGGGAGTTCCGCTTCGCGGACTTCCAGCGCAAGCTCGCCACCAAGCAGCTCGCCAAAGCCTGCATCGACTACCTCGCACGCTGGCAGGACTTCGGCGATATGGAAGAGCAGCTCACCAAGCTGGTCACGGTCATGCATCGGATCACGATCAAGGCCAACGACTACCGACAGTTCTTCCTCGCCGGTCACCGCGCAGCGCTTCGCAAGGTGATCAGCGGCGACGCCATCAGGATCCTCGAAGCGCGTGCACCTGCTTCCGCACCCAACCTCAAGAAGCTGATGGACTACATCCTGCGCAAGTTCAGCAAATTGAGTCCCGATGAGCAGTCGATCTACGACACGGGTAAGAGGCCACCTCGACAACCTAAGCCTCCTAAGGTGCCTGCTGAGATCGCCGTTCGACCGGGTATGACGCCAGAAGAGGAGATCGGAGTGGCTGTAGGTCTGCTGTTGAAGAAGGAGAAGATGCAGGCGGTGCTGTGGGTCAAGTCGGCGTTGGAGATGGCGAGCGCGATGCGCGCCGAGCTCGTGTTGCATCATGAGGAGGAAGAGGCGCAGCGGTCGGTGGAAGGAGGGGGCGACAAGGCGATGCTGCTGGGCGAACTGGAGAGGCAGAACGAGTCACCGGTGGAACGGTTCCAACCTTACGAATTAGCGTACCGAGGCAACGACGACCTTCGCACTGATGCATCGCTGCTTCCCGAACTCAAGCTGCTCTGCCGTCTCGCAGGTCTTGAAGCGAACGATGACGAGCTGGTCAATTGGAGGTGGTCGGTACCCAAAGAGATCCTTCCCCATCACCTGGATGAGAAGATCGAGGCGATCGAACGTTTCATCCGCGAGCCACTGGATACGCACGGTCGAGAACTCAATGCGCTCGTCATGCGTATTCGCAAGCCACGAGTTGCCGGAGAGGGCGGGACAGACCGTGATGTGCTGAATCCGGCCGATCTCCCGGCTGGCTGGAACGGCGGGCAAAGCGATTCGGACGAAGATGGAGACTACTTTGACCGTGTACGTGCCAATCGAGGTCTGGTCGGCGGCGACGAAGCTGCCGCGGACGGTGGACTGCTTCGAAGCAGTGCGGGGAAGAAAAAGTCGAAGTCGACCTCCAAACGGTCCGGATCAAAGAAGCAAAAGAGACGCACCGAGCAAGACTTTATCAACGACAGTGACGACGAATTCGCCTTCGCCATGGGTGACATCGAGAACACGCAAGCACAGTCGCGGGCCGATGCTGAAGACAACTCCAGCGACGACGATAACGACCGGAGCGACGAGGACGAGATGGACGATAGAGACACTCCTGCGACGAGCTCGGTTGCTGACATGCAAGAGCAGCAGGACGGGAAAGTGTCGGCGCTCGAAGCGTTGCGAGCTGCAAAACGGAAGCACAGCAAGGTCAAGTCGACGAAAGAACCTCTTCAGGATGCGAGCCAGCGTACGAATCGGCAGGTGGACAGGAATCGACTGTTTTTGGCCGACAGCGATGAGGATGAAATGGACGAGCTGGAGTCGCCAACCAAGCAGACGGGTGATGCGGAGGCAGCTTCTCCGGGAGCCCGTGTCGGCACCTGGGATCTCATGCCGAGCAAGCGCAGTGCCACTTCGCTCTTTGTCGAGGATGAAGAAGACGATGACGACTTGCTGGGATCAGGATCGCCAGATGAGTCCGTAAGGGCGTCAGCGGTCATGGACAAGGTGTTAGCAAGCGGGGTGGCAAAGAGGCGCAGGATGGCAATCCTGGATGACGACGACGAAAACGATGATTGACGTGTTCAGTAGTCTTGTTGCATTTCAGTTAGTTGTATGAACCATGGCTTGCGACTGTGAGATGAGCTATGAACATGGAAGGCAGTGTGAGCCGTGAGAGTCTGCATTCGAAGGGCCGACCAGTCACGCTGCGTGGCGGGCACGTCCGGTTGTGCTGTGCCGGTTGGTCTGACTTGCGGGGCGGCAAAGCGGCTCAAAAAAAGGACGACGGACCGTGACACGCCAAAATCGGAAAGGGCGGCAACACAGGGCCTGAGAGCCTGGAATTTCACGACTGACCCGGCACAATCGATTTGGCGGTCGGACCAGCCTTCAAGATCTGCTTCTCTCCACACCATCACGACTTGGTAGAATTCTGCAGCCGTGTCAACCACTCTTACACAGCTACCGCAACACACCCTCGCATCTTCACCGTCGCATCTCGAGCGCAGAAGAGTCACACTGTGCTTACTGCCTCTCCTCGATCGCATCATTGCAGCCATACTCGATCTACCTCTTGCAGCGGGACGGCTCGCAGCCGTATTCCGTACATCGCTCCCTTCCTCAACCGCTACACGAGCTTTGTCGATCCGGCGTCCAACCTCCTGTACCTCCCAACCCATCCGATTCTTCTCACACTCACTTCCCACCATGGCTTCGTCCAGCGTCAACAGCAACAGCGCTATCCTGACCCACCTCTCGCACGCGCTGCTACGCATCTCGCGCATCCCACCACGAGTCATCGCCAGTCCACCCACGCAGCCACGTCGAGCGTCCGTAGCCATCCTGCTCCGCGTGCGACCCGCGCCGGAGGACGAAGCCTGGCTTGCGCAGAATCACGATCCTGAGGCACAGCAGATCAGCCCAGCCGCGGCAGGTGGAGATGCGGGCGCGAGCCACGAGATGGGCAGCTCGGGCGTGCACGTTTCGCAGGCATCGCTGGGTCAGACGGCGGGTGCAGCGGGGGTGTCGTCGCTAGCTTCGAGCGTTGCTTCGGCCGACCTGTCGTCGACGTTGGGCAGCTTCTTCGATCAGGCTTGGGTGAAGCGTGGAACACCAGAGATCCTGTACATCAAGCGTGCGGCGAGGATCGGCGACAACTGGTCTGCGCACGTAGCCTTCCCCGGCGGAAGAAAGGAGGAAGGCGACGAGAATGGACTGTACACGGCAATGCGCGAGACGTGGGAGGAAGTCGGCATCGATCTGGCTGAAAAGGAGTTCTCCTGCGTCGGTCAGCTGGACGACCGCGAGATCACCACGAGTCTGGGCAAGCGTCTGCTGATGGTGCTGTCGCCGTACGTGTTCGTGCAGACGTCGCCGTTCAGCCCGCTGCCGGATCTGCAGCCGAGCGAGGTGGCTTCCGCGCACTGGATCCCGCTCTCGTTGCTGTACACGCCCAAGCCCAAGTGGGGAACGACGTCGGTGGACATCAGCAGCAGGTTGGCGCCCAAGTCGCCGTTGGTGAGGTGGGTGTTGCGTGCGTTGGTGGGCAAGATGGATTTCAAGTGCATCTTGCTGCCGAACGATCCGGTGGCGGTGGCGGAGTACGACGAGAATGAGGAGGAAGGGCTGGCGGATTCGTCGATGGGAGGAGGCGAAAAGGCTGGATCTCACATTGCGCGTACGGAGGAAGGGAGTGTTCGACCAGAGCTGAGGTTGTGGGGCTTGACGCTCGGGATGACACTCGACCTGCTTTCGCACATGACGACGTTCAACAGCAGCTCGTCGTTCCGGTCGGGACCTACCTCACCTCCCACCTCGCCGTCTCGATCCTGGTCGGCACTACCCTCGGTACCGCCACTCCAAGATGCGGCATCGAGCACGCTACCCAGCGCCTCGGAGCTCGTCTCCTCCCCCGTGCCCTCGCTTAACCGTGTCATCGGTCGCATCCGGGACGAGTTCCACCTCAACCCTCCACCGGCATCGCACGCGCTAGCCCCGAGCCTCACCTCCGTCTTCCCGCGGTTCTCGTACCCGGACGTCAACTTTTGGATCTGGTTCTTCGGCTGGAGGTACCGGAACGTGGTGCGCGGGTGGGAGTCGAGCGTGGGGACGAGGATGGAGAGGAAGTTCAATTGGAGCGGGATGGCGCTCGGTGCGTTCTACAGTGCGGTGAGGAGGGCGTTGGTGGTGGCGGTGGTGTTGAGGGCGTTGGGGATGGTTTCGGCGGGTGGGATGGCGGCGTGGTTAGTAGGGAGGAAGGTGAACCGGTCGAGGAGAGGGTTGCCGGGGTTAGGGCTGGATGAGCTGCTGTCGTAGGGAGTGGAGCAGACGAGCTGTGATGAGGGGCGAATTGAGAATGATTGCAACGTCGTGACTGTCTGTGTAGCTATCGGTGTGAGTGTATTGCCAGTGTGATCCTCCTTGAAGAGGATACAGTGTAGGTGTCATGACTGCGAAAGGTTGCCTGTGGGCTGAGCCAGCCGGAAAAACGTTGAGATTTGTTGCGCTCAGTCGTCGAGAAGGATTGGACCCTGAATCCACTTTTTCCGTCCCTTCTTCTCGTTCGACATCTTTTGCTCCTCCACCATCTCGGCTCTCTCTCACACCAATCTCCCACGTTTGTGACTCGCCAATCATGACGGTCCTTCCGTCTAACCAGCAGCCATCACCGGCTGCTTCGACCTCTCAACCCGTCTCCACAAGCGACACGGACTTCCGCAAAGCACCCGCCGACGTCAAGCGCATCCCCGGCTCGGCTGCATCGATGAACGTCACCGAACGTACAAAGTCCCACACATCGGCGACACCTTCCGCCTCTCGTCCTCCTGCTGGTTCCTCTGCGCTATCACGGAAAACAGCCATTCAAGCGATGCAGCCGTTCCTGACCACCTCTACCACCTCGTCCTCTCCCATCCAACCGACGGATATCCAGCTGCTCACCAAATCCATCCTCTCGAACCAAGAACGACAGCAGATCATCCTGCACTATCAGGAACGACTCATCGACACCTGCCCCTCGCTTTCCGACCTCAAAGAATCGCTTCTGTACCTGAGTGCGTCGTCGTGGGGGCAGATTTTGGAGGAGAGAAAGTTGGCGGGGAAATGCTCCTACCCGCCATGCACGAACGACTCCCCCTCATCCGCAGCATCGGGATTAGGCAGACAGAGGGAAGGGAAATTTCGCATCAATCTGCGGACAAAACAGGTCAAGTCGAGGGAAGAGCTGGAGTTGGGCCAGGCGGGAAACACGTGGGATGAGCTGAGGGAGTTTTTCTGCAGCAAACAGTGTTGGGCGAGATCAGAGTGGATCTTGAGATGGGTGTTGGGGGAGAAGGAGTTGGGATTTGAGGATAAGGGAGGTGGGGATAAGGGGGTACTGGGTGGAAAGTGGCAGAAGTTGACGAGTCAGGGGGCAGGGGAGGAGGTGGAGTTGCTGGAGGATATTGAGAGGCAAGGTGGGGTTTGGTTTGACGATTCGCAAGAGAGGGGTGCGATCGATGATGTGCCGGAGGAGGAGGAGAGAAAGGAAGTGGTAGCGGTGGAGAGGAAGGATGTGGTCAGTGGGAAGTCCAACGTCAAGCAAGTATCAAATCTCTTGGGAGACTTGACCATCGTCGAACGCCCCAAAAGCAACAACGCAACAACAACCACTCCACCGATATCGACATCACACCCACCCAAATCCTCCACAACACCGTACGACGTAGACGTACCCAACAGTCTCGGCCACCGCTTCCACCCCACCACCTCCTCTTCCAATGCAGACATCGACCCCTCCTCACCCACCTCCCTCCTCCCCACCTCTTCGCAACGCGAACTCTCGCACATCCTACGCTACGCCTCGCTCGCCACTGGCTCACGACGCTCCCAACCCAACTCTTCGTCTGCACCCACAACCGCAACCCCTCACGACGCTGATCATCCGGATGACGACGCCGAAGAGGATGGTCCGACGATGGATGCTGCGCAGGCCAAGGAGCGGGAGCGCCTGCGAAGGCTGATGGACGTAGCGCTCGACGTGAGGCGCGACCAACGCGAATTGGGTCTGTTGGATTGATCGCGCGGGACCCTTCATCCCCCCCATCTTTACTTTTCATGCGCAATGCATCCGGTCTGAAAACATTTCACAGAGCACACACACACATTCAAGATCTGGCCCGACCGCGTGTGAGGGTCTGACAGCGTCCACCCCCCGACGTATTGACGCTCATCCCGCTCGTCTTTCTTCCCGAACTCATCGAACAATCGCACCAGACATGCGCAGGCGAGAAAAAGGGGGGGAAAGGGAAGTGTGACATTTCGGCGTGATGTGTGAGACAGAGGGAAGAAGCTTTTGAGACCGAGTGAACAAGCCAGGGAAGAAGAAACGGAAGCGTGAGAGAGTGAGTTGACAGGGCAAAGTTTTTGGAAGCCGAAAAGATCTAGGAAGAGAGAGTTTGGGGAAGACGAGGAGGACGGAACGGTGATTTGAGAGGATGAACAAGGTGATAGACCGTGGCGACCAGAGGCGGGGGCGAGACTGTCTGAGCTTATCGCTGCCAAAAGTGTTGAACCTTTGGTTTCCGTACAGTACCATCGCCAGGCTAGACTTCCCTCGTCTGCTGTCCGACCTTGGCGCTCGATCCATCATCGCTGACCTCCCCCTCTACCTCCTCCAACTTCCTCCCATCGTTCGGGTTTCCACTACCATGCAGACCCGCGAACCCAGCCGGCCTGTCCTCCGGCAACGCCCACCCGGCAACATCGAACTCCCTGTACTCGAACACGCTGAACTTCTCGCCCGTCCTCCTGCACCACACCCACATGACCGTTGCTCTAATTCCGAAGGTGACAAACGTCCAGCCGAGACTTCCGAGCGGTGCGGCGATGAAGGCACCCAGCACGCTGTAGTCGTCGATGTAGAGGCCGTTGGGAAGTCCGATGAGCGCAATTCCTTGAGCCGCGGAGCGGAAGAACACGGTGCCGAACAGGAATACGGTGAGGAAGCCTCCGACGGCTCCGCCAACAGCATCGAGTCCGTTGAGGAAGTACAGCTGGGGTACGAGACCGAGCAGGAACGCGGGGATACAGGCAATCGCCGCGAGATCCGCGATCAAGAACACCTCGAGAATATCAATGTTCTTGACCGCAAGGACGACGGACGGAACGTTGATGAGGACCAGGATGGCTCGACACCACCAGATGTTGAGTCGACCCAGGAAGACATCATTCTGGATGGTCGAGATCTGGGCCGACTGGAAAGTGTCGTACGCCGAGGAAGAGAGACAACCGCACAGGACAATGACGATCCCAGTGAGCCAGTTGGGGAGCGTGTTGAGGATGTAGAAGAAAGTCAACGATCCATCGTCCTCGGCCGTGGGACCGTTGAACAAGCCGGACCACCAAGCAAGCGGTCCCGCCATTCCGACCAGCATGCAGACCGCGAACAGCGGGATGGTGGCAAAGATGACCGAGAGGTACAGAGTCTTGTTGTTCTTCGAAGCAAAGGCACGTTGCCAGAAGCCCTGGTTGAACATCTGACTGAAGATGATTGCGGCGGGCAGGATGTACCACAGCTCACCGCCGAGTCGCTGTGGCCTGAGCAGGCCAGATGATTCGACGCGAGCGTGGTCGATGTCGAGATTGACGCCGACGGCGACCGAAGCGATGACAATGAAGATCAGGATGATGACGGCATTGACGTTGTCGGTGTACAGCGAAGCCTTGAATCCACCGTACGCAGTGTAGATGGTGGTGCTGAGGGCGACGATGAGAGCAGCGATGGTGGGGTTGACGCCACCAAGCGTGTTGACCGCAGAGCCGTAGGTGTTGAGCTCGACCAGCATGAAGCAGAACATGAATCCGACAAAGATCAAGCCGGAGAGGACACCGACAGGCCATCCGAATCTGCGGCGGATGTACTCGGCCAGAGTAAAACCGTCAGGGCAAATGCGGCGGATCAGAGGTCCGAGCCAGGCAAAGAACCAGAGGGGCACTACGGTGGCGAAGCAGTAGGCGACGAGGCCCAGAACACCGGCGTTCGGGATGACGGCAAGCTGAGGATAGCCGAAGAGAAGAGATGAGGACATGTCTGTCGAGGCACACAGGTTGAAGAGAAAAGGCAAGGCGTCGGGTGAGTAAGTAGAGTCAGTGGGACGATGGCGAGCGTCGCGCATGGTACGTCGTCGGAGAGCTGAGAACAAGCAGTCTGGCATCATCTAGGAAAGTAGATTGACGCCGGGCAACCTGAACGAATCCTGGTCGGGCAAGATGACATGATCAGGCGTGACCAGGACGGATCAGGTGTCATGACTGTGCAGCCCATTGACACCTCGAGAAGCTTCCTGTCCGGTGCTGTTCTGCTTGCTCTCTTGCACTCGCGACGTCGAGCCCGCTACGACGACTCGTCCATAAGACGTAAGGGCCGACAACGAGAGAGGAAGTGGGGGAATGGGAACGCGTCCTCGTCGGGGACAGCTTTTTCGCGGCTGTCTACGCGTTTGTGCGTCGGGCCGTACAGGACAGCGACAACACGAACGTCTGACCACCGATCCTGAACTGTCGTGTCCCGAGCAAAGACGGATACATGGGTTGAGAATACATGTTGGAGTGAAAAGAAGAGGCATGCAGCATTCCCTTCGCGAGTCCTAACTCGATCAGGTAATATCAACATCCTTGACCGCAGACTGACCGTTCCTGATCCAATGCTGATCAAAGCAGCAGAGCATGAAACCGGACAGCGATGCGAGCCAAATGGATGCCGATGACGGTATGATCTCAGCCCAACGTGTCTAGTCGGTTGTGCAGATGCTCACAAGGGTTGCTTGTGCATCCATACGACCGACCCGAGGATTTGCGATTTCACCACCGCTCAGTCGAAAGACCAAGCGACAACGAAGTCACAAATCAGACAACGCAAGCACCCGTAGCTGATGCCAAACTGATTGAGTTTGGTCTTTGTGAGGCTTGACGACCGCCTTGCGTCCGACGAAGACACGACAAGGGGATGTAGCAATGAAGATCGGGTCCAGCTGGTCTCTGCGTGATGCGAGATTCTTGCGGCGTTCGGAATTTGTCGTCTTTGGAGATCGGGATCGGATGTTCCGGATTCGTAGCGTTGATAGCGTCCTCGAAGTCGTGTTTTCAAAGCAAAGGCGGGGCGTTTTGCACCACAGCCAAAGTCAAATCAGGGGGAAAGGCGTCGAGCCACAAGATGGGGAAAGAGAGATGACCTTTCGATCGAGTGTGGGTGGAACTTCGCTTAGGGAACATACCTTATGTAGACACACGTGTGCCGCTGCATGTCGATCTCGTACCCATCCGTTCGAGAATCCGCTGTTTGCAGCGGTGGGATGGGGATTTGGATAGATTGGGAGACTTCAAAATAATAACGTTCAGAGCCGGATACTAACTTGAGGCGAACCAGTTGAGCGTGAGAGGGAATACACTTTGCGTTCGAAGACCCGAGAGGAAGTCGTTGGTGTTGCGGACACGGTAGCCGGCGTAGAGGCCGACCAGCATGAAGCCGCATAGCGTGGAGTAGACCAACGCGTTTGCTTGGTGTACTTCCAACATGATTGAAGCGTGGATCTGCAAAGGTGGGAGCAGATGAATCGACGGGTGGAAGATGGTGGTGATGAAGCAGAGGATGGTGGCGCTCGAGTGAATCAAGATAAATTTACGGTTTCGGGCGCGCTGCTGCAGACTTCCAAATTGGGCCAAAATCGAATACAGCCTTGCCCCGCCAGGACGCGAGTAGAAAGAAGAAAAGTTGTTTTTTTTCGGGCGCTGCAGGGCTCTCTCTATATTGTAGCTCGATGTTATCTGCAGGAACGAAACGCGAATCGATACGAATCGCCTTGACCGGTGGGCACCTCACCTCTTTCCAAAACCCACGTTATTTTTGGCAGACGAGAACAATCGAAGCAAGAATCTTCTTGTCCGCCTGAGTCCGTATTGATGTCCCACAGCGCCGCTTTCTTCAGCATCTTGCATCGCTGCTCACCCTCCTTCCTTCTGTGCTCAATCAAGCAATCGTTGTATACTCCTCACTTCATCGCACACAACACACATCTGAAACATGTTTGTCTCCAGAGAAAAAGTGTCCATGTATGAGCTTGATCCAAAACATCAAACCGTCTGCCAGCTCAACTGCCCCAAACCGCCCGCAACGAATTATACTTGCTTTCGCCGATAGCCTTAGTCGTACCCCTCCCACTCATCTTGACCTCACTCCCATCGGCGCATCTCCACGTCCCCATCCCACCTTCACCGAACGCCCCCATGATGGTCGGATCCAAAGCCACCTTGTCCATCATCTCTCTCATCGACTCCTCCTCCCCCTCCTCTTTCGCTTCAAAGTTTGAGAGAAGTCGAGTGCTGAGACGCTTGGACTTGGGCGAAGGTTGAGCACGCATCGCCGTGGGACGCACTAGCTGCGGTGCTGGTAGCGCACCTGGTTGCAACACCGGTTTGGGGAGCGGACGCTTTTCCGGTTTCCCCGCCTGTTCTGGTGATCTGGAGAAGACGGGTTTGGGTGTGGATGTGTTGAGGAATTGCACTGCGGTGGAGGTCTTCAGCGATTCGGGCGTGCTGCTTCCAAAGGTGGCTGCGATCGAAGTCACGCCGGGAGATGTGGGCGAGGATGTCGTTGTCTTGTTGCTGAAGTCCAGTGCCGGCGCTCCACCGGTGGCTGAAGTTCGGGGTTTCGGTTTGAACGTCGATGTGTTGGAAGGCGAGGCAGACCGAGGCGCTTCCGATTGCGGTGCAGCCAGGTTGGGTGACAGTGCCGCATCGTCGTTGACGTCTCCGGCGATCTTGGACCACAGCTGTGTGACAGATGCAACGCGACCGCCCCTGCCGCCACGCGCTGAGCGTACATCGTACCCCCCAGCTTCATCCTTCGTAGACGTTGGCGCCGCCAAAGTCTTTTCCACACGCGTCGGGATGCCTACCTCGCGAGAAGCGCGGCGTTCAGTGCTGACCTTGGCTGCGGGGACGATCGCTGGGATCGTGGCTTTGACGTTGCTACCCGTGCCAGCAAACGACTGCAGACCAGGTCGAGGCCACGATGGTGACGATGTGTGGCCGTCGCGTTTGGCTTGTTGGAAAGAAGACGACGCTACGGATGAGTTCGGAACAACAACAGCAGGAGCCGGTGCAGTGGACCCGAGACCCGACAAACGACGACTGATGGGATGCTCCTTCAGAGCTGTGCCCGACTTGCGAGCAGGTCGAATGTCCGAGCCATCAACCAGCGCTCGCAACTCAGCCGAGAGCTGAGGCACTGGCTCGTCGTCTACCGCTGCGGCAGCCGAGTGCTTCGACGAAGCGAGATCGGCCATAGTGTGAGATTTAGGCATCTCGCCGGCCGACATCTGAAGTCGGGAAGAACTGCCGTCCCACATCGGGTTGATCACCTGCGAGGGCGAGCGATCGGCGAAAGAGGATCGGTTTACGTCGCCACGCGAGCCCGATGCGGCTGTTGCTTCGTCCTTCCGCATCACGGATAGCACAGAGGCGCTGGGTGTCTGGGGCGTGTCCATGAGAGAAGCATTCGGACTCGAAGGGTTCGAAAGCCATCCATCGATGCGGTGAACAGCTTGCGCTTTCAGCACCAGGCGGTCTCGGTCGCTCGTCCGGCCGGGAGAAGCCAAGATCGGCGCTGTCGTTTTCGACGGCACCGACGGAGCGATCGAGCTTGGCGCGTGGCCAATCGCAGCATGGATTCGCTGGATCGGACTGCTGGCGATGCTGTTCGCATTGCGCGCTTTGATCCGCTCGGATTCGAGCCGAGCCTGAACAGCTGCGGCTTCTGCAGCTTGACGCGAACGACGTTCGCTCTCCTCTCGCTCTCGTCGTTGCTGTTCCTCATGCTTGCGGTGCTCCTTCTCTTCCCGCTCCCTTCGCCTCGCCTCCTCCTCCCTCTGCATGCGCTCCATCTCCGCCCTGCGCTCAGCCTCTTCCCTCGCCCGCTGCTCTTCCTCCTGTTCCCTCAACTCGCGCTGTCGCCTCGCCTCTTCCGCAATCCTCTCCCGCTCCAACCTCTGCTGTTCGGCAGCCCTTGCACGTGCAGCCTCCTTCTTCGCCGCCTCCTCTTCTACCGCAGCTGCCTGTCTCGCCTGCTCGGCCAGCAGCTGCCTTTGCCTCTCCTCTGCCGCTCGCGCTTGCTCTTCGGCGCTCTTGCGCTCTGCTTCTTCTCGAGCCAGGGCTGCAGCGCGCAGCGCGCTGTTCCTGCGCGATCGTGTCGAGTCGTCAAACACGGCGGGTGCGGACGAGAGCGGGCTGGACGTGTAATCGGCTCGACCCACGTTGGCAAGGGTGACGGCGGCGGCGCGTTGGGTACTGCTGATCTTGGGCGTGGTGGAGCGTACGAGGTTCGTCTCGAGCGCATGCAGGCCCATTCCTTGGGAGGAAGATGTGCGTCTCAGTGACACTGTCGATCGAGCTGCTGCCGGTTGGTCCTCGCTCGTGCGTCTGACATCCATAGAAGGGGAGTCTTGTTGAGATTGAACAACGTTCGCTGTTGAGGCCTGCACAGGAGCTTGCACTTCTGCGTCGTACGCAGCAGGCTGACTAGTAGGCACCTCTGCAGCAGCACCGCCCTGGAAGATCTCGCTAGCCTTGAGCCTGAACGTTCCTGTCGAAGAAGCATGCGACGTCTCGCTGCGCCGGCTAGTCGAAGCATGCGGCGTCGTTTCCGGAGCTGCGGTCGACACTGGCTCTTCGTTGGCCTTATTGAATGCCTCCTCATCCGGTTGCATCCCCATAGCGATCATCTGCCTCTTGACCTCCTCTTCATCCTCCTCCGCCTCGGCCATAGCCTCAAACTGCTCGATGTTGTTCCGCGACACGCTGTTGCCTTTGGTGCCCTTGGCACCCTTGGTTCCCGTCTTGCCGATCGTAGGGAGCTTCGACATGGTCTTGATCGTGCCCGCCTGAGACTCGCTGTCCTCTTCGATGGTGGCAAGACCAGCAATGGGAGGCGCTCCGCCAGAGTACATGGGCATCGATGGCTGGGGAGGCGGAGCAGAGAATTGCTGAGTGCTTGGACCGGGAACGACGATGCTTTGCGGTTCTGGCATGGGCGGCAAGGTTTCTCGTGGCGCATTCGGATACGCCACTTGCGGAGGTAGCGCACCACCGTATGGTCCTGCAGCAGGGAGCGAGGCTCGACGGTCGCTGATAGCTGCAGGTTCGATCTGAGGGAAGGGCATAGCAGAGTGGTGAGGGGAAGCCGCGGCAGCGACAAAGCTTCCCTGGTGTGCGAAGGCAGCAGGTCCAGGAGAGACCGACATGGCTCTCTGCGAAGCCATCCATGCCGCAACTGGATCTACGTGCTGTGCAAAGGACTGGGAAGACGCCACGTTTTGCGACATGTCAGGAGCAGCACTGGCGGATCGCTGTAGAGCATGACCTGCAGCAGCAGCTGGAGGCGACATGAGCCTGCTTGCGTTCCAGCTGTTGACCGTCGGGTCCCATTGCAGATGGCCATCGGGACCCAGCGCGAAAGGTTGAGCTTGGCTCGGTAGCTGAATCATGCCTGGCGCAGTACTTGCGGGTCTCAATGGACCTGCAAGATGTGCGGAGCCGGACATGACAGGAGCCGGAGACCAGCCTCGCTCCGCGGCCAGACGCTGCATCTCAAGCATGCCTGCGTCCATGTGGGGATGAGGCTGCGGGCGATGACCATCATGAGGATTGTAAAAGTGCGGTTGAGGGTGCTGAGGGTGGGCATGTCCGTGCGAGCGGCCCTGAGAATGGCCGATGGACGAGTTGGGACGCTGAGGCATCGAGTGGAGCGGTGGACCAGTGTGGAGATTGTCGAGGGTCGGCTCGACCGGATGTTGCGCGCTGGCGGTGTGTGCGACGTAGATGGGAATCTCGATGGTCAGATCCTTGGCAAAGGAGCCGAGAAGAAGGCTGACAAACGCAAATGTCCGCACCTCGAACAGACGCGTCTTGCGGATGGTTCGCAGATCCCTCGGAACATCGACAGCGACAGTGCAAACTGACTCTGCATCGGGTACAAACTCGTACTCGCGACCCTTGAAGACCTGGTCGTGCACGACTTCTGTGATGCGCGGTTCCAGCGACAGCTTTTCTGGGCTGTCGTGAAAGCCTTCAACGCTGCCGACGGGGAAGATGAGTCTCCGTGCCAGGGCAACCTTGATTCCGCTGAGGTGTCGTTTGGTGTTGTTCTTAATCCCGCATCGGATGAGGAGCTGACCGCCTCCCCAGAAGAGCTGCTCTGTCACGCCCGCTTCTAGCCAGACAGGGCCGTTGCCGCCCATGAAGAGGCGAGTGTCTCCCACCGCCTCGACCGGCTGGCGAAACCGAGGATGGAGTTGGTCGGACCACTTTTCGAGCACAAAGGCCTCTCTGCGAGCAGTGACGATCATCTTTTCGTCGTTGTACCACGTCTGCACGGTCGCCTTGAGACCATACCGGAGCGATGCGTTTCCTGCAAAGGTAGCGCAGGATGGTGCTGAAGCAGGCAGACGAAAGCTGAAGGGGAAAGAGGTTCGACCTTTTCTTGCGGTCCAGTATCCATTGATGGGAGCAGCTGGCAAGACGGCGTTGGACGGAGGCAGCTTTTCGCCTTGGAAGACGGTGCGATTGTAGAGGAAGAGCTGAGTAGCTGCGTGGTCGCGCGAGGTGAGCTGCTCGACGGCTTCGAGCTCGATGGCGATCTGGCCGATGCGAAGTCTCTGACCTGTTGTGCACGTCAACTCGACTTTGCCGCCGATGCAACCGCCGGCTTCGAAGAGACTGCTGGAAAGGATCACGTCGATCTTGACCTTGGGATGCTTGCTGACCATGTTCATGTGATCCTGAGTGCGGTCGCGATGCTCTGTGGGATCCTCGAGCCCGCCGAATTCAACATCGTAGCGAGATGGGACGCGAGTTGTGGGTGAGACTGATTGAGCACGCGAAACGGGTTGCGAGAGAGGGACGAGAGCGTGATCGAGCGAATATCCAAGGCTATCGATTTCGCTGGGCGGTGGAGGGAGACCGAGCTCTGGCTTCCAGGAGAAGGAGTTGCTGTGAGGGAGACCGTGCTCGTTTGGCATGGGGGACCGTGGCTGGTCATAGGGCTGGTGATACGCGTGTTGGTGGTACGACGCAGCTGATGCTGGACGACTGCCCGCGAGTGGGCTTGGAGGAGCGAACATGTTTGAGAGAGATGATGTGTTCTCGGTGGGTGGGTGGGTGCGCGTACGCTCGTGATGATCGTGATGCTCGTAACAGGTATTGCTTTATCGCTGATGATCTGCTATGGTGCTTGCGTGACGGGGTCGTGAACGTTCGTAACGGGTGTTGTTTAGGTTAACACATCAAGTTACGATGTGCACGTTAGACTCGTTGTGTCCGCACGCAAGCTCTCTACGGTCGGAAACGTCGAGAGAGCGACGTCGCAGCAAGTCGATGCGGATCGCAGAGATGGATGTCAGGAGTCGAGAAGGAACGTTGGCAAGAGGACAAAACAGCGGCCGCCGTGTAGGCCACAGTCTGTCGGGAGAGAGAGGCAGCCCAATGTGGAACGCAAATCAACTCCGACGCACAATTTGGCAGCTTTCGCAGCTCGGTTGTATGTGAACCCCTATTTTGACAAACACTGGCCCTGCAACCTCGTATTTTTCCACTTTTCGACGCATCAACTTCTCCCTTTTTTCTGCCCCTTCTCCACAGCCGAGCCAGAGAGCACAGAGACCAACACTCAAAAAGGCCCGAAAGTGAGCGGGCAGGACCCCTATCCAATTTACCGTAACCCTACCGACGCCCCGGTGACGCGACAGCGCGACCGTCTCTGACGTATGACGTTCATGGTCATGGTCTTGCTAGCCACTGTGCGTTCAGGTTACCATTTCGTAGGAATACGTCTGGCTCAATCAGATAGCGTTTGGCTGCGCCGGAGACAGCACGCTGGGTTGCAGTGGACATCTTCAGACGAGAGGTCTCATCTGGAACTCATCTACCTCCCGGCGTTCGACCAGCCTCATCGTCTCGCCTCTGCTACTCTGAGGTGCTTCTACCCTCCAGCTCTCCACTACAGCAACGTCTGCTCACCCATCCTGAGCCGACTCACAAAATCAGGCGCATCTCTGTCCGGAAAGCCAAATCTCTTCGAGGCAAGAGCAACAAAACATCACAACGAGGAGATAGAGAGAAAGAAACGAAAATACAATCTGCTTTTTGGGAGGGGGAATGTTGCAAACGTCAGGTGACGCATTGTGTTCGCAGAACGTGGTTTTTGGGGATGGTAACTTCGTGCCTTCCGAAAACGTCCCGCGATCCACACAGGCTTGTGCGGCGTGGAACGGACGAAAGGCAGAAGGATCTGGCAAGAACAGCCAAGTTTTGTTGTCAGATGAGGCATAAGAAAACAAGGAGCGTCTTGTAGAGGTTTGTGCGTAGAGGCGCAGAATCCGCTATTTGAACAGCTCGTCGAGCATCGCGTGTCGACGACGGCGTTTTTTGCGGATCGCCTACAATCTCGCTAGAGCAGCAGTTTAAGCAAGCGAGGGGAAGGCGCTCTGGTCAGCCAGGTTGACCGAAGCGTTGCCGCCACGACCACCACGGCCACCACGGCCACGACCAGCGCCACGCTCACCGCGAGGAGCGCCACGGCTGCCACCACGGGCACCGCCACGGCCGCCGCGCTGAACAGCGGGCTGGCTGAAAGTCTGCTCGATCTCGAGCACCTGCTTGCCCTCCTTCTGGGCGCGCGACTTGGCCTTCTGCGTCTTGGTAGCCGCAAAGTACTCGGCCTCCTCCTTCTGGTGCTTGGAGAACTTGGAGTAAGCAGAGTCGTCGGTGGCGACCTCGCGAGGAGCCTTGCTCTCAATGTTGAGCTTCTTGCCGGCCTTGGAGGCGAGGTACTGGTCGAGCGTCATGGTCTTGTCCTCCTCCTCCTCGGGAACCTTCTCGGCCTCAGCGGGCGCAGCAGCGACAGCGCCGGCCTCGGCGCCCTCAGCCTTGGCGTCAGCCTCGGCCTTCTGCTCGTTGTCGAGCTCCTTCTCGCCGTCCTCACCACCCCAGCCCTGGGCGACAGCCTTTTGCGAGTCGACGCGGTCCGTCTGAGAGTGACGGTCGAAAGCACGGCCTCGGGGAGCACCGCGGCCACGACCACGGCCACCACGGCCACGGCTCTCGCCGTTGCGGCCACGGCCGGCGCGGGCGTCCTTCTGCTGCTCGCCTTCGACGGCGTCAGCACCGGCAGCGGCACGGGGAGCGCCGTTGCGGGCACCACCGCGGCGCTGGTTGCCGGCACCGGGGATGTTGCGCTGGGGCTGAGCGGCAGGAGCGGGCGCGGCAGCCTTGGCGGGAGCGGCCCTTGGGGCGGGGACGTCGTCGTCGTCTGATGCGTGCGTGCGCATATGAAAACAAGTGACAAGGCGAGATGATCAGTATTTGCGTCGCTCGTAGATGTAGTGGTACGCAGGCCTGAGGGAAGCGGAGTGAGGCATCGTTGCTCTGCCTGTCGACCAAATGAGCCACGTCTTCCTAGTTGGTGAATCTCGGCGGCGCAGATGCCTCGGAGCGTTCCTGCAGAAGAAGGGTACTTACCACCAAGGATGGCGAAAGGGTTCTTGTTTGCGACCGACATTGCGTACGGTCGTCTTTGATCCTTTCAGGCGTAGACTGCGAAAGTGAAATCGAAGGAGGAAGGGTGAGGAGCGTGGGTGTCAGTGTGTGATGTCCTCGAATGTTGAGATGCGTGCATCCTGCCGAAACTCGAAGACACCCGGCGGAGAGGGTAGGGTCCACAGCGGTCGGTGGCCGACGTCGAAAGTGACTGGGGCGAGGACATGTTCGGCTCTTCAACCTGGACAGTCCGTCGTCTGAGCCATGGTACTTCTTTGCTGCTGGATCTCGTTAAGCTGATCAAGCACATGCCTTGTCCGGTGTAGCTATAAGGACGGTGAGCTGTCCTGCTTGGTTGCAACCGACGGAGAGCGTTGCTATGTGACTGCGAACGACCATCAAGCGCAAGCCTCGTGGCAGCAAGGGTGTGTGCACCGTATGCCGATGCTTCGAAACCGAGGCGACAAGCTAAATATGGCTGAACGTCGACCGAGAGACTGCCCATCCAAACCGCTACGGTGTCTAGAGCCGGATGTTGGATCGAAGCTGACTGGAAACTAACCTTCTAAAAAAGGAGCGGGACGCGGAAAGTCTGAACAGAAGTAAAACAGAGGGTCGCAAGTTGGACGAAGAAAAGCGAATCAAGACGGAGAGCGAGTCAGTCGGGATGTTGCAAGGCGAAGCCAGAAGACGGCTGGAGTCGAGACAGTGCAAGCAGAGATGAACGAGGCTGAAGAGTGTCGGTGTGCATCAGTGCATTGGACAGAGCGGTGTGCCAAAACTTTCAGACTGAGACGGAACAGAGGTGCGAAAGTTCGATCACTGTGCTGCCGTAGCTGAGCTCCTCTTCTGCAAGGAGTGCGCGAAAGACATCGCAGTATGTGCGAGAGGAGGGAAGCTGTTGACGGCGATGGATACTTCGAGCAGTCTCTGAAGTCGAAGAGCGAGCTGCGAGCATCAATGCTCTGCGAAGCGCCGTCAATCATAGCTATTCCGCAAGTTGAGGCGCATTGTCGGAACCACGTCTGCCAAAACGTTCGCTGCTGGTGCTGCTGGTGCTGCTGCTGCTGCTGCTGCTGTCGAAGATGCTGGTGCCGCCGAAAGCATGAAACGTACTTTCCGTAGTAGGAACTAGATGCAAGAATGCGAGGACACCGGTAGAGAAAGGGTGAAGAAAGGCGAGAAGGTTGAAGCCGCGTAGCATACGATGCTCTTTGCTGTCCATGGGCCTCACACACACACACACACACACTCGCTCACCCGCTCACGAACCGACGACGAGCAACGGCCAAGCCCAAACGCTGTTGCTTGCTTGCTTTTGCTGGCTCTGCTGTGCTCTCCCTCCTCCTCCTCACTCTCCCAAGAGCCATTGTCGGCTCGTCTGCCATCTTGCTGTTCTTCTGTTCAATTTGCAACCTCAGAGAACGGCGCTCTTCTTCTCTCTCCTTGTTCAAGCCAGAATCTGCGCTTGCCTTTCTTCGCTTCGAATACAATTTCACGGCTACAGTACGATTTGACTTCAAAATCACCCGAATTTGTATTCGTCTTGCCAGAGACTGCTCGTCTGCAAGCTCGTTTTTCTTCCTCGCTTTGGCTCTGCTTGCTCTTTTTTCCCATGTTTGACTTCCGGATGCGTTGCGGCAGCAGTCGATCAGGTTTTCTTCGTACGAGTCTCCCTCGGGTCGTGCGATCACCTTGGTGATGTTTGCGCTAAGTTACCATTGTTCTTACACGGTTGTGCGACAGACCACCGAACGTGTACCAGGCTTTGATGTTCCAATGCCACTTTCTATGTTGTGTCTTCGGACATGCTCGATAAATGTGCGACTTGCGGCTTGGTGATAGGTCGCACGATCACGCTCGTGGTTGCTGTTAGGCTGCGGGTCCGCAACCCGACATGACCGCAGCAGTTCGCATTTCGATTTTTGGACCACGAACTTCGGAACGCTCTAACAGCTGAGTGCTCATTTCTGCCTTGTTCGTATCGAAATGTCGAGGTCCTCTCATCATTGATAATCTGCTCGAGGTGGTTTCCTTTTCTCGTGCCAATCGCATTCGCACAGACGATGGGCACAATCCAAAAGACAATGAGAGGCAACACGGCAAGTTCAAGCCGATGATGATGATATTTTTGTGGTTCTTTGGCGAATCAACGCCGGGGGAACCAGCCCCTTTAAAGAGGTGACGCAACAGACGTTAGCGCACGAAGAAAGTACAAGTAAAAGGGGGAATGCAGGGGAAGCTTGGGGTCAAGAGAGAGGGCGAGATATGTAAAAAGGGGATCAACCAGCCGCGAGATGCGTCTAGTAGGCAGCCTCGGGCTGGACCTCGGCGGCGGGAGCAGCCTGGGCGGGGGCAGCAACCTCGGCGGGGGCGTTTCGCGACTCGGAAACGGGGGCGAGGATGGGAGCCTCCTCCTTGGGCTCGAGGATGGTGACGGCGTCGGGGAGCGGGAAAGGCTTGCCGGCACGTCCTTCGGGGTCCCAGCCCTGCATGATCTTGACCTTGATACCGAGAACACCCTGCTTCATGAGAACGTGACGAACAGCCTCGTCCACAAAGTCCTTGACGGGCTGACCGGAGTGGATCATGAAACCGTCGGTGAACTTCATCGACTTGGCACGAGCAGCACGCAGCTTACCCGAGATGACGACCTCGCAACCCTTGGCACCGGACTCCATGACGAAGCGGAGGACACCGTAGGCGGCACGTCGAACGGCGAGACCACCGAGCAGCTTGTAGCGCAGAGACTCGCACTGGGCGACGGCGTGCAGACCGCGGTTCTGCACCTTCTCGGCGTACAGCTCGAGCGAGTTGTCGGGGAACTTGAATCGCTTCTGGACGAGAGCGGTGAGCTCGCGAATGCGGCGACCCTTGTCACCAAGAACCTCCTGGGTGTGGGTGGCGCGGATGATGATCTCGGTGCGGGCGTGCGTGACACGGACCTCGCAACCAGAGTATCCCTCCTCGGAGAGCTCACGAGTGAAGAACTCGTTGAGCTCGGCGGCGAAGACACCGTCAGCGACAAACTGGAGATAAAGAAGAAGAGAATAGAGTCAGAATGCTGCTGCAGGTGAAGCTGTGATGGGTGGGATCAAAACACGTGTCGGCTCTCTCTCCTGTTGTGCTGTGCTCTGATGTGTGCAATCCCTGCGTCGCGAATGATGCTGTGTCATTTGCTCCTAACTCGACTGCTGCTGAGTCTGACCTTCACTTCATTGAGTGTGTCCCTCCATTTGGTGTATCCCTGTGACGGGTCGGGATGGCGTTGCCGGCTGGGAACGCTAGCCACTGAACTGAAATTTGAGACTGGAGTGTCATTCCTGATGCTGCCCGGCCGGCGTCAATACCAATGAGCAGGTGCAGTGTGGAAGGAATATCGGCGGCTTCGAACACTGCGTCGAGAATCTGCGAATTTAGTGGTTGAGCGACATTGTTGTGTGTCTCCGTGCTTCCGCGACGGACCACCCATCATGAAGACGGATGTTGTAGGTCGATCTCCCGCCATGACGCTCTGATATATGGATGCGATGCTGAGGCGGCCACGATCATTGTGTCGGAAATCTGCCGGTTGGGCCAATCAGGCATGATTTGGAGCCTGGACCATCTGGCCATTGAGCGTGCTGCCCTCTGTGCACATGTGTCGGAAGCCTCCATCTGATTGCTTGGACAATCCGTTTTGATGAACTCGATATGTCGTCGTCCGCATATGTCGAAATGTTGGGGCGGATTGTGCTGAACTCGTACGGCAGAGGTTGGGCGGGTTGCATCGCATCTAGCGTATTCGAAGAGAGAGAGTGACGGCGGTGTGTTTCGATGTCGAGCGAATCCTTACCTTTCTCTTCTTGGAAATGTTAGCGGAAGCCATCTTGAAGATATGTGTGGTGGTGGAAGAGTGGTAGCGTCGACGACGATCTGGAATGGTTGAACCCCGCCCTGCTCGGACGCTGTGGCACACTCTGGCGCTGACACGCTGCAACTGCTTACCTGCGTCAAGGATCTGGGCTGGGCTTCTTGCGCGCCAACCGTCTCTTGCTCGAGAATATTCGCACCTCGACGTGAACTCTGCTAGACTGGCGTTGAGCCTCGATGTTCTTGCTCGGCTTGCTCAGCGCAGTACCGGACTCGCCCTTGGATGCTTGCATGGGCGACTCACGCAAAGTTGGAGCCCGAGAGGCCCAGACGAGACAGCAGAGCGACAGGATTCAGGAGCGTTTCTAAGGGAGCAAAACCACATCGGCCGAAGGTCACGTGTATCTCCAACAGCTCAAATCGGATTTTCATGTGAGATCACGATAAAACTCTTTTTTCAACAAGTTTCAATTTGGTTGTGGTATAAGTGCCGCCCTAACAAAGTTTTAGAAACGCACGAGCCAGATTTTGGACTGACGTCGAGCTGCAGGGTCCATCGGATGTTCAAAGCTCTAATCTCAAAACCAGCATGCCTGGAGATCTGCGACTCAAGGTTGCGTAGCCGCTCTATCTCTGCAATCATCACCACATTTATCCCGCTGGTGTGCTGAAAGTCAACAATCACCACGACTACCATCTGCAAGGCCCTCAGCTACGCTCGGGTTCACTTCATCGTCATGGCTGCGATTCGCAAAGCTTCTCACGCCGGGAGCTGGTACACCGATGATCCGGAGGAGCTCGATGCGAGTCTCTCCGAATGGCTCTCCGATGTCGAAGACTCCACTCTGCCTTCGCCGCTCTCAGTCTGCTCGACATCCGCCTCCAGCAGCAGCACACCGCTTCCACTTCCCGTCCCTGCAAGTCGAGCCATCATCGCACCTCATGCCGGCTATTCGTACTCCGGTCCAGCTGCAGCCTACGCCTATCGAACCATCGACACCTCTTCCATTCGCAATGTATTCATCCTTGGCCCTTCTCACCACGTCTACCTCGACGGTTGTGCGGTCTCTGCATGTTCGGCGTACGAGACACCGTTAGGTAATTTGCGGATCAACCGCGAGATCACGGAAGAACTGAAAGCTACCGGAAAGTTCTCCACAATGTCGAAGAGCGAAGACGAAGATGAACATAGCATCGAGATGCACCTCCCCTACATCTACAAGGTGTTCGAAGGCAAAAACATCCAGATTGTGCCGATTTTGGTCGGTGCCATCAATACGAGCAAGGAGAACGAATTCGGCAAGCTGCTGGCGAAGTACGTGGAGGATCCCAGCAACTTTTTCGTCGTCTCGAGCGATTTCTGCCATTGGGGATCCAGGTTTCGTTACACGTACTACAAGCCTTCAGGATCGAGCCTCGCGACGAACCTGACGTCACGATCTTCGAGGGACATGTTGGAGTCCAAGCCGATCCACCAGAGCATCCGAGAGCTCGACGAAGCAGGCATTCTCGCCATCACCCATCCTTGGTCCCAGGATGGAGAGAAGACGGCGGAACAGGCGAGGTTGGCGTTTGCAAAGTACCTCAGCGAGACCAAGAACACGGTCTGTGGGAGACATCCGATCGGTGTACTGCTGAGCGCGTTGGCAGAGTTGGAGAGGTCAGGGAAGAGGTCAGAGGCCAGGTTCACGAGGTACGAACAGAGTAGCAAGTGCATGACCGCGCACGACTCGTCGGTCAGCTATGCGTCGGCGTTTGTTCGCTTCCGCGAGTGAATAGGATCGTCATCCTGCATATCGCACTTCTTGGCGATTCACGAGCTGATGGACTCATCGTGAGTGTCATGTTCATCACGCTCTTTTCAGTAGTCAGTCGAATCAATCGAACAATCTATCTCTGCAGACAATCGACAGGCAGAAGCACGCAAGAAAGCCGCAGGTTGAACGAATGCTTTGTGAAGCCCAGCATGTGTACAAGATGCAGATTAATAAGATGCGACAGCCACCTACATACCCTGCTGACCGGGATGCGGTTGAGCAGCCTGCGACTGCAGCTCTTGCAGCTTCTCGGCCAGCCTCTGCGCCTCATTGACGATCACCGCCTCGTCCACCCAGGCACCCTTGAACGTTTCGGCACGTCGCATCTCCTCCGCGGTGAAGCTCGACACGGATCCTCCTGCACCCGGGATCGGATTGTTGCCCAGGATCGCATCCAGATCGCGCGCCTGGCTGGCAATCCACGTCCGCAAGTGTCCCTGCGGATCCTTCGCAAAGGCAGCCAAAAAGTCGCGCGCACTGGCGCGGTTGCGGATCGTAGCCGCCGCTTGAGCGATCTTGTCGTCCAACTCGGCGATCTCCCGCGAAGTGGCGTCGTTGGCCGTATCGAACTGTGCGAGCACGTTGTGCTGCTTTTGACGGATGGCGAGATCCTCGAGATCAAGCTCAATGTCGTACGCCGTCGAATGCTTGTACTCGGCCTTGTCGGTTCGGACCCAGTACTCGATGACGATGGGCTGTGCAGGGTGAAGATGACGGTTGACGACTTCGGGCATGTGGTGGAAGTTGATCGTGTCCGTGTTGAAGAGCGAGCGCAGCGCAGCATCGCACTTGACCTTTTTCCGATCCGTCTCGTCCAGCAGCTTCTTCTCCTTGACGTACGACCAAAGCGCCGAGATGACGCCGGCACGCGACTCTTCGCGAATGTCGAGCAGCGCGGCCAGCTCGGAGGACAGCGAGTAGCGCTCCGGGGTATATGCGGGATAGAGCACGATCTTGACCTTGGTGGGGACATTGCCCTTGCGCTTGATCTCAAAGCCATCCAACGCTGGCTCGGCACTGGCAACCAGCGGTGCCTCCATGCCTTGGGTTCCTCCGAGACCGCCAGCTCCTCCTCCTGCCTGCATACCACTTGCTGGCGCAACAGAGGGCACGGGGCGGTGCCACTCGACGATGTTGCTGCCGTCCGGATACAAGGCCGGGTCGCGCATGAGTTCCACGACGCACGTCTTGATGAGATTGCTGAACTTGTGCGCGCCCGTGCGGTTGATGCTCGCCTGGGCAGAGAGAGCCGTGTTGGCACGCGACTTGAAGGAGGGCTCCAGCAGGCGACCCTCGATGCGGACCGTCCACGAAGGCACAGCGTCCTCCTCCTTGTCTTGGCTCGCATCCTTGTCGCCTTCGGCCTTGACCTCGGCTGCGTCGCCCGCCTCGGCAGATGGCGCAGAGTCCTTGGCCTTTTGCTTCTCGGCGAGCTGGAAAGGCTGGTTGGCGCATGTGTTGCTCAAGAAGATGCGCAGCGTGCGCTTGATCTTGGGAGGTCGCGAGAGACCATCGGTGAGCTCGGCTCGCTTTCTCGCCACTGTCCAGTCGAGATTCTTCTCCATGCGCTGAAGGTCCGAGTAGAAGGCTGACTCGGGCACCTGACGCTTCAGCGAGGGAGGCAGACTACGGTCGGTAGGTCGGCCGCGCTTCAACCCACGGAAGCCTTGTCCCACCAACACGTCCTGCGCGTTCTTTCGACGGAGGGTGTGAGCTTGTTGCTGTGCTTGTGCTTGCGCCTGTGCTTGTGCCTGGGCCATCTGCATTTGCATCTGCATTTGCATTTGATGCTGTGCTTGGGCTTGCGACTGTGTCATTTGGCCTTGTTGGTCCATCCTGTACTGAGAAGGGAACGATTGGTTCGGAGACGGGTATGGATGATAGTTGAATGCGTGTCGAAGTTGCGGATGCTCTCTTATTGCGCCGCGATGATGTGCACCAGTTGACACCGGATAAGGCGAGTGCGGTCCGAGCTGAGATGGATGATGAGGAGTAGCTACTTGGTGCTGCGGACGAAGGTACACCGATTGTGCGGGTACGATGTTTCTGAGATGGACGGCGGGTACAGCTTGCTGTGCTGAGTGAGCAAGCGATCCGTTCTGCGTCTGAAGGGGATGGTCTGCTACCTGTGATGCGACCTGAGCAGCGGGATGGACCAGCGCAGGAGTGGAGCCTGGAGGATAGCACTGTGTTCCCGGTGCAGGATGAAGGCTTCGATGCGTGTCGGCTGAACCTGGTGAGAAAGCGCCCAAAGTCTCTGCTGGACAGGATGCTCGCTGAAGGGGCAGACGCGACTGGTTGCGTGCTAGAGGGGAGCTAGGATAAGGGGCTGCGCTGTGAATGGAATGACCCTGAGCGACAAGCGGTGGAGCTGCTCGTTGTAGAAGCGAGCTGGCCGAATCCAGCGGTGTGGGAACGCCTACTCGGGAATCGGGGAAGGCAGGCTGCTGTGCGGTGCAGGCAGCAGCTGTTGCAGGCGAATCAGCAGATGACTTTGCGCGACGAGATGCGGCGGACGACCTGAAAGAGTTGCGAAGCGGTTGTATGCGCTTCTTTGGACTGCGCTGTGAGGTGGCGTCTAGCTGCGGTGACGATAAAGAGGGGGATGACGAGGGTGCAGGCGAGAGGGAGGATGACGACTCGCGTGTGCGACGATCGAGGAGCTGTCGTTTTTGCTGCCGTGAGAGGGCTGGCGGTGGTCGTGCAGGATGTAGCTGTTGTGGTGCGATGTCAGGACCTGAAGCTGCTTGCGGAGGAGATGCGGTCGACGAGGCGTGCTTCGATGTCGCAGCTGGGTGTGATGGTGTAGGGAAACGTGTGGAATTCGACTCTTGTGCTTGATGCTCGGCCATGTCGTCCATCCAAGCCTTCGCGTCGCTCTGGTCGAACGGCGAAAACAGAGAATGTAAGATCGCGCCGCCCGGCCCTTGGCTAGATTATTTGGCTCGACCCGCGTTTTCTGTCAAACGGCTTTGACAGGCTCTAGAGCGCGATGTGTTGCTCTTGCACCGGCTCTTTTTGCGCTTGTCTCTCTACGTTGACAGGCTCGCGTCGAGAGGCAGCCTCGCTAGAAGAAAGGCTCCGTCCTGCACAATGCCGCGGGTGACACGAGAGAGAAAGTCGAATCGACCGGAGTGTATACCGTTCAGCGCTTTTGCTCTGCTCAATGAGCCAAGATGTCTGTTGAAGGTGTCTCTCTAATTCGATAGCCAGCAAAGAGAGTCTCAGCACGATGGGTAAATTTGATATCTGCCCCTAAGTGATCGGGACCCTGATCGCGTGCGATGTTGGTTTGCTGAATGGTTTCCCGACTCAGTTCTGCTCGTTAAGACGATGATGTCGAAGCGCGCTTTTCGTTCAGGGGATAGACCCAGAAGCTCAATCCTGAGCGAGCCTTGTGATTCACGGCGATTGGGCCAGAAAGCCAGAACGAATTTGTTGCCTCCCAGAAACCAAGAGCGGACGAGGAGGAAGAAGGCCGAGCGTCAGGCTAACCGACGGACTTGCAGGAAAGCGACAGTCGGCGGCGGCAAGCGTCGAGCGAGCGAGGGAACGGCCGCTGGACGAGGGCAAGGGCAATCGAATCGGGGGCAGGTCGCGGCCAAAGGATAGATCGACCCGCGGAAGGGCCAAGGGGCTTCGGGGCTCGCAGAGGCGCGAAGGGCTTTGGAATGGTCGGAGAAGCAATTGTGACAGCGTATGGGTGAGGAGACAGCGGCGGCGATGACTAGGCGAGCTGCAAGGTCGCTTGAGGTGTCTCGGCGAGAGGCGCGTTCGTGGCTCGAATCGACTCAGCCAATGAAACGGACAGTCGCGTGTGGTGATCGAACGTCACTCGTGCGAGTGTTTCTTTCCCCCTTGACACGACACTCATTTGACGTTTGACACTTGATATCTTCGGTACCTTCGTCTCACCTGATCTGACAAGTCAAACGAATCCAGGAGACTGTCAGGAAGGCTATTTGACGGACTCGTGACGCTGTCGACGGGTTACAGAGAGCTTGACGGTAAGATCTGGCCGTGATTTAGTCGCTGTAAGCAAGCAAGCAAGTCGTGCTGTACAGGCGAATAAATTCCATCGTGTCCTCCACACTGTTTCGCCCAGCCCATCTGTACGTTGTCGATCCGGCCCGCGCACCGCACCAATTTCTCTGGAGAGTTGTGTGTTGGGACTGTCTGGTTTCTCTGGGGCGTGAAAAGTGCACGAGCAACTAGCGACATGCGCATGGACCTCCTCCTCAGCGCCGATTACCCCGCCGGCTCCCGTTTCTCCTCCCTACCTCTTCCCCACACCATCCTCCATCCTTACATTCATCCCGATTCGAAAGCTACATCACACATCATGTCTGCCGAAGCCAAGTTCAACAAGGCCGTCTCCATCGTCGGTTCGCTCCCCAAGGATGGACCTGTTCAGCCTACCCAGGATGACCAGCTCAAGTTCTACGGCTAGTATGTTGATCCCAGCTCGATCTCGAAGAGCCAGTCCTTTGCATTTTGAAACAACATTGACTCTGAACATCTCTTCTGTCTGATGTCGACAGCTACAAGCAGGCCACCATTGGTGATGTCAACACCAAGAAGCCCGGCATGTTTGGTAAGTCTTTGCTTTCCACAAGCTGATGAAACTTTGACGAAGGAACCTTGACTGACACTCGCCAATTTCGCTATTTGTGTTGTGGTGTTGGACGTGATAGACTTGACCGGAAAGTACAAGTGGGAGGCTTGGAACAAGAACCAGGGCATGTCCAAGGAGGACGCCCAGAAGGCGTACGTCGAGGCCCTTCTTGCGGTACGTTTTTTCCTCTCTCTCCTCCATTCAGGACTGATTGCCTCAATACTCACGCTGACCTTTTCGCACGCTTGGCCTGCTGCTTTCCCTGCATACAATGCGATCGTTGTTGACATTCACAGATCCTCAAGAAGCACGAAGGAGAGGGTGACTCTTCCGACTACATCCAGCAGATCGAGAGCGCTTAAATCTTTCCATCACCGTCATGTATTCGTCCTGATTACATCGGATCTCGGACCCTATACAAATGCCTTTGATCGTCCATATTGCCCTGTCAAACAGCAAGTGTGATCTTTGTGTCGCTTACAGTATCGGCGTCGACTTTTGCGGGAGAGCAGCTGTCGCACGATTTTAAAGCATAAGACCGGTCCTCACTCTTGACCATCGACCCACTGCGTTTGAAAATTGCCCTCCCAAAAAATGGAGGCTGCAAAATTAAGCCCTAAAATCGCACACCTTGCTGTCTACCTCACACGACGCCTCTTAACCTCCATTTAGATACCTTTTGTTCGATTGCGCACAGCAGCCAAAGCGGAACGACATGTATGGAGAAGGCGAGCGAGAGCAAGAAGGTGCGGGTCATTCCTGTGGTTGATTGATTTGGATCTGTCATTTCTCTGAAAAACATTACGACTGGGCTGCGGCGTCGAGCGCCTTCTGAGCAAAGAATCGCACATCGGCATCCGAGTCCTCCTTCAACTTCTCCAACGCCGGTGAGATCTTGGTCTTGATCACCTCCTTACCCTCGGGCGTCTTGACCAGCACGCTCGACAACACCTCGAACGCCTTGGCGACGTTGAAGCGAATGTTGGGGATGGGATCGCTCACCATGGGCAGCACCGTCTCCAGCACGTCTCCCGTGATGGCAGGTGTGTCGAGCGATGGCGCCATCGTGGTGATGGCAAAGATGGTCGTCATGCGATACAGATAGTTGGGATGGGTACCCATCTGCAGCACCTTGGGGATGATGGTCTGTCTCGCCCACTCGACGCCAAACACGTCCGTCAGCTTCTTGAGGTTGACAGTGGCAGCCTCGCGAATGCTGAAAACAGTGTCTCCGAGCCACGACATGCACAGGTTGCTCAGCTGCTCGTCGAAGAACTGCACGCCGAGCTGATTGGCCAGCAAAGGAATGTACTCGATGATGGCCTGTCGAACGCGCCACTGCTTGTCTTCTGCCAGCTCAACGATGGCGGGGAGCAGCGACTGCGACAGAAGGTCGATGCCGATCACCTCGTTCACTTGCTCCAACTTGGAGATAATGTTGAGACGCACGTCTGGGAACTCGTCCTTGAGCAGTTGGAGGAACAAGGGTAGCAGGTGCTCGATGGTGGCCTCCTTGCCGAGCAATGGTGCCAGGCCCGAGATGTGCATACCGAGCGCCGCGCGGACATGCTGGGAGTTGTCGCCCGCGAGGTCGCGGACACAGGGCATGAGACGCGCCAGGATGATGTCTTGGTCAACCAGCTTGGCGAAACCGGGGATTTGGCCGGCGCCTGCCGTTCGTACTTCGGCCTCGTTGTCCTTGAGCAAGTGAACGAACGCCATAACAAGCTCGTCCCGCACCACATCCTCACCCACGGCCGAAGCGAGCTTGACGAAGTGATCCGCAACCATGTATCGTACCCTCCAGCTCTTGTCCTGAACCGCGCTGCGGATGGACGGCAACAGATAGTTTTTGGACTCGTCGTGGTTGAGCGATTCGGCGATGGCGATGAGATCCTGCACAGTGAGCAGACGTACCGAGTCCTGGTCGTCCGACGAGAGCTTTCGGTAGAGCGGGATGATGTCCGAGACGACGAGCTCCTTGGAGAGGTTCTTTGCAAATGGGCCGAGATCACGGGCGGCGGCTCGTCGGACCATGGGGGTATCGTCGTTGCAGAGGGCAGTGAACATCTTGCGGAGCTCGTCTTGTGTGGCGGGCTTTGCTTTCGGGTAGACGGCAGAGAAGAGGGAGGTGGAGCTAGTTCGCGATGTGAACCAATCGCCGCCGGAGAGTCGCTTCAGAAGCGGGATGTAGTGCTCTTCAATCTGAGCTTCCGAAAGAACCTCGGCGATCTTGACGATCGATTCAGCTGCCTGTAATGATGTAAATGTGGGCGGAGTAGCGCGGAAGTCAGTGCTGAGTCGAGCAGACGAGGAGCAGGCCGAGACGCCGAAATATGCTCTCGACCTAGAATGCAAGCCCTTGAAGCGGTGTATTCGACGGCCAGAATGACAGCCGTCGACATGGCTGCGTTTGGCTGCTGCTGCTGTGTGACTTACCTTTTCACGGACCACGCTCTCCTCCACTGCGGCGAGGTTCTCGAGAGGACCGAGAAGGAGGTGTGCATATGATGGGCCTCCCAAGTATTCTACAAAACCGGAACCGAGCTCTTGTGCCAGAGCGAGCAGAACCTCGTCTTCGTCATCGAGCGAGTCCTGGAGGAATGGAATGAGCTCGTCACGAGCACGCTCTGGACCAAGCGCAAGAGCGATGGTGGAGATGCGGTGGATGGCATTCAAGCGCAGCGTGACATCGTCTGATTTGAGCTCATCGATGAGAATGGCGATGGGAAATAGCTGCTCGTCTGCCTCCATGTTGGCGTAGACTGGGTGTGTTGACTGAGATGCGGTGGATGCCGAGGAAAGATTTATCGTGCTGTAACGTATCGTGACGTTTGCTGACTGTGCGCCCCCGGTTCAAGTCGATGCGACGTTCTAGCGAGATACGATGGTGGGACTATTTCGAGGTTGCGATGAGTGTTTGGCGCAGGAAGGACAAGCTTGGAGCCTATCTGTCTCCAGATCTGCAAGCGATCGATTGGCAAGGCCGTCGAAGTTGTGCGTACAAGTGGCCTACGACGGTCCAAGATGGGTGAGCGAATGCGACGGAACAATGGAAGGATCGAAGCCAACGAGATGTGCGAGTGCTGGCGTAAGTATCGAGATGGTATAGTGTGGTGGATCGGAGGGTGGAAGAATAGGCATCGGCAAAGTGACTTTGGACGATTCAACGCGATGATCCGCGCTTGCTTGGACGAGCAACATCAGCGCAGCAAAAGCCTCAGCAGCACAAACGAACACGCCATGGCCCAGCCAAGCCAGCCAAGCCAGTCAGCCAGCCAGCCAGCCAGCCAGCTAGCCAAAGACGCCAAAAATGCGCTCCATGAACGAACACAGCCAACTCGCCTCGGTGCGCCTTGTGCTGCCTCTTCGCTTCGCCACGCCCAAAGCCCGTGCGTCGTGCAATTCTGTAGAATGAAATTCCTTACAGAGACAACAGGCTCCTTTCTTATCAATCCGAACGCAAACAGCAATCTTGAATTGACTGCGTCAGCCAAAATGTATTCATTCGAAGGCTCTCCTTTTTCAATTTTGATCGAATCGTGTGCCCAATTCCTGACCAACTCTGTTTCGAGATCTTACACCAAAACGCGTCTCGGACATTCGCGCACGACAGCCTCACAAGCAACAGTGAGTGGAATCTCGATGTCTACGATCGACACTGTATGTGCGGTGGAAGGGTGGGGGTGACGGCGTTGCTCGACATCACAGATTCTTTGCTGCTGATACAAACGAGTGAGTGTGCCTGGAGTGCCAAAAAATCACTCGACTTTGTCCAGGTCCAAATCGGCATAGACACTCTCGGTGGGCGTCTGCCACGCATGTCTAGCCTCGTCGAAGAGCTCTTTGAAAGCATACTGCAGCTTCTCGCGTCGGTCCATGGCACCTACCATGTTCTCGCTCAACTGCGGTCGCACCGGTCCATGGTACGGCGCGGCACCCGGCTGAGGCGTGCCACTAGCTGACGACACGCCATTGGCGGCGAGCCCCTGCGAAAGGTTGGAGTCGTCGTGGTAGCTGTGACCGCCCTTCTTGCGCTTGCTCAGACTCGCCCTGATCTGTCGCAGCCGCTTGGTCCATCCGATCTCGATCTCCTTTTCCACCGAGTTGAGGCAATTCAGATAATCCTGGTACGCCATGCGGTCCTTTGCGATGCCAAACAGCCGATCCTTGCGCATCTCGTTGACCTTTTGCTGACGCGCCAGCTCGCGCTGCACCATCCTCAGCGTGGTCGAGATCTCGTCGTCAGCTCGCGTAGACCAGTCCAGGTTCTCGTCGGCGCCGAGCACTTCGAGCGCTTTGAGCTCCTTTGCGATGCGCTCTTCAAACGTCGCCATATCCTGGTCCTGCACCACACCTTCAAAGTCCAGGTCTGCTTCTCCGTCTGCATCCTCGTCGTCGCCATCCTCGTCGTCCGGTCGAGAACTATGTCCATTGAGGTTGGCCAGCAGCGCGGGCGGTATCGCTGAGCCAGCTTGGTGTCCAGCGCTGGACGCCGTCGTGTTGTCGGCCGCATCCTCCGTGTGCGAAGGTAGCAGTGAGGCCACCAGTCGTTCAGCCAACGGTCCACTGCGAGCATCGACCACCAAGGGCGACTCCAGACCTAGATGCTGATTTGACATTTGCTTGACCCTGAACGGTGGGGGCGGGGGGATCTCCAGCTCGGCTCGTGCTGCATGTTTGTTGCTATCGTCAGTGGTGCCGTTCCTCGCGACTGCGAGTGCGCTGACGTCCAACGGCAGCCCTCCTCCTGCACCCATGCTGATGGAGGGCGAGCGTGAGATGACGCCGAGAGAGTTGCCAAAGACATCCAAGGAGCCATTGGCCATGAGCGCCTCTTCTTCCTCCCACACCTCCTTGTAATGACGTCCGAGTGGCGGCATCTGAAACGGTTCGTGGTCGTCTGACTTGCTCGAAAGCCAGGCGAGGTCGTCCTCGGTGAGCGTCTTGAAGAAAGCATCGGCATAGTTGTAGAACGTGTTGATGGGCGTCTGTTGCAAGTCTCTCCCTCCTCTTCTCCCCGCGGTAGCCTCCTTGACCATGCTCTGTCCCGGGCCGATGCCACCTGGTGTACCTGGACCCACACTCTCACGCTCCAGCAGTCGATCACGTTCACGCTCCTTCTCCTTCCAGTCCTTGTTGGCGAAATCCTCCATGACCTCGCCGGGCTTGGTTGGATAGGCTCGAGGCTTACGCGACTTTTCCAGAGCAGGCATAAAGGTAGCTGGCGTGCGGGCCGGCAACTCCCAGCCGGGCGCTGGCTGGTAGATAACGGGAGGTACATGCGGCGGCTGCGCGAGCGGTGTGGACGGTAGTGGCGACGGAGATGGGAGGACACTGTTACGCCTGGTAGAGACCTGAGTGCCGTCGGATGCTTTTCGCGGAAAGCCGGGCGGGGTTTGGGCTGCTGCTGCTGCGCTGCCGGTGCCTGCATTGGCCTTGAGACGCATTCCGATGGCGGGTATCTTGGGGGTTGCGGTGCCGCCTGACGAGGTGCCGGCTGCGCTGGTAGCTGCTGCGGCTGAACGTGGTGCAGCAGCGGAGGATGAGGTGATGTGTTTGTTCGTAGCGGCAGCGCCGAGCAGAGCGCCAGCCTCGAATTCGGAGCCGGACTCGTCGTCGTTGGAGTCGGCTCCGGCATCTCTTCGTTTGCGCTTCTTGTTCTTCGCATAGGTTCGGCCAGGCCGACTGGGCATGGAGTCCTCGTCGAAATCCCATTCTGGATCAGTGGAAGCGATGCTCTCGTCGTCCGCACCGACGTCGAAGCTATGTGCTCGCGCTGCTTTGCTGCGGGGGTTCGCCTTGCCTGCCGCACCGGCTAGCTTGTTGGGCGAGTGCGACCCCGAATAGAGTGCGGAGGAGCTGGCGGGGGCGCTGTCATTGTCTCTTTCACGCTTGACCTTTACCTTGTTCTTGGAAGCAAGAGCCCCAGCTGCGGAGCCGTTCAGATTCGATGTGGAAGAGGAAGGGGCGGGTGAGGCAAAGGAACGCTCGCGCGTCTTTGGGTTCTTTGAGGATGAGGTCGAAGGTGTTGACTGGCGGGCCGAGTCAGAGTGGAGATTGAGAGCGGCGGTGGAGAGACTGGAGAGGCCAGGTGGACTGAAGAGATCGTTGGGAGCCGAATAGAAGATGGGCCTGGTGGGATCCGATGAGCGTGAATCCAGGCGGGAGAGGCGGGCGGCGGACTCTGTCTTGATCCTGCCGAGATGTTTGGCGAGCGCCGAGAGCTCGTCGAGCGAAGGTATCGAGTCATTGGGCGAGATGTTGGAAAGCTGCGCAGGGAGGAATTGGCGATAGAAGGGCGCACTGGTGCTTGCGCGAGAAGCCGATGCAGAGCCAAAGGGAGACGAAGCACCACCAGCAGCAGCAGCAGCATCGCGCGACGCTCTGGACATTGCTGTGTTCGAGTCTTTGCCTCCCATGCTGGGCGAACGACGCTAGCTTTGGGCCAGCTCCGAAGCAGAGCGGGGTGAGATGACAGAATCAGAGCCGTTGTGACGTCGGCGTCATGAAGGGAGGACCGGATCCGTTCGGCGATCAACAGTGTTTTGCAGAGACGAGTCGGGCCGGGTGGAAGCAGTTCCGAATCAGACGTCCAGCGACGGCTTCTGTGTTCGCAACGTCGATGGTACAGCAATGCGAAGGGGGCTTTTGGGGCGGACGCCCGCCAATATTGTTCGCGAGGGTGCGAAGATGGTGATGGTGAGAAAGTCGCCGATGAAGTTAGGAAGGTAAACGTGCAGATGCAACACCCACCTGTTGACGTGACGCGGTGACAATCTTGCCGATGCAAAGGACCCTCCTCGATGTTTTGTCGGCCGTGTTTCAGTCGAGTCGAGTGGAGCGGAAAAAGAATGCCTGGCCCAATGGATGGTCTAACATTTATGATAGCAATCAAACCCCAGACACGTTCTCGATTCCGAACAAAACGTGTCAGGGGCAGAGACAGATTGATTGACACACAGTCTCCCTGGCAGCTTGCGAGTGCGTCGCCGCTGCAGCTGCAACCTCGAAGTTGAGCCGGTGACGTGCCGTGCGTGCTGTCTTCGCCCATTGTTCTGAAAGTGCACATCCTGGCTCACTTCTGGTGCAACTTTAGCGCGCTGCTTTTGACGATCTGAGCAACCGATCCTCTCTCCCCTTGGTATCATCAGCAGACTGTGAGACGAGGGTGCGAGGAATGTCCACCCACCCAGCACTGCGCTGTACTACTCTGCAGTCTGCGTAAACGGACGATGATACGGGATGATGATGTGCAGCTTGGCGCGGCTCATGTCAAGCCAAGCCGAATCACAGACCTTGCCATGGAAATATTTAATCAATTCTCAAATTTGCCCGCGACAACAACGTCACATTACTTGAAAGCGACGCCCAGAACGGGTCAAGGCAGCCAGCCCCTCATCATGTCTTGTGTCCTGCATGCTGCAGCTTGGTGTTGTTCGGAATTGTACACTGGACTTGCATCGCTGTGCATTTATCACACTCCACGACCGTGCACGCATATCATTGGGTTTCAGCGAACAGGCGAATTTCCCCAGAATTGAACCACAGCCGCCCGCAGCCTCTGTCCAACTCACCGTCCATGCTGCCACTGAGATCAAGATCGACCTTTGCGCTCTACGCCCATCCCCTTCGCTGATCATCTGCCCTCACCGTTACCATCGTTGCTGTTGCTGGCCCTTTCTCCCCTCGCCTACCCATCTTCGCCGTCTCATTCCCGCATTTACCTCGCCGACCCGTTCAAGGAGAGTCTCTTGCCTTTGGACGTCCATCGATCGGCGCAACAACGATCTCTGAAGCGCTCACTTCCTTAGATCTGTACATATCTATCCAGCTGCTTCTCTGTGGATTGATCGACATACTCACGGCATTTGGATCAGCGTCACCACCATGTCGGCAGCAGCTACAGACGCTCCTGCCGTAGCGACGGGCGACAAGGATGCAACAGCAGACGAGATCGCTGCTGCACCCGAGGCAGTCCAGATGACCGACGAAGAAGAGCTTGGTGCCGCCTCTGATAAGGACCAAAGCGATTCGGGCAAGCTCAGGACGCTCATGGGTATCCTTAAACGTATGGTCGGAGTCAAAGATATCGCTGCTATCCGCATCTCGCTTCCCGCCAACCTTTTGGAACCCGTGCCAAACCTCGAATACTGGAACTACCTCGATCGCGGCGATTTTTTCACACTCGTCGCCGACCTCGATGACCCGCTCGATCGTATGCTCGCCGTGCTCCGCTTCACCTTCACCAAGGAGCTCAAGTACGTAAAGGGCAAAGTATGCAAGCCCTACAACTCGATCCTCGGAGAGCACTTCCGCTGCCACTGGGACTTTGAGCCAGTCAAGTTGGCAGACTCGCACATCCTCCCCGTACAGGCGCTCTCCACCGACACTCCCGAACCGCTTCCACTCGTAGCTACTCAGGCTCGCACTCCCACCCTGTCAGCCAAGAAGGGCAGCGCACCTCCGTCGCCTCTCGTCCAGGCCCAAGACAACAACAGCAAGTCGTCGCGCCCTGCCTCGATCAAAGGCGTAAGCTCTGAGAGCTCCAACCCGACGGGCACCGCAAAGAAAGGTCTCTCAAAGCTGCTTGGTCGCAAGAAGAGCACCACCAAAGACGCTTCCGAGACGCACACTTCGGCGGCGTCCACTGCATCCACAGCGGCCAGCGACGAGCTCGAAGGCAACGACAACGTCTCAGCTTCAACCAACACACAGCGCGCCGGAAAACAGCGTCTCTGCTTCCTGACCGAGCAGGTTAGTCACCATCCGCCCGTCTCCTCCTTCTTCTGCGAGGCCAAAGATGCAGGCGTGCAACTGTACGGCGTCGACCAGCTTGGTGCCAAGTTTACCGGTACCAGCGTCAAAGTCTTTCCCGGCGAGCAGAACCAGGGCATCTTTCTTCGCCTCACTGACAACGCAAAGTGCGGTGCTGCGGGTGAAGAGTACCAGATCACCCACCCCACTGCATCCATCAACGGCCTCTTGCGAGGCAGCCTGTGGGTGGCCATCTGCGACAACCTCTTCGTCACATGTCGAGGTGGCAAAAGGGACAAGGGTGAGGGAGACGACGGGACACGATTGCGCGCCATCGTCGAGTACAAGGACGAGAGCTGGATCTCCAAGGCCAAGTATGCGCTAGAAGGTGTCATTTACGAGTACGAACCCAACGACGACCCAGAAGAGTACACGAGCGCCAAGCAGGTGCCATCGGACAAGGTTTTGGCGACCTTTGAAGGATGCTGGAAAGGCAAGATCACATACAAGAAGAAAGGAGACAAGGACGCACGCCTGCTGCTCAACGTCAACGATGTCGATCCCATCTCCAAGTCGGTACGGCCGCTGTCGGCACAGGACGAAATGGAGAGTCGGAGGATCTGGGATCCCGTCACGCAGGCCATCTTGTCCAAGAAGTTCAGCGAAGCCACCAAGCAAAAGCAGGACATTGAGCAGAAGCAACGCAACACGGCTGCCGAACGCAAGAGGCAAGGCGAAACTTTCACGCCTCGCTTCTTTGATGCCGACATCTCGGATGGGCGGCCCAAACTCACAGAAGAAGGCAGGAAGGCGCTGGACGGAGAGCACGAGTTGGTCGGCTACGATGCATCGTCAGTAGGCAAGGACGATGCCGCTGCTGCTCAGGACGATGACGAAGACGACTTCCAAGACGCCGAGAATTGACACGCGCGCAGATGAACGTTCACCTAGAAATCAGGAATGGCCGTTGCTCCTTTTGCTTCCGTCGCTCTGTGGTCCATCGAACTCTATCTCGATCTCTAATTTTACAGTGCACAGGAGTCTTATAGCAGGCTGTGGCCTGTGAATCACCACACTGCTTCGACTGAATAATGCCACTCCAATTCACCCCAAGAGTCGCTGACACGCCGTGCAAGTTGAGATCCATTGCAACGCACTGAAATTGCGTCCGTTATGCTGAACTGCAGCGAAACGAAAAATCACGCTCGTGCCTCCTTCTGACTCGTCGCCCCTACCCTCCTCGATGCCCTCCTCTTCCTCTCTTCCATCTTCAACTCCCTCTCCAAACCCTTAACCTGCTGCAGCGCGGCCATCTTCTTCCTCTTCCACCTCACCGATCTCTCCTTCCTCCTCGTCCTCTTTGCTGCTTTACATGCGTTGAGATCGGTTGGTTGGGTGGTGCGTAACAGCTTGATCGACGTTGGTCTCTGCAGCAAGTTGAGGTTGGTTTGTGAGGATGTGGAAGAGAGGATGGCGGTTTCGAGCCAGGCAGCGCGTGGGAGACAGGTGGAGCATGTTTCGCGTTGGATGGCGCTGAGTAGGTGATCGAGGTGGTGTGGAGGGAAGGCGGTGGTGAGGGCGAAGATGGAGGTGCGGCGGAGGTTGAGCGCTTGCGCGAGGAGGGGTTCGGAGGCGGAGGGGAGGGGGAAGAGGAGTACGCCGCCGTGAAGGTCCGGTTGGGAGGCGTGCAGGACGGCGTTACGAGCAGCGACCAGCATCGGAAGGTGCGAGACCAGGCTTGGTGAGGGGAGGTCGTGACGACACACGAAGACGATTCGAACGCTAGGTGGTGCTGCTTCAGTCTGCGCTTGCTTGCCTTTAGCCTCCGAGGTGTTGGTTTGTATCCTTGCCAGATCCCGAGCGATATCGTCCTCAATAGCACGCGTGATGCTGTTGATCCCGGCCAGGACTTGTACATGCGCGACCTTGTCCGCTCCGTTTTCAATGTCCATATCCTCGCCTCGTGCACCTTCGCCTGGCTTTGACGACCCCGCGCGTGACCTCCTCCCCAGATCGCGGTACAGCGCTGCCTGGACATCCGCCTTTGCAAGAACCTCCAACAGCGTATGAAGCACCACTTTGGATCCAGCAACGGGCATCTCGGGCCAGCTCACGGCGGTAGAGCTCGCCAGTACAGGTCGAAACACCGGTTTCCTATTCGGCGGAACACCTGACGTGGCTGCGACTGCGCCCTTTGAATGCTTTTGCACGCGATCGTTCTTAACATGGGCATCAGGTTGTTTGCTGCCCGACGCCGTCGCCTCCTGCTGTCCTGCAATGTCATGTTTGGTCACAGTGTCGACCGAAGGAGCTGGGACCCTGGTCGAGACATCTTTCTTCTTGCCCTTCTGCCTATCATCAAGACTTGTCTGGACACTTGCGCTCGTAGCGTGCGACTGCGGCTGTGTGAACGATCCGAAAGCAGCCAACCCAGCCGCCTGGCCGAGGTTCGACGTCAGCTTTGAGCTGGAACCCAAGAGCGACGCTAGAGCCGCATCCTTTCCGTGAGGCTGAGGAACGAATAGTGATGACAGTGATGATGCGAGCGATGATGCGGAGGACGAGCCGAAGGGGCTTGCGGAGGAAGAAGGGTGGTGGGCGGGGCGCTGCTTGTTGCGAGAGGCGGCGCGAATGGTGGTGCCCTTATCGACTGTTGCCTTTTTCGGCGGCATGTTGATGCCGTGTGACGATGATGCTCGAGGCTGGAGTCGTCGGCCTTCTGAGCGGAGTACGGACGCTGCAGGCGATGGTTGATGGCGGATGTGGGTATGAAGAGGAGCAAGGGTGGAAGACGGCCAAAATTTGTGTAGCACCGCAACCCCGAAATCCGGAAAATGTGGAGTAGCGCCGCACAAGGGATTCCACACGCATTCATCGACTTGCACAAGTGGACGGGCCACACCCTCGCAACTGCTTCACCCACAACCTCCACCATCAATCCTCGATCGGTCCCATCAACGGCGTCGCTCATTGCAAAGGATGGACACCAAAAGGCTGCAAGTACCCGTCATCGGGTTGCGCAGATCCGGCAAGAGCTCCATCCTCAACGTCGTCTACAACGAGCTTCACCCGGACGACACTGTCTTCCTCGAATCCACCACAAAACCCAGCTTCATCCTCTCTGATAGCTTCCTGCCCATCCGCATCATCGACACTCCCAGCCGTGTCCTTCTGGGTGATGTCCGATTGGAGAAAGGGATCCCGCTCTCCACTGCTGCTGCCGGTCGTGCCGGTCCACCACCTCCTGTCCCGGCTCGAAATGCTCCCACGCATAGCCAGAACATCGCCAGCGTAGCATCCGGGTCAGTCTCGGCCGCAGCGGCTGCTGCAGGGGCGATAGGCGTTGGACTCACACCCGAGCTTCTCCCATGGACCGAAGTCTCGGCCGTCGTATTCGTCATCGATTCGCAGGACGACTACTACGAGGCCCTTTCCAAGCTTCAATCCATCATCCTATCCGCCTTTGCAGAGAATCAGACCATCGAATTTCACGTATTTGTCCACAAGATCGATGGATACTCCAACGACTATCGCCAGGATACGCTCTCGACGATCCAGGGCAAAGTGCTCGATGATCTGGTGGACAGCAGTCCGAGCTTTATCGCTCAACCGTGGTCGTATCCTGAACCTTTGCCGGTCAAAGAAGCAGATAAGAAGAACGGAAAGCACAGGAGTAGGAGCAAGAGCAAGGAATTCAGCTTCTCGAGATCGCCAGCCGCAGGCGGGAATAGCAGTTCGGGTGGTGGGGGGTACGATGCGAGCGCGTCGGAGTTCTCGAGCTTCTCAGCGGGTGGGCATCGGTCGGATGTGGCACCCGAACCGGGTCAGATCAACCTAGATCAGGCGGTGAGGTTGCATTGCCACGCAACGTCGATCTACGATACGAGCGTGTTTGTAGCCATCAGCAAGGTGCAGCAGAGTCTGGCGCACAAGGTCAAGCCGGAAGAACCGATGGATGCGGAGCCGACGAATGGAGCGACGCAGGCGGCGTCCGCTGCGGATGGCGATAAGCCGACGCGTCCAGCAGCAGTTGCGACGACACTACGACGCAGCCTGTCGCTGGCAGAGTCGATGGAGCAGGTGTGCGATTCGATCTGTGCGACGTGTCGCTTCGAGAATGCGTTCCTGTTTGATCTGCCGACGAGGACGTACATCGGATCGGACTCTGCGCCGTTCGACGCGGCTTCGTTCGACCTGGTGTTCGACTATGCGGGATTCCTCGGCAAGTTCGCCGGTTTGTACGCGGGAGTATCGAACGACTCTGCGACAGCGGCTCCATCGCAAGCGGCGACTCCTGCAGCAAGTGGATCGAGTTCGGCGTTCCAGCTGTCCACATCGCCCTCTTCCGCACGCCGATTCCTGCTCGGGCGTATGTCGAAGGAAAGCAAGGCGAACACGGTCGACGCTTCACCGAGCGTCGCTGGCAAGTCGTCCGCAGGGGGCCCGGTGCAGAGGTGGGCTAGTTCGGTGACGAGGCTGCAGCCGGATAGGTCGTTGTGCTTCTGGCAGCTGAATCATCGGTTGGCGTTGATAGCGCTGATCCAATCGGACGTGCATGCCAAGCAGACCGGGCTGATTGATTATAATGTGACGTTCTTCAGGAGGGCGGTTCAGGGGTTGTACGGTCTAGCTCAGACCAGCACTTGATCTCGAGACACATGTAATGGCAAAAAAGGTTTTCATCGTGATCAAGAGGTCGCGTTGACGAATCGAGTGATTGTGACGCAGTGAAAGCGATGGGTGCAAGCAGTGTGTTTTTCAAACGGCAGTTCTAACGGCGCGTCTCAACCACCTCCTCCTCCTGGTCTCTGCTTTGCTCTTCGGATCGTGATCGACCACACCGGCGCTCAACGGGAAAATCGTGCTCCTCGCATCCGCGTTCGTCCCCTCCTCACCATCCAGCAGCGTCTCGCTATCGTCGTCGTCTGCCTCACCCTGCACATCAAAGATCGAAGGCGGGTAGTCGGGTACACCGCCGCCATGACCGTACGAATAGCTCGCGGGCTTCTGCCAGCTACCATCCGTATACACGTATCCTTGATCGTCGGTGCCTACGGCGGACCAGCTGCCGCCCCAGTCGATCCTCCAGTCGTCGCCGGGGATCCACTCCCAACCGGGTTCGAGCTTCATCGCTACTTGCCTGCTGTTTTGACGCAAAAAAAGGAAAGGTCAGCTAAAGAAGTTTTCTCACAATGTCCAGTTCTGCAAGGTTCGGGACTCACCTGACATCGATCCGACTGCCTGGCAACACCTCCACCTCATCGCTGCTCCAACCATCCGGACCTTTCGTCCACGGCAACCTCTCCCCCATCCTCAAATTATGCCCACTCCATCCCCCCACCACTCCACTAGAACTAGCCGCCCTCTTGCCCCCCACAAACCTCTCGTTCTCAAACATCTCCACATTCCTCCATCCCTTCTCCCACACGAAATCATCCAACCGATCTTGTTCCACCCACTCCCTCACCTTATGTCCACCTTCCTTGGCGATCTTGATCAACTTCCTCCCCTCTCTGCTCGTATCCACCCGCTTCACCAAGCCTTCTATCGCAGGTTTCGTCCAAGGATGATTCAAGATGAACGCGCCCTCACCCGCGACAAACATCACCGCTCGGAAGGGGATGTACGGTGCAACAAAGAACATTAACACCGTCGTCAACAGCGACAGCTGGAGGATGTGCAGACTTCGACTGTAGCTCGACCAGTTGAGGTAGGGAACGGTGGGGGCGAGCAGATCGTAGCCGTCGATGATCATGCGCATCATGTTTTGGATGTCGCGCAGGTTCTCGTAGTATTTGACGGTGCCTTCGTGGGGTGGATTGGGGACAAGCGGTGGTTGAATGTTGCCTTCGCCGGTGCTGGTGGGGAAGGTGGTGGAGTAGGAGAGGACGTCCGCTGGAGAAGCAGCGGCGGTGGATTCGGATGATTTGGTGGATGGGGACTTAGGTACTTCCATACGAATGCTGGGTGTCATGTTGTCCTGGAACCGCGCGCGATGGGTCATGACGAGGATGATGGAGAGGATCGTACTGGGAGCCAAGAGCAACAACCACGGGTAGATCGAGACAACTGCCCAGATGGCCATCCACATCAACGTCCAATTGGTATCTTGCCACAGCAGAGTCGCTTCAGCTCCATCCTGGAACCAAAAGATGGGCCCGGACTTCTGCACGAACCCTCGGAAGTTCTTGGTCGTTGTCGGGAGTGACAGCGGCTCCTTGTTCTGCGCTACGGGTAGTCGAGGCGGTGCAGCTGAAGCAGCGAGCACCGACTCGATGGCGAAAGACTGCAGCGCCATGGACGTCTGCTGGAAAAGACCGGATGGCGATCGTGAGCTAGACACTTCGGAGGACGGCGTGCCGATCTGTGAGGATGACGAGGAGAGACGTCGTCCGGAGGGCGAGGGGGAAGAGGATGCGAAGCGCGATGCACTGAACAGCGACGTTCGAGCCTTGCCGGACGTCGGCGAGACCGATGCGTCGTCCATCTTGGAGTTTGTTTCCTGTGGGTTATGATCAACCCTCTTGAGCTACGTCAGGTGGTCAGATAGGAAGAGATGATGGTTGGAGGAAAGCATGACAAGGTGCGACATTCCTCCTTTGCCCCGCATCACGCGTGCCGCTGATATCTTTCTGCTGGCTCAAGCGCTCCGATTTTCCGGCAGACGACTGTGCTCCACTTTCGAGCATCTGCAGCGTGAAAAAGGAGGCAGTGAAATTTCCACTGATGTTAGGTTTGTGGATCGTGCGGCACTGCTTTTGTGACCTTCTCGATGCTGCTCAAAACGTCGTTCGAGGGTGATCTTTGCAAAGCTGGACAGACAATGACGACAGTACCGAGTGTATGGTGATGACATGCTAGTATACAATTACAGATGGTCGGAATCAGGGTAGGGCATGCAAAAGGTAATCTCGGGGCCTGGTCTTGCACGTCAAAGCGGTCTTAGACCCGGCAAACAGCTGTGCGTCAAAGATCTGCTGCGCCTCGTGCGAACCCTGCTCCCTCCAATCCAGATCGATCCAGCGTTCGGCATCTGCCTCTCGTTGAGCTGCCATGAGCTGGTCGCGCGCTTCGCTCGTCCCGCCACCGCCCATCATCATCCCACCTGGTTTCTTCGCATTCGGATCGGTGCGCAACGCAACACTGAGCGTCTGTGCCGTCGGCTTCTTGACGTCCTTCTTCGCTTTAGATCGGGAAGATCCTTCACCGGAAGCCTCCATCTCGATCAGCTCGTCTTCGTCCTCCTCGTCCGAACCGAGTTCACCGGCTAGCGCAGCTCGATCTCGACGCTTTTCTGCTTCGCGCGCCTCGTCCAACGCATCGAGGTAGTTCATCGAGGGTCGCAGTTGCACGATCGACTCGAGGCGGGTGAGGTGGAGCGCTTGATCGCGGATGACGCCGACCATGTATTCGGTAGCGTTGGGAACTTGTGTGCTCTCGAGCTTGATCTTCTCGAGCTTCTTGGGTCCGCGGTTCGACTGCGCTTCGTGATCCTTTTCCTGCTTGACTCGACTCCTGCTGCCGGAAGCGACGGGTTCAGACGTCGCTGCGGCACCTCCATGTGCTGCGTCAGCTCGTGCCTGCTTTTGCGCCAAGACTTCGGCTCCTGCCCCGAACTCGGTACCTCGATCCGTGTTGTACACTTCCTCTCGAACGTCGAGCGGCAGTTCCACCTCCACACGGTTGGCTCGTGGTCGCCATCGGCTCGACACTTTGAGGCCTCGGGCAGCTGCCGAGTAAGGTACCGGAAGCGGTCTGTCTCGTGGATAGATTGGGTATTGGAAGACATGCAGAGAAGAGTCGCCGAGGAGAGACTTGCTGAGGTAGACTGGCAGGGATGCAACCAGTTCCGAGTCGGGTGGGAGGTCGCTGGTCGACGATGTTGGCAGTGTCGTTGAGAGGGGCGGCGCTGTTCCGTTTTGAGCTGGTGTTGAAGGATCCATGGATGCGTCACCTCCTCCAGGAGGGTGATGCGCTTCAGCCATGTCGACGATGAGGCTGGTGGTGGGCAAAAAGGATGCTGAATGCGAAAGGGTCTGCAAGAAGATGTAAACCAAAAATCTCAAAAAATTAACACCTCGAAAAATTCTGGTTAAATAAAATTTGGACGAGAAACATGGTCAGTGCTCGGAAAAGCGTACGGGAAGCCGAGAAGATCGATCGACAAAGCGCTGCAATATTTCAAGAAGAAACCAAAAAGAACCGCTTCCGGTTGACTTCGATTCACCACCATCACTCTCCTCCAAATACCGAAATGTTCGCTCGTACCGCCATCCCCGCTTTCCGTGCCGCCTCTGTGCGTGCCTTCTCGACCCAGGCTGCCAGCACTGGCACCGCCTCTGCTCGTCGCTACATGGGTGCTGCCGCCCTCGCCGCCGGAGGTGCTCTCACCTACTCGGCCTTCGCTGCGCCTTCCGTCCACCTCGAGGGCCCAACCACCATCGCCGGTGAGCTCGGTACGTCGACCGAAAAGTCGTACGTCATGATCAAGCCCGACGGTGTCTCCCGTCAGATCGTCGGCGACATCATCAGCCGCTTTGAACGCCGTGGATACAAGCTCGTGGCGCTCAAGACGCTGATCCCGTCCGAGGAGCTCGCCAAGGAGCACTACATCGACCTCGCCAAGAAGCCCTTCTACGGCGGTCTGGTCAAGTACATCACCAGCGGCACTCCCGTCGTCGCCATGGTGTGGCAGGGCAAGGACGTCATCCGCCAGGGTCGTCGCCTCGTGGGTGCCACCAACCCGCTCGACGCCGCACCCGGTTCCATCCGCGGCGACTTCTGCGTCTCGGTCGGACGCAACATCATCCACGCTTCCGACTCGCACGAGTCGGCCACCAAGGAGATTGGTCTCTGGTTCCACGAGAAGGAGCTGGCGACGGAGTACAAGCCCATCGCTTGGGACATGATCATGGCCGACAACTAAGAAGGAATCTATCGTCGAGTCGAGGCTGTTCGAAAGGAAAGTCACAATAGAGACCTATGCTTAAAAGATCGATGTATGCGTCTGCGTGAGCATGTCTGTCGAGCTTCTTGAACGCTGCTCTTCCGCAGGTTGTCTCTGCCGATGAGACGATAATACGTGAGCGCGCCATCACTCATGAGAACCGCTGGTCATTGTGTAATGTACAATTGAGATTGATCTGCGTACGGCGACAGACGACATCCAATGAGATGAGAGAGATGCGAGTGAGATATATCCAGGTGAACCGGAAACTAGTACATGTCTCCATCGCCGCTCTTGTCGGCGCAAAAGCCTCTAGCTATACGCAGGATGTCGGCCTTCTTTGCTTCGCTCTTTGCCTTTGATTCCGCCTCTGCCTCCTTTGCTGCGAGGAGCTGTGGCAGAGCGGATGGCGGCAATGGTGCTGCGATGGATGGTGGGATCTCGTCTTCTGCATCCAGATCCTGTGATCGCGATAGAGGGAAAAATTGGGAGTCAGATCGGCAAGTTGTAGACGAGAAGAGGAGCGGCGTGCTAGGTTGGGATGCGACTTACGATTTCCCCCATGAGAACCACATTCTCTCCTCGTACGAGGAAGACGCCTCGTGCGATATCTCCGTAGCGGTTTCCGACAAATACCCGCTCTACTGTGTCTTGCAATACGAGGTTGGCTGGCGGAGGATGAGGAGAGATTCTGTCAGCGACGATGCCAGGTTGACAACAAGGCCATTGGACTACCTACCAAATTGATCATAGGATCGAAGCACGCCAATGAGCTTCTTCCCATCTCGCAACACCACAAGCATCTTCTTGTCGACACAGTCGACGAGCGACCCTGAGGTGGTGAAGGCGATATTGGATACGATGTCCTGTGCGTCCATGTTGGCGTGTGTTCCGTCCTGTACGAGTAGGCGCCGAGATAGAGTCCTTCCTGACGGCTTGTTCTGTTTTGTGGAAGAGAGCCGATGCGATAGCGTCTTTGCTGTTTGTTACGGAAAGGTCGATGACTGCGCTCGGCTTGACAGGTTGATGATGTCGCAGGTTGGTCAAAGCTTCGTATGCTTCAACGTTGATGTTCTTGCGAGCGAGCGGCTCCACGGACACGGAGCTTCACGTGATTTTGTTACCGTGCGAGAGGAGAAATCATTTCAGGCTTTCAAGGTACCGGTGGGCGATCCGAATTCCAGCGCCAGAAAAAAGGGTCCAACACCTCCACTTTGGCACTCTGCCGAAGCGCCTTGCTGTCTCGCCCCGGTTGGCTCCTATCGGCATTCAGCTCGGGCAAGGTCCGCGATCCTCTCGCAAACCTCAATTAGGGAGAGAGGGGAATGGAAGGGGTTCCATGGAGAAGTTCTTTAGTATGCAATGACAAGTACACTTTGGCAATTGTGCTCTCTCATGTGGAGCGGTGGTCGCGGCTATATGACAAGCCAAAGCGATTGCGCGAGTGGGATGCGTTTCGAGTCTGGCGAGTGGGCTGTAGGGTCGGTCACCGTGCAGGTCCCCTTTCGCGCTCGCTCTTAACTTAGTCCCGAAATGGCGATATCATTTCCCACGCACACATACGCACCACAGTCACGAGGGCGCGAGCGTCGGATCGATTCAACCCCCAATTGGTCACAGCGGAGCGCAACGTTGCCGCAATCGACTCAGAGTGAGACAAATTGACCGGTCTAGCGACCGTGAATGTGGATTATTTGAGAAAATGTCACAGCGCAGCGCTGTCGTTTCACGGCTGAGCGAGCAACCAACCAACCGGAAACGGAGCAAGATAGCGAGTGAGCAGCAGCTAACTTAGCAAGCTGGATCGGCGGACCCTGACTCGCACCCTCAACCCGCACACTTCACCTGCAACTCGCACCATCCAGCTCAACCTACACCTTGCTCTTGCACCATCTGCCAGTTGACTTCTCGTAACCACCGCCTTGACCTCCCCTCATCGATCTTGACAAGACACCAGCCATACTCGGTCGTACATACGCATACACTCCATTTCGCACAACCGACAGCATCAAGCAAAGTTGCCATAGGTCACCGCACAGACCCACCATCGAGTAAGCATCCGCTTTCCGTCGGCGCATCCAGTGCGCAGCCTCAAACCATCAACGCCTTCACCACAAATCACTCGCCGGCCTTCAGTTCTGGCAAAGCTTGCCGAGTGACTGCTGCAGACCACAATGACGTCTCCAAAGCGTCGTATCGAGACGGACGTCATGAAGCTGTAAGTGCATCATCACAGGTCTGCAACCGATGTCTTGAATGTCCGACTCTTACCGTCTGCCTCTCTCTCCCTTTCCCCGCACAGCCTCATGTCGGACTACGAGATTACACTCATCAACGATAGCATGCAGGAGTTCTACGTTCGTTTCCATGGACCACAAGAAAGTGAGTATCCCCCGAATACGAGCATCGCAACCCTGCTTTTCTAAAACTTCGACTCACCCTTGCATTCACCCTTCTCTCCTGCTTGATTTTCAATAGCGCCTTTCGCCGGTGGTGTATGGAAGATCCACGTCGAACTCCCAGACCAGTATCCGTACAAATCGCCCTCGATCGGCTTCATGAACAAGATCTTCCATCCCAACATCGACGAACTCTCAGGCTCCGTCTGTCTCGACGTCATCAACCAAACGTGGTCACCCATGTTCGACTGCATCAACATCTTTGAAGTCTTCCTACCGCAGTTGCTGCGCTATCCGAACCCGACCGATCCACTCAACGGAGAGGCAGCAGCGTTGTTGATGAGGGAACCAAAGACGTACGAGGCCAGGGTGAAGGATTACGTACAGCGATTCGCGACCCGGGAAGCGGCCAACGCAGCGGGCGAGGAAGAGGATGAGGACGAGGACGAGGAGGACGAGATGTCCGATGTCGGAAGCTTTAGCGATCACGAACCGATGGGTGATATGGAGATGTGAAGAGTAGAGGGGGGAGTGATTGGAAGAAGTTGAAACCCATTTGTATTATTCATCAACGCATCTTTGTTTCGCTATGCAATGTTCAGTGACCGAGTGCGGGCACGAATGGGCTAGTGGATCGAGCACGCGACTGGTGAGCAGAGCATAGGATGTGTGCGCGAGAGCTGTTGATGGGTGGTGGTGATTAGCTAGGATTCGTATGAAAAGTACATATGCCGCGCGTGGGTACCAAGTGGTGGTGACCAGATCTATTGCTGGTGTTTCTTGTTGTGTTCTTCGATCTTGCTCTTTTCCTCTCTGTGGGCGACCTTTTTCTCCTCCTCTACGACTTCCCTGAGGACGTCCTTTGTTTTGTCTATGAGACCGCGGTTGCTTTCGGCCTCGAGTTCGGACTTGACGTCTTGCAGCGAGGCGGGGTTGTACAGCTGCATGGGGAGGAGGGCGATCGAGCTGTTCGAGAGGCTGCGCGTGTCCGGGTTGCGCGTGGTCAGGCGGAGCCAGTGTCGGAGCGAATCGAACATCTCGCGGTGCTCGATGCCCGAACAGCGCAGTCCGCGTTCCCCGCACGCTTTGGCGAGGGCATCGACGTGCTGCGGGATGGCGCTGTAGCCATCGACGCACATGAGCTCGTCGTCTTGTCGGACGTACGAGAGGTGGGTATCGAGTCGTCGTCGGATCATGCTTGATCCACCCCACGTCGAGAGCGAGAACATCTTTGCAAGTCGTGCCAGATCTTCAGCCGAAATCTTCTGCAAGACATCTGCCGATGCTTCTCCGGAATGCGCCTCCGTCAACCTGGCTCCATCGCTAGATTCCTGCACTACAGGGACGAGCTGCTTGAGACTCTCCGACTTTTCGAGCTGTGCGAATGCTTCTGCGCGCTTCACCTCCTTTCCCATGCGGATCTTTGTCAGCTGGTTGGGCAAGATACACGTCGAAGGCAACAGGCTCGGTGCCCAAATGACCACCAAGGGCAACGCCTCTTCCAGGATCAACAAGATGAACAGGAACAAGGGCAGCTTGCGCATGTCCGACTGGTGCGTATGTATCAACTGCGACTCTTCTCGTGAGAGCGGTGCTCCACCGTCCGCTACGCGGGCTCGTACCAATTGCACCCGGGTTCGATTCGCCCAAATCTGCTTGACACCGTTAAAGTAGAACTTGAACAGATACTTTGCTGTCGCCCACAGCTCTTTTGCTCTTTCTGTCAGCGTCTTGTTGGGTTTCGAGTCGGTGACGTCGGTCGAGGTGGAGTCTGTCTTTGCTAGTTGCTGTGTGGGTTCTGATGTGGAAGATTGTGTAGTGGATGTCGTGGGTTGTGGCTTTGAGGTCGAGGCTGTGGACGGCTGCGTCGTGGATGGTGACGCTGACTTCTGTGCCTGAAGCAGCATATGTGATTGATGCAGCATTCGGACGGTAGTGAAGAGGTGCTGCTGCCGTCTCGCTATAGAGGCTGTACATGAGGAGCGGCTACACGATGCCAGAGGACCGACCGTCGCTGAGGATGCGTGCGATGTAGCAGCACATCTTGATGCCGTACGAGCTACGCTCCTTGACGCTGCAGCACGACTGCTCTGTGCAGCGGCTCTCAACGCTCCAGAAGCCTGCATTGCGTCCTTATTCTTGCGACCCTGGTCGGGTGCCTTGCAAACGATCGAGAGAGGGTCGAAGTGGAGTTCCAAGCGCCAACTGCGATCGATACCCTGAGATTCGGCAGCTGATTGATGGTGGTAAAAGATTGTCGTCGAGAGGAGCGGCAGAAGCTGAGGCGGTGCTTTGACCGGAAAGAACAAAAGGGCGGGTCGGTGCTTGTGAAATGTGTGTCAGTGTGCTCTTCCGGAGAAAAAAACATGTTCGCATTTCTTCCAAAGCACCCTTCCAACCCTTGCCCTTAGCCTAACTCGCCTTAGCCAATTGCCGGCTCCGACTGCAAGCCCTTGAGCCAATCGGGTGGCGGAGGAGGAGGCGCGCTCTAACAGCATTTCTGAATTCTGCTTGGGAGGGTCAAGGGTGAGGGTCTAACAGCGAAACTTGGATCCAATCGGCGCTGTCTCGATTTCGCCGATCTCTCCGATCACAGCGTTGTAAGCATGGTTTCGGACAGCTCGTGCTGTGTTGAAGAGAGCGGGAGCAGCCGCTTCGATATCGATGAAGCCACGTTTAGTGTTCAGCCTCTGATCGAGAAACGTCAGGCGTGAAGACAACAAGGGCCGGCGACTTGACCCTGACGCTTGTCGAACTTTTGGGTAAAGGAAAACAGGTAAAAAGGGCGAGGTTGGGGCAAGCAAATCTGTGAGGTCGATTTTGAGAGAGGACAGCAGAGAGGCTGCAACGACGCGATAAAGCCGATCTTTTGCCAAAGAAAAGCAGAGAATTAAAGAAAATAAATCCATAAATTAGGAAGACGGAAAGGGCTGCGTGCCTGCCTGGAACCTAACCTCGCTTAGGAAGCGCTTTTTCCTTTGGACCCTGAGATGTCGTGAGAACTCTGCAGGACAGTCTACACGGTGACCTGGTGAATATGGTTGGTACTGATGGCCAGTGACCAAGGCTCCAGGCAGTCGATCGACAAGATCAGCCAGGGCAGTTGGCTGGAGGAGGAGCTAGACAAAGTCGCCTAGCTGCATACCAACCCTTGTCAGGCTTTGCGGGCGCAGTAGAATTTCACCATTCGGTCACTTTCGGGCATGATTTTCTTTGACAGGCGCATATCGCGTTGCTTTGTTTTGGAGGACGAAATCTCGCCGACTTCTTCCGGCGGGGGAGGGTGTCATCCTGCTCGTCTTCATACTTGCATATTGCAATATCGACGCTGCCTCGGGGTCGAATGGGCTCAGATGGCAACCGGAAAAGTATTCGAGCGGAGCAGAAACCATCGGGTACCTAAGCGCTCCGGTTGGCGTTGAGCCCAACGTTGGTCGAGACGAAAAGAGTGCAAGCCGGGTCCAGAACACAAGGCAGCTGCAGAGCCAGATAAGATGGCTTTGCGATCAGACACTCAGCCGCGATGGGTGTGAGTGGGGGAATGTAAGAGTAGAAAGGCACAAGTGCGTATCTCTCTTTCTCTCTCGCTCGCTATCGATACGGAAAAAGGAATCGCGTGGACAACCGAGGTGTCCGATACAGCGACTGATTTCCACGTCCCCGTGCCGCAAGAAATTCCATCATATCGACCGTCGAGCGTCGATTCCACATCAGAGACAGAGATACGACCAGATGTTCAGAGTCTCATACCGAGACTTGGGCTCGAATGCAGTTCGTAGACCTGCCGAATCGATTCGTCTCGACTCGACCATCTGCAGGTGGTCTGTGCCAAGATGATCCAGAAAGCAGTTTGCGGAGGGTGGAGTACTGCATCCAAGGGTCTTTGACCAGTCGAGTCTCCACGTCCCCAGCCGTTCCTCCTCGCAGACTGCCATGCGGCCTTCTTTCCATGGTTAGGAAGGAAGGCTGCAGAGCGACGCCTACGGTGGCAAGCCCAGGGTCCTTGGAAGCGTTCAAGGCACATCATGTCAGTCGTAATTTCCGTCTCGAGTTTGGTACAGAACCCCCACTCTCCCGAAGCACAGATCAGCTCGACCTGAATGCAATGTCGTCTAGCTTCTCTCATTCAAGCTGTGACTCCTAGCTACAGACCTTCTCGTAGATACAACAGCCACAGATTGCAGCCATCGTCAGCGAGCTCAAACATCGAAGAAGACGCTCTGTGTGATCGTCACTCGAGTGTGAGGATACAGAGACCGATCATCGTCGCTTTGAAGGTCAGCTCCGTCGAACAGCTGGACAATGTGGAACTCAGTCTGCGTCGAGCTCAAAGACAAGCAACGCAAGCGTAACCGTCTGTCGTCGACCTCACCCGAGCTCCATCTTGTCTGTTCCGGAATTCGCCTCGACAGATTTTATCCTTATGATTTATTTAGAGATTATTTTTTTGGTTGTTCTCTGTGCAGTGTGTGTTGGAATCCGTGCGCTTTCTTGAACTGCAACCGACTGTTGTTGGGGAGCGGCTGGCTCAGTTCCACTTTTTCTTCGCAACGAGCCCTGTCCCTCTGAGCTTAATCCGCACCCTTGGACTGTTGGACTTTTTTTTTTTTGGAAGGGTGTGGTGTTGGTCTTCTGCCTGGTCAGTGCTCCTCCTCCTCCTCCAGAGTGATTCCCAAGAGGCGTCATACAGCGTAGTGCTCCACTGACCCGAGCGACTTTGCCTTTGCCGTTTCTGTCTACCCTATCGGCACATCATCCTTGCCACCATACCATCACCACCTTCACCACCATCATACACATCCCCACGCCCCTCCGCTTGCAGTGCCTCCACCACACGCTCTGCACATCTACATCGCTGAAACCGAGTGACGACGGGATTAGCTCTTTCTCATCATCTTGCCGCTTGCTGCTTCCACCTGACGACTGGAAACCCGAGCCTCGACCCCTTTGATCCCAAATCTCGTATCGCTACCCTAGACACACGAACACTTCACCACCTTGCTCTCGACGACAACGAGATATCGAGATTCATCTCCTCTTCTAGACCCTCCTCAGATTGCCTGCTGATTGACTACCAGCTTGCTTCTGCTTCAGCAACCAGCTTTCCAGCTACACTTTGATTCGACCCGGTCGCATCAGACTGCAACGAAGCATCATCGTTTCATTTGACAAACTTTCAAACACTACAACACCATGTCGGGTACCAAGAACGCCCCTTCTGACGACAGCTTTGTCGAGCTCTCTGCCACCAGCAGCCAGACCAGCGGCAACGGCAATGGCTCGATTCTCCGCGCTCTGACCATCGCATCGACCACCGGCATCGAGGTTCAGATCCCTGTCCCCTCGCAGCCTTTCGACGCCTGGATCGTCGCCGATGTGCTCCGAGAAGAGTTCCAGCGATCGCTCGCCGCTGCTCCCGAGGCCAACGACGTTCTCGAGGTGCAAGAGGAGCAGGATGTCGCCGGTGCTGCCGAAAAGGCCGCCGGAGAAGCCAAGGTCAACCTGGCTGCCAAGTTCCTCGGCTTCCTCGCCTCGCGTGCATCCGTCAAGACCTCGAGCCACGAGCTCAACCTCCTCCAACATGCATGGGCCCACTTCCACGACGAATTTCTCGCTCTGCACGGCAGTGTCCACGACCTGGTCGCTGCCATCGACTCGGACCTTCGCACGCCCGTCCTGCGCAGCTACTTTGAGGCCTACGTCCAGCTCGAGTCGGCCAACAAGGCCAAACCTTCGCTCATCACTCCCAAGCTCTTTTCGCTTTCGGCTCAGAACAAGGCCGAAGTTCACGCCGTCTTTGGTGGCCAGGGCAACAACGAGGTAAGTACAATCACTCCCCTTTTCTTCCCGCCATCCCGGACATCGATTCTCGTACAGCTTTTTGGACGCGTGGAGGATTGCCAATTGGACATCTCTTGCCGAGCGTGGGAGTAGAAGGCGGTAGGCCGCTGCCCCCACGCTTTGACGCTCCGCCTCTGGCTCTCGCTCGCGAATTTTACCCAAAATTTTGGAATGGCGTCGGCGAAAATCATCTCGGCCCAAGGAGCGCGATTTCCGAAAAGCTCACGGCGATGCGGCACGCGGGTATGCGCATCTCTTCTGCGTCAGGGAGCGGCCCAAATGGGAGTGGTTCAGACAGCTCGGCTACGCAGCAAGCTAGTCGCGACCCTGCAGCTGCTTTTTCCCCTAGCAGTGGAGGTGGGGGGACGAAGAAGAAACATGGCGAGGAGCTAGCTATACTTGCAAAGCATGGAATTTCGGACTGACCTCTTCCTTCTAACGATTCTTGATCCTCACAGGCCTACTTCAAAGAGCTGCAGATCCTCTTTGACAGCTACCGACCGCTCATCCAGCCTCTGCTCGAGTCGACCCAGCCCGTCTTTGACAAGCTCGTCCAGGATGCCGTCAAGCAAGGCTTCGCCAGCTACTACACGCACGGCATGGATGTGCTCGCCTGGCTCACCGGCGCTGCTCCCGAGCCTGCCGTCGCGTACCTGGCCAGCGTGCCTCTCAGCTTGCCTCTGATCGGTCTGACGCAGATCACCCAGTTCCTCGTCAGCATCCGTGCTTCCGGTCTCACCCCTGCCGAATTCCGCTCGCAGATCAAGAGCGCCACCGGTCACTCGCAGGGCATCATCTCGGCCGTCGTTCTCTCGGCTTCCGACAGCCTCGAGTCGTTCTACACCAATGTCGCCAAGGCGCTCGAGCTCCTCTTCCACATCGGCAAGCGTGGTCAGGAGTTCTTCCCTACCCTCGCCATCGATCCTGCGCTCGTCAAGGACACCATCGACGGCGGTGAAGGCGAGCCCACGCCCATGCTTGCCGTCTCGGGTCTCGAGCAGAACGTCCTCGAGAAGCACATTCAGAAGACCAACTCGCACCTCGCCGAGTCCCAGGCCGTGTCCATTTCGCTCTTCAACGGTCCTCGCAGCTTCATCGTCACCGGCTACCCCAAGGCGCTCGTCGGTCTCGTCGGCAGTCTCCGTGCCATTCGTGCCGATACCGGCGCCGATCAGGGCAAGGTGCCCTTCAGCAAGCGCAAGACCGTCTTCCGCATGAACTTCTTGCCCGTCGGTGTTCCCTACCACTCCAGCTACCTCGCCGGCGCCACGGAGAAGATGCTTCAGGAGGACTACGCCGGCCGCACCACCGTCTGGGATGCTTCCGAGCTCAAGGTCGCCGTCAAGAACACCGAAGACGGCTCCGATCTTGCCAGCTTTAGCTCTGGCGACATTCTCAAGAGCATCGCCGACCAGATCTTTGTCAAGCACATCTACTGGTCCAAGGCGTTGGATCTGCCCAAGACCGCCACCCACCTCGTCGACTTTGGCACGGGCGGTCTCTCTGGAATCGGTAGTCTCTCGGCCCGCATCCTCGAGGGTCGTGGCGTCAGGATCGTCACTCCCAGCGGCACTCACGCCCGCAGCACCGAGCTCTACGCAGTCAACACGGTCAAGTTCGAGGAACGATGGGAGGATGTGTGGTCGCCACGCCTCGTCAAGACCAAGAGCGGTATCAAGATCGACACGCCCTTCTCGCGCACCACCGGCCGCGGTATTCTTATGGTTGGTGGTATGACCCCGACCACCGTCAGTGCCAACATCAACGCGGCCGTGCTCAACGCCGGCTACGTGATCGAGCTTGCCGGTGGTGGTCTCCACAGCGAGCCTGGCCTGCGCAAGCGCGTCAACGAGATCCTCGCCCAGCTCGAACCTGGTAACGGTCTGGATCTCAACGGTCTCTTCATCGACCAGCGACGATTCGGTTGGCAGTACCCCCTCTGGGGTCAGATGCGTCGCGAGGGATTCCCGTTGAAGGGTTTCACCGTCGCTGCCGGCATTCCCTCAACAGAGAAGGCAAAGGACATCATCGACGGTCTCAAGGCTGCCGGCATCGAGTACGTCGGCTTCAAGCCCGGTACCGCCGATGGCCTTCGCGCCGTCGCTGCCATCGCGGCCGCCAACCCTGACTTCAAGATCATCTGCCAGTGGACCGGTGGTCGTGCCGGTGGTCACCACTCGACCGAAGACTTCCACCAGCCCATCCTCCAGACGTACGCCAGCCTGCGCAAGCAGAAGAACCTTGTGCTCGTCGGCGGCTCCGGCTTTGGTGATGCCGAGGGCGTCTGGCCTTACCTCACCGGTGAGTGGTCCGTCAAGCTCGGCTACGCCCCCATGCCCTTCTCGGCGTTCCTTTTCGCCTCGTGGATGCTCGTCGCCAAGGAGGCTGCCACCGCCGACGCCGTCAAGCAGCTGCTCGTCGACACGCCTGGCTGTGGCGACGACAAGTGGCAGGACACCTACGCCAAGGGCGCCGGCGGCACCATCACCTGCAACTCGGAGCTTGGCGAGAGCATCAGCTACGTCCACAATCGCGCCGCGGCTCTGTGGCGTCAGCTCGACGACCAGCTCTTCTCGCTTCCTCGCGAGAAGCAGCGTGTCTGGCTTTCCGAGAAGAAGAGCTGGCTCATCGAGCGTCTCAACAAGGACTTCCAGAAGCCCTGGTTCGCCGCCAAGCTCGACGGCACTGCTCTCATGAACGTCGCCGACATGACCTACGAGGAGGTTACGCGTCGCATGCTCGAGCTCCTTTTCATCGGCCACCAGAGCCGCTGGATCGACCCTTCGCTCAAGAAGCTGTTCGGCGACTGGTGCCGACGCGTCGAGGAGCGTTTCGCCGGCATCGAGACCGCCGGCAAGAAGGAGTCGCTCCTGCAGAGCTACTCGGTCCTCGACAAGGAGCCCTCCAAGTTCGCCGAGGCCTTCTTCGCCGAGTACACGGGCGCCAAGGAGATCCGCCTCGCCGCCGAGGACGTCGGATACTTCCTCACCATCTGCCAGCGTCGTGGCCAGAAGCCTGTGCCCTTCATCCCCGAGCTCGGCGACAACTTCCAGACCCTCTTCAAGAAGGACTCGCTCTGGCAGTCTGAGGACCTCGATGCCGTCGTCGGCCAGGATGCTCAGAAGGTCATCATCCTCCAAGGCTCGGTCGCCGTCCAGCACTGCACCAAGGCCAACGTGCCTGCCGGTGAGATGCTCGGCGACATCGAGAAGCAGCTCGTTGCCAAGGTCCTGGCCAGGTACTACGACAACGACGAGTCCAAGGTGCCTGTCGCCGACTACGTGTCGAGCGAGCCTCTGGCCATCGAGGAGGCCGAAGTGCTCGCCCGATCTGGCGTCGAAAGCTCGGTCGACGGCAACGTCAAGACGCTCAAGCTTGGCAGTCAGGTGCCCAACACCAACGAGTGGCTCGAAGTGCTCGCCACCAAGCGCACCAGCTGGTTGCGCGCCCTTCTGCGCAACGTCAGCGTCGTTCAGGGCAAGAACTACGCCGACAACCCAATGCTGCGTATGCTCGCGCCTCGCAAGAACCAGACCGCCAAGATCGCCTACACTGCCGATGGCGAGCCGGTCAGCCTCACGCTCTTTGGTGCTGCGCGCTCGTACGGTCGACACGACGATGGCTTCAAGGCGCTCGAGATCACCAAGTCGCCCGAGTCGGCTCAGATCCAGGCGACGCTCTTCGAGGAGCGTCTCGGCGAGGCCGTTCCCCTTCACTTCCACTTCACCTACCGCCCCGACCAGCCGTTCGCTTCGATCCACGAGATCATGGACGGCCGCAACAATCGCATCAAGCAGTTCTACTGGCAGCTCTGGTTCCACGCCGACATGCCTGCTGCTGCTCAGCTCGCTGCCGCCAAGCAATTCGAGAGCCCCGTCAAGTCGCTCGACGAGACAGCCATCCGCAACTTCTGCCGCATCGTCGAGAACCGCGGTGAGGTCTTCACCAAAGGTCAGGCTCCCATGGACTTTGCCATTGTCGCTGGATGGGAAGCCATCATGCAGGCGCTCATGGCCAGCTGCGACGCCGACCTGCTCAGCCTGGTCCACCTGAGCAACTCGTTCAAGGTCGTTGATGACGCGCGCCCTCTGCGTGCCGGCGACGTCTGCACCGCCAGCGCGCACGCCAGCAGCATCAAGATCTCGGACACTGGCAAGTCGGTCAGCGTGACCGGCACCGTTCTGCGCAAAGATGCCAGCGGTGACTTTGTGCCCGTCATCTCGGTCGTCTCGAGCTTCTTCTTCCGAGGTCGCTTCACCGACTTCAACACCTGCTTCGAAACTTCGCAGAACGAGTTCACGCTTGAGATCAAGACCAAGGCTGACGCCACTGTCCTGCTCGCCAAGGAGTGGTTCGACTGGGTCGCTCCTCAGCCTTTGGCCCCCGGCACGGTGCTTCACTTCAAGATCGAGAACCTGCTCAAGTACAAGGACAGCACCTCGTACTCGGATGTCGACGTCACCGGCGGTGCCTACGTCCGCGACTACAAGGACGACCTCATCAAGGTCGGCGAGATCGAGTACACCGCCGACGCCATCAGCTACGGCAACCCGGTCATCGAGTACATCAAGCGCAACGGCGGTGTGTCGACGGGAGGTGTTGCTCCGCTCGAAGCCGGTTACACCATCGGCACGTCCGATGTCGCCACCACCTTCGTGGCTCCTGCCACCAACGAGCCTTACTCGAACGTCTCGGGCGACTTCAACCCCATCCACATCAACCCATACTTCTCCTCCTTCGCCTCGCTTCCCGGCACCATCACCCACGGCCTCTTCTCGAGCGCTGCCTCGCGCAAGTTTGTCGAGGTGGTCGCTGCCGAGGGCTACCCCGACCGCTGCCTCTCGTTCGAAGCCAACTTCGTCGGCATGGTGCTGCCCGGTGACGAGCTCACCGTCAAGCTGCGTCACATCGCCATGCGCGACGGTAACAAGGTCATCAAGGTCGAGACCTTCAACCAGAACGGCGACAAGGTGATCGATGGCCAGGCCGAGGTCAAGCAGCCCGCCACCGTTTACGTCTTCACCGGTCAAGGTTCGCAGGAGCAGGGCATGGGTATGGACCTGTACAACTCGAGCCCCACGGCCAAGGCGCTCTGGGACGAGGCTGACGGTCACTTGCGCAGCACCATGGGCTTCAGCATCCTCGAGATCATCAACCAGAACCCGCTCACCAAGACCATCCACTTCGGTGGTGTGCGTGGCCACACGATTCGCGAGCGTTACATGTCCATGACGTACGAGTCGACCGATGCCGATGGCAACACGGTGACGCTGCCTCTCTTCCCCGAGATCAGCGCCTCGAGCCAGAGCTACACCTTCCAGTCGCCCAAGGGTCTGCTCTTTGCCACCCAGTTCGCCCAGATCGCGCTCGTGCTCGTCGAGCTCAGCGCCTTCCGCGACATGAAGCAGCGAGGCCTCATCACACCCGACGCTGCCTTTGCCGGTCACTCGCTCGGTGAATACGCCTCGCTCGCCGCCGTCGCCAGCGTCCTCGAGGTCAAGTCGCTCTGCGACGTCGTCTTCTACCGTGGTCTCTCGATGCAGAACTGCGTGCAGCGTGATCCTGTCACGGGTGCCTCCAACTACGCCATGATGGCCTGCAACCCTCTCCGCATCGTCGGCGAGGGCAACCCGACGTTCGCTGGTCAGGCGCTGGCCGAGATCGTCGACTCGATTAGCAAGGAGTCCGGCCGTCTCCTCCAGATCGTCAACCACAACGTCGCGGGTCAGCAGTACGTCACTGCCGGTGACCTCGTGGCCCTCACCACGCTCGGCAACGTGCTTAACTTTATCAAGATCCAGAAGATCGACCTCAAGAAGCTCAACGAGATCATGCCCATCGAGGACGTACGCGAGAAGCTCGCCGAGATCGTTCGCGAGGTGCTCTCTGCTGCTCTCGAGGAGGAGAAGAAGGGTCGCATCGAGCTCAAGCGCGGATTCGCCACCATCCCTCTGCCTGGTATCGATGTGCCTTTCCACTCCCGATACCTCACCGGCGGTGTGGCTCCCTTCCGATCGTACCTCTCGAAGCGCATCAACGTCGATGCCATCCGTCCTCAGCTGCTCGTTGGCCGCTACATCCCGAACTTGGTTGCCGCACCCTTCGAGCTCTCCAAGTCGTACGCCGAGCTCATCTTTGCTCAGACCGACTCGCCTCGTCTCGACAAGGTGCTCAAGAACTGGGAGAAGGATGAGTGGGAGTCGCCGGACCGTGTGCAGCGACTCACCGCCACGCTGGTGGTCGAGCTGCTCGCCTACCAGTTCGCTTCGCCCGTTCGATGGATCGAGACGCAGGACATCTTCTTCACCGACTACAACTTTGAGAGGCTCGTCGAGTTCGGTCCGAGCCCTACGCTCGTGGGCATGGCCAAGCGAACACAGGCGCTCAAGTACTCGGCTGTCGACCTCGCCCAAGGCCGCAAGCGTGTCATGTACTGCTCCAGCAAGGACAAGGAGGCGCTCTACTACTCCTTCGCCGATGAAGAGGGCGAGGCTGAAGCTGCTCCCGCCGCAGAGGCTGCGGCTGCTCCGGTTGCTGCCGCTGCTGCCCCTGCTCCTGTTGCTGCAGCTCCGGCTCCTGCTGCTTCGGGCGGTGCCGCTGCTGCGGAGGTGCCCGACGAGCCTGTCAAGGCCGTCGACACCGTCCGCGCCATCCTTGCCCAGAAGCTCAAGAAGAGCATCTCCGAAGTGCCTCTCTCCAAATCCATCAAGGACTCGGTCGGTGGAAAGTCGGTGCTCAGCAACGAGCTCGTCTCGGATCTCCTCGCCGAATTCGGCAACCTGCCCGAGCGAGGTGAGGAGCTTCCTCTCGAGGAGCTCGGTGGTGCTCTTCAGGCCGGCTACAGCGGCACCCTTGGCAAGACCACTTCCAGCTTGGTGACCCGAACCGTCGGTGGTAAGCTGCCTGGTGGATTCAACCTCTCTGCTGTCAAGTCGCACCTGCAGAAAGCTTGGGGTCTCGGCGCTGGCCGCACCGACGGTGCCTTGCTCGTCGCCGTCACCATGGAGCCCGCTAAGCGTCTGGGCTCCGAGGCCGAGGCCAAGGCTTGGCTCGACTCGGTCGCCCAGACCTACGCCCAGCTTGCCGGCATCAGCCTGTCCCAGGCCAGCGCCGGCGGCGGAGGTGGCGGATCCGGCGGTGTCGCCATCAGCAGCGAGGAGCTCGACAAGCTCAAGGCGCAGCAGGACGACCACGTCCGTCGCCAGATCCAGGTGCTGGAGCGCTACCTCAACATGGACGGCCGCGCTAGCGGTCGTCTGGCCGAGAGCACCAAGGCCGAGCTCGAGGCTGCTCAGGCCCAGCTCGACGCCATCGCTGCCGAGCACGGTGACATGTACACCAACGGCATCATGCCCAAGTTTACCGAGAAGAAGGTGCGACACTTTAGCTCGTACTGGAACTGGGCTCGCCAGGACGCCATGACGCTGCTCTACGACATCATCTACGGTCGACTCACCACGGTCGATCGCGAGATCACCGCTCGTTGCATCACGCTCATGAACCGTGCCGACCCGAGCTTGCTGCGCTACATGCAGTTCCACATCGACCAGATCGACGCCGAGCAGGGTCCTACCTACGCGCTCGCCAAGGAGTACGGTCAGCAGCTTATCGAGAACTGTCGCGAAGCGTGCGCCGAGGACGCCGTGTACAAGGAGGTGCACGCCCCCACCGCTCCTCACACCGAGATCGATGCTCGCGGCAACATCGCCTACAGCGAGGTCAAGCGTGTGGGTGTCCGCAAGCTCGAGGCGTACGTCAAGGAGATGGCCGCTGGCAGCCGTCTGCTCGGCGCTGGCAGCCAGGTCAACCTCGACAAGGCGCAGGAGAACGTCGCCAAGCTCTGGACGCTTATCCGCAACGAGCCTTCGGTCAGCAAGCTCAGCAAGGCCACCATCAAGAGCTTGTACAGCGAAGTGGTTCGATCGCTCGGCCCGGCTCGCCAGGCTCGTGCTCCCGTTCGCCAGGCGCCACGCAACCGTCGCCTCAGCTCCAACACGCAGCGACCTCAGGTCTCGGATGCTCCCGCTGCCGAGGACCGCACTCCCTTCCTGCACGTCAAGAGAAAGGTGGCTGGTCAGTGGCAGCTCAGCCGCAAGCTCACTTCGGTCTACCTCGACATCCTCGGCGAGATGGCCTCGCAAGGTGTCAGCTTCAAGGGCCGCAACGCGCTGCTCACCGGTGTCGGCAAGGCTTCCATCGGTGTCGAAGTCGTCAAGGGTCTTTTGGCCGGTGGTGCTCGTGTCGTGATCACCACCTCGAGCTACAGCCGCAGCGTCGTCGAGTACTACCAGCGCATCTACCAGGAGGTCGGTTCGCGGGGCTCGACGCTCACGGTTGTGCCCTTCAACCAGGCGTCCAAGCAGGACGTCGACAACCTCGTCAAGTACATCTACGGCTCGCTCGACCTGGATCTCGACTTTGTTGTTCCCTTTGCTGCCATTTCGGAGAACGGCCGGGAGATCGATGGGATTGACGACAAGTCGGAGCTTGCTCACCGTCTCATGCTCACCAACTTGGTCCGCCTGCTCGGTGCCATCAAGACCGAGAAGGCCAGTCGCAACTTTGACACGCGTCCCACCCAGGTGCTCCTTCCCCTTTCGCCCAACCACGGCACCTTTGGTGGAGACGGTCTCTACGGTGAGAGCAAGCTCGGTCTCGAGACGCTGCTCAACCGATGGGAGAGCGAGAGCTGGGGTCAGTACCTCTGCATCACCGGTGCCATCATCGGCTGGTGCCGTGGTACCGGTCTCATGTCGTCTTCCAACACGGTCGCTGAAGAGATCGAGAAGCTCGGCTGCCGTACCTTCAGCACGACCGAGATGGCCTTCAACCTGCTCGGTCTCTTGGCCCCTACCGTGTCGGCCGTCAGCCAGGTCGAGGCTCTGCTCGTCGATCTCAACGGTGGCATGGACAAGATCGTCGACCTCGCCGAGCAGACGGGCAAGTTCCGTGCTGCCATCCAGGAGGCTTCGTCGACCAAGCGCGCTCTCGTTGCCGACAACTCTGCCGACTTCAAGGTGATCAAGGGCTCGGCTGCCGAGGCGCTGCACAAGAAGGTGCACATCAACCCACGCAGCAACTTCACCTTCCGCTTCCCCGAAGTCGGCAGCCTCAAGCTCAACCGCGAGATCGCCAAGAGCTACTCGCAGATGGATCTCGAAAAGGTGGTCGTCATCACTGGTTTCGCCGAGGTCGGTCCGTGGGGTTCGTCGCGCACTCGCTGGGAGATGGAGGCCTTTGGTCACCTCACCAACGAGGGTGTCATCGAGCTCGCCTGGATCATGGGTCTCATCAAGCACCACGATGGTCAGCTCAAGTCGGGCGCAACCTACGTGGGCTGGATCGACGTCAAGAGCGGCGAGCCCGTCGACGACAAGGACATCCGTGCCAACTACGAAGAGCACATCATCAAGCACGCCGGTATCCGCCTCATCGAGCCCGAACTTTTCCGCAACTACGATCCCAACCGCAAGGGCTTCCAGCAGGAGATCGAGCTCAACCACGACCTCGAGCCGATCGAAGTGTCGGCCGAGGAGGCGTCCAAGTACAAGCTCGAGCACGGCGACAAGGTCGATGCTTGGCAAGACGCCAACAGCGGTGGCTGGTTTGTGGTGCTCAAGAAGGGTGCGCGCATCTTTGTGCCCAAGGCAGTTGCTTTCGACCGCCTCGTCGCCGGTCAGATGCCCACTGGCTGGTCGGGCCAGCGCTACGGTATCCCCGACGATATTGTGGCTCAGGTCGACCGTACCACGCTCTGGGCCCTGGTCTGCGCCTCGGAGGCTCTGGTCAACTCGGGTATCGCCGATCCTTACGAGCTGTACAAGCACATCCACCCCAGCAAGGTCGGAAGCTGTATCGGTTCGGGTATGGGCGGTATGACGTCGCTCAGCAAGATGTTCCGCGACCGCCGCAACGACACGGACGTGCAGAACGACATCCTTCAGGAGACCTTCATCAACTCAGTCGCAGGTTGGGTCAACCTGCTTGTCATGTCGTCGGCGGGTCCCATCAAGACGGTCGTCGGTGCTTGCGCCACTGCACTCCAGTCGATCGACGTCGCTGTCGAGACCATTCTGTCGGGCAAGGCGGAGCTCATGCTCGCCGGTGGTTTCGACGACCTGTCGGAGGAAGGCTCGTTCGAGTTTGCCAACATGAAGGCCACCTCGAACGGAAAGGAGGAGCTGGCTGCCGGACGAGAGCCTTCGGAGCACTCGCGTCCCTTCTCGACCTCGCGCAGCGGTTTCATGGAATCGCAGGGTTGCGGTGTTCAGGTGCTCACCACCGCCGCCAACGCGATCAAGCTCGGTATGCCCATCCAGGGTATCGTCGCTTACTCCAACACCCACACCGACGGTGCCGGCCGCTCGCTGCCTGCTCCTGGTCACGGTGTCATCAGCAGTGCCGACGGCATGCAGCGTGCTCTCGCCCGCTTCAACCTCACCGCCGATGACATTGGCGTCATCTCGGCCCACATGACCGCCACCAAGGCCAACGACAAGAACGAGTCGCACGTCTACCAGGAGCTCTTCACACGTATGGGCCGAACGCCGGGCCACGCGGTGCCTGTCATGGCGCAGAAGTGGCTCTGCGGTCACGCCAAGGGTGGTGCTGCCGCTTGGGCTCTCAACGGCGTGATGCAGTCGCTGCACACGTCGATCGTCTGCGGTAACCGCAACGCAGACGACATTTCGCCCGAGCTGCAGAAGTTCGACATGCTGCTCTACAATTCGACGTCGATCCACCGAACGCCGCACCACGTCAATGCTGCTGCCGTCTCGTCGTTCGGTTTCGGTCAGGTCGGCGGTATCATTCTCGTGTTGCACGCCGCCCACATCCTGGGTCGTTTGTCAGACAAGGCGTTCGACGAGTACGTTGCGCGACGCAAGGCTCGCCAGCACCAGACCTACACTCGCATGCACTCGGCGCTCACCAAGGAGGACCTTGTGCGAATCAAGGACAACCGACCCTGGCCCGCCGAGCTCGAGGACCAGGTGCTGATGAACCAAAACGCTCGCGCCGTCGAGATCGGCGACAGCTACGGCTTCAAGGCTCCTCTTCCTGCCATGCCTGCGCTCGCCACGGTGGAGGACACCATCGTGCCTGCCAAGCCTGCCAACGTGGCGGTTCAGCAGGAGAACCTGGAAAAGATGATGGGTCACGTCGCCGGTGTAGGCATCGACTGCGAAAAGATCTCGACGTTCCCTTCGGACAATGACAACTTTGTCTCGAGGAACTTTACCGATGTCGAGATCGAGTACTGCCGAGCGCAGCCCGACCCGCGCGCGTCGTTCTGCGGTCGCTTCTGTGCGGCAGAGGCGGTGGTCAAGTCGCTCGGTGTTCGCACTCAGGGCGCCGGCGCCTCGCTCAAGGACGTCGAGATCGTTCCCACTCCCGAGGGACCTCAGGTGAAGCTGTACGGTGATGCGCTCAAGGCTGCCAACGGCTCTCGCTTCCTCGTCTCGATTTCGCACGGTGACGACACGGCTATGGCCATCGTCCACCGCCTGCCGAGCGCTTGAGCTGTCTCTTTGATGGTGGTGCGCGGTCGGCCTTGTCATTTCTCTCCTTTCCTCTCTGCATTGCATCTCTAGGCGAATCGGCTCAAGGCACTTAGGCAACTGCTTCTCGAACGATCCTCTCTGTCACACACACATCCACACATCCTGCACTTGGGTCCACAGCTGGATCGACGCGCTACGATTCGACGTAGGGAAGGAGTCGTCAACCGGCCCTACTTCGAAACTTTCAGCCGCCGATTCCAGCCTCAAGTGTCTTCCTCGAGGATCTCGTTCGACAGCATTCTTCGATGCCTTGTCCCGATTCCGCCTACCTCCCGCTCGCTCACACACATCATTCGCATTCGCACTTGCGCGAAGCTTGCCATTGTTGGCGACACATGGAGTGACTCGTCACCGCTCCTGTATGATTGTCGCTTTGGCTGCATCGTTGTCTGTATGATGCGTCATCATCACCATCCGCTCCATCATAGATTGTTCGTACGATTGCTTCCGGTTACCTTGGTTCGTGTCAAGATTCGTTTTGAAATGTCATGATTTGATTCCCCATTTGCAGCGAGGGTGTGAGCGATGTGATCTGAAGTGCTCCTCATATAGAGTCTATGGCTTGAAGCGTCAATTGCTGAGCCGCCTGTCACAAGCACGGGATGTACAACAAGCTCGAGTCAATCGTTGGATTGACAGAAAAATGCTTCGTGGTGTTAGCACATTCGAAACCACATGTGATGACCGCAGCGAAAAGGAACTCGCAGCAGTGTGACGCGGCACAGCCTCGAAGCAACTCAGGAAGGCAAAAGAGGCTCGGCGTCTTGGCGCGGCTACTCTACTCTAATCTGCTGAGAAGGACCCTGGCTGTGCAGCCGAAATGGAAGCAGAAGCAGCAGTATCTCAGCAGCTTGAGCAGCTCCAGCTCCAGCTCCAGCTCTCGGCTCCACATGGAAGTGTGACTTTCGCGATATGCGCGCCCCTCGTTGGCGGCTGAGTCTACTCTGATTCATGGAACCGCCGACGTAGCTTCTCTCGACCACCAACAATCTTCAGCAGATCTTGACCATCGTGGGATCGAGGAGCCACTCGCCATCGCGGCCTTGCTGTCACTGGAGCGCCGCACTTCCTTTGGCCTAGCCAAGCGCCACCACTACGAATCTTGTCCTCAGGAAGAAGGCCCAGCTCCAGCAGAAACTCAGCTGAGAGACTCTGCGACGGGCTTTCTCGACACGAAGACTGGGGCTCAGCCGTCTGCCATCGCATTGTCCGATACGCTTCTTTCGAGCTTTGCAATCATGTCTACCAATGCAGAACCGGCAACGGCCGTGGCTGAACCACCACCTCAAACCATCGTCGCCGACGGCAACACCACGACCAACACCCAAAGGCCTGCTCAGCACGAACGGCCTTCGCTCACCGAAGCTCTCACGCTTCGTCGTAATCTGCTCAAGTCACTATGGATTGGAATGCGACAGCTTCCACGAGGTCGACGCATCATCCTCACAATTCGACTCGCCGTCTCTTTTGCCCAGATCATTGCCTTCATCCCTGTGTTGGCACTTCCCGGCTCACGTCGTGTCTCACCTTCACACGAGACGGGCAGAGTCTGCGATCCGGACAGCCTCTTCAACTATCTCGTGGTACATATCATTCGTCTTGCCCTCGACATCCCCGTCGAACTCTACCTCGGTCTCAGTCCGCATCGCACGCGACGAGGTCGTCGAGCTAGCCCCGAAGCAAGAGCCATTGCCGAACGCGACCGACCCCTTGGCTCAGAATACCTTGATATGAAAGTTGGCAAGATCAGCACGTTGCTCGGCATTGCCTCGCTCGTCATCTTCGTCGTGGGCAACGCCATCGTCTACAGCTCGACCGAATGCTCGCACAAGCCGGCGGAGGCAGTTGCGCTCTTTTGGACCGCACTGGCTTCGCTCATTGTGGTGTATATCTTCATCTTCGAGATTGCAGTGTTGGCGTTCCTGATCGTATGCGCACTACCGTTGTTGATCATGGTGATGCGCGCGTTGGGACTGACGCATCGTTTGCCGCAGAGGGAGTTGCATCCGGAGACGGGAAAGATCGATCAGATGGAGGTGGATAAGCGAGTCAAGTTGGTCTACTACACGCCTGCGGAAGAGGAGGATGCGGTAGACGGGGTGATCACCGAGCAGACGGCTGGCGCTGATCAGCAGAATGTCGAGGAATGTGAGGAGACCGCGCAGCAGCAGGGTGAATCGAGACCGAGCCGACCCGCAATGGATTCGAGGCAGTCGACGCAGCAATCAACCCAGGCCACATCACGGACCATCTGGGGCAACGTAAGTCGCCTAACTCGATTGTTGATAGCGCGTCGTCGATCCGAGACCTCTGCTACTCGTCTCAGCGGCGGTCTCAAGCCCGTCACGCCAGCGAACCACACAGTCACCTCACCCACCAGCACACCGCAGACAGAGACAGGCGCAACCGCAAGCACTTCACCCAACCTCACCGCCAGCCGTCGTGGCAAGAAGCTCAAATACCCACTTCATCCGCTGCCTGCTCACCGTGCCACCTGCCCGATCTGTCTCTGCGACTTCGAAGAGCCTTCGCCGGACGAGGAGCCAGAACCGGAGCCGTTGCGGCTGCTCGAGTGCGGACACGTGATGCACCGGGGGTGTGTCGATCAGTGGCTGACTACTGTTTCTGGACGATGTCCGGTGTGCCAGAAGGCGGTGATTCCGGAGATGGAGAAGGCTGGGGAGCAGCAGGCGGTGACGGTGCAAGATGCGGGTAGGGAAGGCGTTGCGCAGCCAGAGGTGATGGAAGAGCAGACAGGAAGCGGCGAGGCTGCACCGGCGGCGGAGGCGCCAGTGGATGGTCCGGCAGTTCAAGAAGCAAGTGGCGCCGGAGCATCGGTACCGGCTCGGGATGCGGCGGAAGTAAGCGTCGATGGAGAAGCGCACGAACTGCAGCCTCTTCCGTCTAGCGCGTCTACCGCTGCGCAGCTGACCCCCGTGAATCATGTATCACCGCCCTAACCTCGCAACCACAATCTCAGCAAGGAGGATGAAATGCTTAAGAAATTGCGATTTGCGAATGTGCTGAATGATAACAGGACGATAGTGATGAAAAATGCCTTTGATGTTGTGATATGCAGAGAATGACAATAGAAAAGAGCGGAGAAGATAATTGTTGTTTTGCTGTGCTATGATTCGTCGTCGGCGAGGGACCAGTTGTGAACGATGGGTTTGGAGGATATAGCGTTGGTGAGGGATTGGTAGGTGGATTGTTCGAGGGTTAGGGGGGGAGGTTGTTTTGTGGTGGTGGGGGGAAGACGTTTTGATTTTTTGGAGGAGGAGGAGGAGGAAGAAGGGGGAGCACGTTTTGCTGCTGCTGAGTAGGTGAGTTTGGTTGTCGAAGGAGGAGGTGATGTTGAGGTTGGGGTGAGAGTGGAGGAGGAGGAGGAGGGGGACCAGATGTCGAGAAGTTTGGGAAGGGTGGTTGTGGTGGAGGATCGGGTGGAAGTGATCGAGAGGTTGAGAGTGTGCACTGGTGTGACGTTTATCCCTTCCGATGTGTCGATTTTGGCTGGAAGGCTGGTTAACAATCCACTAACGCCACTTTTCTCCCCACTAGCAGCGCCGGAGTCGACCGAGATGAGCTTGGACCGAAAATCGTCCACAATCCCCCTCAACACCACCGCATCGTACGCCGGTGTAGGCAGCACAGAGTTGTGCTTCCGAAGCCGTCTCGCATCGACAGAACCGGGAGTCACCGTTCCAGCATCACCCCCATCGGATAGCGAGTTGCGTGAGGATGATGCGTATGGAGCATGTGATGGATCGGTCAGCAACGGCGTTCGTTCCGATGGGGATGAGTTGCGTCGGGTGGGAAAGCAGCATGGAAAGATGGTGGAGAGGAATCGTTCCATGGTCATGTCCGGAGTGGCCGGGAGGGTGATGCGCAACGGTGCGATCTTATAGGCTGGCAGGAAGCGACGAGAGGGATGCTACGGATGCGACGGCTCGGCGAAGTGGAGACCCGAGATGATCTTGGTGTACAGGTATGACGGTGGGATGATGACCAGAAGGTTGACGATGGCTGCAAAAGAGGAAAAGGCTCAAATGGAAATGCAAGAGTGTCGGTACCGTGGCAGCAGCAGCAGCGGTCACTGCTGCTGGAAATTCAATCTCCGCGATTTATGACTCTTCTGCCGACATCCGCCCCGCTCCTTTTTGGGCAGCTGAATGCAGACAAACTCCACTCTCGAATTCGCAGAACGCCGTGTGCTGCCGGTGGTACTTTGCATTCAACATGTTTGCCAGTTCGGCTCAGGAGACCATTCGCATTCTCGAATCAACCAGTGTTGGCCTGCTCGCAGTGGTCTATCGTTCCGCCACTCGGCGGTTCTTGAATATATGCAAGAATCTGCCCTGAGATGGAAACAGCAAAGCCAGATTGATGCAGACCGCGAGATCAGTCCGCGAAGTTCATAACGAAACATGACTAATGTACAACCTCGTCGTGCCTTTGTCCATCTGGTCGGCAATGTGACCGCTTCGCTCTCTCCTCTACGCAGCAACGTCAGCCTCACCCGTCTGTGGAACCACAACCTCCGCCCTACCCAACTTCTTATCCCTCGTCTCAAACTCGATGAACCTAGCCTGTTCGATCTTGCTCTTCTTGATGTCCAACGGCCAGAGCAGCACACAGCTCGCCAACGACAATGCCAACAAGAAGTAGAACGGTGTCGAGGCGTTGCCCGTATCGTCCGCGATGGCCTGCGTCACGAAGGGACCGATGAAAGCCGAAGTTTTGCCGATGATGGAGAAGAGCGAGAAGAAGAGGAATTCGGATCCCTTGGGTGTGACTTCCGCAATCATGGTCTGCGAGACAGCGTACCAGGGGCACACGAACAGGCCGTAGTATGCCTGGTAGACGTACACCTCCCATTCGTGATGAAACCCAAATCGCTGCGTAAAGATTCCGATGAAACCCCATCCCTCCAAAAGGATGGTGAAAAAGACGACCCAGCAGAACATGTAGAGCGTCGACAGCTGCCATCGCTTCTGGATCATCCAGAACACGTAGATGCCTACAGCCTGAGCTGCGATTCCGACGATCAGCAACAGGTTGAGCTCTGTGGTGCTGAAGCTGACCACCTGATTTTGGATGGTCGAAATGACCGTGACGGAGGTATTGAGTGCGTCGGAGAAGAGGAAGTAGAAGACGAGGTAGATGAGCGTCTGTTTGAGGCGACGCAGGTGTTTGGCTGCGAGGACGGCTTGTTTGACCGCCGCGGTGAGGTAGTTTGTGCCGGGAGGTAGGGGTTGGCCTGGACGACGCTTTTCCATGACGAACCAGGGGATGGCGCAGAGGACCCAGACGCCTGCGCTGAACGCTACAACGGCGGAGAGCGCAGTGGTGTTGGACTGCGTGTCTCGGTCGGCATGGATGCCGTAGAGCATGCCTTGGATGACGGCGAGCACAACAAGTTCTCCGACAGAGCAGACGGTGAAGGCAATGTTGGAGATCCGGTTGATGGACATGGTCTCTAGCAGGCTGTATTTGTCGGCTGTCATGCGGTCCTCCGCCATCGGTTGTTCCACGGCTGGTGTTGCGACCTTGTCGTCAACGTCCTTGGCTTGGTTCGTCGTCGAAACGTTTGCGTCGTCGACAAGTTTGTGACGCGCCTCGCGCATGTGTGGAAGGTCTCTTGCCAGCCCCGGGAAAGCAGCCGTCCAATAACTCAGGCAAAGCTGATACGTGATCAATCCAACCATGTAAAGCCCCGTTCCCACCTGCCACTGTTCCGGTCTTGTAACTCCCAGCCAAGCAAAGCTGACGGCAATAGCAACGACCGTGCACACAATCAAGATGTACGGCCTGTTCTTGCCGTAATCAGCAAAGCTTCCAATCGCCAAGAACAGCACCGCCTGGATCGCAAACGAGATACCATTGCTCAGCAGCACGATGCTCTCCACCGTCCTCTCCTTGCCTGCAAACAGGAGCCGACAGTCGGGCTGTCCGTCATTGCCGCACTGTCCCGCGCCAAGGTTGGTCGCCTGCTGCGCCAGCAGATTCTGAAATTGAGAGGGGGCAAAGTTGAACGGACCCAGACCGGAGTTGCCGATGTAGTAGACGTAGAATGCCCAAAGCTCGTAGCGACCGGTGGTGAAGCGAGAGTCGGAAGAGGTGGGGTCTTGGCTGGTGGTGAGCAGAGCGGTTGCAAAGTTTTTGCTGCTGCTGGCGTCGCTCGCTGCGTCGGTGGAGATTTCGTCCGCGTCAGGTGGCGGTGCGGCCGCGGCGACGGCGGCGGCGGCAGGCTGTTGATGGTCCGCCATGGCTGTCCAAGAAGGGTGTGGTTATGGTGGAGAGGTCGAACCCGGGGTAAGTAGAAGGGGCAACAAGGACCCTAGGGATCATGCAGCGGGCGGCTTCTGCATCTGCATCACACAAGAACGACAGCAACTGAAAAGTTCTTGATTGGGGCATCGTGGCGGCAATGCAATTTTCAGGCACACAAGCCATGTGTCGCATGCTCGGGGCAACACCTCGCGCTCGCCGGAGGAGTTATCTCGTCGATCAAACGCCGCCTTCTCTATCACCTTGTCAAGAAACGGCGGCTCGGTACGGTAGCAGCGGCGAAATTTTGATTTGGCCAAGAGCAAAGTTAACCTACTCTTTGGCTGTCAGGCGTAACATCTCCCGATCTGACCGCATCGATTCCTGCTGTTAGATCCTGAAATTGTGGCGGTCGCGCAGAGTCGATGAACGCCGGTGCAAGACGCCGATAACCAATCCCAAGACTCGGTGATCCTCTGTCCAATTGGCAAGATTCTGCGTTCTACGCCCATACGAGTTCGACTGAGCTTCTTGGCCCACAAGACTTTGAATACTGTAGCCGGAGGAGCGAAATGCGGGAGCATAGAAGGCACAACTTGGCAGCACGCCTGAGAGTTCGGGGGAAAATGCGAGCTGCAGCCCGAATCTGTTTGCAATCCAACGCAGCCGAGGCCCGACGCGCTCTAAGTTTGATGCTTTCATGCTCGGTGACCTCGAACCGCCTCAACTCGTCGAAACCACCATCCCAGTCCAGTTTGTTTTGCTCTCCTCTCATCATCTAGATCTTGACGCTTCGTACGCGTAGGCCGACGATTGCTTTGAGCTCGCTCTGCATCGTGCAGTCCAACCTCGCCACTTTTGCTGGATCGGATCCAATTCTCTCATCCCTATCCGCGACCGCCTTAACCCTTACACAGCACCGTGGAACTGAACTGGAACCAAGAATCTGATACAGTTCATCTCATCCTCGAGGCCACTGCTTTTCTATCAACGCTCGGCTCGCTCGATTTCCAGTGCCTCATCGACCTCGCTCTTACTGTGTTCAACCGAGCCCCCACGGACATCATCGTGCGGAAACAGTAGGTCAAAGCCTTTTCAGAGATGGGTAAGTAGATTGAGATCGTCCACTTCCGCCGCTCGGCTCCATCATCTAAAATCACTGTACCTGTGCTGGAGGCAGTCGGATCTAGGGGTCTGTTCAGCAATCTCACTGGTCGCTAAGCGTCGACACATGACTCGAGACAGGATGCTACAGTATGTAGCCGGGCTTGAGCCGGCATGGCACAAGGGCGCAACGTGCTGTTTGGCCTCCGCTTCCGGCGCTCGCAGCGCAGTTGGTGCAGCGGCGCTTCGCGTGGCTCGCCGGTGGTAGGCTTGTATGATGGATCGGGTCGCCAAGGTAGGCAGCTTGATAGATGATGGCGTGTCTCTTCCAACGGATCGACATGATCATTCTTGCAGCTCGTTGTCGGTCCGGAGAATTGTGCTGGCTGGCGGCTTTCCGGCGCCCGCCGTTGATCGCCTTTGAGCCAAGCCATCGTGGAGGCTTGGCCTCGCTACGGCGACAGCTTTTTCGGCAGGGATTAGATTCGCCTCGCAGCCTCGGTCTGTCGGTTCCCTTGGATTTCAGGCTGCGACCAGCGCGCACTGCCTGCTAAGCAGTTAGTCTAGCTAGCTGACTGGTGGTCTGTCTGCCACTGGTCACCAGTCCGAATTAACCTTTGTGATGATTTTCCGGCCAGAGCGCGCGTACCAGCCCTCTCTGTCCCTCGTTTTCTGTGCCAGTTCGGCTTTTCGATGCACGCACACGCGCACGCACAGCAATTTGTGCAGGAAACGGTTTGGATTGGTCTCGCCTCTGCTGTTGCCCCTGATTTTGGCGCCAGGTTTGGTCTATGCGCGACCGGTTGGGGCGGAAAATAACACTGGCTTGCGCACCAACCCTCGATCGCCACGCTACCAAACGCACCTCACTGCCTCTCTGCTGCACAGCGCCACCAGCCAAAAGGAAAAAAGGGATCCGCAGCTTGGCGCTGCAGTGTGCTTCAGGTGCGCTTTCATGTCAATCTCAGCCTCGATCCCTACGCATCTCGCCCCCCGCACGCTTGCCTTGGCCTCGACCTCAACCTCGACCTTTCCGCCCTCTCGTGTACTTTCTCGGCCCCATCATCTTGATCAGTCCCCGGACGGCAAATTTCTGACTACATCTCTGCTCTTCACCTCTGCCTTCTCCTCGCTTAACAACCCTCGGCGGACGCTCCCTCCAACAACGTCTTCACAACGCCATCAGCATACACGTCTTCCTCCAGACAAGCTGTGCTCGCTGCTCTCTCCGACGTCGTCACCGTCAGCCCCAACCCTAGCAACGACGCCAGCTCCAACGCATTCCCGCGTCACGCTCGTCATCCTTCCTACGATCCCGAATCGTCCTACAGCGGCTTACAGCCTCTGCGCACCTCCGAGCCTCCCACTATGGTCCCAGCCAAGAGCCCCTTTGAAGACCGCAGCCTTCCACCGCTCCCGCCTTCAGAGCAGCCTGCAAAGTCATCTCACACAATGGCCAGCAAGTTCGCCAACGCCTTTCGCAGGCAGACTCCCGACGAAAAGGCAAAGGCAAAGCGTGCGAAGGACAAGCGCATGAACGACGAGATCAACAAGACCACCGCAAGGGCCAGCCGCATGGACATCATTGATCGTCTCGATCTCTCGGGCATCAATGGATCCAGCATGTTCCACCACGACTCGCCCTACGACGCATGCGCTCCCCACATGAACTCGGGCAAACGCGCTCCCGTCGGCGCTTTCGACCCCAACATTGACCCAATGACTGGTCTTCCACGCAACGTCGCAGGCGCAAAGAAGGGCGCCCGCGCCACCGCTTACGACAGCCCCGACAACGAGAAGGGTGCCATCCGCCCGGGCGTAAGTGCCAATGGCAGCCGTCGTCGCAGCGCCACCGCGCCACTCGTCCCTTCCCTCTCTATGCATGATCACGCTTCCGCCACAGAGCTTCCTCTGGACGAAGAGGTAGACGCAGACCGAGACGCCGAAGCCGAACGCGTCTGGCGAAGTCGCCAAGGCTACCACACCCAGCCGTCCAACGTCCCTGAGAGCCGCTACGACGTTTCGAATCCCAATGCAGACGTTTGGGGCGTCAGTGCAGAGCCGTGGCAGGATTTCGCCCAACCAAAGGCGCGCGTCCGTTCCCACCTCAGCCCCTACTCGACCAACCTTGGCGAACGCAGCGGCACCACCAGTGCAGCAAGCAGTGTCCTCGACATGGAAGCCATCATGACCGGCCAGAAGAAGTCCACCCGTGGCCAGGACGAGCTCGCAGCAGGCAGCGCCAGTCCCTTCCCGGAACCCAACTACGACGACAGGCTTTCCGCAGCTGGTACCTCGTCCGATGCACCCAAGCGCAACAAGAGCCTCATCAAGCGCATTCGCAGCATGCGCGAGAATCCCAACGTGCCTCCACCTGACGAAGGAGGTGTCGAGATGGGCTCGGTTCGCGACCGCCGTCGACGAGCAGCACAGCACAAACACTCGCCCAGCACTCCACCCCTCCGATCTGACTATGCCGCCGCTGCCGATGCCGCCGTCGGCGCCTCCGTCAACAGTGGCAGCTACGGCCGTCGAACCGGTCGAACGGCCGCCACTCCCAGCGAGAGGGACGTCCTCACACCACGAGCCAACCGCGATGACGACGCATCCTACTTTGATCGATCACAGGATTCTCGAACCGGTCGTTCTCCAGCCAAAGAAAGTGGCTTGACGAGAAACGGCAGTCTCTTTAACAAGTTGAGGCGCGGTGGAAAGTCTTCTCCCAAGGGCACCGAGCGTCAGACTGCTTACGCCTAACTCGCAATCCCGTCCGCTCTTTGGTTCCTCTGCTCTGTTTGGCGAAACTTGTTTCACATCCGCTAGCTGTATGACTCTCAAATCTCGGTCTTTCTTCTTTTTCGAATCATGGACTCTCTTTTGCATCTGACGCGTGTGCGTGTGTGTGCGCTGTGAGTGGTGGTCATTGATTTTGCATGCATGCTCAGACAAGGAGAAGGCGTTGCATGTTGGTAAAATCGTCCAACATTTGCGGTGTGGTAGAGTTGACAGGACAGAACCTTAGTGGAACCGGGGTTTGGTGTTGCTACGGCGTGGTGGGGGCATCGCTCTTGGGCGGAACCTCCACCTTGAGCAGATCCTTCCTCAGCTGTTCCCCAGACATCTCCGAATCGTGCACAGCTGCCTGCAGGGATTCCACTGCGACACCCTCGCTAGCCGGCGCACCTGTATCCGCACTTTCACCGAGCGAACCAGAGGCTGCGGTGGGGGATCTGCGTTCGTTCTCGACCGGCTGCTCGTCGGTCTCGGCTTCATCGTCACTGTCGTGACCATCAAGACCCAGACTGCGGGCTTTTCGAAACAGCTCGCCTTCTTCGCTCAGCTGTCCCTTGGCCAGGTTTTCGGTGGGTGAGCGTGGTGGATGAGGCTCGGGAGGGGGCTCTTCGCGCGCGGCGGAGAGGGGTTCCAGCTGGTCGGTCTGGATGCGCAGCCCGAGCATTGATTCGGACAGCGGCGCCGCTTCAGAGGGTGGAATTGCACCACCAGAGAAAGATGATCTTGCCTTGCGTTGGTGTGACGAGTCGTCCTCGGAGTCCTCGTCTGAATCCGCGATGGAGAATGCAGGCGAGCTCAACCCCGAAGCCACCTCCTGATCCGGTGTCGAGAGATGCGCTGATAGTCCTACTTCTCCTTGCGAGCTCTTCCTCACCGGTGCATCCTTCGCATAGATCCTCTCCAACCTGGCGCCTACCTCCTCCAACTCATCATGAACCATCAACACCTTCTCCAACAAATCCCCTTCCTCGACTCTCCCCGCTACCTCACCCAGCTTCTTCCGCAACTTCTCACCCTGCTTCTTGAGCTCCTCCACCACCTCCCCGCTCCCCTCTCCCTCCACCACTTCCTTCATCAACCCCACGCAGTCCCTCGCCCTTCCCACCAACGCCTCCACCTCCGCCCTCTCCCTCTCCTTCACCCTCCTCACTTCCCCCTCCCTCTCGATCTCCTCCTTCCTAACCCTCTCCTCGTTCTCCCTCACCGCCCTCGCCACCACACTTCGGTAGATCGGTGCAGCGACCTTCTGCTTCAACCCTTTCCTCTCCGCCCTCTGCTGCGCCGCCTCCGTGTTCCTCACGCAGCTCTGCAGGATCTCCTGACTCAACCTCGCGAAATCCGGATTGTTCGCAGGAATGTTCAGATCCAGACACCTCAAACTCCGGTTCATGCGCAATGACACCGCCAAGGCCATCACACCGGCGATGTCGATGGAAAAGTTCTCCGCAAGATCCAGATGGATCAAGCTCTTGGCTTCCGGCAAGAACTCCGCCAACGCAATCGCCGCTTCCGAAGACAGATTCGTGTCGTTGAGGAACAACCGCTTAAGTTGAGAGTTCAGCGCGAAAGCGGTGCGCAGCGTGGTGATGCCTTCGAGACCAGGTCCCGAACACGGATTGTGAGACATGTCCAGCGTCTCGAGCGTCGAGTTGTACTTAAGCGCTTCCGCCACCGCCACCAACCCGGGCATCTCGATATTGTTGTCGCTCAGGTTGAGGACGCGCAACGTCCGGTTCTTCTTGAGCACCTGAGCAAGGTACACGACACCACCGCGGATGTCGTTCGATTTCAGATCGAGCGTCAGCAGGTTGCCGACACGCGGTAGGTCGGCGAGGATCCGCCGCGCGCGCTTGGCTTGGTAGATGGCGACGGCCTCTTCTTCGCTCAGGTTGGGTGCCGAGTTGCGGCGGATGTCGAGTCGCTGTTGTGGGGTCAAGCTGAGATCGAGTTCAGCCGTCGGTCCGGCGATGCTCGTCTGCATGGCATCCTGAAGCTGCTCCGTGTGCGCGCCGTAGAACGTCGTCGGCCTTTGATCGCTCCCACCGTTGACATGGCCAGGCATCCTGCGAGAGGTGATACCGCCCCCCGGACTCGAGACGATGACAGGAACATCCGGCAAGCCAGGCGAGTAGCTGCGTTGACGACGTTCCGGTGTGGTCAATGCATCGCCCGCTCTCAACGCGCGCCCACTCCGATCCGACGCGTCAGCAGCCGCTGTACCGGATGCCGAGGCAGCAGCTGCAGCCGACTCAAAGTACGACTTTGCATCGCGTTCCTGCGTTCCTGCCGCTTGAGACTCGGACGCAAACACGCTATCCGGATAATCCTTGAGCATGATGGCGAGTGCCACCGATGCAAGCTGACCGATCTTGTTGCGACGGAGGGAAAGGTGTCGAATGTCCGAGAACCGCACCGCCTGGGATAGCATCTCGAGCGAAGCCGCCTTGAGGCCACAGTTCTCGAGACGCAGAGAGATGATCGCTGAGGTCGGCGGATCAGGGTCGTCCGAAACATCACGAAGCAGCGGGGCGGTTGGCATGAGCGGTTCTCCCAAATCGTCAAAGAACTCGTCGTCACTACCATCGTCCTCACCATCGCCGACAGTGTCATCAGCATCAGCACCTGTCTTGGCTTTCGACTGCCCTGCGCCGTTCGTGTCAGCTTTCGCATCGGAAGCTTGCGGCGTGCGTCCGTTTGTGACGGCCGATGGCGGCTTGGTGATGACCGCCAGAATATGCTCGAGCGAGAGACGATCGATCGAGTTTTCGGACAAATCTAGATAGCGCAGCGCACGCGCACGACGCATGAAGATGGCCACGTACTTCCAGCCGCGGAAGCGAATCTTGCGATTGCTCGCTATGCTGAGATTGGGCAGCGTGCCCGAGACAAGCAAAGCATGCAGGATTGACTTGACCGTGTCATCTGTGAGGGCGCAGTTCTCGAGGACGAGCTTGTTGAGACCAAAGTCGACGCTGAGCAGGTCCGCGATGGGCTCGACAGCGTGTCGGTCAAGCGGTACGAAGGAAAGGTCCATGGTCTTGAGCGCCGGCGGGGTCGCTTGAGCAGCTTCTTGGAAGACGAGCCGCATCTTTTTCAATGGATGCTCTTCGCGTGTTCGGCAGCATTCTCGGTACAGTGCTTCGAGTTGCTCAGGTGTCCATGGTTTTCCACGACGGGCCTTGAGCATGCGACGATGCTCCCGCTCGATGCGAAGACGGGTGAGGTCCTCGTCTTCAGGCGTTCCTGCGCCCACGATGGGGTATGTGACGGTCATGTGTGAGACTTGGAATTGCACTTTCTTGAGCGGTGCGGCCGAGGTTGTGGATGAGACGACGGTGCTTTTGACCATTGAAGATGTCGATCCATTGTCAGAGTCGTTCTGCTGCGAAGCGACGACGGTGGAGCCTGAGGAAGAAGCAGTGGTGCTGATGCTGACGCTGCTTCTGTTGACGTTCGAATTAAAGCTACTGATCGAGGAATGTGGTGCGGAACCGTTGCTGCTTGTTTGCTGGTCGTTGTTGAGAAAACCTCCGACGGTGGTGGCACTGGATCCACTCACATTGGCAGCAGCTCCGGCAGCCATACCACCAATCTTGCGGAACATGCCTCCGATGTAGGAAGCGGTGGCCTGTGCTGTTCCGCTTTGGGGCACTGGTACTTGGACATTGACGCCTTGCTGAGCGAGACGAGTGTTGATGTTCTGGAGAATATCTCTGCGGAAGGAAAATCCCTTTTGAGGAGGCGGAGCCGGCTTCAGGATACCTTTTGGCTTGGAGCCCAACTTGCGTTTGTAGATGGACCTTCGAACAGGACTGACGGCCGTGATCATGGACGACTCGAGTTCTGCTTTGGGTGAGGAAGGACCGGCGACGCCGAACTGGCGTTGCTGATCCGGAGCTGATGCTGAGCTTGCAGCATTTTGATCTGTAATGATGGGTAGCGGCTTGTCGGTAGTGTTCGAGAAGCTGGATGTGCTGGCGATAGGAGATGGTGCTGATGCGGAAAGAGCGGCTGGGTCGAATGTGCCGGGAATCACTGGACTCGGTGCAGGTTGCGCAGGCGACACGCTTTCGACGTCATCGCTCGAGGTCAGAGCAGCTTGCGAAAGCGGTACTGCGTCCAAAGCTGCCGGCTCGGTCTGCTGGTGTTGTGCAGATTCGTTTGCGTTCACGTCCTGAGTCGACGTGGACACGTCGGAAGCAGTGGATGGTTGATTGTCGTGTTCAGGAGCATTGCTTTCCGACATTCTGTAAACAGACAACTTCACGAACCGAGACGGAGCCCAGCAAGGCCAGTCTCAAGTCGAAGAGGTAGACCTTTAGCGAGCATCCGTCCCGTGTTTGTTGACGCAGGCTAGCAGGATAGCTGAATGACGGGTCGTGGCTGTGGCGTGCTGGGACCTCGCTCACAGCAGTAGGGCTAGATTAATTGCACTGCCTCCGAGGGATACCAAGATGATTGTCGTGGTGTTCGTTATCAATCTGAAAGGAGTGAGGAGGACGAGCGAAGGATGTGATGGAGGCTGATGCGTAAGAGGGTGTCGGGAAGCGAACGTCGAAAGGGGTTTGTGCGTCGAGTGTGTGCTTTCCTGTTGGTTGTGAGTGCAAAGTGTGTGTGTCAGTCGGACCGTTGCATGAAGCCGTGCAACTCCACGCGGAAGTGCGTGTTGGTGTGTTGGGCCGTTGTGGACCTAACATATCAAATGCCGCTGACTGAGCTCTCGGATTTCGGCTTTTTCCTTTGAGTTTGGCAATGCTCGAATCTTTCATGGTTGGCTATCATCCTTCCGCCAGCCACCATCCCCTGGGCCAACCCAGCCACGCACACCATCCGTCGTCATGAGTGAGGCTCCTGCAGAAGGCGCAATCGTAGAAGCGGCGAGCCAGGTGGCGTCCACATCCTACCAACCGCGTCCCGCACGCAAGCAGGTCACCAAGGCCAAGTTCGATGCCATCCGCGAAGCATTCAGCGCTAGGCCCGAGTCCGCAGGCACCTTCAACATCTGGTACGAAAACTACGCCGGCGTCGACAGGGAAGAGAACGAAGCTCAAAAGGCAAAGCGAGAGACGAGATGCGACATTGCTCGGGACTCTGGGTACACAAGAGCCGATATCACTCTCAAGACGCAGGCAGCACGTATGCAGCAAGGCGTCTCCATCAGCCCAGACGAAGCGGTCTACTGTTGCATCCACTTTGCGCGCGGTTGTTGTCCACACGGCGTCGAGTGCAACTTTCTTCATCGACTGCCTCGCTCCAACGACTTTCCTAGCCAGGGTCGTGACTGCTTCGGTCGCGAAAAGCTCGGCAACTACAAGGACGACATGAGCGGCACCGGCTCGCTCTCCAAGATCAATCGCACCCTGTACGTCGGTCGCATCCACGAAGAGCACGGCGTCTCCTTACCTTCTGCTCCTGCTAATGCTGCTTGGCGCGATGGCGGCAAAACACTAAAAGGAGGGCGCAGCATCAATGAAGTCAAGAAACACAGTGGTCCTCGTCAACGACAGGATCCAAAGACATATCGACCGCAGCACAACTCGGTGCGACCTGAGACTGACAACGCCACCGAACGTGTCATTCGACGTCATTTCAGCGAGTGGGGAGAGATCGACAAGCTGCGCGTTCTTACCGGCAAATCGTGTGCATTCGTCACGTTCAAGTACGAAGCCAACGCGCAGTTTGCAAAGGAAGCGATGCTCAATCAGTCGCTCGATCACAACGAGATCATCAATGTCAGGTGGGCCTCGGACGATCCCAATCCAGCAGCGCAGAAGCGCAATCAGGAGCAGATGCGACGTGCGGGAGAACGTGTCATCATGGCGGGCATGTCGTCGCAGGCCATCGAGGCTCAGCAGGCGCTACGCGCACTCGAAGGGCTTGAACACGAAGGAGGTGAGGATGTCCACTCAAAACGCCGAAGAATCGCTCAGCAGAGCTACGACCAGGAGCTACGCAGGCTTGAGGAGGAGAACGAACGTGGGTGGGCCGAGTTTGAGCGGGAAAGACAAGCCGCTGCCGCTGCAGTAGCAGTAGCAGCAGAAGGAGAAGCTCAAGGAAATCACCCTTTGGCCGCTGCAAGCAAGGCCAGTGCCTCCGGTTCGCTGCTCAATTCGGAGACAATGTCTCAAATAGCATCGCTTCAGACGCCTGCATCACTATCAAAAAAGCAATCTGCACCGTCGACGTCCAATGGGCTTGGTAGTCTAGCGGCGTACGGCAGCGACAGCGAAGATGAAGATAGCTAAACGCCGCGTTTCCCGCCAGATCACGGCGAGAGGACTCGATTTGACACCGAACGCTATTGCTATATTGTATTTGTACCGCCCAAAAACATTAGATACTGTTCTTCACAACAGTCCTGCACCATCCTTGCTATGAGTGAAGAGTGACATCTGGCAATAGCCCCATGAGACTGTTTTTTGGCGCGAAAGTGGGGGGTCTGTGTACGATCTCACATTCGTATCTTGCAGAAAATTCGAGAATCCGGGTCGGGCTGGCCCGTGCCAAAATTTACGCTGTTGTGCACAGCATGTGGAGCAATGCATGTCGTTCCTTGAGAAGGATGTCTGTTGCCCGTAGCCCTTGCACACACACTAGTGACCGCTGTTGTAGCACGTTCCTAAGTTGACGCTGTCTTTGCGTACAGTCCTGGACACGAAAGCATTTGAATCACTTCTGATCGCCGCAACCTTGACTAGGATGAGCAGCGTAACAACAACAAGTTACCGAGCGAGTATGTCGAACAGAGTATGAAGGGTCAAGGTCGTACGACCTTGGGTCTCGACACTCGGCTGGATTTCGAGCTGCGCGAGGGGTTGGAAGCCCTGTGAAGCCTGCTTAAAGACAAGTTTGAGGTCTGTGCATTGTTTCGACTTTTTCGAAGCGGAGCTCTGTGTTCCACAGTTGCGGGCTTGCCGGAATCGGCTTGCTGACTTTGCACGTCATGCTACAAAGTCGAGCCCTGATATAATAACTGCGTTCTCCTTTCCCCCGCTCACCATCAGCATCATCACCCTTACTTTGGAGATATCGCCTCACAACAAAACAAGCAAAGAAATCATGGAGGACACAACTTCCGCAAAACGAGCCGGATCGGCGGCTGACACCGAGGAAGACTTTTCCACGGTACCTACCACCACCGCTGCCTCGGAGAGTGGTTTCGAAGACCTCGCCATCTCCGAGACCGACTCGAACGTCCGTGTTGCAGCTTCCAACGACACGGATACCACTTCGTCGCCTTCTGGTGTTAACGAAGCGGTCCCTGCAGCGGCCTCCGCACGCACACCCGCCGAACCGGCATCCCACACCCGCGCAGACAGCACCTCTCTCAGCACCTCTTCTTCCGGTCTCGTCCTCTTCGATCTGACCGACAAACCCAACGGTACCGCCTGCTTCTCTCCGCACACCGTCAAGACCCTGCTCGATCTCAAACTGCTCAACGTCGGGTACGAACGTCAACGTCTCACCTTCGTCCAAGTTCGCAACGACCTCGCCTCGCGCATCGCCGACAACGTCACCGTCCCCGCACTCGAACTCTCCGACGGCTCCCACATCGTCGATTCGTGGAACATCGCAGAGTACCTCGAACGAAGACACCCCGACGGCCACAAGCTGTTCGGCGACTCGGCGACAAAGAGGTTGGCTGCGATGCTAAATCAGTTTGGCAAGACGGTGTTGGCTCCGCATATCGGACCGCTGGCGCAGAAAGGTGTGCACGGTATGTTGGACGAAGAGTCGAAGAGCTACTTTGCCGAAGTCAAGATCGGCAAGCAGAGGTGGGCCAAGGTGTCGAATATGGGACGGGAGGAGAGGGAGACGCATGTCCAGCAAGCGGTGGCCAAGTTGGAGGTCATCAATGCCATGTTGACCTGTGAAGGCACAGATTCTACCAGTGGCGGCGGAAGTGCTTCGCTGATAGGTGCGAGTGGAGGGAACGGTAGGAGTGCAAGTCGAAGCAGGCAGCCCGTGTGGTTGGCCGGTGGTGAGCAACCTACGCATGCCGACTTTGTGCTGTTCGGCTGGTACGTGTTCACCCGAGCTGCAGGCGAGAAGGTGGCCAAGGAGATCTGGTTCGCTCACAAACCGATCGGAAGGTGGGTCCAGGCCATGCTGGAGTGGTCGGGTGAGTTGGCGCATGATTTCGTCTAGAATTGCACGACGGTACTACCTTGCGATTGCGTTCGGTTCATATGTGTGCATTTAGAAGGTGACTGAGAGGACTGTGCGACCGACACCTTTGGTGACGTTGAGCAATGGCTCGATTCTAGCCTGCGGGTGTTTCTCTGCAAGAGTCTGCTTGAAGGGTTCAACACCACCTCCTACACCGAAGTAGATGACCTTTGCCGCCACCAGTGTCAACGCTGACCCGCCCGCGTAGCGACTCACCACGTCCACCAGTGCGGGGAGCGATTCCAACGAGTAGATCGTCTCGGACGTCAGGATCACATCCATCTTGCCGCCTAGTGTAGGTGGGAACTCGGACCACGCTCCCGAATGGAAGTTCAAGTGAATCCCACGTTGCGATAGGGATGCTGAGAAGGCAGCGACGAGGTCCGAGGTGATGGCGAGCTCGTTTTCGGAGTCAAAGTGATCCTGGCCTCTGCGGAGGAGTTCGTTGCGTTCGTGGGTGGTGTGTGCGGCTTCTGTGGAGGAGCGGTACGAGGCGGAGGAGGGTGAGGCGTACCAGGTCAGGAGCAGGTTCGGGAGGGTTACGAGCTGGAGAACTTGGGCGTTGTAGTCGGCGAGGTGGAATGTGAGGTTGAGCGGCCGATCCAAAGGTTCTTCGTTGAGTACTTGGGAGAGGATGAAGAGGGAAGGTAGCGCCGTTCCACAACCTAGCTCGAGGACGTTTTTGCAAGAGAGACGGGAGGACCAGCTGGACGGGCTAGCGGTAGAGTGGAGCGCGTCGAGCGTCTCGACAAGGTCCAACGCGCATTCCCACGTCTTGAGCCCGCCTTCATATACGCCGGGTATCAAGTCGGACTGCGCATCCACGTTCCCATTCCGATGTTGCGACGCTGTTCCATTCGCGCTGGCCTCGCCTTCCTCCTCCTCGTCGTCGTCGTCGTCGATGAGCATCTGAAACCGTGCATCGAACAGATCGCGCCGCAACAACCTATGCACTCTGCTGCTCTCCCTACCCGTACCGGGCAAGATGACATCGATGGCGGAGTAGGATATCCTTGAAGGCAAGTTTTGCAGCATCTCGTGTAACGAGTGGCTCTGGAACGGCGCTGCGGTCGTCTTCGACGTTGACGCCTGTGCCGAGATCGACGCAGTTGCTGTCGCTGACGGGATGGAAGGGTGCGGAGACGTGACGTACTCTTCGTCCATCTCCGAGTCATCGAATTGGAAGCCGAATGACATCTCGACGGCGAAGAATGATCGACTGCTACCTGATGGTATCGAGTCGTTCGTAATACGAGTTGAAGATGATGATGAGTCGCAGGATTCGATCGTAAAGAAAGAAGCCGGGGCCACGATGCGTGGTGAGAAATGTCCGTCTATCGAATAACAGCTTGCTGCGAGCTGAGAAGGATTGTTTGAACTTCTGGTAGAGTAGTGATCACCGTTGTCTACAGAGATGTCGAACGACGGTTGAGCGGGAAGAACTTGCTCATCGAACATGACGTTTCCGCAAACTCTAAAATTTTGGCGCGTCAACGTTCGATCTTCGGTTGGACCCTGAATTCTGCTGCCCCACCGTCCCGGCCTCCTCGACTCGACGACGGTGAGAGCATTTGGCCGCCCATCATCGCTTCGCTTCGATTCAGGCAGGTCACAGGCCTCATTCGCAGCTCAGACCATCGCACAGTCACTTAGCACGCAACTCTGAGCCGAGCTACTTTGGTCCATTCATCGTCTGCATTGCCGTCCGCCTAGAACAGATCGCGATCGGTCACACACCCCTCGCTAGCATTCTGTACATCCCTAACAAACTTGTACAGCCAGCCCCTCTTGTGCTTCTGGACAATCTTGGGTTTCCTCTCCTTGACCCACCACTGTCTCCTCTTCTCCATCTCCTCCTCACTTACATGAACGTTGATCTCGCGGGTGCTGGCATCGACGGTGATCCTGTCGCCATCCTGCACAAGAGCGATGGGACCTCCTTCGGCTGCTTCTGGGACGACGTGGCCGGTGCAGAAGCCATGCGAGGCGCCGGAGAAGCGACCGTCGGTGATCAGCGCTACCGTCTTGCCCAATCCGGCGCCCATGATGGCACCGGTAGGACCCAGCATCTCGGGCATTCCGGGACCACCTTTCGGTCCGACGTATCGGATGATGACGACGCTGCCATCCTTTACACGCCCTTCAGCAATGGCTTCGGTGATGCCGTCTTCCCCGTCGAACACAACAGCGGTGCCGTCAAAGTACAGTCCTTCCTTGCCGGTTAGCTTGGACACAGCGCCACCAGGACAGAGGGATCCGCGCATGATGGTCAAATGACCTGTAGCCTTGATCGGGTTGCTGAGCGGTCGGATGATATCTTGCGTCTCGAACTCGAGCGGTTCAACGTCGGCAAGGTTCTCGCGCATCGTCTTGCCGGTCACCGTCATGACATCGCCGTGCAGCAGATCCGTGTTCTCCAGGATGTATTTGAGCACACGTGGCACACCTCCGATCTTGTGAATATCCTCCATGTAGTACTTGCCTGAGGGCTTGACATCTGCCAGCATTGGCGTCCTGTCACCCAGCCTCTGGAAGTCGTCAATGGTGATGTCGATGTCACCAGCGCGAGCTACAGCAAGCAGATGAAGCACCGCATTCGTCGAACCACCAAGAACGTGCGTCATGACGATCGCATTCTCGAACGCCTCCTTGGTCATGATATCGCGCGGCTTGAGGTCCATTTCGAGGAGATTCTTGATGTAGCCTCCGACTCGAAGACACTCTTGCATCTTTTCAGGATAGACGGCTGGGATGCTGCTAGTCATGGGCAGGCCCATGCCCATAACTTCGATGGCGATAGACAACGTGTTGGCCGTGTACATGCCTCCACAAGCACCGGGACCGGGGCAAGCGTTTCGGATGAGGTCGACACGCTGCTCGGCGGTGATGAGACCTTTGGCGTATGCTCCTGTCGCTTCAAAGTTGTCAGCGACGTTGCAGGGGTCGCCCTTTTTCCTGCCGAGACCAGGCATGTCCATGCCGTGCCTGCCAGGCTGAATTGTTCCGCCGTACACAACGATGGACGGGCGGTTGTGACGCATACAAGCGATCAGGCAGCCTGGCATGTTCTTGTCACATCCCGGGATCGACACGTTGGCGTCATGGTACTGCGCCATCGTGATGGTCTCGATCGAGTCCGCAATGAGCTCCCTAGACGGAAGCGAATACTGCATGCCTGGACCGCCCATGGTGATCGCATCCGATACGCCCACCGTGTTGTTCTGCAGACCGACGAGCCCGACGGCTTCGCATCCCTGCTTGATCTTGCGGCCGAACTCGAGCAGGTGCGTGTTGCAAGGGTTGCCCTCCCACCATACGGACGAGATGCCGACTTGAGGCTTCGCAAGGTCTTCCACGCTGAGACCACATGCGTGAAGCATGGACTGGGCAGCTCCCTTGTCGTCAGACTGCGTAATGTATCTGCTGATCCTGTTGAGGACGGGAGCGGATGCGCCGTTGGCGCGGGACGCGGTGGTGCGCAGCTCGACTTCTCCTCCGTTTGCCATGGTTGCGATTGGTGCGACTGGATCGATCTGTAGATCCGTGAAGGGAACAAAGATGTTGGTCGGGGTGATGGGGAAGGAGGACAAGATGATACCTGGGTCCCACGCGCGACCTGATCTGCTTTTCAGCTGAAGGAGTGTCTCTGGCTAAACTTGACTGTTCGAAGAGGATGCACAGACGGCGGAACAGCTTTGGCCAAGCTGACGTTGGCCCCCACACCGTTTTTGCGGGGGAAGAGGCACAACCGGCGTGGGGGTCGTTACTAGCAAAAGAAGGACCGGCACTTGAGCACGCGCAGAGTCCAATGCCTTGTTTGCCGACGAATTTGTCGTTCGTGCGCCGAGCAATTGACCGAACCGAGGCATCAGCCAATCCCGCGCCGCTCATTACACCAGAGAGACCTTCAAGCTGTGACTACTTAGACGCTTTTTGCTGTCAGCTCGGTTGGATTTCTTTCAGACATCGTAGTCCGTTTGAACGGGATCTCGGTTTATTTCCAATACCCCATGGGGCGAGCGTCAACGGCATTCAGGCAGAACAAATCAGGGCAGTCGAAGGCTCCAGACTCTCAAAGTGGGGGCGGATCCCCGCGCCGACTTCGCTTGTTCTGGCTTGCTCTCTTTTTTCTCAGGCCCCATCGTCCGCAGCTACGGTGTAACATTCCTCCCAAAATATGTCGTCTCTTGCTCGCGTGGGTTTTTCGACCCTCGCGTTTCAGACGTCAGCTGCAAAGTAAACAAGCTGTCCAACTTTGTTTGAAGGCGATCTCAATTTGCCGCCCCCTCTCGCACATGGAATCCGCCGTTTTGGCCTTACTTATTTGCATACGCCGTCTGGGGACGCACGAGGCTCTATGCAATGCTTCCTACTTGGACCGAGATCCGGCGTTGACATATCATTGGTGGTGTCGTCGCTCATACGTGAGAAAAAGAAGCGTGCTTGTAGACGATTTTTGCCGAGACAGCTCGCTTATGAGGTTTCAATGAGGCTCCTTTTTCCCGTCCACTTGGGACCCCGAGACGGTGAGGGAACACTTCAATTCACCTCGGACTAGGGCGTTGCGAGAAGATGGACCATTACGATTGGGCAAGCCAGACAGAAGGAAAATACAATCAAGTGGATGGTATCAAAGGGAGAGAGAATATCGTTGAGGAAAGGTGAATGCTCCAAGCCCTTCGGCGAGCAATTCCTCCTAAGGCGACCGTTCATACGAAAGACCACTGGATATCGATCACGCCAACCTCCAAGCTCGCCAGCTCCTTGAACAGCGAAGTAGTCATATCAAGACTAGTGTGTTCGCATCCCGGGCACAGATCCGCCACGCTTGCATCCACACACTTTCCCTTATGGCAAACTTTTACCGTATCAAAGCAATGCGATCCATCGTCGTAGATATCCTTCGAAAGAGCTACGATCTTGTCGCCTGGAGTGTTCCACTTTCCACAGGCACCTTGGTTGGGGCTGAAGAAGGTGCCTTTGCCTTCGTACGTGCCGTCGCTGGAGGAGGAAGTGTAGGCTTGGTGCGGTTTCGTCTTGGTGTGTTTAGTTTTGTGATGCACGTGCGACTTTTGTCGGTGATGACGACCAGAGTGCTTTTGGGATCGGTGATGCCTGTGGCGGTGTTTTCGCGCTCGCCCTTCGAGCGTGGCGTCATCGGACGAGTCTTCTTCCTCGGCTTCGACATCGATCTTCTCGACATCTGCGGTTGCTGCTGCGTCATCGACTCGTTTGGCTAGTGGCAAGTTTCCGTTTGAAGATGACACGGACGACGCTGCATCGGAGCGCGCAAGCAGTAGTGCAGAGGATGAGGAGGAAGATCCTACGTCGATGGTAAGACTTTGAGCGCTAGAGGCGGCCACGATGAGCGAAGCGCAGAGCGCTATCAAAGAAAGCCTCATGGTGATTGATGGTAGCTGTGAGGTTGCTGGTTGTGTTCAAAGGCGTTTAATGTGTGGTCGATGAAAGAACTCGAGTTTCGCTTTAGTGTGATTCGCTTGCTTTGACGTATGACATGTAAGGACCGGCAGCAGGTAGGTGATGGAAGAAAGAGTAGCATACAAGGGCAGAGGTGAGGATGAAAGAAAGGGGAAGTGCGGCCCAAATGGTGACGAATGACACAAACCCACGTTTTCTTAATAAGGATTTGACGAGCAGCATATCACCTCGAATCGATCAGCGTCGGACCTACCAAACTGGTACCGCTACTTCATACGCAAGCAAGCTCCTATTCCCTCACCTGCAGCTTAAAGTGCTTCGACAACCCCACTTTTGCTCCGAGAGATCTCGAGGCTCAGAGCGTCAAAGCAGTCACAACACGTCACGGAATCGCGGAAGCAGAAAAAAAAACTTGCTGTACGCTGTTCTACGGTGGAAGAGCGGGGTGCGAAATGGGATCAACACCTACGGAAAACGATCGACGACGTGCATGTCCCTCCTCCCTTGCCTCTTCGCGACCAAGCACGTTTCCCTGGACTATACTTGACCGCTAACGTTATCCGATTCCATCTCCGCAACGCCGCTTGCTCATCTGACCCTGCCGATCATGTTTGCGTCATCAATTGCCAATATGCTACGCACAATGGCAGAAGCCGTGGTGCGTAGATGTACAACCAGAGGTGATGAACGAGTCGGATGATGACCTTCCGGCGGAAACAAGGTCGCGTCGCTTGGCCGCGGGAAAAGGTACGCGAGGCGAGCCTTGTGCTTCGACATCGTTCCTCGTTCTATTCACCTTCTCGAAGCGACACTGGTGTACTGTGTCTGCAACTTCATTTCTCGACTTGCACGTTGGATTTCATGGCTGCTTGCCTCGAGCCGACCAAGTGTTGGTCTCGGAGACGCGTCCCTGTAACCCCCTTTTGAGGCTGTTGTGTCGATTTCTCCAAATTTCGCGCTCCGACGCCGAGGGGTGCCGCTCCTACTCCCCAACTTCGGCCGTCGTTCGCTTCGGCGCATCGCTGCTCCGTCTTCGGAATGCCTGACCACAACCTGCTTCTGATCGATTTGGCTCTGGCGGGTCGTCGCTCCAACTCCGGACTTGCATCGCCACTCCATTCTCCATCTTCTTTGTTCATGATGCTCACAGGAGGGAATCAATGATGGGAACGGAAATTTGCAAAAAGAAATGCATTGACGGGGACTCGAACCCCGGTCGAGTCGAAATCGGTTTTCACGTCTATGGCAGACGATGAGTGGCAACGACTCATGATACCCCTACACTATCAATGCTCGTTCATAATTGTGCTGACTTGCATTGTACATATATAACTGTGCCATGGTCTCTTCGGCCTTCCTTCGTCCAAGGCCGTAGAGCATTGATCATGACTTGGCGGTTCTTGACATCTCAGCAGCGATTCAGGGCTCAAGGAGGTGTTTTACGGTCTCATTCCGTTAATAATGCTCGAATACAATCTATTCGGGTAGAGAGAACGTTATCGACAACGATAGGTATACTTAGAATCATTGACATCCTTGCCGAAAAGGGGGCCAAGAAAAGTTGCAACAGGAATGCATAGCGACCCTCACGAATGCTTGCCATTCGCATTTACATCCACTAATCCAACGAGACGCAGTCTCGAATGGACGAACAGCGTGGAAAACAAGAACTGCGAAAGTTGATGGTCGTACAGCGGCAGATGCCGGTACCCTTGCTGTAAAGCGCCGACCGAGACCGAATAGGCTGCAACGCTTTCGGCGTCGATCGACGACGCCGACGACGCCGATGACGAGCCGCTGTCCGATGCATCGTCGTTGCTTGCGGCACCTGCATTGACCGTCTTGCTAGTGGCGCTGGTCGATCCCAATGATTGTTGAGAGCCAGGCTCGGCCGTGGTCGGGGTGCTTGTGTCGGATGAAGCCTTGCCGATCGCCGTATGTTCAACGTTGTGATCCCCCAAGTCGTCGTCGAAGATCTCGAAGCGAACAAAGCAGAGGTCTAGTAGGCCACGGCTGAGTCGCTCCAACTCTGGATGTGCCAATGCGTCCCCGGACTCGGATGCTTTGCAAGCTTCTATTAACGCCAGAAGCTCGCTGCTAGCGCCCGCGGGCACATCGATGAGCACACTCATCGACGTATGCCATTCAGGACTGAAACCATTCCCCTTCACGGTGGGGGTCCTCAGTAGATGGCTCGGTGCCAAGACCCTCTCCTTTGCATCCAATTTGCGGATCGATGCTGAGCCGACTCGTTCTCTTTGGGTCGGAGGAGCAGTCTCTGCAGCATCTGCTTGCTGTTCGCGTTCTGCCACTTCAGGCGATCTTGTGGCGTCGGAGTCGTCGTCGGCACATTCCTCGGGCGCAGTGGTCTGCTGATCTGTAGTGGCACTGGCAGACGTCTTACCGCTGTTCTTGGACGCCTGAGGTAGGACACTCTCCATTGCTTCTCCGTGCGACGAGGCTTTCTCCAACAGACCTTTAGGCTGCTTGCCCCAACAGCCAGGAGCCAGCAACGAAACCACGACAAAGGGATCGATGGGCTCGCGGATGTCCTGACCCGCCTGCGCCTTGTCCTTATCTTTGCCAGCAACGGCCTTGGTCTTCTTTGGCAATTGCTGAGCTGAGACGATGCTGAGATCGAGACGGAAGCGCACAGCTTTGCTCTGCATGATCTTACCCTGTTCTTTGGTGCGCAGCGCTGCTGGTTTGAGAACATACCCGCATCGACCGTTGCGGCTAAACATCGCTTGGTTGAGTTCGAAGCCCAAATCTGTTGTTTGCCAGTTGAGCGCTACAAGCTGGCACCCGGTCGCCCACATTTCGAGGGGGATGAAGTTTCGGCTAGCGTGCAATCTGGCAAAGCTCAACATCGAAGGATAGATGCGGGTGAGGTGAGAGCGATTGTGCTTGATCAGCGCTTCGTTCGAGATGGGGTCGCGAATCAGTTTGTGGGCGGTCTTCTCCGACAACGAGACCATGTGTTGGGTCGCATACGTCTCTTTCTTGTTGAACCCGCGACACTTGACGCCGACGGTGTAAATGAGCAGCGACGCGAGTGCCGTCGACATCATCTTCTTGGCATGCTTGCCGCCTCGATCGACAGCATCCTGCTTTGCCCGCTTTGAGCTGTCCCTATCGATGCCATTATCAGATGCGTCGCTAGAACGATATCCCGAGGAGTCGGCGGCTTTTGCGTTGCGCCTAGTGACGCGACGAACGAGGTGTTTGGCGCTTGCAAGGCGTGATTCGACCTCCGAATCGGTTGTGCTGGTAGTGTCTGTGGCAGATGTGGGAGGCTCGAGCACCATGGTAGGAATCACACTGGTGCCGTTCGTGAGCTTGGTTGCCGAATTCAACGCTTCGGCCGGCTGTTGCAGAGGAGGAGCTCGCAGACCGTCGGCAGCTGCCACATTTTTTGCCTTGACTAGTACCTTGAACTTGAGCATCTCTGGCGAGGGAAGTTCGTCCGCGGCGTCTGGTTTCCTTTGAGGATCCAGTGGCTGACCCAAGAGCATCTCGCCGAGAGTATCTTTGAGGATGCGCGCCATGACATCCTGCTGTGGCGGATCGGCATGCACCTCGAGACTGAGGATGAGGGGATAGGGCGAGGTGATAAAGGCGTATCGAGCAATGGCGCTAATGACATCTTGGAAAGGCACACGACTGGTGAGGGTGCGGCCATGCGTGATCTGCGGAACGTTGTTCGGACCGTCCCAGCAGTCGAGCTCGACACTTCGCGCACCTTGCAAAAGCGCACGGATGTAGCCCTCGACAGTGCTATCCCCCTTCCACTGGCCTCCGACGAGATAGGTATTGTGGCTGGAGCTGATGTAGTACTCGCTGAGAGGTCGGGTCATATCGTGTTGCACGGTCGACTTCCGCAGGTGGGCGGCCACCTTTCTGGTGTTGGCCACAGAGTGGTTTGCACCTGCTGCGATAAGTTCGTCGGTGGTATCAGCAAATGCACGCGAAGGTGTACGTTGCTGCAGACGCTGATCGTCACCAGGTTGAGTCACATCTCTCGAACCGGGAGCAGAAGGCTTGGCAAGCACCGGAATGTCTACGGGATCAGAGACCATGGTAGAGAAGAGCGGGAGCTGATCCAGCAATGGCGGATTGTCGGAAGACGAGAGAAAGTCGAGAAAGCCATCGTAGTCCATCTGAGCCCTTTCAGTAGGCGCGTCGGCCAGATGTGAGGTGGACAGACGACTGTTGCAGTGCCGGCGGAACAGGTCGTCGATCTGACTGTCGGAAAAGCTGCGATTGCCCTGCTCATTGCGAACGAACCGTCGGAAGCTCTCGGTCGAGATGGCTCGCGTACGGCAAGACTCTGATCCTACAGTCAGACTAGTCTGACTGACTGCAGGAGCAGGCTCGTGTGGTTCGCTCGATGCCACAGACGCGCTCGAAGTGTCCTCAGGACCAAGTGCTTGCTGTGGAGGGCCTTGGCCCTGACGAGATGCATCCGATCTTCGTCTAGGCTGCTCCAAGGGCTGGTCGGCCCAGGCAGCAAAGATGGTCTGAACATCTGATCTCTGCTTGAGGAGCGAAACAAAATGCTGAAAGTCTTGAAAATCGAGGAAGCCACGATTGCGCCAGTCTGCGAGGTTGAAGCAGCGCCGAAGGTGTGCCTTGTTGGATTCAATGCCAAGTCGACGGCATAGCAACATGACTTCCTCGATGGAGAGCTTTTCGTCGTTGGACTGGTCCGCATCCTTCCAGTGATGGCGCATCCATAGGTGACGACGATGCTCGATGCTCGAGGACGCGCCCACGGAGCCGAGAAGTTCTCTCCGTAGGGATTGCAAATGGAGCAGGCTCGCTCGCCATCTTGACAATGATTGATCGGACAGAGCGATTAAATGCAATGCTTTGTAGATGCCGGCGTTCTGGTAGATGATGGTGAGCCAGCGCGGTTCGTGTGCGGAAGAGATGTTGAGTGAGGTGCGGTAGGATGCAGCAGAGGGTCCGAAACGGACTTCACGGATGGATTCGAGGTTGACGCGATTATTCTTCTTTGACTCCCAGAGGATCTGTCCACGGTCCGGATCGAGCTTGAAGGTACGTGGTTTGACTTTTTTGTGGGTGACCTTGAGCATTTGTTCTCCTTCGGGCAGTAAAAGTTCATTGATGGCATCAGAGGCCGATACAGTTGTGGCGGCAGAGCTCATAGAGGCCGTAGAACTCATCGTGCTAGCTTGTGCAGGATTGATGTCTCCACTTTCAGCTCTGGCTGCGGCCTGAAAGCTGGCCCGCATTCCGTTGGAAGGTGAAGGAACTGGACTGTTGTCATCGCTGGCTGGATGCGGTTGGCGCTCTGCCGGAATTGGAGGAGATGGAGCCGAAGAGTTCGGTGCTGTCACTGAGATGGCAGATGGAGATACCACAAGCGGTGCGTTGGCATCTGAACGCCTTGACAAGCTTCGAGAGAGCGTGTTTTGCTGGGGCTCGCCTTCTGCTGATATGCTGCCTGATCTCATCTTGCGATACGTTTCGCTGGCACGTCGCTGATGGTAGAGTCGATCGGTGAGACCCGCGACACTGCTCGACAGGGTACGTGCAATGCCGGGGCTTTTTGGAGGTGATGCGCTCGGACTTGGAGGTGTGTTGAGGACGTTTTGCGACGATAGACTTGGCGGACGATGTGTTGCACCGACTTTCGGCGTGGCGATGGGCTGAGCCAGCGTCCTGCGTGCAGCTGCTTCGTATGACAACGGACCATTGCTAGAGCCTCCACTGAAAGATCTTGGTGGAGGAGCAAAGCTAGGACGCTCGGTCTCCTCAAAGGTATGATGAAACGAGATCATATTGGTACCCTCCTGCGATAAGGGAATCTGCGAAGGACCAGCTGCGTTGAGGTCAGCATGGTCATCGGATGGTCTGCGAAGCAAAGACCGGAGCCATGACCGCACAGAGAGATTTCTTGCTCTGTCAGATGCAGCATGGTGATCGTGCGCCGACATTGTATCGCGCTATGTAGAGGTTGCGAGCATGCTTGGGAGGATTGAGCAGACGCGGGACAAGTCAACGCTCGAGCCTGCGGAGCTGAATGACGCGATTGGGCTTCGAGCAGAGCAGCAACCGCTCTCGCATTGCCTGTTCCCGCAGGGTTTCGCGACCGAAGAGGTGGTGATGGTGGGGAGGAGACAAGGAGAAGCAACAACGAGATGGCTGTGCTTGTGCGAGGATGTCCGTGCTCAGCGTTTGAAGCGTGATATGCAGGCGGAGCAGGCCGTGCATTTCCACAAGCCTGTCAAAAAACACAGCCGAGATCAAAATGGGCGGAACGCTTTATCTGGTTCCCGATTCACGTTCCGCAGCGGACCGATTCAAGATGGTGGGCATGCGACTCCAACTCGCTTGAAATTTTCGAGCTGCAGCTTCATTCAGCTTTACGAATCTCAACTTTTTCGCCATTTCTTCTCAAGGGTCCTCCCTGCCTGCCACCACACCTCCAAGGCCCATTTGCAACCATGTTCAAACGCGTGGCCAAAGCCACGAGCAAGAAGGCCGACGTCGAAGACCTCAAGGATGCGACAGGGGATGACACCGCCGTTGGCATCGACAGGCTAGTCGACGAATCTTCCAGCTCAGAAGGCGAAGACTCTGACGGCGACGATGACGATGACGACAGCGAGGATGAGGAGCAGGAGCAGGAGCAGGAGCAGGACGAGAATGTCAGTGATGCCAAGCGTAAGCGCTCCAAGGATCAGGAACCAGAGCAGGACGATGCTGAGGCTCAAGTCTCGATAGCAGATGCCATCCAGGATCCCATCTACGTCCCAACAGAGGGTGAAAAGAAGCATGGCGTGTTTGCATCCCGTTGCATCGTCTGCGAGGCTGCCGTGCTCAAAACAGCCAATCTTGTCACCGCTCATCTCGAAGCCAAGGCGCACAAGCGACGCATGGAACGCTTCCAAAAGTATGTCGAGCATCAGCTATCAGACGCGCAGCGCAAGGCCCTCGATGCAAGAGACGCTGTCGAGCAGATGGACGAATGGAAAGCAGAGCAGGACGAACTCGAACGCAAGAAGCTAGCAGATGCTCCCCCAAGCAAGAAAGCCCTTGCCAAGAAGCAGAAAGCCGCCGAGTTCCGCCAGAAGAAGAAGGAGCAAGCATTGAAGAGGAAGGCTAAGAAGGCAGCAGAAGAAGGCACCGAGTCGACAAATACCAAGTCCAACGACAAGAAGACATCAAAGACTACCAAGGCGGACAAGTCAGACAAGACTGGCTCACCAGCCAAGAAGGCCAAATATCAGGCGGTCTAGAGCAATCATCACAGTGGCGGCGTCGTACCATATACCCTTTCTTGCACGACACTGGATTCTCATTCGTCCTATCACCAACATCATTGTACAACTATCAGTCATCTCAGCTACATGTTCAGACTTCCCATGCATTTCACAAACGATCAAGGCAGACGCAAATTTTCAGATTGAGAGTATTTTGGTTCGATAGGCACAAGGTTCAAGCAATTGCTATGGCCAATCGTTCAGGTGTACCAAGTAGGGGTGGGCCATCCGTCCTTTCCAGGACCGTGAAGGGCGAATCTGCCGACCTCGGCCCTCTTGTGAGCAATGGGGTCGTGCAGAGTGTGCGTCCTGAGATCCCTGAATGCCACGTCGAAGCCGTACTTCCCGGCCACGGCACGAGCACCGGTCAACTCGTAAATCTGACTGGTGATGGCCAGACCCACATCGGCGGCGTTGATCTTGGCAGCAGCCACGCGAACTGCGAACTTGGCACGCTGCTCTTCCGTGATGCTCTGGCGAGGATTGGTGTGCAGGATGGCCGATGCCTCGTCGATGATGGTGTCGATGAAGGAAGCAGTGGCCCAGAGCTTGGCCTGGAGGTCTCCGTAGCCGATCTGGATGTAGGACTCGTCGGTGCCGCGGGCGACAGGCGTAGGCTGGTAAGGCCATCCACGAGTGGTGGCTTTGGTGTAGGCAGCAGCGCGAGCCAGTGCTCCTTCGGCGATACCGAGGTAGAACGAGGTAAAGACAAGCTGGATCTGGGGCAAGTTGAGCGTGTTGTACGCTCCCAATGGTTGGAACTGCTTGTTGACGTATCCGAGGGCTTCGGACCAGGGAACGACGACGTTCGTGATCGAGATGCCGCCAGATTGGGTACCACGCATACCGAGCGTGTCGACCCATTCGTCGCCGTACACGATGCCCGGCTGACGGCTCAGCACAGGAGCGAAAACGTGCGATCCATCAGGAAGAGAGCCTTCGAGAATGGTGACGTCGCTGATCTTGCTTCCGGTCGAGAAAGTCTTCTTGCCATTGTAGATGAGCTTGGAGGGATCGTTTTCATCCTCTCGTGCCTTGAGATCGGCATCTCGAGGGTTGACAGCTCCACCGACAAAGTACTTGTTCTTGGTGATCCATTCCTCGTACTTAGTCCTCTGCTCATCGGTTCCGACGAGGGCAGCGGTCCAAGACCAGAGGTAGTGGTAACCGATCAATTGTCCGAGCGAGCCGTCGCCACGAGCAATGATGCGGATCACCTGGTAGGCCTCCTTCCAGGTCAAGCCTGCGCCTCCGGCAGACTTGGGACCGAGGATGGTGACGAGACCGGCATCTTTCAGCAGCTGAACCTGTCGGTAGGGGACAACGTTACCACGGTCACGGATGGCTTCGTCTTCGTGCAGCAATTGCGAGACCTGTTCGGCACGAGCAAAGACCTCTTCCGGAGTGACGGGGTCTTTGTCGAACTTGGGGTATTGGACCACTTCAGGGTCAGGCTGGATGCGCGATGAGCCCTTGCTAGCGGTGGGTGCGACATTGTCGCCGGCAGCGGTCGTAGCGGTAGGAGCCATTCTGCGTGTAGCTTGTCTAGCTATGGATCACGGTCCAAAGAGGGAAAGGAGAGGAAGGGGAGTGGTTCTGATGAAAGAAGATTGACCTTGCTCCAGGCTCGTGTATATACGCACGAAGCTTAACTTCTCAGGTATCTCAAGGGAAAGCGTGCGACCTTCTGTACTCTGATCGAAGACTAGGGTCGCAGGCGGGGCAAGTCCGCTCCATGTCCCTGATCCCCAAAGGAACGACGATGGCCACAGCCTCTGTCGAGTCAAGGCTGGCTCGCACGGACAAGGCACGCAAAGCACAATAGTGAGAGCCTCGTCGAAGCTTCTCTCCTCGCTTCGTCGCCGCCCTACGGAAGAGCCAAAGCTCGTGCAAATAACCTGAAAAGGTCCCAAGCGGCTTGGAAGCGCAGAAGATTCAGCTTCGAGAAGCAGAGAGCAGTCAAGACTCAAGACGGGTACCGATGGTGTGCCAATCGGCTCGAGTTACAACCGACTGCTCTTGAAGACAAAGGCGAGCAGAGGAATTGGTGATGCTGATCAGAGATCACGCCTTCTACCGGATGGCCCAACGGTCACTTTGCGCCATTCGAGATCGCATCTCCGCTGGCCACATCAGGAGCCTTAGCGAGTGGTGACATCCATCGCCTTCGTTACCAGGATAGCGGGGGCAAGACGCAGGGTCTGTGATGTCCTGATAGGCATTTTGTATTGGCCCTACAGAATTCGTATTCGAACCACTAGCGCGTATTTCAATTTTTGGCGCTTTGTGACAGCCGAACGTGTTTTCGGAACGTTGACGTGCTCGCTCGCCATCCGTCATTTCATTCTTCGCTCGAATTTCGCCATTTCGCATCTGACTTGCACTCGAGATCTCTGGCAAAGACACCGCCTGCATCACCGCACGACCGCACACAACGTTCGGCCTGGATCCCCCGCTTGACCTTGCCTCGCCCTCCAGAAGGCTTCATCGACTCGGCTTGTGCTGCCTTGTGATCGTGTGCGTGCTTCGCCTCGATAAGAAATCATCCGGGCACTGCTCGCGGTAAAAGACGATCTCCGGGCGCACAAGCTCTTGGAGCACCTGTGAACAGAAATCGCAAGGTCGCCGGAGTCACTTGAATTTTGGTGCTAGTGCTCAGAAGGACGTCATGCCGACATGTGGGCTATCCTGTGTGCGACTCTTCTTCTCCGCAGCTTGAGCATCTTGTCCCTTTGTCGTCTCCATGCTTTGCGGAAGATTGTGTCGTGAGTGAGCTTCGAAAAGCCAATTTCAGGGGCGCAAAAGCTTCTTTCTAGATCGAAGACGCTTCCGCTTGTCTTTTCAACACACACGCAAGAGCTCATAGCTACCATCTTCTCTTCCTCGCACTCCGGCCCTTCAGCATCGACGCAATCATCGTCACCAACGTCAACATGGCGGAACTAGAGATCATCGATGCCGAAATCGTCCCGCAGGGCGCTCGCGAGCAAGTGCTTTCGACCAGGCGTGCTCAAAAGGACGACGTTCAAGATGACCTCTCGGCATCCCTCAGCTCGCTGTACCCGGTCTACACACGGGAGGAGCGGGAGGCAGCGTTGCGTCTGCTAGCACCATCCACGCACGACGTAGTCCTCGGCGCTGGTTGGACCAACACTGAGGCATACGAAGATGAGATCGATGCATCACGTCGACCGTCGTCCTCTTCAACTTCATCTTCTGCATCAAGTCCCGCAACGCCATCCTCGCTCTTGCCACTCTCTCAATCAGCCCTGGCGTCACATTCAAACGGGATCGCTGAGCTTACAGACGCTCTGCTCGTTCGTTCCTGCTCACAAGGCTGGTCTCTGTCTTTCGAGCTCACTCCGCACCAGCCAGTCCCCTCAGCCTTGCATCCAGACGAAATTCTCGTTCGCAACGATGCTGTCGGCTTGAACCCTGTAGACTGGAAGTCGGTCTCGTTCAACTTTGGCATCCCTGCATTCCCCTGGATTCTGGGTCGCGACATTGCAGCAACCATCGTACAGCCTCCTGCTGACAACGCGGAGGCATGGAAGGTCGGCGATAGAGTATGGACGTGCGCTGATTCGCGAGAGATGAGGGCGGGTGGATACCAGAGGTTCTCGGTGCACAAGAAGGGGACCCTGGCCAAGATCCCGACCGAGATGGAGGATGCGGATGCGGCTACGTTGGGAACGGGGTTGATCACAGCAGCGGTAGCGCTGTTTGCCTTCTTCAAGTTGCCCTTCGCCCCGTTGACGGAAGTGCAGGGATTGACGCAGACTCTTGACAAAGTCAGCATTGCGGACGCCAAGGACGATCCAAGCGACTGGATCCTCATCTACGGCGGAGGTGCAGTCACCGGAATCTACGCAGCTCAACTCGCATCCATCTCCGGTCTCCGCGTCGCCGCTGTCGCTTCGCCGTCTAACTTTGAATACCTCACGTCGATCGGCGTTACCGCTTGCATCGATCGTCATCAGGGGAACGAACCAATCCTCGCCTCCATCTCGTCCCTTCTCGCCGAACGAGGAGGTCAGATGAGATACGCCATGGACTGCGTCTCGTCCAAGACGTCAGATCTGTGCCTGAATGCTCTCCACGCAAACCCAGGCGGAGCTGCAAAGGAACTCATCTGCCTCGCCGGAAACCCTAAAGCCGATGCTGGGGACGTCAAAGTGCACAAGATCTCCTTTTCGACCACTTTCTACCATGCGGACGGCAAGTTTGCTCGCGAAGTACTGACTTACGTGACCGGCTTGTTGGAACAGAAGAGGCTGAAGCCATGCAGACCAGAGGTGCTGCCTGATGGGTTGGCCGGAATTCGGTATGTATCATGAGCCTTGACACTTCAGCAAAAGTCCTCAGAAGATGTAGAAGATGTTGCTGACTATCTTGCTCTCTCGAAACCTCTTGCCTGCAACGAAACAGCTCCGGACTGGAATTGCTCAGAGAAGGCAAAGCGCCTCGAGCCAGAAAGCTCGTGGTTCGCGTTCAGGACACGCCCGCTGCTGATGTGACACACTTGGGTGTGCGTACAGAGCTCGGCTGGAACGGTGTCGTCTGAACTGCTTCCACGCAATGCTACACTTGTGATTGCATCATGAATGTCTGGCGGTGTTGAACGTGAACAGCGAATGATATCCATCAATTGTGGATGCTGTACATTTTGACGTGAGCGTTAAAATTCAGACGAGCTTAAAAACGCACGGACTGAGTGTTGTTCTTGACATGCGTGTGCGTAATTCTTCTTGTCCCTCCTCCTCCTGCTTTCCCCTCGTCCTGCCATCCATCATTCTATCCACTACACCACCCGCATCATGGACACCCTACCCTCAGACCTCGCCAGCACATTCCTATCCCCAGCCCCACCTCGTCTGACAACCGCCCAACGGACCGCCATAATCACTAGCGCCGAAACCTTCGTGAAAACCGCCTTCGCATCCCACGATCCTTCGCACGACTACCACCACATCAATCGCGTAAGGCTCCTAGCGCTCTCACTCACCCAATCACCCGACATCCTCGACTCTCCGCCTCTCGACCTGCTCGTCGTTGAGCTCGGTGCGCTCTTCCACGACCTCACCGACTCGAAATACAACTCCTCCTCCTCCACACCCAACGCCGTCCTCGCACCGTTCTGGAGCACCCTCTCACCGCCGGACATCGTCACTGCTTCTCAAAGACAGCTGGTGGAGAAGATCGTAGGCAACGTATCTTGGAGCAAAGATGAACGTCGTCGAGCGCAGTCCGCTTCGCACCTATCCGCGATTGATATCGAGCTGAACGAATGGCTGTCCTCGTGCGTCGAGTTTCACTGCGTCTCCGATGCCGATCGGTTGGACAGCATCGGTTCCATCGGCATCCTCCGATGCGCTGCTTACAGCGCCAAGATCAATCGTCCGCTGTACATTCCCCCGAACAACCCGCAAAACGACCCAGTCCCACCGGCAGAACAGTCCGAGGGGTACAACGGGAGCGCCGTGGCTCACTTTTACGAAAAGCTGCTGAAGATCAGAGGCGACAGGTTGTACACGCAGAGGGCGAGGGAGGAGGCGGACAGAAGGCAGGGGATGATGAGAGGATTTCTGGATGAGTTGAGCTTAGAGTGGCTGGTCGCGAGCCAGGGTTGTGAGTTGGTCAGGTTGCAGCAGGAGGAGGAGGAGCTGCAACACGAGGAAGCCGAACAATTCGCTTTCCAGTAATAGAATTTGAAACGGGGTCGAGACCAGACGGTCACAGACCCTTACTCTCGAGACCTTCAAGTGACAAACGCAACGATTCACAAATGCAATGGTATCGTATATTCACTTCTTACGCACCCACCCCCCTAGGCAAACAAGCTCGTCTCTAACCCCTGTCCACCGAAACTCGTGATGCAGATCAGATGATCCTCGCTGGCAGAGACGATCCTGGTCAGGTTGAAATCCACATCAAAGATCCTCGCACGATGACAGCGGATGTCTCTCAAGCACCTCCCCACCGCTGGCCCCGTTTTCCTCGTCTCCCCCTCCCCGTCCCGCTCCTCTCCACCCTCCTCCGCCGGCGTCTGATCCACTCCCTGTTCCACGTCCATCTTGTGCTCCACCCCCTCATCCAACCTCCAAACCTTGATCAAACGATCATACCCACCACTAACCACCAACCGCCGCTGCTCATCGAACGCCACCGTCCGGACCAACATGTGATGTTCGCCCAACACGTGCGTGCACTCGCCCGTCTTTGTATCCCACACCCTGATCGTCTGATCGTTGCTGCCGCTGACCAACGTGGTGCCCCTAAACACGATGCACGCCAGTCCCTTCGAGTGTCCGTTGAACGTATGCAGCTTCTCGCCGGACTCGAGATCCCAGAGGTACATCGATCCTTCTCCCGAAGCGGAGACGATTCGGTTTCCTCGCAGGTCGACGGCGTTCACGGGGCCGGTGTGCGAGAACTTTCTCCACGCGACAGGTGGTGTGGACGAAGACAGGTCGGAGCGACGCCATACTCGGACGGTGGCGTCTTTGGAACCGGTGACGATCCAGTTTGCGTCAAAGACGATGTCGAGCACGGCGGAGGTGTGATCGCGTAGAACGCACAGGACGCGGTCGGATTTGTCGTGCACGAGAGCACCGCACTCCGCATCGACGTTCGAGGGTGTCGGAGATTCCGTAGTCGGCGTCGACGGCTTTTGAGTGGCCAAGATGCTGGCGAAATTCCAGACAAACACCTGACCGTCCGAAGAGACAGATACGAGGATCTGATCGTCGTACTGCAGAGACAGCACCGATGCAGTGTGACCTTTGAGGATGTGCTTGCAAGCACCCGTCTCGACGTCCCACACGCGGATGGTTCTGTCTCTGGATCCGGAAACGAGCTTGCCAGCTGTTCCCGTTCCTACACCGTCATCTTGTCGGATGCAGTACACCGAATCCTGATGTCCTCGCAGGAATCGCTTTGTCGGTTCGAACCACTTCCTGTCCCGGATCGCACCGCGAGCAACACCAGCTGCTCCAGGAGTCGGTGGTCCGCTGGTCTCGCTCGTCGTCGAAGAAGCAGAAATCGTTCTTGCCATCTCCCCTCCCCCTCTCTGACGACTAATCCCCGCCGCATCCACCTCCGTTTTCTTCAAAGTCGGCCTCATCCACCTCTGCTCCAACACGTATCTGTCCTTGTACAATCTGGTCCAATCCAAACTCGCTGCGAAGAATTCCTCCGCCTCGGCCACCTCTGCGAAGTGCAACGAATCTGCCGAGGGACGCCTCGACATGCTGATCGACCCTACACTGCCTTGTCTCGACAGCGGGGTGTGGCTTCCATCGTATGAGCCGAAGTAGGACGAGTTGGCTGCCGCCTCTTGGGCACGTCTGGCGCCCGCCGGTGTAGACGGAGCACCTCTCGCCGGGCTAAGAAACAGCCCGAACCGGCCTGTTGCCGCAGTAGGCGAGCGAAGCGGACTCATCGCAGCAACAGCCCTACCCGTATCTACGTCCACTTCGCGCTCCCCGGACGTGTTCGTCAAACTCAACCCCGCCAAATGCGGGAACGACGGAATGTGCAGTGTCTCCCTCCAACTCTTCAGCGCCGCCAACCGATCGAGGTACGGACTCGAAGTGGACGCTGCCTTCCTCTGTTCCTGCAGCCGTCGCAATCGGTCCGCTTCCTCCTTCGCCGCCGTTCGTTTCGCTCTCGCTTCGGTACGTTGCAGCTCGGCCTGATGCTGCACGACCAGCGGTGCATCCTCTCGTATCGCCCAGCCTGGTTGCGAGAAGAACAGGTGTCTCCAAACCGATTGATCCATCGCCAGCGCCCTCCATCTCTTGCAGACCAGAGAGGCGCACAGCAGATCGGTGTGCGATTCGAGCATGAACACGATGCACAGCGAAAGCTCCGGCGGGAGGAGCGAGAGGAAGTCGACGCCTCCAGAGATGTCTTGTCGGTCGACGGTTTTGCCCTTTGTCGAGTAGCGGGATGGGGAATGCAAGTCTCCGTCGACGTAGCACGCTTCGTCGTCGATGGAAAGCGAGGCAGACGTTGCTGCGGCGAGGTCGGATTCGACATGGTCGGATGCACAGCTGACGTACGAGCGACCGCTCCAGGAGACTCTTTCGCGACGCAAGGCGCCACGTGTCTTGGCAGAGTGAGACCGTAGCATAGAGATGGATAGCAGGTCGTTGGATTCGACAGGTGAGCCGGGACGTGCTGTGAAGTAGCCGTCGGCATCGGAGGAGATGCTCATCTGCGAAGGCGTCCGAAACATGTCGTCTGTGGTCGACGCTGCACCAATAGACAGCAGCGGACCATCGGACCGTGTTGTGCTGCCAGCTGTGTTGGCGGGTCGGATCGGTGGGCCTTTGGTTTGCTGAGTAAGCTTTCCTGTCTCTGCTGCCGGTAAGGTTGACGATGCGGGCTGCTCGACGTCGGTTGTCTGTTCTTCGCTGCGAGGACTGCTTATGTTGGTGGGTGATGCGGAACCGCCATCCTCAAGATTTGCAGAATTACTATCGCTGTTCTTCCTGCTAGTACCCGGACTGCGTACCGAAAGCGGCGTGATCGATCCACTCGTCCCCGATCTCAGCATACGTCTCCTCCCGCCTCTCTCTGACGTTTCCGCACTTGTCCTGTCGCCTTCTCCCTCTTCTCTATCCAGTTCATCCGGCGAGCTGAGCGGTGAGCAAGCAGTCACGCTCCTGAACGAATGCACTGGACTCGACATCGTCGGCCTTCTGTAAGATCCCGAAGCAACATCATCATCCGCAATTAGCGCAACGCTGTTACTGGGAGGCGAACGCAACACTTCTTGCACCTCTCCCGCCTTCGGATCTGGTACAGATGCCATGATGGAGTCGCAACACACCCGCAACTGTTTCGGTGCGGGTATCTCTAAAGGTGCTGTAGCATTGTATGGTCCGCCGCCGGTCGTGTGAGGTCGGAGAATCGCGCGCTGATAAAAGTCGATGATGGTTCGGTGGCATCGGTGTTTTTGGCCACCGGCTGAATTGCAACTCGGTCGTGCATGAAAAATACACACCGCCACCTCGGCTCCATAGAAACAGAAAACAAATTTGGCGCGCACGCACGTCACAGGGGCCAATACCCTTCGTCTCATTCCCAAGGCATCATCCACCCTGCGCTCGCATTCTGTTTCACACTCCTTCGATCTTTCTCAGCATCGCACTGATAAACCTGGAATGATGCGGAATGAAAGTGTTGCAGGATAACGACAGTGACAATATACCGAATGAGTGACAAGATGTGTGGATGGCATCAGTAAACCTGCCGTGATGCGGCATATGAAGAGGCTTCCATCCCTCGGCCCAGTCCAGCGCCTAATGGTGCCGATGGAGCGTAGGAGCCTGGTGAGGGTGCGCCCAAGCCTGCGCCGTACAGCGCCCTGGCAGCTCCCTGCTGCTGCTGTTGCTGCATTGTGAGCATGGGATCGTTGGGGCCCAGCGGACCAAGCGGGCTGGTCGAGCCGTTGGAGCTGCCTCCATAAGGCGAGCGCCTTCCATCGCCCCATCCACCCTGCCCGCCTGCATTCAGATAGGCATCGACGTTCGACGCTGGCATCCCATCACGGTACCCTGCTGGACCACTCGGCATTTGCACTCCCTCTGGCATGACCGTAGCCGGATTCCTACTGGCGCCGTTGCTAGGCGTGTAGCGACTCGCTCTCCTCGCATCGCCTTTACCAATACTCTCTACACGGCGCAACGGCTTGGGAGCGCCTCCGCCGTTGTTGTTGTTCGACGTGGTCCTACGCATCTGCGATCCGCCGGTAAAGTCCGTCGAGGCCTCGCCCTCCTGCAAAAACATGGATTTCCGGTAGGTCCCTGGTCCCACGCTGTCGATCCTGCTGCGTCGCATCGCGGAAGAGTCGGTGGACGCCTGGTTTTGGTGGTAGCGCGAACGACGGTTCTTGGAGCTCGACGGAGGTGGACCGCGAAGGTAGGCTCGCTGCTGTGGTTGATCTCGCGCCGAGCTGTTGCGGCGTGGGAGTACGCCAGGTGGTGCGCCCAGATAGCTGCTGCGGTGTTCGTGCATTTCCGGAGACACTTTTGGTGCACCTCCGTTGATGGCGTTGTGGTCAAAGATTTGGCCTGGAGTGAAACCCGAGCCGTCGGGCATGATGGATCCGGACGCAAGCGCGTGACCCGACTGAGGAGAGTCGTACGACTCGTCCGGATGCGGCTGGACAGGTGGATGCGAGCCGCTGACGTTTCGTCGAAAGGCGGCTGATGCCGCTGGACCTGGGAGCTCGATGCCGCTGCTGGCGCCTCGAGCGTGACCATTGGCTCGAGACGGAGCGAACCGGCGCGAATCGTCGCCGTTGAAGCTTCCGGCGCTGTTGCTGGGGATCATTCCGAAGCCGCCGTTCTGACCATGCGCACCGTTACCGCCGAGCATGCCGTTGGAACTGCCAAGTGAATCGTCAGCTTCTTCGTAGCGTCCACCACGACCCATGGGCTGAACCGAGTCAAGGAGACCAACGTTGGGGTTGGAGACGTCGTGCATGGAAGGAGCAGCAGTGCTATAGCCGGCGGTCGAGCCGTAGCCCGCTGCTGATGGTTGGAACATGGCCTTGGCGTGAGCCTGTGGGCGGGCATCGGAACGCGGACGATTTGCATACTTGCATGTGATGCCGACAAGCACGAACAGCAGAAAGACACCGATGAAGCCGCCAAGCATGATGGCGACTACAGGTGCTTGAAGACTCGAAGTTTGCGTTCTGGCGATCACATTTGACTGGTGAGCGCCCGCAGTCGTAGAGGCGGACGAGGTGGCGGCAGCTCTGGCAACTACAGTGGCGCGTCGGACGACTTGCTTGACAAAGCCTCGGGGCAAGTCGTTTTGAAGCGACATGGCGGAGGAAGGTTCAACGTCAAGACGTCAAGACTCGACCTTTGCCTTCCGATGATGCAACCGAGCCGTTTGCGACCAGTACTATGAGCGTCTTGAAGCTGAAGTAGAGCCTCGTGGGTGGAAATGACAACGATCAACAGACGCGATGCAGTGAAGATGTGGGCCAAAGAGGGACGATGCGTGGCAAGGCTGGAGCAGAGCAACTTCGGAGGTAAGGTGAGAGAGAGAAAGAGCGAGGAAGGGAGGTTGATTTGATATAGGTTCCGAGAGCTTGAAAACAGAAGCAGCAGTTGGAGGCAATGCAGTTTATAGGAGCTAGCCTCGTCGAGAGGTGGCGCCAACGAACGAGAGAGATTTCGAAAAGAGCGTGAAGGGTGCGAGTTGCCCAAAGCGAAAAGATGAGCGAGGGTGGTAGCTGTGTTGTGAAAGAACGACCTTGCCAGAAGGATGGATAGAGACAGTGCTCGATTGCGAAACCTGTGCTGAACGTGGCTGGAACGGTGATCTGAGTTGGTGTCAAACCTTGTACTAGCAAGGTGTTGGGTGCGCGTTGGGAAGAAACTGGGAGCAGAAAAACAGGAAAGAGTTGGTAGTGGAGAGGACGAGACGATGAGTGTGCAGACGTGACTGCTTTTCGTTGATGGTGATGGTGGAGAAGTGATCAATGTGAAGAAGGCCGTAAGGCGGAGAATGATGGAACACGACGAGGCTACCAGAACACATCCACCAAGAAAGGAGAAAATCAGGCTTGCGGACGCTGAGAACGGCAATGAGGCTCAACAGCACGGCGCGGTCGGGTTGGAATGATTTTGACAGCGTTGCCCGCTTTGCTTCCCTTCGGATTTTTTCCCACACTGGACCAGTCTCTTTCTCGCTCGCGCTCTGTGCTCCGAGCCACATGATCCGCATGGACGCGCCGAAGGACGGCACCAACTCAAAGATCAACACCCAAACATAAGTATTATAAAATAAAATAAAAATAAACAAATCCCGCCAAGCGTGTTTCTCTCTCGTCGTGGGCGGCGTCGCGGCCTCTTTCCCTGCGGACAAGACCCGTTCGTTATTGTTCTTCTGCACCTGGCTGGACACCCTCTGGAAGCTCAAGTCGCCAAGTTGTCGATCATGACAGCGTCATCTCGGACTGGCCCTCAATAAATGGGACTTGAATGACCCGAAGAAGAACGCGGCTTGAGGCAGAGCCTTGTTCCCATCAAAGACGACTGCGGCGGCAAGCGGGAAGCTTGGTTGAAAGCAGACATGCAGGAGCCTCCGGCGTCACAGGACGACACGCTGCCACGCCCACCACGGTCGAGCATGCAGATCGAATTCAATGCTGCTTTTCCCACACCAAAAGCTTTGAATCGCAGCACGCGGTCGGTTGTGCAGTACACCGTAAGTCACCACGCGAATCCTCGGCAGGATTGACAGCGCTATCCTGACACCCTTGCAGACGACAATCGCAGAGAGAAGCAGCGCACGCAAGCACGCTGCTGCAGTGTATCAACGCCACGCCAAGCGCCCTTTCGCGTCCCGCTGCTGCGACTCTGCGGCCTCTGTCACTTTTAGGCGGGCGTAACCAACACGCGCTTGCATTTGAAAATCGTTTCCTCGACGCCGAGCCCAATTTCCTATTCTTTCGCTCGAATCAATACCAATTCTATACAATGCGATGTCGATCCTTTTTTTAAATGTAGGATCTGCAGAACCAGAACACCAAACGCTGGTTGGCTTGCTGTGCTGTCACAATCCCTGCAACGGCGTTTTATCTTGCAGACCCTCGGTCAACCAACTGGACCTTCGGAATGGAATGCATGTGACATCGGCACCTCGACACGGCGTGTTGGTTATAGGACCGCTGTGCTCAGTGCAGCTCGGAGCTTCTTGCATCGGGCCAAGACTTTTGTACCGCCAACATGTCGATCATCTGCAACTTGTCGATCCTTTCTATCCTCAACCTCACGCGCGAACCACCGACACAGCCGCGGGAATCGCAATCTCTTCATTCTAATCTCATATGTATTGAAGCAAGCCGTCACAGCCGCTCGTATTCAGCATGGTCCACAGACATGGCAAATCGGGAAGAGAATATGTGCGCTGCGCTTACAGATAAGTCACCTGGGTGCCCATCCTGATGGTATCCATGACTTTTCTCCAGATCAGGAAGAGCCAGTTGAAGCCAACCACTCCACCTGGCGTCGAACCGCTCTTGCCCACCAGCTTGCTTCTCGCATCTCGGGCAGCCGCATTCCTCCTCGCCCCGCTGCCGCTCGTCTTTGTAGCCGCCGCACCCTGCGCCGCGGGTCGACGTGCCACGCGATAGAACACGATCATCATCACGATGGCCGACATCAGCCATGTCCTAGTCTGGTTGGTTCTGCGGAAGTCGAACATGGCCGTGATAGTTGAGAGGAGTGAGGTTGACGATGCGCCGCTGGATGCCAAGTCTCGTTCCGGCTTCTTCCTGTTCGCAGAAGAGCCAGTCGCGGAGCTCGATCGATGGTCTCCTTCCATGTATCGCGACAGATGAGCTCGAGTGGACGCATAGCCGCTGTCATCTTTGAAGCGATGCTCCTTGGAAGAGGCGGCAGCACCGGCTTCTGCCCCGTTGCTGCGCGTCGACCGACGAGAATGGTTCGAAGCAGCCGATGTGCTGCTCTCGTTTCCTGCGTCGAGATCCGACGAACGAGACGAGCTCGAGCGACGCAGCGAGCGACGCTCCGACTTTGCTTCATCCCTGGCTGCACTCGCAGCGGCAGCACGCGTGGAGCCGGGAGATACGGCCGGGCTGGTCGGTGAAGAGGAGCTCGACTCGGCAGCTGCACCATTGCGGGGCGAAAAGTAGGCGGGTGACTGGCTACGCTGTCGACGCGATCGTGATCCTGCCTCGGAGCTCGAGCCCGACGAGCCTGGTGGAGAGTCGAGGGTGCCTCGAGAGCTGCTACGAGAGCTTGCGCTGGTCTTGCTACCTGCTGCCGATGACGAAGCGGTCTCAACATCTGTGCCTTTGTTTCCTGTCAGAAAGTTGCCGATGCCGGATGCCAGGTCGCGTGCCTTGCCACCGACCTTGCTCGCGCTCTTGCCAGCAGTTACGGCGGCTGCGGCTGCCTCCTTTGCTTGCTTCTCTTCCGCCTGCCGCTTCGCCTTCTCCTGTGCGTACGTCCTTTGTGCATTGGCGAGAGCCTCCTGTTCACGTTCGGATTGGCCAGTGAGATGTGCTTGTGCTTCGTTGATCTGCTCGAGCAGGTCGAATTTGATCGACTCGGCCAAACTCGAATAGCCAACAAACTCTCGCGCGTACTCCCATTCGCCCAGTCGCGAGGCTAGCACGTGCAGAGAGTAGAGACCCACGATCTTTTCGTAGGCTGCTGCAGCCTTGGGCGTAGGAGGAGCGGCGCCGAACGCAGAAGAGAACGAGGCGAGGTACCACTCGGCGATCAAGCGTGCTGCATTGGTTCCGGTACGTGCCGCGGGGTTGAGCGCGTCCAACCGAAGCGCTGCAAGCACCGCGGACGAGATGACGGAAGCGGGCAGCTCGATCGCCAGATGGATGGTTTCGGGTGTGGGATCGAGCGATGGCGCATCGGCCTCTCCGGACGTCTGCGTGCACAGACGTAAAGCTTCAAACCACAGGTGACTGATCAGGCTCTGGGGTTGCTTGGATAGAAGGAGCACGATGCGATCGATAGAAGCGGCGTCCGAGGGAGAGGAAGTCTTGATGTGTGTGAGCTTGTCGTGGATGCCAGCTGAAAGTTGCGTGTCGGTATAGACCTGGGTAAAGACAGTGAGGCGCAAGATGGCGACCTTCCCAACGAGCTTTTGAACGTCGAGGTCGGAATCGCTGAGGATTGCTGAGGCGGTCAAGCTGCTTCCGAGCTGATTGGATGAGGAGAGCAGGTCAGCTGCGTGCTGGCTCTGAAGCAGTGCGGTCTGGAGATCCTTGGCGAGGAAAGCTCTGGCTGCTTTTCCGTAGTGCGTCTTGGCCGTCTTTGTTCTGGAGACAAGTTGAGCTTCTTCGTTGGACGAAGCAGCGGAAGCGGGTCGTTTGAGATCGGATGCGGATGCTGAGATGGACTGCGATAGCGAGAGATCCGCAGCCGCTACGCCAAGGCGGCTCGGCTCGGAGGCCGTGGATGCCGTCGAAGCAGTCTCTGGGACGGGCATCTTCCTTGCTCTTTCGGATGGCGAAAGGGAAACCCTGTCGATGGTGAGGTGAGAGTGGTCGGGGAGAAAGAACAATGTGGAGAAGGTGTCTGTGCGTGAGAGAAGGGCAGTTTTGGTTTCCGGTCCAACTCGGTCACTCAGCCGGACGCTGAGCTTGACTCTCGCGCGGAAAGGCCAAGTGTTGTGGGTCAGGAGGTCTCGCGTGACTCTCATTTTTGTGGAGCAATTTACTCGGTGAATTTCCCTTTCACTTTGATTCCAGGGTCCCCACCAACGACAAATTACACCGACGTCGATTTGATCTGTGCTCTCATCACAAGTCCCATCATCGTTCGTCGGTCAAGGATGATCTGCACATGACGGCGAGTCGCACTCCAATACGCTGAATAGCATGACAGCGAACGCAGATTCGGATGCGGAGGCTGTCGAGGCCATCACGGCCGCCTTCTTATCAGCTCCGACAGCAAAGCAGCGTCTACTCACCCAGCTCATGAAGAGCACCGACAACCGCTTTCAAGAGTTCTGCCTCCATCTCACACGGCAAGACTGTCCCGACGCCGGAGCATGCCAAAAGCTGCACTTCAAGCCTGTGATGTATCCACAGACTGACGCCGCCTACGGCCACTGCAGCTACCTCAACACTTGTCATCGGACCACATCGTGCAAGTATCTGCACTTCGAACTCGACACGGATCCACCTCAGCCGGCCTTTGCGTTTCAGACGACAGATGCACGCCACACATACGAGCCTGACTCGGAAGAGGCGCACGAGATCGGGCTGATACATCCATCTCGAGCGCTCAAAGAGAACGGTTTCGATCAATGGATACGACCATCGTCATCGACGTCAGCGCAGCAGGAAGCACAATGGATCGACTGCGACCTCAAAAACTTTGACTATTCGATGTTGGGCAAGTTCGATATCATTCTGGCGGATCCACCGTGGGACATCCACATGTCGCTGCCGTATGGTACGATGAGCGACGATGACATGCGCTCCATGCCTGTGCCCGTGCTTCAGGACGAAGGACTCATCTTTCTCTGGACGACGGGTAGGGCGATGGAGCTTGGACGCGAGCTGCTTGCGCACTGGGGCTACACTCGCATCGACGAGTTGATCTGGGTCAAGGTTGGGCAGACACAGCGTCTCATCAGAACGGGTCGTACGGGACACCATCTCAATCATACGAAAGAGCATTGCCTCGTAGGTGCCAAGGTGCGCTCCACCAACACCACCACCCACGATCGTACGCATGCAGAGGGCGGCAGCAATCCCATCCCGGGCTCCACACAGAGGTACGTCGGCAGCCGTGAAGCAGGCGTGCCACCACCACTGCCTGATTGGGTGCATTGCGGCATCAATGCCGATGTCATCGTATCCGAAGTCAGGGACACTTCGCGCAAGCCGGACGAGCTGTACAGCATCATTGAACGGCTTTGTCCCGGCGGTCGCAAAGTGGAGCTGTTTGGTCGCAAGCACAATTTGCGCAAAGGGTGGTTGACGTTGGGAAACCAGCTCAATTCGGACCACGTGTTGGATTCCGGCTTGCAGCAGCGCTTGAGAGATTTCAGAGCGAGACCCGCGGCGCAACCATATTCGGGGCGCTACACAGACGCTACCCACATGCAGCCTCGTGTGCCACCACCATCGGTTGGCCTGTATTGACACACAGAACCAGAATACCCAATGCCAACGTACAGAACTTGTAGTGTGCGCAGATCGCCTTCGTCTGTTGTGTCGAGATGTGGTCGAAGTTGTTCCAGAGTGGACACCTCAGGAGCCGCTGATTCACCGAGTGGAGCCGACTTTTTTGCTTAGCCGCGACCTATTTCACGGGCATAAAACATTCAGGGTTCCAGACGCGCACGGTACACGGTAGCTCTTGGCCGGCTTGCCATGGTTGCCGAGTCTTGGCCGCTCGCTCCCTCTAGCATATATTGGAAGACAGCATTACGGGGTTAAGACATGCATACAAAAAGACATCGGAACGGTCCCGGTTCTTAAGCCTTCGACTACCATCACCCGTTCTCCCTTTTATTCTCGCCTTTGCCATTGATCGAATCTCGATCCAACCATGCCAGGACTATCGCTCGCCGGACGGACCGCCTTTATCACCGGCGGATCTCGAGGCATCGGTCTCGAGATCGGAAAATCGCTTGCCTCGCGCGGCGCCAACGTCGTCATCGCTGCCAAGACGGCCAGCCCGCATCCCAAGCTGCCCGGCACCATCTACACCGCGTGCGAAGAGATCGCCGAATCCGCCGCTGCATCCGGCTCCAACTCGTCGGCGCATCCGGTCCAGCTCGACATCCGAGACGCTTCCGCGGTCGAGAAGGCCATCGACGACGTCGCCTCGAAATTCGGCGGTCTGGATATCCTCATCAACAATGCGTCGGCTATCAACATGACCCCTACCAAGGATTCGTCCGTCAAGTCGTACGATCTCATGAACGGGATCAATGCACGAGGGTCTTGGCTCGTATCGCGGTTCGCGCTGCCGCACCTGCTCCGATCCGCTGATCAGGGCAACAATCCGCACATCCTCACCCTCTCACCCCCGCTAAACTTCAACACCCTCTCCACCACTCCTGGCCCTTCCAACCCTCCCTCCATCTTCCCGCATCAGATCGCCACCACCGCTGCCGCCTACACCATCGCAAAGTTCGGCATGTCCCTGCTCACCCTAGGTCTCTCCGCTGAAACCATCTCCAAGATCGGCGTAAACTCCCTCTGGCCCTACACGCTCATCGCCACCTCCGCCATGAAGATCGTCTCCAAGGACGCCGCTGTGCAGGAGCGTAGATGGCGCAATCCGAACATCGTCGCGGAAGCAGCGGCCAGGGTGGTCGAGGAAAACGCAGCGAGTTTTACAGGCAAGTTTTTGGTAGACGAGTTGTATCTCAGAGAAAAAGGTTTCTCTCTAGCAGATATCAAGAAGTTCAACGTCGACGAAAGCACAAAGTTGGAGGACCTGGCGGAAGATCTGTACATCAGTCAGGAGTTGAGAGATGCTATCGAGAAGAGCAGGAGATCCTAAGTTCGCTCAGGTCAACGTCTCTTTGCATCCTCGGACGTGCGAATGAAATCTCGCGACACTCTCGATTCACAGGCTTAAAAGATCATGGTGTAACTGAACGATCACATTCTAGTCACCAGAAATCATAAAAGTAGATCCATCTCTGTCTCTGCCATGACGGCTTTTTGCTTGGCATCTCTACGGTGCGCTTTTCTCATTTTGTTCCTTCTTTATTCGAGTTCAAAGATCGCCTCTTCCTCATCTTCCTCCGCCGTCACGACGGGAAGCGTCAAGGGCGAGTGCGGAGCAGCAGCCGAGCTGCCTGCCCTCAGTCGATGCGTTGCTGGATGCTGGGCATATCTGGCCGTGCCCGTACCAGTCGCATGCTTTTGAGCGCCCCCTTCGGGAATAGCAATACCTCCCTCGCCAGCGCCAACGCCAGCGACTCGATGCGAGCCGATCGCGGAAAGCGAAGGCGAGAAGGGAGAGCCGACGCTGCCACTTCCCGGAGAGCCAAACGTGCCATTGCCGAGCTGACGTTCGGCAAACGAGCCGCTCAATCGATGGCCACCAATACCGCCAACGCCGGCGCTACCCACTGCAAAGCTCAGCGGGCTGCGGTGGGGCAGCACTGAAGAAGGGGCAGTGGGGCCAAGACCGTAGTCATCCAGGCTGCCAGGTACGCGCAGACCACCAGCAGCGCCGTTGCTAGGCTGCGAATTTTGTGGGGAGAATGCGATAGCAGGAGACGATGCATCGGCGTTGCTCGCGCCTCCGCCAATAGGTGCAATTCCAGCGCCAACATGTTGGCTGCCAGAATCTCCTGACCGTCCGGTGCGAAGATGAAGTCTGCTGAGACCGGCTGCCAATCCCTGCGGCAGGCTCTGTCCGGGTGCATGATAAGCTGCCGTGCGGCTCGCTGACGTCGACAAGCCCGACGTACCTTCGCGGAACGCGATCGAGTCCAGCCCGCTCGTGGGACGTCCGCTGCCGAAAGGACTGAACTCTTCGCCTCTGCCATGGTGCTGTTGCTGTTGCTGGAAGCCGGCGGACAGGTTGCTTGACTTGGCGCGCTCGGCACCGATCGCCGAACGACCAAAGCCAAGCGAAGACCCGAACGCAGGTGCTGCTTGCGACGGCATGCTCTGTGCCACCGTGACCCTCTCGTCATTGCCCGCGAACGAGCTCGAAAGACGGTTGCTGCGCCTTCGGCGCTCTAGCTCTGCCGGAGTTAGTAAGTCCGAAAGGCTCGACGGTAGGAAGTCTTCTGCATCCTCCATCTCTTCTTCAACTCTACTGCCGCCAATGGGTCGTGAGGTGGCGCCGGAGCTGATGCCGCCCCACGCCTTGGCAGCGTCGTCTGTCCTGCCCGTGCTACGAGCTCCAAAATGATCGCGATTGCCTCGCGAAAAGGGCCCGGCACCACCTTCGTCGTCTTGGCTGCCGCTGAAGAAAAGGGCGTGGCCGCTTGGGTGGCTGAATGGGCTTGTTCCAAATGCGCGAGACGCGGATGTTCCAAACGCGGCCGCGGCCGAATCCGTGCCTCCGAATGACTGAGCTGCCAAAGAGGCGCTCAAGCTCTGCGAGAGAGTGCTAGGTCGTCGGAAGGAAGTGCTGCCAGTGAACGAGGTCGAAAAGGATGGATCCTGTGCACCTTCGAAGCCGGCACGGGCTGGATCCATGGCGTTTGAAGGAGCAGCTGTAGCAGGGGCGGAAGTCTGAAAATCGTCTGGCATGCCAAAGGGAAGGTCGTGGTCGCGCGTTGTGAACGACGCCTTGCGATTGTGCATCTGTGATCCGAGTGACGTGTTGGCTTGGGCGGGAACAAGGTCGTTGCGGTTGGGCGTGCCCTGTCGAGATTGCAAAGGCAGCTGCGATGCCATTTGGACTTGTTGCTGGACTTGCTGAGCCGACACTTGTCGCTGCGTCGGGTGCGGCATCTGACCTGCCTTGGGCGGACCCGATTGTAAGGTTGCAGGCTGCGATGCTTGTACGCCGGCGCTGAGACCGACCATCTGCTGCTGCTGTTGCGAGTTGGGCGCCTGAGGAAGCGGCTGTCCATGCTGAGCAGCTCGCTTGTTCTTGCGATCCATGCTCATAGGTTGACCTGGCAGGACGTGCGCCAAGGCACATTTGTGGCCGAAGCGGCAGCTGCCCTTCAGAAACCACTGGCAAACGGACTTTTGCCCACCGTCTCCGGGGAGGGTGTGGGCGAAGGGACAGGATGCGCCGGCCGAACATCCATTACTCCGAAAAAACTTGCAGGGAACTTGACCGAGCGCCTCCTTCTTCTTGGAGCTCAGCTTCGCGTTGGCAAGTGCGCTCCCGATATCTTTGTCATCAATCGACTCGCCACGGTGGTGAGAGGTAGCGCGCTCCCTCGACTCTCCACTAGAGCCCTCGACTTCCGGATCGGAGCTTACTGCCTCGTCGGCTACGCGTGGCTTCCGACCGCGGCCCTGCGCATCTTCGCTGACCGGCCCTTCGGTCGCCTTTGCGGCAGCGGCAGCTTGCTGCTCTCTTCGCGCCTGTTCGATACGGAGCTTCCTGCGACCTAGCTCGGTGTTGAGGCCAGACTCGGCCAAGATTTCCCAATCTTCTTTGACGATCTGCGGCTTTGGCGGGAGTTGAGAGACGCCGGCGACAGTGGCAGGAATCGTCGAGTTGGTCGGAGGAGTAGATGCTGCGGGCGAGCTGGCAGCTTGGGCGTTCGCGATCGATACGGCTGTCTTGGAACCCAACGTGGCTGGTGTCGCGCTTTTCTTTTCGGGAGACGCCGACCGACCTCCACGCTTTTGACGGAAGGCTTCTTCCCTGAGCGGATTGCCTTCGAGTAGCAAGCAGAGCACTCTAGCTTTGCATCGTCCCTCCATTTTGGTGATGTCGGCAGAAGTCGGACGATTGAGGACGCGAACAAGTTGACGAGCTGGGATCCCCGCCGCCGGTGTCTGTGGATCTTGGGTCGAAGGTGCAGGATCGACATTGCCGATCGCCTGGTCGAAGGATTGAATGCGCCGAGAGCCGAAGAACGCCTCGATCTTGGTGAGATCGTCAAGCTCACAGCCAGACAGGTTGAGGATGGAAAGATGTGAAAGAACCTGACTCGACCCGTTGGCGATGTCATGCGCTGCGAGCACGTCGTCGCCAATGCCGCATCCTTGCAGGCCGAGATCTTCCAGCGATACGAGGTGCTGGAAGAGAGTTGCTGAGACCGGGCCGCGAATGCTGTTGTGGCCGAGGTTGAGCGTCCTGAGGCTTGTCGGCAGCCGCACCAGAGAAATGTCGTCACTGACATCGCTGGGCCCGCCGCGTCGTTTCGCAAGGTCAGGAATGCCCAAAGAAGCATTCGAGATGCGATTGTAGCTGAGGTCGAGGCTGCGTAAGGAGCGCATAGGCGTATTGACATGGGCATCCGGGTCAGCAACGAGCAGCTTGCGGTCTTTCTTGGATGGCGACAGACCAGCCCAGACGCCGTTCTCCTGCGCAGCATTGTCTTTGTCCCACGCTTCCCGCTCTGATCGGGCGGAGCCAACTAGCTCGTCGCTCCAGAAAGTCTGGATCTTGTTGTGGGAGAGGTCGAGAGTGACGAGATTGTCGAGGGCAAGCAAACAGGCAGGAAAAGCGGTGAGACCGTTCTTGGCGAGCGTCAGGTTTGTGAGGGCGGATAGCTGGAGGAAGGTTGGCGGAAGGGCGATAAGCTTGTTGCTGTGAAGCTCGAGGCGTTTGAGACCACGAAATTCGGCCATCTCGTCGGGGAGCGATTGCAGTTCGTTGTTGCTCAACTGCATTGTGTGGACTTCTTCGCGCATGTACCAAGGCTGTCGGTCATCTTCCGGTATCTGCAGGAACCACGCGGGAGGTTCGTCGGCGAGGAGCGAGAGGAGCACGGGTGGCACCTGTTGCAGCGACGGCGACCGTGAAGATAGATTGATCCTGCCTATGAGCCCGAGACAGAGCAAGTCGAAAGCAATAAGGTCGTAAGAGGGAAGTAGGTGAGCGAACTGCTTGCAGCCAGTGCTCCTTTGCGCGGCAGGCAAGCAGGCAGCCGACAGAGCCGATCGCCGCAATGTGCAAGGTACGTACCATTCTGAATGCTGAGACGAACGATGTCATCTTCCGACTTTTGAGTCAGGTCCATGGCCGGCGTCGGCGATGCCGAGCTGCGGTTGGCGTTGAGTGACGTGATGGATCTGGGCGACGGTTTCGGAGAGCCAAACGGGCTGGCTATGGAAGCATCGAGATCACGACCAAAGTGAGGCAGCTGGCTATCATCGTTAGGCAGCGCAGGACTGGGCTTGGTGGGCGACGAGGAACGAGAGCGATGCTCCGCCCGTTTGGCGGCCAGAGCGGCGCGCACCGCTGCGGACATTCGTCGTCGTCGTCGAAGCCTCGAATCCTACCGAATTGGACGAAATCTGCCGGTTTGCCGCCTAAAGCCTGCGGGTGGAAACAATCCGCTTGTTGATAGATGGGCGGTGGAGCGTCGCGAGAGGCGGTCGGAGACGATCTCAGAAGACAGAGGGAAGGGGGTGACAAGGAGAACAGCACGATGCACGCATAGACCCCACTCGCGGTGCGTTCAGCCAAGCAGGCGCGACCCTGGCTTTCTTGACACCGGCTAACTTTACGGGAGAGCTCGAACGCAAAGCAACACACGACAAGACTGCCAGAGCGGCTCGCTTATTTTATTCGTGAGTTCCAGAGCACGGTGGAAGGTATATTCGTGGCACATGGGTGACTCTTTTTTCAATCTTTGTGCCTTTGTGTTCCGAAGAAGCTTGCACACACAGAGCGGGGTGAGTCGGGTCCAACCGTTCTGCTCGCCTCGTGTCGACGCAACTGCAGGTGACGCTCCAGTGGCAGACCTTGCTTGCTCTTGTTCCGTGTAGGCAGTCGGCAGCACGTTGCGTTTGACATGCAGCAGCATCCGATACGAAGTTGCTCACCTTGCAGCCAATCATCGTGCAAAGCTGCTTCCCACGTCAGGTCAATTCGGCGGGGCTAGACAAAATTCTAGATACACACGGAACAGTGGCCTAACACTTGCACGAAATCGTCGACCTGTCTCGGCAGCTTTTGTCGAGCTCCATGTACAACAAGTTCTTCTGGTTTCGTCGAATGGGACTTGCGAAGTATAATCGTTGCGTGCATCATGATACTCAATTGACAAGTTGGGACCCGGCTACGGATGCGATGTTGGTGAGAAGCATCTTTCGGCGCTTGGCAAGTCGATCGCGGTCGATCGCCTGCGTCTCTTCGTCCTCCTCTTCTGCAGCCTGTGCTCCATCCTGCGTCGCCGAAGGATCGGTAAAGATGAGCGAGATGAGCTCGGCAATCTTCTTCTCACCAATCTCTGCCTCGGCACGGCTGCCCCATCTCCACTCCCACACGATGGATTCGTCGTCCGCACCGTTTGCCCGGCCTGCCGCACCGCTGCCACGACCCCTCCGCCTGCCCTGACTCTGCGCTTGGTTGACAGCAGCGTCGATGAAGTCGATCCCGACATCCGATTTCTGCTTCTCCAGGTAGGATTGCTTGATCATGGTGTTGAGGAAGCCCTCGAGCGTCCCCTGCGTAGCTCGTGCCCTTGACTGTGTCTGCGTGCTTTGCGAGCCGCTCGACCCCGATCCTTGTGCTGGCCCTGTTCCTCGCAGGGCGGCCGGAAGGGTGGTATGAGAATGGAGGTGGAGGCGACGTAGATACATGTGAAGCGTAGCGTCGGTGATCGTGCGTCCGTTGACGAGTATGAGGGCCAAGACGATGTACAAAAGACCCATCTCCCCATCCTGGCGATCGGCACGGCTCCAGTCGACGGCCGATTTGACTTCATCTGCTGTCTGCCGTCTGCGCTGCGATGATGATGAGGAGGAGCCGCTTGACGAGCTGCTATGCGCAAAAGCTTTGGTGAGTTCGTCGTCCGCGCTGACTAGCTCGCTGATCATGTCAGGTGACAGGGTCGATTGCAGCATCCAAATGTTGGAGCCAACTCCTCCGTCTACCGCAGAAGACTCCTCGGGCTGCTTTTCGCGTGAGCGCAGACCGTTCGCCGAGGACGAAGCTGCGCGGAGCACCTCCTGTGCCTGCTTGGCCAGTTGCGCATTGTCCGCTCCGGCACGACGAACTTCGACCATCTGAAAGCCAAATGTGCGGTAGAGCATCTTTTGGGCAGCATTGAAGACGGGAGCGAAGAGGCGACTGGTCTTGTCATTGAGGATGTTCTTGCGGATATCGTCCTTGGTGATCTTGGATCGCTGATACTCGCAGGCGAGAGCGTATCTGACGAGTTCGGCAGCTTTTTTGTTGATCTCGGCGTCGCCCGCATCCTGAGCATTCCTGAGAACGGTATCCGTAACGGGGATCTCCTTCAACGACACCCTGGATGCTGGAGAACGGCGGTCGGCATCTGAAGATGATTGGGAATCGTCGAGCTGCGAGTCGCGCGTGTTGGACGAGGAGTCTTGCGATTCCTCATCCCGTCTGCGGCGTCCGGAAGAGATAGGAGGCGGATCCCGCCCGCGACGTTGGGATCCATAAGTCGCCATACTGACGTTTCTTGAGCGTCAGGAACGTAGTGACTCTTGAATGATTTGAATGAGGCTGCTGAAGGTGGAAGAGAAGAAGAGGAACGATCATACAAGCGCATCCGCGCTCGCAATGATACGGTGCCTTCGAGAGAGCTGAGTTCGGGTTTACCTTTCCCTTCCAGAGTGTAACTTATGTCTCAGAGCGTGATTGGAGAGTGTTGGTCTTCCGCCGCCGTGTCCTGGCAGCTCATGCAGGTCGCGGAAATTGATCAACGCGTTATTGAGCAGGATCTAACAGGTCACATCAGTGCTTCGCGCCACCATTCTCGAAGCTTTCTCTCTGTGTTCCGGCGTGTCTGACGAGGACGAACAGCGCTTGAAATGGCCAAGCGAGGAACGGCTTCGGCCAATTGGTGCAATAATGCATGCAGGAGGTGCCGCTCTGCATTCCTTTTCAAAGGAACAGTCAGACGATTGCAGACCGAGACGGAAGCCCTTGCAGCTGCGTCAAAGCGTCCTCTCGAAGCACGATCTTGAATGCCCATTCTGAACGCAAACTACTGTCTGGACGCTAACGCGGAGTCTGGACGTGTGGGATCGGCGGCGCTTCCGTATTCATAGGGCCGACCGTGAAGCAAGTACAGCAGTGGTGAAGGGTCGGGTGATGTTCAAAATCCGTATGGTTGCCGCTCCTTCGGTCTGGACGCAGCCCCGTCCCGCATCTCGGCGCTCCACGTCGTTGCGGCTGAAATTCGCGTCTCTTGTGGTTCTGTAGCCAAAGACACATCTCGGCGAGACCGTGCGAGAAGGGCTTCTGTCCTCGTCATTCAACCCTCCCTTTCACCGTCTCCACCACCTTGAGCAACGTCACTTCCGTCTCGTGCACTCGCGCATCCTTCGCATCCTCTACCAGGCGCACTCTTGGTCTCGCTCCTTGGCATTACCTTCTATCGCATTGCATCATTTCGATTGTCTCGGCGCCTTTTTCCTTCTCGTCATCCGTCTCTGCCGGCAGAGCCTTTCATACCGGACGATCCACTGATCAAGCCATCAAATCATTCCTGCAGGCTTCTCGGATCTTCTTCCGACGCCATTCCGATCGCCTCAGGAGGCCGTTTGCAATCTCTGACCTGTCGGGTATTCTATCGGCCCCTCCGAGACAGCTCGTCTGTCTACCCACACCACTCGGCGCCTGACAACCGTTCAGAGCGCTCGAACGTCGCGCCATCGCTTGACCCGCTCGGTCCTCGCTCACCCGCAACCATCATCTGCTTCATCACGATGCGCAGCATTGGTCCTTCAGCATCGACGCTGCGGTCGCGGCTCGTCCGCGTTGCCACCATCACTATGCTGCTTTGGACCGTGGCAACACATGCAGCGCCAGCACCCATCGATCGACCAGGCTACCTTCCACCAGAGGCACAGACGCCCGCCGAATCAACACAATCTTCGCTCACGCAGCAAAAGTGGATCGGACTCACCCTCGCCATCAGCAGTTCGCTCGCCATCGGCACCAGCTTCATCATCACCAAAAAGGGCCTCATGGACGCAGCAGATAGGCACAACGGCCTCGCCTCGGATGGTCACACCTACCTTCAGAATCCCATCTGGTGGGCCGGTATGGCCACCATGATCGTCGGCGAGGTCGCCAACTTTGCTGCCTACACCTTTGCTCCACCCATTCTCGTCACTCCTCTCGGTGCCCTCAGTGTGCTCATTGGCGCCATCCTTGCCTCTTTCATCCTCAAAGAGGAGCTTGGTCGTCTCGGAAAGGTCGGCTGCACCCTCTGCCTTGTCGGTACCGTCATCATTGTCGTCAATGCGCCAGAAGACAAGGAGATCCAGACCATCGACGAGATGCTCAACTACGCACTCCAGCCTGGCTTCCTTTTCTACTGCACGTTTGTGCTCGGCTTTTCGCTCTTTATGATCTTCCGCATGGTGCCAAAGTACGGACGCAAGACGCCGCTCGTCTACATCTCCATCTGCTCCCTCATCGGTTCCATCTCGGTCATGAGCGTCAAAGGTCTCGGTGTCGCTCTCAAGCTCACATTTGCCGGAAGCAATCAGTTCACCCATCCTTCGACGTACTGCTTCGCCATCGTCGTGGTGGTCTGCATCCTGACGCAGATGAACTACTTCAACAAGGCCCTCGATCAGTTCTCGACCAACGTCGTCAACCCGATCTATTACGTCTTCTTCACCACCTCAACGATCCTCGCGTCCGTCCTGCTCTTCCAAGGCTTCAACACAACGACGGCACCTGCCGTCTCACTTCTCGGCGGTTTCATCGTCATCTTCACTGGCGTCTACTTGCTCAATCTCAACCGCATCATCGACCCTGTCACCCAACAGCCTCGAATGTCGCTCGTCACGGGAGAAGGCACAACGCGCCTCTCAGAGCAGCACGAGCGTCTGCTCGACCAGCAGCGCGCCATGAGCAGCTTCGCCAATGGCAGAACAAGTCTCAGCGGTCCTGCAGGGCGTAGTGCCACACTGTTCGGACACGGCAGACGAAGCAGCGCAGGCTCATCGGTACTTTTCAGCGCCTACGAAAACGAGGAGGCGCTGGGGCTTACACGACTAGATGAGGACGAGTACGACGAAGACGTTCGCGATACTTCACCCATGATCCGTCAAACCAAGACGCACTCTGCTCGTGCCAACGACGTCAACGGTCACGGTCCATCAGGGGAGGCGACGACGCGAACACAACGCCAGCACAAGCGACAAAGCTTGATCGACGATCCGACGCCCAACTACGAGCACGGTCGATGAAAGCATCGGTCTTCGAAGGGGTGAAGACTTCACGCTGTGGTGCGGAACACTACCAGAACATGTGACGTTGGGCCACAGACGCGGCGCATACAACGCTTGACTGTGTTTCGCCGTGAGCCCATGCTTCGTAGCCTCCTGCTTCCTCTGCGCATATACCGCATCAACGTGCACCAAGGCTTGCCGAGCCGGCTTCGTCGCATTTTGCGCGATCGTTCGCATCCTTGATCTGCTTTTCCGCAGCTGCACCTTCTTGCACTGTCCACACAGGACGCTGACTGTATCACTATCACACGCACGAATCATCAATTTCGTCCAAAGGAATCATTCGGACCTCCAGCACTGCACCAACTTCGTGGCGTAGGGGAACTTTCGTGCAGCCAGAGATGCTCGCTTCGGTCTCACTCGGTGGCTGTGAACGTACTGAGAAGAAGGAGCCGAGAATTGCACACGCTTGCAGGTGTGGCTGGACCGTAACGCGAGACAGAGGCGAGCTGAGAGTGTAGAAGTCGAAGACAAGGTAAACGAGCGCGAGGGTCAAGGTGTATGCTGTGTGCAGCAAAAGTTTCGTGTCGGCGCTCGTCAGAGCTGCACAGCGTGGATCGACGCGCGTTGCAGATCCAGCGTGCACATCTTGTTCCGGAACGAGATAGCATATAGTGTAAACATCTCTGGTCTTTGCTCGAAGTAGCAACTCGCTCGCAGCGAGAGCTTTGCAGCATCAAGGAAAGGATATAAGGCCAACCCAACAGGCGAGGTCGCTTCTTTTCTGTCCCCCTTCATCCTGCCTTTCCTGTCAAGCTCGTGTCTTTTCCTGCTCGAAGCCTCGTTTCGCACATTCGCATACAATCTTTGCTACACCCAGTGTCCCCTCCGACTCCATGATACCTCGCAGCGATCGGATGCTCTTCCGCGCCGAAGACATTCCGACGATGTCTTGCAAGAGTCCTCCTCTCCACTCCTCCAAGATAAAGGCATTCAATCGCATGCCGCCGCCTACAACCACAGCTACTCGCTGCAGCAACGGAAAGCGAGTGACTGCTGGCAAGGAACCACGTAAACCCCGCATTGATGCGCCCGCTACGCCCTGGCGACCGCGTATCTCTCGCAAGACCCCATCCGCCGCCCTCAACGAGCACGATCAACCGAGTCCACTGGACCGCAAAGCTGCCGGCTCCACACTCGATTTTGAACTCGGTTCAAAACTCGCACCGGCCACAATCTCCCCTGCTCCGACGTCGGCGACTTTGGTGACTGAAGCCGACAACGGCGATCAGCCGAGGATGGCGGCAGACGCATATCGACGCGATGATCAACAGCCCCCAACGCCTCGATTGGAACAGGGCGAAAATTGGCGCACTGACAGGTGGCGATTGTTGCGCCCCGAGACGAGCGATTACATTGGTCAACACGCCTTTCGGCCTGACACGGTCCGACAGCAGCCGCCGGCATTCAGACACTTCCCTCGCGCCTCGACGCACGGGGTCGAAGGAGCTGCTTACCAAGCATCGGCCAGACGCGAAATGGATATGAGCGACGAGACCAACGTCTACGTTAATGGCCTGCCGACCGAGTAAGTGTGACGATGCTGAGTCTCTGGGACCCGGAAGAAAGCTGACAAGTCGACATCCTTCGCTGATCATCTCGCCGCAAACAGGATGAACGACCATATGCTGTACCTTCTCGGCTCAGCATGCGGAGTGGTGATCAGTCACAAATCGATGATTGATCGACAGACTGGGATGTGCAAAGGGTTTGGCTTCCTCATGTACGCCAGTAATGAGATGGCCAGACATGCCGTCGAGTGGCTCAACTCTCACGGTTTCATCGCTTCCTTCGCTAAGGTACGTTCTCCTGCCTTTCCTCTTCTCTGCTCGCCCGCTATGTCCAGGCGCTGATCGACCTCCTCCCTTGCTTCCAACAGGAATCGTTTTCAGCCAGACTCCGTCGAATGGCAGACACCTCCTCGACCAACGTCTATCTGAGCAATCTTCCCCTCAAGTTCACCGTTCTGCAGCTCGAACAGCTGTTTGCGCCCTACCCGATCGCAAGTCTCAAGATCCTCTACGACGTCCATGGCGAAAATCGAGGAGTAGGCTTCGTTCGACTGTTCGACCGTGCCACGGCCAAGGAGTGCATCGAGAGGCTGCACGGCAGAATGCTGCCGGGAACGACGCTGCCGCTGCAGGTAAGGTTCGCGGACAGCGAAGCGCAGAAGCACCTCAAACACAATGTGAGCCAGAAGCAAACATTGGAGTCGCTTGGATTGTTCCCTTCTCAACGCAATCCGCATCATCCGATGATGGCCGCTGATACGCGTGGCCCTGAAAGCTTTTGGCAGCACGGCGCAGCGGAGCGGATCAGGTCGGCAAGCGAGTTGAATGTTGCTGTAGCACATGCTCGACTCAACTCTCACTCTCTGCACGGTCCGCCCCTGCCGATGTCGAATCCCCCCTTCGCTGATCAGAGCAAAATGGGCAGAGTCGGGCTCGGAATTCACTGGCCGGACTCTGCGGCGTGGCCTCTCACGCACTCAGCACCTACGCTGCCGTCTGGCATGATCCCGTCCGAAACGGCTGCGAGGGTGATGGTCTCTGGTGCCGAGGGCGGCACCTTCGAACGCCCGTACTTCATGTCGCCCGTTGCCGGTAGGGAGTGGATTGAAGACAAACCATTCGGTGGCCATCCCGCCGGCTATGCAGCTGTTCCATTCATTCCGCCTCCTGGTCTGACTCCAGCTCACCGCCACGCCCACTACATGGAGCACCGCGATGCCACCTTCAAGAGTGGGAACGAAGCTCCGACCCCGACCCTCAAGCCTGGCTACGGTGGCAGCCGACATATGCGCAACCGAAACAGAGACAATGCCCGCGATCTTGCTAGCAAGAGCGACTCGACTGGTGTGCGAGCCGTGTCGGACCCCATGGCGATGCTCGCTGCCCAGACGCGAATCCGCGCAGCACTCGGAATGCCCGACCGCGTGCGCGCTGCTGTGTCGGCAGACAACTCGATCGATGAAGGTCCCGAGGCGGTCGCAGACACGTCGATCGTCAGCACGACCAGCCCATCCGGCAGCAGCGATGTAAGCTGTGACGAGGACGACAGCCTCAGTGTCGAGATCCAGATCCGCGACCTCAGGCTCGGACACTGACAGTCGCGTAAAGGGAATTTTGGACAGTATGTTTCGGTTTGTTTGGATGTTCTCTAGCTCTTTCTCTTGCCGGCTCGTCATTGCATCGCTTTTCAATGAAGGAATTGATTTCTGGCGTTGGGATCTGAGCTGGTCAGGGCGGTGCTGTTGTGCAAGATAGATGCGTATCTGTGCGGAACAGTCTGTGGAAGAAAGGATGGTGCATCGGGCAAGCCGATGACAATCTCGGAGAGCCAAAACGGACAAGCTGCGGGTGACACGCAACTCATCCCAACAATCGAATGCACTCTCCCTTTCAGTCCGAAGATCCTGTAAGATCTGGAAAGCCTCGGAGGGGACTTGCTCTGGTCACACGAGCGCGGCATCTCTGTCAATTACCAGGCTGTCTGATACCAATTGTCCCTTGAGCCCATCGCCCGGATCTCGCTACCTACAAGATGCCGTGACAGCGATCTCTTGGCGACGAAAGATCGCCTTCTGCCTGTGTGAAGGTCCTGCATTTCAGAGAGTCGAGAAGTCAAGACCCTGATCGACGTCGGTCGTTTGTCCGAGGTGACCGAAATACAGTCAAGCTTTTATGGCGTTTGACACGGGTCTTCTTTACGCTGTGCAAGCACGCGACACAGCGAAAGCGTTCGGCTTAGGACTGCGATTTCCAGTCGGAAAAGCCGAGATCAGAAGAAATTAGAAGATCAGAGCCACGCGAGTCTTTCGCTTTTTCATTCCGACTCTGAGAGAGCGCACAAGCAGCGAAGCGAATCCGCGCTTGGGCAGGTCGTCGCCGCTGCGCCCACGTTCTCACTCACCCGGTTACGCACCACATTGACCCTTCGCTACCATCATCTCATTCCTCCCCACGCTGCTCATCGAACGTCGATACTGACGTTCTGTCTTTGAGCATGGCCGCCACTAAATCGACGAGCGCTGTCTCGTCCGAGGGTCTGCGCAACCGAAACACCCAGTCGGGCCGCACGCAGGACTCGCCACGCTCCGATTCTACCGAGCTCGCCAGTCCCACCCTCGGACAGGATCAAAAAGACTCCAAGGACAAGACGACGCCGCATCAAGATGTCAAAGTGCTCGGCAGGACTCCCGATGGTACAGGTAAGTGGCCCTGCAGCTTTCCCTACGTTCGACTCATGCATGCGAACGATGCCGGTGGTTCACTAGTTGGGCCGCGGCCCAACTCTGCCCCGGCACGACACCACTCGAAGCGAAGCCCATTCGGGCCTTGTCCCCTCTCCTATCCCTCTGCAAGCTTTGACAGCTCTGCCGCTACCTTGTACCGGTCAATTGAGTTCCGTTCCGACAATGCATTCGGCTGATCAGACCCTAGTTCCACTGCAGCCGAATCGTGTGACATCCGACTGACATTCTTCCCGCTGCCCTCCTTGACTTCTGCTTTCCCTGCCTGGGCCGGCCTCTTACCCTTGCTACCTTCCATCTCTCTGCTCCTCTCTCCTTCGCATCGCACATCGCAATGCGCTCATCACTCTCAACCTGCTGTTGGAACACCGCTGTCGATCATGGCATTGCCTCAACCCAGTCTTTACCGTGCCGCACACGCCTGACATGCTCTCGTCCATCTTTGATCCAAGACAGCCAAAGACACCGCTCGACATCGTCACCGTAGTCTCCCTCTCCCTTCAGATCATCCTCTACTTTGCTCTTTCTCGTCGTGCGGCTCAGGTGTTCTTCTTCGTCTACTTCGCCTTTTGGCGTGCATCCTACAATGCTGGCCTCGGCTGGATACTCAAGCAGCAGAGCGAAAAGGGCTGGATCATCCGTCAAGTCAAGCAGAACGGTTGGATGGATGCAAACCGCCGACCACGCGTCCACAACTGGGTCAAGCAGCAGCTCGTCACCAAGATGGACAGCGATTACGTATTCGATGCTATGCCGCTCGATTACAACGTCTGGCTCATGTTCCGAAGCATCGTCGACGTCATCTTGCTCAACGACTTTGTCGCCTATTCGCTCTTCGCCTTCTCTTGCACCAGGCTGCCTGAGGGCCACTCGGTGGCCATGCACGTTCTGCGCTGGATCGCAGGCTGGACCCTCATCTTTTTCAACCTCTGGGTCAAGATCGACGCTCACCGTGTCGTCAAGGACTACGCATGGTACTGGGGCGATTGCTTCTTCCTCTGCCTTCAGAGTCTCGTCTTCGATGGCGTGTACGAGATCGCTCCCGATCCCATGTACTCGATTGGCTACGCCGGCTACTACGGATTGTCGCTCGTCAGTGGCAGCTATGCTGTGCTGTTCGTCTCCCTGGCTGCTCACTTTTCGCAGTTCCTGTTCATGACATTTTTCGAAGGACCACACATCGAGCGCACCTACGGGGAAAGGAAGCCGATCGCTGCCCGCGTTCCCCTACGTCAAGCACCGTTCAACGCTGCATCCCGGAAAGCGGCTCACGCCGCTGAAGATGCGGAGACCGCGCGACCAAGCCTGAGCGATGATGGGGACGAAGCCACGAACCGGATTATGGGCACGCCCAAGCAGAACTCTCGCCCCTCTCAGTCCGGCAACGATACTAATGCTACTCCTAGCCAGACCGAAGGCTCGACAGCCATCACCACCGATGACGAGGCCTCAGACGATGGTCATGGCCGAGCCTTGAGGCGTGACGCCCTTCGCGCTTCCTCGTCCTCCAACGATGCGATCCAACAACATCTCCTCGAGAAACAGCAGCGTCCCGTCACCACGCTTCACGACCTACATCATCGGATCTTCCGCAAGGATACCGTCGTCTTCCGAAACATAGACCTTATGCGTTCCAATGACTTCCTGCTCGTCATTGCCTCGATCTACTCTCTTTCCCCTCTCCTCCTTCCCTCCCTGTCTCAAACCCCGAGATTAACGCTGCTCTTCATCAACGCCCTCGCCTGGCGAACCTTCCATTCGTTCGGTTTGGGAATCGCTCTCTCGCGTCAATCCGAATCGAAATGGATCGTGCGCCACTTTCTCAAGCACTACCACTACGCTCAACCTCAAGATGCCGTCTTCGAAGCCTTTGGTCATTGGAAGGTGGTCTACAACACTTCGCTCGTCATGACTTACATTTCGTTCGGTGCGCTCGCATTCAACTGCTACACTCCCATCGGACAAGACTGGACGGTTGGACCGGAGCTCTTGCGACACACCCTGGGCTTGATGTTGGTGGCTTTGCATGCGTGGACTGCCAATTCGTCGTATGAAGTGCTGGGACCTTTCGGATGGCTGTACGGCGACTTTTTTGTCGACGAGTATCCGCATCAGCTATACTACACTGGAATCTATCGGTTCCTCAACAACCCAGAGAGGAGCATGGGTGGAGCAGCCTTCTTCGGCCTTGCTCTCGTTTCGGGATCCAAGCTGACACTTCTCATGGCGATCATCTCATACATTTCGCATTGGGGTTTCTTGAGCTTTGTCGAAGGTCCTCACATGCGAAAGCTCTACGGAGAAGCAGCTCTGCGAAAAGATTCGGGTCTCACGAAACAACTCAAATCCCAATGGGTGGCGGCAAAGGATTCCGACCTCTTCCGCCTCGCTCAGGAGCATCCGACGGTCAAGAACGTTCAAGGCACACTCGAAAAGGTGCAACGCGATGCGACGGACGCCTTTGAAGAGTTCTTCCGTCAATCCAGACCGAGATTCGAGGGTATGCTGGAGGAGACGAAAGTGTTGTTGCAACAATCCAAGGATAGGTTGTTGATTGTGAGGGTTGAGGATGATCTGAAGCTGGGTGGGGTGGATAAGAGCAAGTATGGGTTGAAGGTGGTTGGTGAGAGGTTTCATTTGGGAGAGCCGATTCGAGTCGAGTGGAAGGCGGCTGGGAACCACTCTAGGAGAGACTGGATTGGGGTGTATTTGCTGGAGAGGTTTGGTGGCAAGAAAGGGGCGGATGAGAGTGCGCAGGTGACAAAGATCTCGAGTCAGGGCAAGTGGCTAGGCGTTGCGCACGAGGAGTGGGTAGGCGACGTGCATCAGGGATCGAAGCAAAACGACACGATTAAAGAAGCCGGCGAGCCCGTCCAAGGTATCTCGGTCTTCCGCGATGACAAACTTCCCTGGGTACCCGGAAAGTACGAGTTCAGATACCACCATGACGGCAAACACAACGTGCTCGCGCGCTCCCACCCCATCGAGATCTACGTCAACACCCTCCCCACCCACCTTCCCAGCGACGAAGACCTCCTCGCCCAAACCACCGACATCATCCGCACCATCGTCCACCACTCCACCCCCACCACCCGTCCCCTCCGCCTCTCCATCTCCCAACCCGACACCGCCATCGACACCTCCTCCGCACCACCGCTCGTCAACCCCGCCGCTTCCACCGACAGCGACGACTTCACCATCTGGGACCGCCAACAGGCAACGCGCATCTCCAAAGCTATCCGCTTCGCGTTCGATCTCGAGCTGAGTCCGGAGGTCATCATCGCAGAGGCGAACGTCACCAGGTTGGCGAAGGACGTCGTCGAGGGGTCGAAAGTTTTGCGCCCTGGATTTACGCCCAGGATGGGATGAAATTCTCACCAACGGCAAATCGCACACAAGGATCAAGGGATCGACATACATAGAAAGTCTTGCATTCTCTCTTCCCATCTCCTCACCGCTGTAAATACTTTCCCCCCAAATCGCACCTCTCACGGATGCATAAAAGTAACAATAAACTCCCTAAACGTCTTCAACAACCTTCTTATATCCCTCCTCCTCATGCCCACCCTGTACTCGATCTCATCGATCGTATGTTTGCCGTTCAGATACGGCAAGAGGCGGAAGAAGAGCTTGGTGGTGGTCGCGTCTTTGTTCTCCACCATCGTGGCGATGTACTCATTCTCGCGGCGGGAGGCGCGCGCCGGTTCGACGATCAGGCTGTCGGCGTACGTGCTGGATGTTTCAGCGACAGCGGGGGCTGCGTGCGTCGAGGTGGTGCGCGAAAACGTCGAGTGGCGAGAGTGATGCGGACGAGAGTGTGCGAGGTTGGGCGACGAGGTGGGTGAGAGGGACGAGGAAGAGTTTGGTGATGGACGATGTTGACGAAGGTGACTGTCCGACTCGGAGGCGGAAGGATCCGATTCGAGATCGGAGGAGAGCGAAAGGTCGGATGACGATATGTCGCCCGAGGACGATGATGACGACGACGAAGACGAGTGGGTCGAGTTGTGTCTCGAGCAGCCGCATCGACTCGCGCGATCGCTAACACCATCGCTGTTATTGCTCTCGCTCGGCGGTGGAATGTCAGGTCTCTCGCTCGCGGTCGAGATTCGTCTCTTTGCCATCTTGCCCTTATCATCCACCTGTAGAGCGTTGAGCTTCGCTGCAAGCTGACTAGCTCCGGTCTCGTCTGCATCTCGCGACACTTCACGCTCCTCGACATCCTCGTCCATCCCTATCACCTCTTCCGCCTCATCCTCGCCCTCGTCATCAATTTCGACCTCGGCACCAGCACCAAAACCCTTAATTCTCATCCTCGCTCGCGAAGGCGACCTAGATCTCGCTACGCCTCTCCGACCGCCCCACCCTGCTGAACTGGTCGCCCGTCTCGCACGACGCGGGATGCTGCCACCCTCCGCACTGGATGACATGTTCGACCTGTCGCCTCCAGTTGAACGATCCCGGATGTGCGAAGGGATGTTTCGACCCACCACATTCGGAGTATTCGGTCGACTCTGTTGCGACGTCGTCGGCGTCATGCTCATCCCTTCGCCGCGGGTCCTGCTCCTTGTAAGCCCTCCGCCGGACGACGATGAGCCGGTTGTGTCTGCACGCGCTCTGCGTATGAGCTCGCCGCGATCGCTCAGGTTACCAAAGCTGACAGAGAGGCCGGTGCTGCCTCCTGCAGCCACCATCGCGGTAGACGGCGAGCGGGAGCGGAGCACAGGTCGACGTTCGAATTTGAGCTCGTCGAATTTTGGTCGTGGGGCGATAGGGATAGGCGCCTTGTCGGAGACTGCAGCGGTGGAGTCTGGGCCAGTGCTGGCATCATTCGCGTGCTGCTGACGGCGCTGGTGGTGGCGATGATGATGATGGTGGTGGTGATGATGGTGGTGATGATGATGTTGACGTCCATGCTCATGGCTATCGGATCGACGCTCCTCACCGGAGCCTGCGATGGCGGTTGCAACAGCCGCAGCCTCTGCCACGCTGTCTGGGTCGACCAGGATGGGAGGACGCGACACGCTCAGCCCAGAGTTTTGTGCATCTCCCTGAGTAAGACCACCAGCGCTGGCATCTACAGCCTCACTCTCGACAGCGAGTCCTCTCCCTGATGTCCGCGCTGTATCCGGTCCGCCCACGTCGTTTGACGTTTCCCTCTCCCTACTCCTGCCTCTTTCCTCGGACAAGCCTGGCTGCTGCTCTTGTTGCAGTGCCTCTGCACGCGCCGCCTTCTCTGCCGCTTTCCGTCTCTGCTGTTCCTCGGCTTGCGACTTGCGCATGCGCTTCGCTTCAACCTTTGCCGCTCTCTGTCGCTTCTTCTCTTTCCTAGCGCGATGCCTTTCGTGTCTTTCCCTTCTCCTCTCGGCTGTGCGGCGCATTACGCTCTCAGTGGCAACGAGTCGGAGTCGAACATGCATCTTGACCACGACGTCGCGACGGAGGAGCCAGATAAGCACATCCAAGGCAAGCTCCTTTTGATGCCTGGCTGGCAAGAGGTTGCTGAGCGTGCGAGACGTCGAAGATGACAGCTGTGAGAGAAAAACTGGAAGTGGGGCCAGATCTGGAAACGTCTCGGCCCAGACGTGAGACAGGGGTCTGAGGCGCGCAAAGTCAAAGAGAGGCGAAATGGCGTAGACGTGACCAGGACGCGGGACGTCGATGACTCTGGCCTGCTTGTAATAAAGCAAGTGCCGGACCATAGGATACACATCGTCGTAAAGGTTCCACTCGAACATGTCTGCGACATTGCCGAAGTTGAGCGAGTTGTACAGGCTGGGGACAAACAGTGACTTGAAGTTGCGAGTCAGCCGTTCGAAGCCGCCGTCTCCTTCGTGTGGCTGCACTCCACCGCCTCCCGGCGAGGCGAGCCCTGCCTGACCTGAGCTGGCCATGACTGGTGGTGTGATACCATCATCAACTTGGTCATGTAAGAGCAGAAGTGTCTTCCATGGCAAGAGATATGGCCCGGTAGTCCGGCACCACTCCTCAAAGCTGAGCTGAGCTGGTGTCATGGCGAGTAAGCGATCGTAGGTACCGCCGGTGCCATCTTCTTGGGCATTCTCCTTGCCGCGGCCTGCAAAGCCGCCGCCGCTGAGAAAGATGGGGTCATTCGAGTCGAGCTCGGTCTCGATGTCGATCATCTTGTGCAGATTGGTTGGATCCTGGAGGATAGGCGGGAGCTGAGTATGGACCTCGATGCTGTCGTTGACCGTAAGGAATGCGTCGGACGAGGTGCTGATGCACTTGTACAGGTCGCGGATGCACCTAGCAAGCGAAGATATTCCGAGGCATTGAGCCGCGTAGGCAGAGTAAGCCTGCCCATCATCCATGCACCGTTCGCGGAGGGCGAGGAGCTTTTCAGTCTCGCGGCCGACATAGTCGACTCTTTGCTGCTCGGCAAAGAGTGCAGCGGTCATCTTGAAGACAATGTTGTCGTAGAACAGTTGGAGCCATGAAGAAAGGTCCATGGTTGGCAAAGCCGTAGAGGGATCGGGTCGATCCAAAACTAGGACAAGGTGGAACTGAGTCAGCGGTGCTTTGGCGCGTGAGGAGGGAGCGTCATCAGGCTTCTCGATGCGCGTCCGTGAAGCATGCCTAGACTTGGCGCCGGTGCTTGCCGAGATGTCCGTTCCATCGTTAGAGCCATCTATGCCATTGGGCGGGTCAAAAGGTCGAATCTCCTTGCGAAGCCCTGACCGACCTCGTTGCTGTGACTGAGCCGTCGACGTTTCGCCTTGAGAATCACGATCAGACTGAAGCGTTTCGTTGCCCTCCTCGTCCCAGCCTCTTTCGGGGTGTGCTGCCACTGGGTGACCGAGGAAGGCGAGATCGTCTACGACTAGTTCGAATTTCTGGTGGGCGAGTGCAGTTCGAGGGTTGAGGATGCTGGCGAGAATGTCGATATCGTACCCGAGATAGGTCTTGTAGGCTCTGGCAGCTCTTTCCTCGCGTTTCGCCCTCTCCTCGGGCGAGAGCTCTTTGGACGTGCCCGCGTCCGAGTCTGGAGCTTTGTCGTGGGCGTCGGTGACATCCTTGTGAGCTGCAGTCTGACGATCGTTGGACCTGACGCTATGCGAGGCCTCTTCCATGCTCAGCAGCGGTCGACGAGTCTTGCTTTTGGAGCGGCTTACAGACGTCGCTGCGCCTGATTTGGATCGACCGTGAGAGGCTACTGTCTCTGCGCGGTCACGAACAGAGCGATTCTCGTCATCGTCGGCCAGAGTTCCGTCGGAATCCTCGACGTCAGAAGAAGAAGGGGTGTCGCTCTGACCGGCATCGTCCGATTGGCCGTTTGCGTTATCGTCGTCATCCTCATCGTGATGGTCCCATTTTGCTTTTTGACGCACGGGGTCGAGCTCGTCGTCGAGCTGGCTACGATTCACGCGGGAGGGGCGTGCATCGGTATAGTACTTGACTTTTGAATATCGCTTCGACAATCTGGGGTTGTTGGGCCAGCGAAAGACGATTTGGTCGCCGCGCGAAGACGAAGTGGCCAGGATGATCCCGAGCAAAGGTTCGGTCATACCGGCGGCCGGCTCGAGAAGAGCAGCTCGAGCAGGCTGTCGTGACCCGTGTCCAACGAGGGGTTGAGTGTCTGTTCGCTGTGAACGAGGCTGCTCATGGATGGAGCATTTTGGAGCGTCTCGCACCGCGCACGTGATGGCAAAGGGCGTAGAGGTCGCCGTGACCAAGCTGTTGGAGACTTGCTATTCGATGGCTAGAAGACGGTGGTCAAAGCGGAGATGCGAGGTCGAGTGCAGTGGTACGCAAAGTCACACACTGCGACCTCGCTTGTGGAGAAGAGAAGCGGACTGAGAGAAAAACAGAGGCAGCAGAGCGCGAACAAGCTCGTGTGCTTAAAAGGACCCTTTTCTGAAAAGTGAAGTGTGTTAAGGCTCCAAGGCCGACACTGACGCATATTTTGGAGGTGGAACGGGCGCGCAAAGTCGCACAGACTCACAATCGACGGATCGATCTCCATCGTGTTGCGCAACCAACACCGTCTTGACCACAACTTGTCCTCCAGCTCAGCATCGCGATCAGCGATCGGATCTCAAATAAGATGGCTCTTGAACAGTCCTTGTTCCTCGACAGCGCCATCCGCGACTGGGTGTTGATCCCCATCCTGGTGGTCATGATCCTGGTGGGTGTGCTACGACACAATGTCATCACGCTCCTCAATTCGCCGCCCAAGAGCATCTCGGCCCCCGCGCTTCGAGAGCAACGAGTTATGGCGAGAGCGGCCGCTTTGCGTCAAAACTACTTTCAGCTTCCGCCCAGCTCGTTCGCATCTCGCAAAGCTTTCCTCACAGAAGCGCTTTCGAACGGAAAGTATCTGCAACCCAAGGATAAGGACGAGAAGGAAGGACCCAAGAACCCGTTTGAAGCGACTGGCGGTATGGACGCCATGATGGAACCCATGAAGAAGCAGATGGTCATGATGATCCCTCAAACCGTCATTATGGGCTGGATCAACTTTTTCTTCTCTGGCTTCGTACTGCTTAAGTTGCCCTTCCCTCTGACGGTGCGATTCAAGGTGATGCTGCAGCGAGACATCCCGACTCCGGATCTCGACGTCACCTGGGTCTCGGCTCTCAGTTGGTACTTTTTGACCCTCTTTGGACTCAACGCCGTCTACCGACTTGTTTTGGGCGACGACAATGCTGCCGATGGAACGCGCGATATGGCTGCCATGTCCGGTGCTGCTGCTCCCATGCAAGGTATGAACCCAGCAGCGCCTGGTCAGGCACCCGACTTTGAAAAGCTTCACCACGCCGAACGCGACAATCTCGAGCTCGTCGGTTTGGAAGACTCGAGCGTACGATGGATCGGCGACGGCATCGAAGATCGAGTCCTCGCTCTCTACGCATGATTTTCATCAATGTCAAGCATAACAGCATCATCGCCATTATCATCATTATCATCAATGCAGGCTCTCACGATCACGCGCTAACCTTTTGCCGGGCTAGGGGCGAGTCAGAATGTGGTATCCAGTGTGGCATTGACAGGATGTTCTCATGCGAGCTGCAAATGGGTGTTGTACAGTGTGATTGACTCTTGGCATCATCATTTCCTGGCACCGGTCTGGGTCTTGGACGCCTTCCTCTTCTCTGCCCGACGCACGTTTCGCTCTACACGCCCAGCACCCTTGTACGAGTCACCAGAAACCTTGGTGATGGAGAGAGGCGCTCTCTTCGTCTTGACCAATTTGGTCGAGGTTTTGGAGTTGACGTCTGGACCACCGCTTGGCAATGCTGCGATCATGCTTGCTCGCTTGAGGCTCTCCTGCGCCAGTGCTGGCGCGATGACCGAGGGAACGTCCAGGGGATCGGCTTCGGCGAACTCTTCGTGCTGCGTGCCTCGCACGGATTTGTCCGTTGATTGCACAGAGGGTTCGGATTCGGGTACGCGCTTGCGATCCTGTGCACCGAGCAGGCGGTCCATGTTGGACTGGAACTCGCTCTGCAGTGGCTTGTCCTGTCGGGTCGGCAAAAGAGCGTCAACGAGGAAGAGATATGTCAGCAACATCCTGCCAACGTAGCGATGCCCGCCACTAGCCTTGGACGGCTCTCGATGCCATACGCAGATCAGTATAGTAAGGATTGTAAAATTTTGGTAACCATGTGGATGTCTTCAAGACTAATCGAATAATTTGTTGACTCATCACTTGAGCTTTGGCATCGAGAGCTGGTCCGTGTGGCTGGTCGAGCACGCTTCGTGGGCGAGCGAAAGCACTTACCTGTGATGTCCATTCGTTCTCGAGCGCCTTCAATCGCAAGATGGCCTCTGTCCTCTGCAGACCGATCGAGAACTTTTCCGAAAGGGCACGGATGGTCCATTGCTTGGGGTCGCTGGCATGCAGACGCCAGATTTCGGTCTTTGTGCTCTGTCGGATAGGAGCGGGCGGGTTGAAGGAGGGATTGAGCGGGAATGGGGTATCGCCGATCCAGTTGGGCCCCATTCCAGGTTTGGGCTGCTTATAGGCGCGTGCGTCGGACTGAATCCACTCGTCAAAGGGAGCGAGCATCTTTGGACGACCTCGACCTGCGGACTTACGCCCACGTCCGATGGCATTCAAGTCTGTGGGTGCTGGAGATGCCTCGGCAGCGGCTGAGTACGGCGCTTTGCGTGCAGTGGCATCTTCGGGTGTTGGAGCGGCGTAAGAGGATGACGCCGAAGTTGCGAATGAAGCGACGACGTTGCGCGAGCTGGATGCGACAGCCGGGCCCGATCCAATTTGGCGGAGTGCCGAGAGAGCGGCTGTTGATCTGGATGCGAACGCCATTGTCGTTGCCTGTGCAATGTCGTCGCCGTAGAGGATGATGCTTTGAAGAAGGTAAGCAAGACTCAAGATGGTTGTGCAACCATCGACGCTTGTGCTCTTTGCCTCGAAAACAATTTCTTCCAAAATGGCCAACCTGGATTCTCACGTGCGGTAAAGGCGCTCAGCCGCTCGGTTCCGACTAACATTTGAATAGCCGCGGAAATGGACGCGCCACCGAAAAGTGACACTTTTGGAAGAAAGCGCTCTGGAGACACAAAGGCACGGCACAGCACAGCACAGCACAGCACGGCGAGGCGAGGCGGTGCGTGTGTGCTTTTGTGTTACTTTCCACAAGTCACTCCTTCCTCAACCATGTCACATTGCCACTCAACCACAAATTCAGTCATGGATTGAGGCGTAGCTGAGCCAGTGCGTTGCGGTGATGGAACCTTCGTGGCTTTGCTTTCACCTGCCAATGCTCCACTCTACTCAGATTCTTGGGCATAGTCGTATGGCACCATCCGCCTCGACTGCGTTTCCTACCATCTCCACTTGATCCTCACCCATGCTAGCTGTCGCGACCGTTCAAGTAGCTAGATCGTCCGTGGACTCGAGGCAGGGACAGACAACCTGCTGAAGGCTGCGCGTGAGATCACCATGTCAGCCTCGGCTCTGCCTGCCACGCCGAGCTCAGCTAGCTCTCCTTCAAAAGCGAGGATCTGTAAGAAGCTTGTCGTCAAAGGTCACGCATCGAACTCAGCATCCACCTATACTCTGTACCTGAAGGTTCATTTACCGACGAGCCACAAGAAAGAAGGATATGTGCTCCTAGCACACGGCGGCGTCGAGCTACACGACGCCATCGTTCATCGTCTCGATGAATCTGGTGCCGCCCCCGCACTTTCAACCTCGGCTGCCACTGCTGCCAACGTCCTCGGGATTCCTCTGTCAATCGACCACGGGCTCAACGACAGCTTCATCGACTATGCAGCCAATGACAAAAGCAAGGAAAAGCATTCAGCGGCTCGACGAGACCACTCCGATCTGCCAGCGGTCGTACAGAGCGACGATGGAAAAATCACAATTCGCCCCTCCGTCCGTCCGAGCCCGAGATCAGAGCATACAAGCGCAACCCGCACTTCCTCCAGTGCGTACATGGTGACGCTTCATCTGCAAGTCAAGCCTCTCTCAACGCCGCCGTATGCCCCATACTCGGTCAGACTTGCGGTTCCCGTCTGCTTGAACAACTACATGCGATTCACCGTGGACGAGTCCATAGACACCGCCTTCGGCCTGCACGGCATGGCCGTCGAAGTTGACCCTCCGATCTTGCCAGTCTCTGCGATACGCAAGCCACTCCGCAGAAAAGACTCGTCAGGCTCATCACATCGAGCCTCCAGCGTCGTCTCCCTCTCCGATGACGAGGCCGACCTCACTCTCCTTGGTGCCGATTCCGTCGACGACTCTGAACCCGAACATGACGACACCGCCATAGCAGGCCCATTTCAGGCGTGCGACGCACTCGTTCTACGCATCGCCGCACAGCAAGCCGGAGATTTCATCTCTGTCAGTCATCCTCTCCGCGTATGGCCGAATGCACTACGAGCAGAAAAGGCACTCAGCACAATCAGATATCTGCCGCAGAAGGCCGAACAAGGGGATTCCGAGGACGAGGCAACCACAGTTGAATTTGAGGCCACGCTCCATCTTTATCGCCCCTACTTTCCTGGGCTCGACCGCGAAGTCCAGCTTTATCTTCAGCTTGACTCCGCTGTGTCACCATTTGAATGGCACCCGACAACAGTGGATGTATCGACAGGCATCTTGAGCTGGTCCTTTGGCCCTCTTGCATCTTCATCGCCCCCAACGAGTCAGCAGTCTGGTCGCTCACTCGCGACGAGCCAAGTAGCACCATCTGCATTTGAGATAGGCGATCTTGTCGTTCTGCCAGAGCCGAGTCAACAAACAGCCGACGACGAGGACTTGCTCAGCGTTGCTCCACCAAAGGGCATTAACGACGCCGACTTTGACTTTTCGCTCGACAACGCCGCAACAACACCGAACAAACAGCGCAGATTCTCATTGCAATCTTCCACCAGCTTCCGGCTTCCTCCATCGACACCCTCGTCCGAGCCCTCCGAGCCATCAATTAGCTCGAGCAATGTGCTTTCACTCACCCTGAGCTTGCTGCCAGTATTGCAGATTCACAAGCCTCTCTCGATCTGCGCGAAGGGAAGCATGATGCTCCCAGCGACACTTGCCACAGCGTTCCGGAAAGGCGACCTGTCCGAGCTTCCTCGCGGCCTGGTCGCGCCTGCTTCTCAGATTCAGTCGTTTGGAGAGGTCACGCTCGCATCTGTTGACGCCGAGAAGAAGCCGTGGCTGCTCGAAGAGCAGCTCAACGACTCGTTGGTTGACTCGCGCGAAACAGTGCTGCAAAGTCACGAACAAGAAAAGCCTAGCCTGGTCCTGCGAGATACCAAGGCGATCAACTTTGAAGAGGCCGAGGTGATCTTGCGGCGAGCGCTCGCGATCATCGCAGCGCATGACGGCTCCTCAAGAAATGCCGACCGTACAGCGGCTGTGGTAGCACGGCAAGGCGATCTGTCCGGACGAAACAAGCAACGGACTGGAAGCAGCTGGATACTGCCGGTATCTCACCTGCTCTGGACGCTCTTCCTGACGGCCATGGTCTTGATGCTCTTCAATGCAGGTCAAAACGCCAACCGTGCTCTGTCTGCAAAACTTGATGAGCTCTCTCGCCTACTGGAAATATCGGCGCAGAGCACGCATCCGACGACGTACCACATTTCGGTGCCCCTAGAATCAAACTCCAGCCCAAACACTCCGGCGGTGCGGCCGTCTTCAATGGAAGAAGGAGCCCCAGGCTCGCTCGATAATGATCCCCTTAACATTCCGGACAACGCTGCGCACACCATGATTCCTTCTGAGGCAGAACAACTGGACGAAGTACGAACTTTCTGGCAAGACCCTCTCGTCTCGGAAAGCAAGGAAGTGGATATGAAGAGTGCGCAACTCGGACTGTCGCACTTTGTATCGAGCTGGGTCCGTGATCTGCTACGCGCGCCCTTCCTCGTCGTCCGACAGCTCCTGGGTATCTTCATCGGGACGAGATAGTCTCATCTTTCTTCACGCACATCCACACGTTGTCTAGATCATCACATTCGGCAATCGACCAATTAACATCTTCCAACAAATTGCAGTGCAGGAAAGTGGAGGGCAAAAAGACGCAGTAACATTAAACAGGCTAGTCAAGCACAAGAGTAGAACAAAGCGGGGACATGTTGGGGGGATGAAAAGAGTGTAAGATGGAAAGTTTCAAGGAATGTGAGCGGACGAAGAGCGGGCCGGAAGGGCAGCGGGTGAGTATGTTGCGTGTAAAGGAGAGTCGGATGCCGAGCACAAGAGGTGTGGACTAGTAATCATCGTACTCCTCCCTCCTGTAACCTTGGCCTCTATTCCTCTTCTCCCCGTATCCGATAGGAGCCCTGCTTGCCGACCTAGCTGGTGCTTGACCCTTGGGAGGCCTTGTCATGCCCAAAGCCTTCAGCACGACAGGCAGGATGAAGTGGACCGCCATGACAAAGAAGGTGGTTGCGAGTGTGACCCAGGCGATGGCGACGGTGACGCGGTAGTGCGTGTAGTTGAGGTACCTGTTCTGTGCCAAGAAGGCGTTTGCCTGTTGCAAAGTAGTGATGTTTGCCCAGGGACCGAGGGCGCCCAAGCTCTGGGTGGTCGAAGTTGCGGGGTTTCCGTTCTGACTGGTCCTGAACATCTCGTAGATGGATCGCAAGAAGACCTTCTGGTTGTCGGTGAAGGGTTCCGAGAAGCTGGGACCCGCGGCAAAGCTAGGATGCCTGTTGACGCTGTAGGCAGTGATCGCCGAGGCGATACCCAGATAGGCACCACTGAGAACCAACTCGACCAAGCCGACCAAGACGTATCCGTAGGTACCCTTGCCAGTCCTCTCACCCCTACGCTTGGGGAACTGCAAGCATGCCAAAAAGGCAGCCAAGTTGCCAAAGGCGAAACCGATGGCGGAAATGATCATGCCGGCCAAAACGACCATGAGCATACCGTTGTCTTGAAATTCCACAAAATTGTTGATGCGAGATTTCTCCTTCAAGATCTGCCAACGAGAGTAGTCCCATGCTGTGAGACCGAGGAGGGTGACGGAGAAGGCGACGATGGCGAGTTGGAGTGGAAGTTCGAGCACCTGTGGCGCTACGGGTGCGCGAGAGTGTGGTGGTGCCATGGCGGATGTGACTGCGACCGCGACTGCGACTGTGGGATCGATGTGATGAGGTGGATGTCGAGGTTTAGGTGGTCGAACGGGAATGAGTGAGGAGAGAGAGTCGATATATCAGTTACCCGAGGCTGTGCTTCTCCCTTGTATGCCGAGGATGAGGGTAGGACGTCGTGGTCAAGACGATGGTATCCTTGGTGCCATGGCGTACAGCCAAGAGCCAACAGCCGATCTCTCTCTTGACGGCAAGACTGCAAAACTGAAGCCAACATGGGGAAACCCTCGCATTTCACGCTCTCCTGAGCGAACACTGCAATATCGCCCTTGAAAAAAAAAACAGGAACCAAGTCAAGCGCCATTTAGCCGAGCTGCGAAACAAATGCAACTGCAGCAGGTCGCATACGCCCTCTTTGCTCACTGAGACCACGATAAAGGCTTTGCGCACCGACCATCGTCCACACACCTTGATTGCTTGGTGCCAAACATCACAATGTGTTTGATGGCTCTGACTGGAAGTCGACGTATTTCCTGGTCGAAGGGTGGGTTGAACGTCGACGTAGTCTGCAGCGTGCAGCATGATGCAAGGCGTGGATCAGCGATTTAATTTCAGATCCAGGCAAATTTGCAGTCAACCCACATGCGGGGCATTTTTTTCAATTTCTGCAAACGGAGAGAATGGCAGATGCCTGCAGCAGTCTCTGAAAGCAAGACGGAAGAGAGTGTCCCCGCATCACAGCGGCGCCTACACTAGTGTCACACTGCAGTGCCAGAAGCGGAGTTTTCTCAGAATTCAGCCAGCTTGCATCGGGGCTGAAAGAAGAGCTTCGGCTGCTGATCGTCACAGCAGAGCATGAAACGGCGCAATGCTTCGTCTGTAGGGCCAGACCACCAATTGAGGAGAGGATAGTCTAACATCACAGATCTCACAACATCCTTCTAGCCTTGCGTAGAGCACGTCGAAGACGTCGACCCACTCTGTCACACCCTTGTAAAACGACATCGTAGCATAACAAGTTTCTCTCTGTATTAAGGTACTGATATGTCTCTTAGCACTTGCGATCGATACCACGGCGTAACTCCTCCTCCCTGTACTCAAACATAACCTGTACTCCCACGAACAACGTCGCGCACGCACCCATCATGAACCTCACCCCTTCCGCACTACCCAACAACTGTTCTATCATGTACTTCATCCCATCCGTTCCGATCGCAAATCCCACCAGATTACCCGTCATCATCATCAGCACGTTCGCCACCCCTCCCAGCGCAGCCACGTGTCGGAACCACCACGTATCGCCGTACTCTTTGTACGGCAACGCCTTCCTCGCTACGATCTCGGGTACGATGAAGAACGTGATCAGCCAACCCCACGCCAGCAGTTTCAGACTGAGATCGTGCCACAGCGCGACGAACGTGAAGACGAGCAGCGTTGCGGGCACCTGGTTGCGACTCCCACCCAAGGGTACGTAGATGTATCGTACGATCCAGAGGTTGTACGATCGATGCCAGGAGCGCCAGAATCCGAGCGTCGAGTAGTTGTTGGCCATGCAGCGTACCATGTTCTCCGGAGCTTCGACGCCGTCTGCCATAGCCCAGAGGCGGAAGAATCGCCATGGGATGAGTAGTTTGAGCCAGACGATGATCAGGTTCCAGAATCCGATCATGGATAGCTCGAGCGGTGTAGCTCCGACCCACGCTTTCGAGTCCTTGATCGCGTTGACGTATACGAAATGCAGGATCAGCTCCATCGTCATCAGCGACACAACGAAGCGGATGGCGTAGCGCACCACCGTGGACGTTTCAATGCGACAGGGGTGGCGCAGCTGATGAGTAAAGTCGTTGAACGTCATGATGGGTCCGGCGATGAACAGCGGAGGATACAGGACGTACAGCAGGTAGTTACCCACGCTGTATTCTTCCAGATGTCGTGTGAGGCGCGTACGTTCTTGGTACGTCGCCTCTTTGCCTTCCCGCAGCGTCTCGCTCATCGCCCTCCCAGCTTGTGCCCCTGCGTTGGCGTCGCACTTCGCCCAGTGATAGTCCATGGCGAACGAGACCAATCTGAGCATCGTGATGTTGAAGTTGATCTGCCAGCGCGGCAGCAACCCTTTGAACACCTCGAGGAAGCTCAACCCCGGTGAGATAGCACTGTACTCGAACCCGTCGTTCCAGTGCACTGCGAACAGCGCGCCAATGTTGAATGCAAACGCCACGGCTGGCGCGATCCTCGTCCCACCAAGCGCTTTCGACAAGCCGTAGTTGATCGCCAGCACCAACAGCAGCTTGAGCGAGTTGAATCCGTGCAAAGCAAAGATAAAGATGGCGGTGAAGACGGCCAGGAACACGATCCTGTTGGGTTTGACTGACGGTGGTGCAATGCTGTTGTTGTTGTCATTGCCGACGCGGGTATATTGCGCTGATGTGGGCGAGGGCAACAAGGTGAACGATTTGGAAAGTAAGAGATACACACCCATGATACCTATCAACGCCGGAACGTAGTCGCGAAACGAGCGATACTGAAAGTCACTGTCATCGCGCAACCTGCCTGCGATCCAGCCTGGTTTTAGGTGGCCGGAGTACGAGTAAAAGTTCGGATTCGACGGTCGACTGAGACGGACGGGTACGTACACCATCAACGGCACCGCGATGGCAAAGACGAGGTAGTAAAACTTGAACTCGACCGTGTGCCATCGACCTCGTTTTGCTGTGACGGGAGCAGCAGTGGAAACGGTCGGTGATGCTTCCGTTGCTGTGAGGTTCTTCCTTGCGGTCTGCCGTGATAGAGGTCCCGTGTCGATGGTGAGTGAGGCGATGCCTCGAGAGCCTAGAAGCTTCTTCACCGTGGGATTTGAAGGAGCATGGTTGACCTCGAGACGACTGCCATTTGCTGATGCCAGAGGTGGATATGTGTTGGCGCCATTCTGATGCCGAGCCGTCATGTCGTCGTTGTCGCGGTGAACGTCGTCGGCATGCTGCGAGCTGAGGACAGGAATGGCAAAGTGAGTCGGGAGCATTACCCTTTCAGAACTTTGCTTGGTCGCCCTCACTTGATCCGTGCCTCTGCTTTATTGCGGACGCAAGATCATGCAGACTTGACAAGAAGCAGACTCGTTCGGTGGTGCTGCGAATCCAAATGTTGCTCGAGAAGATGCGTGTGTGGTCCAACACCATGCACGCACGACCCTAGTGCAAGTGTTGTTCTCGCTTAGTCAGCAACATTAGAGGGTCGAATTTCGCGCTCGGGACACTCACCGAACGCTCACGCTTCTAGATCAACATCAAATCTTGACACCTTCCTCGACGTCCTCACCTGTCCCGCAAATTGTCCTGACTTTGCTAGCAGGCGCCGTCGCTGCTCTCAATATGGCGGTGAGTATTATTCGGCTACTTTGCGACAAATCTGCTTATCGAAATATTGACTTTGTCGAGTGCCATCTCTCACCTTGCGCCGCTGCAGATCAACTGGATCCTCCTCATCAGCCGTCAAGGCAAGGTGCGACTCGCCAAATGGTTCACCACCATGTCGCCCAAGGCAAAGCTCAAGATCACAAAGGACGTCACACAACTCGTGCTCGCGAGGCGAACACGCATGTGCAACTTCCTCGAGTACAAGGATAGCAAAGTGGTGTATCGGCGGTACGCGTCGCTCTTCTTCGTAACGGGCATCAGTCAAGGCGACAACGAGCTGGTGACGCTCGAGATCATCCACAGATACGTAGAGGTGCTCGATCGATACTTCGGTAACGTGTGCGAGCTGGACCTCATTTTCAACTTTCAAAAGGCATACGCTATTCTCGACGAGCTCATCATTGCGGGAGAGATGCAAGAGTCATCCAAGAAGTCGGTGCTGCGGACAGTCAGTCAGAGCGATGCGGTTGAGGAGGCGGAACAATCGGAGGATTCACTGGCGAGGATTGGCAGCAGGTCAGGCTAGAGGGCTCGGCTCTCCTCGACGTCTCTGTCGCTTTTCTCCCTAGTAGCATGTCATTTCTCGGTCACCTCTTTGTACAATATCATCTCAGCAACCATAGCTTCTACTAAATTCAGGGGTGGAAGGGGTTGAAGACCCGATCTCTGGTGTCCGCGATGAGACGCTCCGATCTTCAACCGTTGAAGGCGATACCCAAGCCAGCGTCTCGATTGACCATTAGATACGCACGACGATCATGACATCGGCGATACGATGGGTACGACACGGACGCAGGATCTCGGACCATATCACAACTCGAGGCGAAAATGCGGACAGGCTCAAACTAACATGACATCCAAAATGACTCGTACGTAAAAACGTCGGCGGCTGGCAAAAGCCGACTTGCAGGCTGGCTGGCAGGGCGCCTGTTTTGTTGGGCGGCCTACGGAAACATAAGCAGCCGCTGGACCGGAGCGGCATGTGGGGCTTTCGCTTGGTTTGCTCGCTCGTCGACGCGATTCTCAACGCTGTTTGAGCATGGCAAGCCTGCCAAGGTTTCCCCATTGTTGCTTCTTTCCAATACTACTTTGCACCAAGCCTCGTGTGAAGGATCTGATGGCAATGTCCACTACACTTGATGTCCTTGTTGCGACATGAATTGACGCCCGCTCCTGCGGCAAGGTCAAACGAGCAAGGACAATTGAATGCCTACATATTCACTTCGAGTGGGAAGGGAAACGCATTATGCAGTCATCACACGGTGCGAGCATGATCAGGCGGCAGAAAAGCACGGATAGATTCGATCGGCATCTGATGCGGAGCGCCAAAGAACGAGGGGGGCAGCACCGGTCACAAGAGCTCTGGGTTGGCTGCCTCCGCATTTTCGGTTTAAGGTGCCCGCTCGATGAGGCAACAGTCTGGCTGCAGCAGCAAGCCAGAAGCGTCGGCGGTGATTTCGGACGTGCCTTGAGGGCGCCGTTGTCTTTCACGCTGCTTTTGGAAATGCGAGAGGCGAGAGAATAAATGCGAGAGAGGCAGAAGAGCAGTCTGTCCTTTTTCCACAGCGTCACCGTTGGAAGCGAGCAAGAAGGTGGAGTTAACTTAACTGGATCGCTGGCTCATTTCACGCGAGCCTGCAGCCTTTCTTTTTCGATTCGGCTCTTGACCGTCCATGCGCTGCTACAGCTGCTGCTCGAGAAGGAGCTTGGGCGACCTTAGGCTCCAGTCGCCTCGACCGTATGTGATTGCGCCCTGCAGTCAACGGATCGACAGTCTCTGGTTGTGATGCGCATCGAGCCAATCCTCGAATGACATCTGAAAGCCTGAGTGCCGCGACTCGATTCACGCCCAACTTGGACCGGTGGGGACTACATATACTTCCCCCGCATTCTTTTGTACAACCGTCCTTTTCACCATCACATCTATCTCGCAATCCTTCTCCATACCTTCTTACCCCATCCACCAACCCAAAACCACATTCACAATGTCTGACTTCAAGTCCAAGGACCTCTTCCAGCAGATCACCGAAGGCCTTAAGGGCATGGATGAGAAGGAGAAAAAGGACATCCAGAAGAAGGTACGTAATCTTTGTCATACCCGATCGCGCACTTGTTGGCTTCTTATGTCGCTCAAGTAGCGACGAGCAAACACTAGCAGCAGTCCGCCATCTGCTATGGGACGTCGACGACGCATCCCGCTCAAGGATCGGATCGCTTCCACGCGCAAAGGCCCAAAATGGGCTTGCAGCTGCTAGTCCCTTCCTCTGGCGCCGTATCGAGGAAACGTCAAAGTCACAGAACGCATTGCTGACTCTTCTTCTCGATATCTCTTCTTTCACTTGTCTCTCGCTCGAATCTGCATTATACGCGATGTCTCCGACCGATCTCGGCTCATATCGCAATACCTTCGACTTACCAAAACGCAAAAACAGACCAACGGTGTCTTCGAGATGCACGTCAAGAACCCCAAGGGCGAGGAGCTCGTTTGGACCATTGACCTCAAAAAGAACGCCGAGGCTTACGAGGGCAAGGCCAAGGGCAAGGCCGATGTCACCATCAACCTTTCCGACGACACCTTCATCGACCTCGCCGACGGCAAGGTCAACGGCCAGAAGGCTTTCATGTCCGGCAAGCTCAAGGTCAAGGGCAACATCATGCTCGCCACCAAGCTCGACGGTGTCCTCAAGGCCCAGAAGGCCAAGCTCTAAAGCATTCCCTGTTTTTGTTTTTCGATCATCAATACACCAGTATGCTTGTAGCTTAATCTAACTCTCACGGCCCAAGATTGACAACGTCTGTGCGACAAGTGACGGATGAGCTGAACAGCTGCACGAAGCAACAGACAGACAGACAGACAGACAGGCGCGCGCTATGTGTGGAATCAACGTGATGGCATTCTATTCGACGACCTTCTTCACGACAGAACGCTCGCCTGCAAGCCGACCAGCTTCGATATCCAGCGACGTATAGAGATAGAGAAACTGATGCGACCGTCGCTCGTCAACTCCAGTTTCGGATGCTGCAACATGACGAGACAGACAGACAGGCGATGTGCACCTTGTGGTATCAACATTATTGCATTTTATTGTTGCACCATGTTGTCGCAGGAAGACAGCAACCTTTCCTCTGTTGATCGCAGTGAGAGAGATACGGTAGACACGGTTGCTAGGCCCACAACGATCTTCTTGCTCTCAGTCTTGTTCATGCGACTGCACTTCTCAAGGCCATCCGACAACCAGACAGACAGACAGACAGACAGACAGACGGCCTGCTATGTGCGGCATTAATATCATGGCCTTCTACTCGAATACTGTTTTCTTGATTAATGGTTCGAACCGGTCTAGCTCACTGAATGAGTAAATAGCTTGCGGGTTCTGTCAAGATCCTTCTCAGCTTCAAAAAGGGAAGCACGCGGCGACGGCGAGAACGTCTATCGCTCTAAGAGCTTGTTCATCGCGACAACTTGCTCGAATAGCTCTCGTTGAAAGCTCGCCCAAGATCGGATTGAACAGAGTGAACAGCTTCAACTTCATCCTTTAGCGTGGGGTCCCTTGAAGAGGCCGCAAAGGCGATCAATGCGCAGCAGTGCCCTGGACTCGAGTCAGGAACGCAGCCAGGTCTCCTCGACATGCAGGGCAGAGGAGAGAATTGCAGCGGGCGCTAAACAGTAAAGGATACGACCGAAGAAGAGCGAAGATGTTGGACTCCGCGGCGCGATGCTCGGCTAGGAGACTCGCCGCTCCACCTCCACAATGGCAATTCTTCTTTGACCGTGCGGCGCGGCTCGGGCCTCGTGACGGCGTGTGCGAGAATGCTGGCATGACCCTGAGGGTCGCTGGGCGCAGTAACGGCGAAAGGCGGTCCGTCATGGCTTTGTGTAGCCGCTTTTCTGGCTATTGCAAGAAGATCAGGAGCGGAGATAGCGTGGCAGTAGAGATTTTTCTCCACCTTACATGGCGCAGGTTCGGCTGTCTCATTAGAAGAACATAGGTATATATAGATCAACACTTCCTACCCGCCAAACGGTTTCCGCAAACACAACCACGCTCAACCCGAACACCCGCCAAAATGACTATCCCCACCCGCGAGTTTGGCAAGACCGGCGAGAAAGTCGGAAGCATCGGCTACGGTGCCATGGGTCTCGCCGCCTTCTACGGCGAGGCTGCCCCGCAATCCACCGTTGATGCCATCTTCGACAAGTGTCTCGCCGACGGTGTCACCCACTGGGACACCGCCGACATGTACTCCCCTATTGGATCCACCAAGCTCGGCTACAACGAGGAGCAGATCGGTGCCTACTTCAAGTCGCATCCGGATGCTCGCAAGAAGGTCTTCCTCGCAACCAAATTCGTCAACCGTATCAAGGAGAGCGGCGAGCGATTCATGGACGGTTCTCCCGAGTGGTGCCACCAGGCGTGCAACGACTCGTTGCGCCGACTTGGTGTCGACCAGATCGACCTGTACTACGCCCACCGTCCCGACCCGCAGGTCGACGTCACCGAGACCGTCAAGGCTATGAAGGAGCTCAAGGATCAGGGCAAGATCCGCTACATCGGTGTTTCCGAGTACAACCTTGAACAGCTCGAAGCCGCCAACAAAATTGCACACATCGACGCCATTCAGATCGAAATCTCCCCATGGACACCAGAGGCTCTTACCAACGGAATCCTGGATTGGAGTTCGCGCAACGGAACCGCCCTTATTGCATACAGCCCGCTGGGGCGCGGCTTCATCACTGGCCAATACAGGTCCGTCGATGACTTCGAGCAGAACGACTTCCGACGATTCAACCCTCGTTTCCAAGGCGAAAACTTCAAGAAGAACCTCGAGCTCGTCGACGATATCAAAAAGATCGCTGAAAAGAAGGGCGCCACCGCAGGTCAGATCGCCCTCGCATGGCTCCTCCAGAAGTCGCCCATCATCCTTCCCATTCCAGGAACGAAGAAGGAGAAGTACCTGGACGAGAACAACAAGGCCGCTGAGATCAAGCTTACCGACGACGAGGTGGCCGAGATCGACGGTGTCATCAACAGCTTCAAGGTCTCCGGTACCAGGTATGCTAAGGAGATGATGTCGGTATGCGCATTCTAAGGATTCCCAATCACGACGCAGAGTCATTCTAGGATGTAGCCAATGATAACTTGAGTTAGCTCACACAATAGGCTTCGTGTAGTCTGTGTCGGAAGAGGTTGACGTGTGCCTGTCCAAAACGGCCTCCTTCATTTCATTTGATTCGGATTTTGTTTTTGCTCCAATCAAAAGAAGCACACAAATCACTGGATACGATGTGAGATAACGGAGGTGGAGCCCCCTGAGGATGGACCGAAGGCTAGGCCAATTGTGGTTCAAAGGGCCAAAGGCTACATCGAGTAGCATGCGAAAGGTGTATCAGCAACTCGTCAGAATCTGTCATAGGCTCGTTCCCTTTAAAGGACAAACAAAGTTCGACCAGAGTGAAAGAATCAACGGTTCACTAACGGCAATTCGGCACTTGCATATGACCGGTCCGCCTCGCATTCACACATCTGCGGCGAAACAGTCACAGAGGGTCAGACACACGCCATCGATTAAGGTGGTCATGACAGGCTGGTATTTGCCAAGGATGCGATCGAAGCACATGTCACTTTTTATGAATGGTAAGGATGTCCTCATCTTCGAGCACGTGATCGAGACCGACTCGCTGCCCTCGAGGGTGTTTGGCACTCTTGCCATATACGGTTGCGAAACGGAACTGCCTTACGATCTCCTTGTGGATGGCGTTGCAGAAGTCCTCTACGGTGCTCTTACCCGTCTTGAGCACGACGGGTGCCGAGTAGTCTGGCGTTGCCTTCCTTGGTTTTGTGTAGACTCGCACCAGCGAGAGCTCCTGCCACATCTTCTCGACCAGCTCGTCGTCAACGTTCCACCAGTGCTGCGATGAGATAGGTACCGAGTTGGGGATCTTGTACAGCAGGTCGAGCTCTTCGATGCTGATTGAGTCGATCTTGTTGAGAACGTAGATGGCAGGGACATAGATTCGGTTGCCCTCGATGACGTCGATGAGCTCTTCGATGTTGGCGTCTTGACGGAAGGAGACGTCAGCATTGCTGATACGGTATTCGCTGAGCACGGCCTTGACTTCGTCGTGGTCAAGCTTTGTGAGAGGTACAGTGTTGGTGATGGCGATGCCTCCCTTCTCCTTTTTACGAACGACGATGCTGGGTGGTTTTTTGTTGAGACGGATGCCGAAACCTTCGAGTTCGTTTTCGATGATGGCTTTGTCCTTGAGTGGTTTGCCGACATCGAGGACAATAAAGATCAAGTTGCATGTACGCGCTACAGCAATGACCTGCCTACCTCGACCCTTTCCGTCCTTGGCACCTTCGATGATACCGGGCAAGTCGATGATCTGGATTGGCGCGCCATGCACCTTCATGGTCCCTGGTACGGACGTCAAGGTGGTGAACTCGTATGCTGCTGCTTCCGATTGTGTCCCTGTCAGGCCTGACATTAGAGTGGACTTGCCTACTGATGGGAATCCGACGAATCCAACCGAAGCAACACCCGTCTTGGCAACGTCGAATCCGATACCAGGACCACCTCCTCCTCCGCCAGATGGAGTGATAAGCTCTCGTTTCAACTTGGCGAGCTTGGCTCGCAATTGACCCAAGTGGTAGGACGTGGCCTTGTTCTTTTGCGTCTTGTTCATCTCATCTTCGATCTCCTTGATCTTCTGTACCGTCGTCATTGTGACGGTAGCAATTGCACGGATTCGAGTCCGGCGCCGTTACGAGGGTTGAATAGTGATGCGTGTTTCGAGTAGGCCGTTCCTTTGGGTCGAAGGCGTCTGTCGTCTGTAAAGTAGGGAGCGCGTTGGGAACTGATATGGTGTGGTCGCTGTAGGATGGTTGTGGTGGTAGAGGTACAAAGTGGAATTGGAAGCTTCTCTGGCGGTGGAGAAAAAAATCCGACCATCACTTTACGCACGACAAATTCTTGCCAAGAAGCTGTGAGGTGACGTCCAGAATGCGTAGACGCAGACCAGAAGGGCTTAACAGACCATTTCAATTCAATTTTGTTTGTGCGATTCTGGATTTGTCACAAATCCGGGGGAATTGCATGTTGGTGCGCGGAGCTTTCATGAGACCTTCGAGTGGAGAAATGGTGTGCGCTTCGGCCCACAGACCAAGCTTGCTAGCCGCTACTGTATCACTGCAGCGCGACACTCACCACCATCACCACTCAGTCGCATCCGGCAAAGACACATAGCCAAAGATGATGGAGCCGACCACCAAGCCGACCCAGTAAGTCTTCTGCCATGCCGCGACACACTGTATCGCGCGGCTACTGATAAACCATCACACCTCGCGCACAGCCCACCCAAAGACGACCCAATCTCGGTCGAGGACCTCAAGCAGTACGATGGTACCGACGAGTCCAAGCCCGTGTACGTCGCTGTCAAGGGAACCGTCTTTGACGTTTCGCCCAAGCGGGAGATGTACGCTCCCGGCAAAGGATACCATATCTTTGCAGGCAAGGACGGCTCGCGCGGACTGGGCATGTCCTCGCTCAAGCCTGAAGACGCCGTTCCGGACTACAGCACGCTCGACGACAAGCAATTGAAGGTGCTCGATGACTGGGTAAGTAGATGCAAGGGACTACTTCAAATCCTGTCGAGGAATTGGAACTGACGTGAGGCCCTATACTGGTCTGATCAACAGCACTCGTACTACACCAAGCGATACAACATCGTCGGCAAGGTAAAACAGTCGTAGGCAGCCCACACAGTCTAAAGCTGAATCGTAATACACAGCAGACATACCATTGCAAGGTAAACGAAGCCGTCCACAGAGTGCGTCGATGTGTGTACCTTTATTGGTTGCCTGTCTGTCTAAGGAGCCAAGCGGTCGATCGTCCACTTGTCCTCGTTAGCGGCCATCTTGCTTTCAATGCCCCTAGTATATCTGAACCTGTCGTGCAACCTGTTCGGTCTACCACACCAGAACTCGATCTCGTCTGGAACGATCCGATATCCACCCCAGAAATCCGGCAGCGGCACGTCTACGCTCTTTTCGTCTCCTTGCCACTTGTTAGCTGGGTCCAAGCCTGCTGCACCGGGAACGTCGAATTTGTCTTCTACCGCTTTGACTTTTTGCTCGAGTTCCTTTCTCGATTCGATAGTTGTCGATTGAGGACTTGCCCAGGCTCCGATACGACTGCCCAGTGGTCGCGAGTCATAGTACGATTTCGATTCTTCCTTGCTGAGCCTCTCCACACGACCGCAGACTCGCACCGACCTTGACAGCTCTTTCCAGTAGAACGCAAGCGAAGCGTACGGATTCGCCTCCAACTCTCGACCCTTACGAGAGCTGTAGTTGCTGAAGAATAGGAAACCCTGCTCGTCCACCTGCTTGAGCAGCACTACGCGAGACGAAGGTCGTGGGATTCCATTGGTGAGAGCGACGGTCGAGATGGTCATGGCTTCGGGTTCGGGCACACCATTTTCGTTGGCATGTTTAAACCAGTTGTTGAACTGCACGATCGGGCTCGGAGAGAGCTCGTCTCGTTCCAAGCCATCTGTTTTGTACTGGTTGTGAGAAGTGATCGCCGTCTTGGTCGCATCATTGGATGCCACTTTTGCGTCCATCTTGATTGCGGTGGGTGTTGGGCCACGAGCTGGAGTACTGAGGGAGAAGGGGCGTGCGAAGACAAGCTGTGTGGGGAACAGGTGGCGATAGCTAGGTCGAACAGCCGCGTTGACTGCGAGAAGCATGGACCTAGTCGTCTTTTGAGCTGCGTATTGATCCTGTCGAGCTCGGAAGAAGTTGGCTGGGAGCAGTCACGGAAGGAAAGCGTCAAGGAGAAAGAGGATGCGGTACAATCGAGATGTGTGTTGTCTAAGCAAAATGGCGAGTCAGAGTGAATTTAGGTTGACCATTTTATGCCCCCATTTTTTTAGCCACTTTCCCTCCACCAAATCTTTTGGCACCGTGTCCGTGCGACCAAGCACAGCATGCGTGCTATGGTCCTAGCTTCAATTCAGACTTGTCCTCGGAATCATGCAACAGGCAGATTAAGACATTGCTGTATCAAGCTATCTGTGTTGCTATGCATGCGGGATCGAAGACAAGTCGGAAAGGGCAATACAGTGATCGACCAACTATTTACATCAGACTAGATCGAAGAAGGTGACAGGACAGATCAAAGAAGTGGAGTAGCGCTCTGATCAGCATCAGATCCTCGGCGTATCATCATCGTGAGAGTCGCGACCATGGCCCCTGCCCTTGCTGTCGACATCATCATCGAGTCTGATGGTCACCTGCGAATCCTTTGCCGCATCGTTCTGCCTCGAGTCGCGATCCCGGCTCGTGCTCGGACGCCCGGCTCCTGTGTAGCCATACGACGTCGGACTGGTGATGGGACTCTTGCGGTCGTCATCAAAGTCACCCTGCATATCACCACGTTCGTATCCTGGGAGATCGCGGTGGGCGTCAGCACCGAAGGCGCCAGGCGGTGGACCAGCAGGAGCAGCGTACGGACCAGACCCGTACGGAGCAGGAGGATACGAGTATGCTTGCGCCTGCGACTGCGGATCGTACGGTCCCGAGCTGTATCCGTTGGCGTATTGCGCGCTGGGTGGTTGCTGATTGTTGCGACGCTGCCACCAGCCAAAGTTGGATTCGCGCACACGAACCGAGTCCGGATTGCGCACCTGACGAACAAACGCAAAGCTGAACATGACAAAAGGAATGCCAAGAACGATGGTCACGATGAGCCAGACGATCTCCCACGTAGAGTCATACTTCCATGAGCTGTTGCAGTAGTTGGTCGCGTCCTGCGCCGACATGGTCGAGTTGCTGCTAGATTGACCAAACCAGTTGAAGCCCGATGAGGGAGCCACTGCACCCGTGTTCCTGGGGATGCAGTCGTTGATGATGCGGCTCTTGAACATGTAGTGGCCGGCGATGTTGAGCACCTCGCACGCAATCACCAGCGCAAACCCTGGCACCGTGAGCTTCGAGTAGAGCGTGGCCAATTTGAGGTTGGTCTTGAGCGCGGCAGTAAATCCAAGCACTTCGACGAGCGCGACGACCATCAGAAGTACGCCGGTAAGGATATCGAATAGGTTCATGGTCGCATTGTTGCCAGAGTGTCCGATGTCCTTGAAGTTGGAGATGGACACCAGCAAAAGGTAGAGAAAGGTGCAGAACGTGGTGACGAGCAGCACCGGTCGGAGCGAGTAGGGGTATACTTTGCCGATCACATTGGCATATGCAGGAGGAGGCCCCGAGTCAGGCGGCGCCCTGGTCTGTGTGTAGGTGGGGAGGTACGAGAGCTCTGGCACCTGCTGGTCTCGTGCGGGCATGATGAGCGATGACGGCCCGAATGCGGCGAGCGTCCGATGCTAGTAAGAAGAGGACGGTGAGTTCTTGATGCTGAGAAGGACGACTGCTGACACGGTGGCGGTTCGAGATGAAGGCAGCGGATTGATGAAATGATGGACAAAGCTTCAAAAAGGGGTCCAAAGCCCAAAATCCCTGGATCCGCAGCTGGCTGTGCGACTGCTCGAGAATTAGCCTTAAGCCGTCAGAGTGTGTGCGCCAAGCGCATCGATTTTGGGCTCAAGCTTCGGCAGGATATTCCGCGAGCGGCTCGCTGCCGGTCTGCTGCCGGCTCGCTGTTGACGTTTTCGGAGCTGCGTGGCGTAGACGGCTTCGCTTGCTTGTCATTGTTTTCATCACATTTGCGCCTTGTTAAAGTGTAATCTTGTTTTCGAGATTTTTGCGAGATCCCATCTTAGCGATGTAACAGCTTGGCCGAAACCCAAGAGATTAGCGATAACGAGCTTTAGCCGCGCTTGGCGCTCAATCGGACACACCTGCATGGTGCTTGTACGACCGACTAAGTTCGGCGGTACAACATCGCCCCGCCAGCCCGCCAGCCCGTCAGCCATTCCGACATTGATCGCACCAGAGCAGCTGAAACCGGCAATCCCTGATCGCTGAAGTACTCCAAGGGCCAAACGAACCTCACATGGCGTCCCGAGAATGTGGGCATGAGAGATCATTCATCTAGACGAGGTCCGACTCTATTGCCGCGCTTCTTCTCTCCTAGTGCGTCCTCGGCTGCGTTGCGCGACATGCCCAGCGCTCGCGACTTGTGTGCAGCCCGTATCTGTGTCGGCGTGGCTGAAGTGGCTCCGGCGCCACCAGCGCTTGCGACCGCTCGCCCACCAACCCGCACACCTTTCAATGTCCGTACACGAATGCCTCTTGGCTTGGACGGCTTACAGGCCCAGCGGCCACGACCCCAAGAATGTGTATAAGATGAGCATGTAATACTATCCCATCGCGCCCACGCGCGACCTCCTCCGGTCTCTACGGGCACCATCCTTCGGCATTCAGACCTCCTCGAGCTGATTCCCAGCACAAAGTAAGCAGCAATGACCGTCAAGCTTTTTCAGAATGCTCTCTTCTTTACAGCTCAAGCGCAAGAGCTAGACGCCACAAGCTTGCTCAAGCAAGATTACTCGGATTTGGCCGCTATCCACAACAGGTTCGCCGAATGTATTGCGGTGGAGGACGGCAAGCTCGCCTATGTCGGTGATGTAGCCGGCATACCTCCGGAGCTCAAGCGGCGCGCAGAAAAGGTCGACCTGGGCGGAGGCAAGCTCGTCGTGCCCGGTTTCATCGATGGGCACACCCACCTACTCAACTTTGGCCAGTCGCTCGACAAGATCGATGTCGGCAAATGCAAGAATCTCGAGCAAATCCAACAAAAGATCAAGGAGGCTGCCCAAGCTAAGCCCGAAGCGCCGCGCATTCTCGCTGCCGTGTGGATGCAGAACAGCACCGACGGCAAAGCGCTCGCTTCTTGGATTGACGAGGTGGTTCCCGACCGTCCTGTTTACATCGAATCCTTTGACCTCCATTCGCATTGGTGCAACACAGCGGCGCTCAAAGAGCTCGGCATCACGGATGAAACTCCCGATCCGGAAGGCGGACAGATCGTACGCGACCCAGAGACAGGCAAAGCTTCCGGCCTGTTGCTCGAGATGGCCAATATCATCTATGTTTGGCCCAAGCTTGCCAACATGGCGACAAAAGAGGAGCAGGAGGCGAGCTTCATGCGAGCCTGCGACTCGTACCACGAGAGCGGCTTCACCGGCGGCATCGACATGGCCATGGATCCGCTCTCGCTCGACTGCATCCTCCGCATCAAGCACAAGATGAAGGGAAAGCTCCCCATCCGTGTAGCAGCGCATTGGCTCGTTCGACCCGAATCCGATATCGACGCATGCATCCAACAGGTCAAACACGCATATGAGCTCAGCAAGAAACACAATGACGAGTGGTTCCGTGTCGTAGGCATCAAGCTCGTCTGCGATGGAGTCATCGACAGCTGTACGGCCGCGTTGAAAGAGCCGTACTATAACAAGACCAATGCCGACGTCATGTGGCCGTTGCCTCTGCTTTCTTCCGTGGTTCAGTATGCTGACTCGGTCGATCTTCAGGTCGCCATCCATGCTATTGGAGATCTCGCCGTTCATACTGCCGTCGAAGCCATTGCGACTCTTGGCCAAGACTTGGCTGCCAAGGGACTCTCGATCCGTGATCGTAGACATCGCATCGAGCATCTCGAGCTGACAGATCCCAAGGACGTTGAGAAACTCGGCAAACTCGGCATCACTGCGAGCATCCAAGGCGTTCACTGCGATCCGAGCATCATGGAAGGCTGGTGCAAAATGCTCGGTGACAAGTACAACGAGGGACGCTGTGCCAGAGCGTTCGCCTTTCGCGAATTTGTCGAGGCAGGTGCACCCATCGCGCTTGGCTCGGACGCACCGACGGCGCACCATTGGATCTTGCCCAACCTGCACACCGCTGTCACACGACGTTCAGGGAGAGAACCTGGATTTGAAGGCAGGACGACGCCGCAGTTCGCTTTGCCGCTCGCTACCGCCATGGCAGCGGCGACGTACGGGGCGGCACACAGTTGCAAGGCCGAGACATGGTCGGGCACGTTGGAGAAGGGCAAGAGCGCAGATTTTGTGGTTCTCGACACGGACCTTTTCAAGGAATATGGTTCGGGTGACAAGGAACAAGTCATCTTGAAGACTAAGATCCTCCAGACCTGGCTCAAGGGAGACAAGGTCTACCAGAGATCACAGGGTGGGGCTAGCAAGGAAAAGAATACATCGAGCTGCACAGTGTTGTGATCACGTTCATTAGACAACAGTCAGGATCGAAAACGATCGGTGTCAAACAGCAATATATCGACGTCTACATTGACACCACTACTGAGACTTTGCGAAATCTGGAATTCACGACATTGTGAGATGGAGCGCAAAAGAAGAGGACGACCGACAAGGAGACTCTGTGATGAGATCACCTCGATCCTCTCTGATCAAGCGCTTCAGCGTCATAGGTTTCGCCCTTTGAGTGCCGAGCTGTCGTTAATATCGAATCCTGCCGCGAGGAGTGTGGGCAAAATGGCGCTGTCCCCTGCAACGATTGGTGCTGTACCTGCGTCCGGCAGTTGACTTGGGTAGATATCTTCGATCGGTCGAGAGGCTACTTGCTGCAACACTGAGGAGAGGAGGATGGCGGCTGAGACGAGGACGATGTGTTGGGACTTCATCACCATGATGCTGGTTGTTGGTGCTGAAAAAGAAGGGGCTGGATGGTGATAGTCGGAGAGATAGGCTGCGAACGACAAGGCCGAAAGAGGCGGCTACGACCTGCGGCTAGCGACCGGATGTGCGGAAAAGTATCTGAAGAGCTACGTATCTGAAGGTCGGCCAGCAAAGGTAGGTCCTAGTTGCGAGGTGTTCTGGGTTGAACTTTGAGCTGGAGAGGTTAGGACGGAGGCGTGTGTCTGGGTTGGGATGCCTTACACCAAACCGATCCTCTATATGTACCCCTTAGCCGCCTTCTCATTGGCTGAATCTGCCTCGAGGGTCAACCTCAATCCTCATGTCGCTACGCAATCCTTCGCAACATCCGTTCTCTCATTACGTCAGCTGTGAAAGGGCGGACTCAATCTGCTCTGGGCTTGTGGGGGGTTCGCTGGGCAGCTACAGCTCTACCCTGAAACCGTCAAAGGGCGGCTCGACCTGCCTCGGATCGGTCCAAGAAATAGCCGACATGAGCCCACCTCGTTGGCCAGGCAAAGGAACGCGAGTGGGTCAATGAACAGACAGGCAAGAGCTGCGAATCGCGGGGTCCAGAATGAACCTTATCGACGGCCGCGGTGGGTCAAACGTGCAGTTAAGCTCGATCGATTGAACGAGTGAAACGAAGGACGGGGTGAAATGAAATGCGATCAATCTTGCAAAAGCTGCAACTCTTGCAGCCCTTCTGGGTGTAGCGTCTCTCAGCTCCATAGAACCTTACCCGAAGGCAGGCGGAACAGAAGCCGACAGCTGTCTCAGACAGCAGGCTGAGAAGCGGCGCACAGGCACATCGTTGACGGCAGGAAAATTGTGTAGGAGTCGAGTACATTGTGGGACGAGGAATTTACAGACGTGGGATGCCAGATCCGTCACGAGCTCGAATAGCTTTGGGGCCCCTCTTTCCCTCTTCTCATTGTTCGAGCCTTCGGAGACAGTGGGTCACGATGCTATCACATGTGCGTTGCAGCTGACGCACTGCTCATACAGAGAAGCTGGCATCGACACGCGTCGGCACAAACGGCGAAGTCACCGAGGTGAAGATACTTCAGAGAGAGGTGCGGTGATCGATGACGACATTGTCGCGTCTAGCAGCCTCCTCACACTTGCCGCAAAATCACTCTGGTTCGTGATGCAGGGGCAACTGGGAATGCATAGCATCCGCCTTGGGTAAGCAAGTAGGACAAGGTTTCGGTCGGGGATCGCGTTCCTGCATCACAGGCGTGATAGAATCAGGATCTAGGTGTGGTTGGCGTGAAAGAGCGCTACGAATTTTGCCGGTCGAATCTTGTCTTCTCCGAAATAGGTTATGGGGAGTACACCAGATGAGATCTCGGTCGCATCGGTCCGAACCCACCCAAGATCAACGAAATTTCTCCTCAAGAATGATGCGGCATCCTCGAACGAATCGTACGGTCTTCGAGATGTCCTGAAGACTCGTTTCTGGTGCCGAGCTTCATCTAATCACCGTCAATCGCACGCAAATCCTATTTGGCAGTATCAGTCGCTCCTTGAACCCAGGTATACAGCCTCTGAAGCTCAGGCACGAGCCCGTTCCGAGCTGAAGCCACGCCAACCCGCATTCCGAGCCGATCAGCGGGACAGACCTTATTTGGCTCGGAAATCGGAGGGTTAGCAAAGCAAAGCATGTGCGAGCGGATCGAGCTCAATCGCATCGCTTTGAGATGCCGAAGAGAATGCTGTCCATTGCACCTATGCCGCACGTGCGGTACAAGATCGAGGTTATAGTGGAGTGAATATCAGACTCTGGAAAAGTGATTGACAAACCATCGCGTGCCGTTGGGCCCGCCGTCGTCGCGTACCACCATGCCGGTCTTGCTCTCGATCATGTCCATCATCTCGCTAATGAGCAATATTGGCACGTCTTCCTTCTCAGCAATTTCAAGGATCGATGCTCCAGCGCCCCAAGGTGAGAGGTTGTCGCCATAGCTCGCCTCTTCCGGCGATGCCGATGGATCCTTTATTGTCGGGATCGAACCAGGTTCCGATATGCGCAACGACTGTGCCTGTTCGATGCGCTTCATCTTGTGCTCCCACTCGAGCGTGTCGAGGTAGTGCAAGATGCGCGAGGCGAACGCGTCGTCGCTGTACTTGGGTGTGTGCAGCACTGACAGGCCTGATTTGAAGGTCTTCATGCGGACAGATGGAGATGTGATCTCTGGCAGAAAGGCCGCTGCGAAGCGCAGGGCTTGCGGAGGTATCAGGGCTACGCCACGCGCTCTGTTCCAGACACACCAGACCTCGTCGAGACCTACCAAGCCTCGGCCTCCAAGCTGGTCATCCGGCACGCGAGGCAGCGATTCACCTGTCCTGCCCTGGGCAGCAACTTTGCCTGCACCCATAAGGCCGGTCCTCTGCCCACCGGATGGGTTGCCGAGCAGCAAGCCTGCAAGCTCTCGTGCGAGCTGGCGGTGATATTCTTCTTGATCGCGTACCATATCCTCGGTGACAGCGGGGGTGGGTAGACCGAGCTGGACAAGGGAAGAACGGATGAGGGTAGCAGCCTGCTGATCTGGTTGTGGAGCCATATCTGGCAGACCGGCAGCCTTTGCTGCAGCTGCAGCTTGTTCCTGCTTGGTGAGTTTCGCGTTGAGGGATTCAGCGAACTCGACCATCTGCTTCGCTTTGCGCATGAGCGCTTCTAGGTCCTTGAGTGCACCTTGCATGTCGTCATTCTGTGCACGACTGGTGGAGTCGACCGAGGAGAGGATGCCGTCGATGCCGACCCTCTTGAGCGCAGCCGATCTGCCATCGAGATCTACCATGCCGGCTGCTACTCGCATAGCGCGAGCACCGCCGGTGTCTGTGTTATGAGATCCGCCGCCGGCGCCTATGCTCGATGCGACGCTGGTCCATGCTTTAGCTCGAAGCGTGGTCTTGAGCAGATTGTAGAAGGCCTTGTCGCCGCCTTTGCGGAAGCTGAGCTTGACAGAGTCGTTAGGTGGCGGCGATATCGCCGACGATGGAGTGGAAGCTCTGCTAGGTGCAGTGCTTGCACGAAGGGAAAGCGCATCTGCTTCGATGCTCTTGCGCATTGGCGTGCTCGGAGCCGTGAGTGAATGCGCAGAAGGCTCGGATGCAGATTGCTCTGGCTGCCAACTGCGACCGAGGTGCGACCCACACATCTCGCATTTGGTCATCGAAGGGTGATTCAGGAACGTACACACATCGCATTCTATCCCGTCGCTTTTGGGTTTTGTAGGTGGGGCATCTGCAGTACCCGAAGGCGTTGATATCGATGCTGGCGTTGAAGGGCGTCCAAACGGATCCGGTCTGGCTGCATCGCGGGCGCGATTCGCAAGAGAGCTGGTCTTGGGTGTAGGTCGAGCTGGCTCCTTTGTGACGCCGCACAGCTCACATGTGGAGCGACTGGAGGCATTGCTGAAGCCGCAGATAGCGCACACCCAGTTGGACCCCGCTGCCTCGGTAGGTGCCGAGTCGGCAGCTGAGGCATTGACTCTCCAATCCCTGCTGGGAGTCTTTGTGAGGGGAGTCGAGTCGGTCTGGAACGATGACGAACTTAAGCGTGGCTCATGATTGGTTTCGTCTGTATCGTTGTCGAGCTTTGCGAGAGTGAGAGTGATCTTCGGACTGCTTTTGAGGAAGCCGGCATAGTACTCGCTTTGCTTGACGAGAGCAAGGTCCAGGCTACATGAGTATCGGTGAGGTTCGAGGTCGTCGACGTAGAGCAAGCGATGGGACGTTAGGTAAACGGTGCCATTGTTTTGGTGGAGCGTCTTTTCCTTGCCGTCGTACAGACCGATGCTGTCCTGCAAGCTGACTACCTCTTCATCGTGGAAAAGGAGAGCGCCGATGGACGAGTTGCTGGCATCGATCTGCTTGAAACGATCCATGCCATGCAAGCGCCCTTGCTCAGGACCTCCTTCCGAGACGATCGATGCCGCTCTAGATAGCAGAGAGGGTGAGATGGCAAGGAAGAGATAAGCTGCAACACAAGCACGGACGGACGACATCGCTCAGCTCCTCATCCGTCAGGGTCCTTTCCTCCACACTGATATCCTTCCAAGTGACGGACGGCCTGTGCGACCTCGTTCAGATCGAGTTTCGTCTCAACAGATGTGACGGTCTCACAAACACTTGGAAACCCATCACGGCCCCGATCTCGGAATTTCGTCGTGGCAGAGCCGGCAAAGCCAGATTCGGAAGGCGCCGGCTGCTCGGTAGCTTTTTTCTTCTTCTTCTGACTGAAAAGGTGACACAAAGCATACTGTAGCACCTCCCATCGACTGCTCAAGTACATCAGTGTGTACGTCCTATCGAATCGACATTCGTCGTCGAGAAGCTTGTCAAAGATGGTTCTGTGCTTCCACGACAGTCTTGTTCCAGCTTGCTCGTCAATTGTGGTCAACATCGCTATGACTTACTAAGCACGAGCCAGCAGCGGCCAATGAAAAGCAAAAAAGAAAAAGAAACCCTTTTGCTAGAGCCAAGGGTCGCACCCAATAAGAAGAAAAAATTAATCAGCCAAGGAGCATGTAGGGGTGCGTGGCTTGTGTTGCTTTTGAGAAGAAGTGGAGACACCGATGACTCTTGGAATGGGCTGGCTGATTTCTTCCCGACTTTTTGGCCGGCCGGCCCGAATGAGAGCTGACACAAAGACATACAGACAGGGCCGAGCGAGGCGAAGTCGAGCCGATGATCGTCTGACCAATCCGCTCTTCCGATTTCTGCAATTTGGTCTTCGAGAGAAAGTGACACTCCTTTCTTCGTCCCGACCGCAACAGATCCCACCCTGGCTGCATTGAGTCCCTCTGTCTCGACACCCTGCCACCCAACTACACATCCTCTCGGACTGGACATACAAGCCTGCCTCTACAAGCGCATAGGCTGGGACTCTGGTGCAACGAGAGGAATCTCTCACACTAGCCGCATAGAGCTGCATCTCGCAATTCCGCATACAGCTTTCGCGTCCCAGACGAAGGCTGATTCTTGTACGACATGGCACAAGAGAATACACCGGACTCGGCCGCTCGGAACTCGGCTTCTGATGCCGTCGACGTTCAAGAGATCGAAGAGGCTCTGCAGCCGTTCGAGATCAACCTCTACCTCCCAAAACGTCCCCTCATCCCATCGGCTGCTGCTTCCCAACACGGCTTGCCAGAGACGCCTTCGCCGCTCAAGGTCGCTGTGACACCTCAAGAGACGCTCAATGACCTTCGCGTGACCATCACCGACAGTCCCGAGGGTTATTGGCTCGGCGCCTTTTGCTTCCGCAAGCCTCTCCCTGGCGCCGCCTCTACCGCAAAGGGCGCCAAGGCTCAGCTGGGTGAACGTGTGCCAGAATGGATCGAGCTTCGCGAGATCTTTGACGGCATCGACAGGGACAAACGAGAGCTCCACGTCACCCACGTTCCATTCAACGAAGCGGACGCCCGCGCACACGTGCAGCGTCTTCGTGATCTGCTTAGTGGAGGTGCTGCTGATCCCAGCGCTATCGGTGTCGACGCCGCCCTCAGTGTTCAAGACGCCGTCCGAAATCCGCAAGAATGGCAGCAGGACGTCGCTCGTCAGAATGTCAACGGTCGCGCTGCCACCAAGAAGGGCGATAACGATGCTGCAGAGACGTCACCAGAGCTGCCGCTGCCTCTCGTGGACTGGGCCGGCTGGCCCGCTGTCACGGCCATCGATCTGATTCCCCAAGTAGCACGACGTCCTCGCCAACTGCCCGTCTGCCTCCGTCAGCTCTCACTCGCATCCTGGAATCCACCGCCGCAGCACTGCAAGCTCAATGGCCACCTCCTCTACCTTCAGGTCGGCACCCTTGAGGGCGAGGTTATCTTTGTCACGGCGTCCACCCACGGATTCTACGTCAACCGTTCCTCCGGCGCTCGCTTCGACCCCTCGCCTCGCCCCGCAGGACAAGACTTTGCATCTTGCTCGCTCTTTGATCTCCTCTGCGGATTCTCGCCCCTCTTCCTCTCGTCCTTCTCCAAGCTCTTTAACGACCCTCTCTCATCGCGAGACTACTTTTCCGCGGTTCCCGTCACAAACGCATTGCCCGCCTTCCCATGGCTCGCACGCAACCACGCTCACAGTGCAGACCCTCTTCGCTCGCAAGCTGCTTTCCTCCTCACAGGTGCCGCCTCGGCCGACACGTTGGAGGGTACCAGAGACTGGAACGACGAGCTGCAGTCCGCTCGAGAGCTGCCGCGCACCACGCTCCCTGAACGTCTCATGCGTGACCGCGTGCTCAACCGCATCTACTCCGAATTCACCCTGGCTGCTGCCCGTGCCATCCCCAAGGTGGCTGCCGGCGAGGTGCAGGCCATGAACCCTATGGACAAGCGAGACGCTCAGATGTTCATCGTCAACAATCTCTTCATCTCCAAGGGCGCTGACGGGGTCGAGCTCTACCCTCACATGGGCGGTGACGAGGCGGCACACGTCGCCGTTGGCAAAGATGTCCAGGGTGTCAAGACACTCAACAGTCTCGATGTCGGTGGCCTCTGCTTGCTCGGCACCATTGTCGTCGACTGGAAGGGAGAGCGCTGGGTTGCCCAGAGCGTTGTCCCAGGCCTTTTCCGCAGGCGAGACGACGCGGAAGAGGGTGCCGAAGCTGATGGTGAATCCGTCGAGGTGGCTGACAAGAAGACGCCCGATTCCAAAGACGGTCTTCCGGCCAAAGCTGACCTCAACGATGACACGCAGGTTGTCTATGGAGGAGTCGAGGGTCCTGAGGTGATCCGCGACAATGCTGCCTTCCACAAGCTTTTCAACCAGGTGGCACAGACCCTTCATCTCAACGAACACCAGGTCGAGGATGCCAAGGGCAACAAGCACCCGCTCTGGCTCAGTGTCGACTCGAAAGGTCTCCGCGGCGCAGATGGTCGACGCTATGTGCTCGATCTTGCGCGCCTGAACCCTGTCGACATCAACTGGCTCGAGAACGACCTCGTCGGAGCAATTCACGGAGCCGCAGCGTCTTCCGACGAGACGCCGCGCTACCCTCATCGCATGACCCTTCTCCGACCCGAGCTACTCGAGATCTACTGGGACAGTGAGTTCCGCAAATGGGCACGCGCCAAACTCGCGGCCCGCCAAGAGGCCAAGGCGGCCAAGGACGCGGAAGCGAAAGAGGGCGACAAGGCTGAGGCGGCCGAGCCTGAGCAAGAAGAGCCCGAGCGCCTGGACTCCTCTGACTTCAAATTGACCTTCAACCCAGACGCCTTTGTCGAGTTCAAGGTCGCTGATGCCTCGGCGCAGGATGGATCCAAGGTCATCACGCCCATCACGGACGAGTCGGATGCGAGCATCGCTGCAGTACGTCAGGCCTCAGACTTTTTGCGCAAGGTCGCCATCCCGCGCTTCGTCACCGATGTGGCTGCCGGCCTTTTCACCGCTGCCGACGGCGGTGCTCTGAGTCGTCAGATGCACGCACGAGGTATCAACGTTCGCTACCTTGGTTACGTTGCCCGTCTCTGCACGTCGGAAGCGAAGCAGGAGCTCGATCAGGAACTCATCACCAAGGCGGGCCCTGGCCACGAAGGTTTCTTGAATGCGTTCCGACTGACGGTGCTGCAGGAGATGGTGCTGCGGGCGAGCAAGCGAATCCTTCGAGGACTCATCCGCGATGTCGAGCAGGTGAACGTCGCCGCGTGCGTGTCCCACTTCCTCAACTGTCTTGTTGGCGACAAGATCAACGCCAGTCCCGAGGCTCGCCCGGCTGCCACGCCCCTTTCGGACGTTGCCGAAGCTGAGTGGACCAAGCTCACTCCCGAGACGCTTCGCGAACAGCTCAAGGCTGAGATCCGCAAGCGCTTCCGATTCGAGCTGCCAGCCAGCTTCTTTGATCAGGAGCTGCGACGTCCTCAGCTGCTCCGTGAAGTTGCTCTGCGCACCGGCATCCAGCTCAAGCTGCAGGACTACGTCCTCGAGGGCAAGCTTGCTGAAGCCGATGGCAATGTGTCCGACGATTCGCATGGCGAATCGCAGCCGAACGGAAATGCCGCTGGCAAGAAGAGCGGCAAGGGCAAGAAGAAAGGTAGCAACGACCAGCAGAATGGAGTCAAGAAGGCGAACGGCGCTGCCATCACCGCAAAGCCAGTCAAGACGTTGCGAACCACGAGTTTCGTGCCCGAAGACGTACTCAACTTGGTTCCGTTGGTCAAGGACTCGACGCCCAAGAGCACGCTGGCCGAGGAAGCGTTCGAGGCGGGTCGTATCTCAATCAGCCGCGGTGACCGCGATCTTGGTCTTGAGCTGCTGCTCGAGGGAGTCAGCTTCCACGAACAGGTGTACGGACTGGTACATCCCGAGGTGGCACGCTGCTACGCGCTGTTCGCCACCATCATCCATCACCTTGCCGGAGTCGCGGCCATGGAACGGGCCGAGCTGATCAATCAGGCCAAGACGGAGAACCAGGAGATCACCGAGGCGGATCTGCCGGCTGTCAACGACCACTTGAGCATGGCCAACGCGGTGCGATACCAGAGGCAGGCCGTGACCGTCTCGGAGCGCACGCTGGGTGTCGATCACCCCGAGACGCTGAACCAGTACATGAATCTGGCTGTGCTCGAGCGATCAGCAGGCAACACGCGCGAGTCGCTGCTCTGCCAGCGTAGGGTGCTCGAGCTCTGGAGTCTGCTGTATGGGCAGCATCATCCCGATTGCATCAATGCGCTGTCCAACGTAGCGCTGACGCTGCAGAACGCGCGACTGTTCGAGCCCAGTCTGCGTGTCTACCGATCTGCGCACGAGCTTGCGCTGTCGCTCTTCGGCGCTGACAGCATCCACACTGCCAACCTGGCTCACGAGCTGAGTCAAGCGTACACGCTCGCTGGAGACCTCAAGACGGCGCTTGCCGTAGAGAAGGAGGCCTGGCGAGTGTTTGAAGCGCGACTGGGCAAGGACGATGCGCAGACCAAGGAGAGCGAAGCATTCTGCTCGAGCCTTGCGGCGTCTGCTGTGCGTGTGGCCAAGCTGGAGAAGGAGGCGAGCGAGCGTCAGGCTCGTCTGCCCGCCTCTCGCCGAGGCAACGGAGCCATCGCCGGAGCGCCTAGTGCTATTGCTGGAACTGCTGCTTCGTCGGCAAGCGCTAACGGCACGGCGAACAAGTCGCTCGACGAGATCGTTCGTTTCATCCAGGGAGGCTCCAACGGCTCGCCCGCCAAGAGCAAGGGCAAGAGCAAAGCCAGCCGCAAGTAAAATGTCTTCCCTATAATCCATGCACGGAGTCAGCACAGTCCTGGACGGCTCAGCAAAAGCATCATCATACATCAAGTTTCAAAGGATCTACACCTATATACAAGGAAAAGACGGACCCCCTCATTGTTCGGGCCGCCACGAAACCATCACCAAAACGAATCGCACCACCTCTTTTTATCGCGCCATCTGAGCATGTGACGTGTAGCTTGAGAGCATTTGATGATTATGAGCTTTCCAGAGAATGGAGGGGATGAGACGAGGCGGTGCTGAGCGCCGAGGATGGACACGTCAGCAAAGATGATGTGGGGGATCGACGTGCGGGGTAAGCTTGGACCCTTGTTTGCCAAGGTGGCGTGACACTCAATAACGTGTGTTGTACAGTGAGCGGTGCCAGCCTGACAAAGTCGGTGCACTCAATCGATCAGAGAACACCACGCCACCGCGCCGCAATGTGATAGCGCACAATCATTCGGCTGTTTGCGCAAACAACTGCTGTTGCTTGACGGGCAACTCGGCGCTTCCCCTTGTCCTGTTCGGCGATACGCCGAAGTTGAGCGTCGTTGAGCTTATCGCACGTTGAGCTAGAGCATGCTTCGGTTGTCAGACCTGCGCTGCTTGAATTCAGCTCGCCTGTGTGTGTATTGGAGCGCGAGTCCACAAAGAGCCCAGTCCAGCCGTGACAGGCTTCAGTACCGGTGATTGCGGATCGTCAAACTGTCTGCTGCAAAGTATGGCTCCGGCTATGAAGGCTGACCAAGACCGATTACCAAGAGCGATTACCGATTCTGACGTTCCAAAAGCAACGAGGTCCTTCACGAGCGCAGCGCTGCGAAGCGAGCCTCTTGCAGCGCAGACTGGCATTTGGAAATTATTAATATCCGTAGTTCACTCGATCCGACTCGAGGGAGAGCCCTAGCGAGCGCTTGTCGATTCCTTTTTCATTTCGAGTTCGGCTATGCTGTGCAGTGCAGTGCTTGCTCAGCCTTCCCAAAGTGGCCCCATCTTGACCAAATCCCACGCGAACGCGCTTTCCTGTCTCGTTTTCAAACACGTCGAGAAAGATGGGAAAATGAAAAAAGAACGGGCAACAGCACAGCGCAGCGAGGGAATCTTTGGGGTAGAAAAGGAAGAAATCTTCTCAAAGCGCGTCAGTCAGCCATCGCCCCCTTTTCCTCTGGTCGTTCGCATGACGCTCGGCCAACAAAGGGAATTTTCTAGTTGGAAATCTCGCTTTCGCCGCTCGTCGGCCAATCCGATAATCATCTGAGCAGCAGCAGCAGCAGCAGCAGCTGGACCGCTGCCGCTCGACGATCACCTTTGCGTGCAATTGTGTGTCTGCCAGTGTGTGTGCATGAACTTCGCTCAGGTGCTGCGATTCCTGTTGGTCTTTTGTGGACTCGTTTGCGCCTGTCATCCGGTCTTCCCATTCGTCGGGCGACCCGTACAAGGCACATCTCGACACGTCTGGTTTTTTTGCGCTTGCACACGGCGGTCATTTCAGGTGGCCAACACGCAACCTCGCACGCACGTATCTGACACTTGCGTCTCATTCGTGCTGCTGCACCGTTCTTCCATCTCGTCACCATCCTACTTTGTCTTAAGTGGCGAGCTTATTCTGTCCTCGCCTTTGCGACACCTTGGTGGAGCGCTCACCGAATCTTCTGCCCTCCCTATCTCGCCGCTCGTTTCGTAATCGCCCACCAAGCAAAGAAAGGGCCGGCTCAACCCCGTCCTTCTTCCTCTTCGTTTCTTCATCCCTCGGACGACCGCATTGGTTTGCTGGTCTCCTTTCGCTTCAACGCCGTTTTTTATCTCGCTCGCAGCCCCCAACTCATCGCCGCACGTACCATATACGCGCTACCGTCAAACTCGAGGCCATTCCACGTATGCCTGGTCCGCAACTTGCGCTATAGCACCCGACCCGACCATCCTCCCATTGTAAATCTCAACCCTCTCCACCGGCCCACTCGTACTCTTCGGCTGCTCGTGTCTGACGTAGCGACGCAGTAGTACTTTACGGTCCCTTCTCGGCTTATCGCTTCGTCTTGCAAGCTCCTCCCGCTTGCTATTCAGCTGCCGCCATGTCGACCTCTTCCACCTCGTCCTACAGCAGTGGCACCTCGTCCATCGGCATCTCTGCACAGCCACTCTCGCTGCCAAAAGTCATGCTCAGGAGACTCGCTCGTGCCGCATCACAGAACCCGATCGAGGTGATCGTCACGATCTTCATCATCGTCACTCTCGCCTACTTTCAGCTGCTACATGCCGTCACGCACTCCAACTTCTTCGAGCCCATCTCCATCGAGGCCACCAGCTTGGCCTCCAGCTCCTCGTCTGGTCTCTTCAAGTGGGTCAGCACTGGCAACAGGAAAGTGGACGCTGCGCACATCGCCCCCTCCACCGCTACTCTTGCTTCCGATGCAGACACTGTGTACGTCCGAAAGGCCGGCGCCGCTAATCTCTGGCAACCTCTCAGCCAATTGGCTGCCCACAAAGGTGTCGAAGACACAGCGTCGTTGATCGACTCGTCTGCTCAGACTTTCTTCGTCGAGCCCGTCCTCCTGACCAGCGCGAGGGAATCCTACATGGCCTCTCAGATTCAAGACTCCATCTTGCCCGCGCTCTCCAATGACCTCGTCCGCAACATCATCGGCCCAGATGCAAGCGCCACTCTAATCAAAGACGCCAGCTCGCAGCACTCGGCTTTCGTCTTTGGCAAGTCGTTCGCCGACTCATCGGACAACAATGCAGCGAGCGACGCTGTGCCTCGTAACCAGTTTCTGAGCAACATCGTCGATCCTTCGCTTCTGTCAAAGTCGCTCTCCTGGGCGACCAGCATCGTCCCGAAACCCGCTGCCGTTGCCAAGGCTCCGGCTGCCGAGCTCCAGGAGCTGTACGACGGTCTCCGTGTCGTACCTCTCGTCCCCGACGGCGAATTCAACCCGTATGCCCCCAACAACCTCAAAGCGAAGCGCGGCGCCATCAACAGTAACGAGGAGATCCAGCGCATTCGATGGATGGCCTATGCTGTCAAAGCTCTCGTCATCCGATTCTGGGCCCTGCTGAAGAAGGCCGACTCTGCCGACATTTTCGTCATGCTTTCGGCCTACATCCTCATGCACGGCACATTTGTCAACCTCTTCCTCTCGATGCGCAAATTTGGCTCCAACTTTTGGCTCGGCGCCTCAGTCCTCATGTCGTCTACCTTTGCTTTTCTACTGGCCATCACCTTTGCCTCGCTGCTTGGCGTCACCGTCGATCCCATCTGTCTTTCCGAAGCGCTACCCTTCCTCGTCATTCTGGTCGGTTTCGAAAAGCCCTACCTGCTAACCCGCGCCATCTTCACGCATCCCGAGATCACCCCTTCCGCCAGCTCGCTCTCCAATCGCGAGCGCTCCGAGCTCATCCTTAGCAACCTCGACCAAGCTGCCAAGCCCGAGATCGGGACGCTAGGTAAGACACCCACCGGCGCTACCAACGGTGCTGCCGCCGTGTCGCGCGAGGAGTCCTTCGTTCGCGCCCTCACCGAGCGTCTGAAGAGCGAGAACAGCTTGCGTTGGGCTGAGCCCACCCCGATGCCCGCCCACGAGATCGTCGTTTCGGCCGTCAACCGCGTTGGGGTGCCAATCATCCGCGACTACCTTATCGAGATCGCCGTGATGGCTGTCGGAGCGACCAGCGGCGTCAGTGGCCTCCGCGAATTCTGCCAGCTCGCCGCTCTCATCCTTCTCTTCGACTGCATCTTCCTGTTTGCTTTTTACGTTTCCATCCTTACCGTCATGGTCGAGGTGCACCGCATCAAGGTCAAGCGTGGCGTCCGCAAACCCAAGGTCAGCGCCGATCTCAGTCTCGATTCCGACTCGCCTCCCGCCAGCCCCGCTTCGGACGGCTCGACGTCACGAGACTCGAGCCCTACGCCTTCCAGCCGCCCTCTTTGGAAGAAGGTGGTTCACGCCATCCTCGGCTCCGCGCCATCCGAGAAGCGTCGCAAGTCGGAGAACCCACTTGGTCGCCTCAAACTGCTTCTCATCACTTCCTTCCTCGTCCTGCACTCGTTCAACCTGATCTCGACTCTCACCAGACAATCGGCCATCACTCGTCACCACGCCACCTACGAGCCCTCGCCCTACCAGATCGTCGCTGAGCAATCGACCATCTTTGGACCGGCCGCCTCGTCGGCCATCGCTCCTCTTCTCGATCAGCTGTCGCATTCGCAGCCTGGTGACATCGACCTTGTTGCACGCATCTCGGAGCCGGTCATCCTAGTCCTGCTCGAGGCCAACGAAGCCGTCTCCTCCACCCGCAGCACCCTCGCCAATGCGGCTCTCAACGCCTCTGGCGTCTACGCCCAGGCCACCTCTGCAGGTGTACGTCCCGTGCCCGTTGGCCGTGGAAGCTCGTCGCTTGCCGTTCTCGACAGTCTTATGAGTGGCTGGACAGTGATTGTTGGCGATCCCGTCATTAGCAAGTGGATGTCGCTCGCTCTCGGTATCAGCATCTTCCTCAACGCTTACCTGCTCAAAGGTATCGCAACTGGAAACGCAGCTCTCGGCGAAGGCAATGCCGCTGGCGCTGCCGCATACGCTGCTGCCCGCTTCATCGGCGCTCATCTCGATAGCGAGGCAAAGGCCATTGAGGAACACAGCGAACGCACCCGCAGAAGATGGAGCACACGTCAAGAGAACGGCCGACCTGGAGTTCAAATCCGCGGACACAGCGCCGACGGCATTTCCGAATATCACAACCGTCTCGCCCAAATGTCGGCTGCGAAGGCTTCGGCACCTCTCTCCAAGTTGATCAGCGACAACGACAAGCTTGCTTCGAAGGACGCATCTTCCGAGGGTGCTGGCGCCAACGCTGTTCCTGCCGAAGCCGTCAAGCCTGATGCCGTGTCAGCGATCAAGCGACCCGACGTTCCCGTCAGTTCAGACGGCGATGGTGCTGTTACGACTCCTGGACAGCGTGGACAGCAGATCCGTCTGCAAGATGCTACGTATGTTGGACCCGACGGCGAAGCCGTCGTCCGCCCTCTTGAGGAGCTCATCGATATCTACGCAGGTGGTGCCGGCGTCTTCTTCCTCACCGACGAAGAGGTCATCACGCTCAGTCAGAAGGGCAAGATCGCTGCTTACGCTCTCGAAAAGGTTCTTCAGGACAATGAAAGGGCCGTACGTGTCCGACGTGCCCTCGTCTCACGAGCCTCGGCTACCCAGACTCTGGAGACCTCGCTGCTGCCACACCGAGATTACGACTATGCCAAGGTGATGGGAGCGTGTTGCGAGAACGTTGTTGGCTACATGCCACTCCCTCTCGGAATTGCCGGACCGCTCAACATTGATGGACAGGTGATGCCCATTCCCATGGCCACGACCGAAGGTACTCTGGTTGCTTCTACTTCACGAGGATGCAAGGCTCTCAACGCCGGCGGTGGTGTCACGACGGTGCTGACGCAGGATGCCATGACTCGCGGACCGGCGCTCGAGTTCCCGAGCATCGTGCAGGCGGCCAAAGCCAAGCGATGGATCGACTCGCAGGAGGGTGCGCAGGAGATCAAGGCAGCCTTCGACTCGACCTCGCGCTTCGCCCGACTCTCTGCGCTGCGCTGCGTGCTGGCTGGCCGAACGCTTTACGTCCGCTTTGCCACCTCGACTGGTGATGCCATGGGTATGAACATGATCTCGAAGGGTGTCGAAAAGGCGCTGGGTATGATGACGGAACTGCACTTCCCCGACATGAAGGTGCTCTCGCTTTCTGGAAATTATTGTACCGACAAGAAGCCCGCTGCGATCAACTGGATCGAGGGTCGGGGCAAGAGTGTCGTCGCCGAAGCGGTGGTACCAGGCAACGTGGTTCGTTCGGTGCTCAAGTGCACCGTGCGTGATCTGGTCAACCTCAACACCAAGAAGAACCTGATCGGGTCAGCCATGGCTGGTTCCGTGGGTGGATTCAACGCGCACGCAGCCAACATCCTTACGGCCATCTACCTCGCCACGGGACAAGATCCAGCACAGAACGTGGAATCGTCCAACTGCATCACGCTCATGGAGGCTGTCAACGACGACCAGGATCTGCTGATCACCGTTTCGATGCCAAGTATCGAGGTTGGCACGGTGGGTGGTGGAACTGTGCTTCCACCGCAGCGATCGATGCTCGAGATGATGGGGATCGCAGGTGCTCACTCGACCACGCCCGGTGCCAACGCGCAGAGACTGGCGCGCATCATTGCTGCCTCGGTGATGGCAGGTGAGCTGTCGCTCATGGGTGCGTTGTGCGCAGGACATCTGATCCAGGCGCACATGAAGCACAACCGATCCGTGCCATCGACGCCGGGCACGATGACGCCGTTGCCGAGACCCGAGACTCCCAAGCACTTTGCGGCATCCATGACGCCTCTGGTCGCACCGCCTGTGGGACAGTCGAATCGTGGGTCACCTACAGGCACAAGAACCATGTCGATGACCAACCTCTCGATCCCAGCGTCGGATAGTACTGGTCGAGCATCATCACTCACATAGATTTGGTTTTCCAAGGAAAAGGATGTCACTCGTCCTCACAGTCATACCGTGTAAATATCCAACAACGTCATTATCATACATGCAATTTTGTTCCGACATTCAATGACCGAAGCCGTGGGCAGAGGAGAGGGAATCGGCTCCTACTTTGGAATGATCTTTGAGCTGTGGTGCGCTTTCGTAGACGATGTTCTGAGGTGCTGCTCTTGTGTAACCTGAAGATTTGCCTTTGAAGCCCAGGAATTGGATGCCGGACTGATCGCCACCGAGGGAGGATTCGACAAAGATGGTGACGGAATCGGTGTTGGACCATTTGACGGGTTGGAGGGGGAAGCTGATGACTTGTGCGGTGTCTTGGACTGTGGGTATGCTGGATAGGGTTGTTGTAGTTTTGGCTTCGGAGAGGGAAGAGATGTCGTCGAAGGTGAGGGAGGATTCGGGGAGGTTCTTGTAGAGCTTGATTGTGGAAGGTGTGAGTTCTGGTTGCGAGGAGGGTCGGAACAGGAATGTGGATAGTTTGACGGAGGAGGTGAATGGGATGTGGATGATGAGCTGATCGTCGGCATCGGAGATCACTTCGGGTTGTGGGTCTGATCGATGTTCCCAGGACTTGATGGTGAGCGCAGCACTGCCGGATGTGGTCTCGTTGAGCGCGACGACGCGATCGCGGTCGATGGAGGAGAAGAGGAGATCCTGATCGCCTTGGTCTGCTTTCACGTGCGAATCATCGTCGTGATGATGATCATGGCCACATGGACCGGAGTGCGAGTGGTTGTGGGACATGACTGCGGTGGGGACTGAGATGGGAAACTAACGTTGGTGGCCAAAGTCAAGGTGTACAGGATCGTCTTGCAAGGTGTTGGTCTCTGCGCAACAGCCAATGTGGAGCTGCCGACTCGATCTAACAACATTGTAATTTCTGCGGCATGCCGCGACTGCGCTATATGACATCACTCGACCATCTCTTATGGCCGGACTGCTCGGGCCTTGTGATCAATGCTTCGTGTTGCAAAATTTGCATCATCGAATGTTTCTTCTTAGTGCACTCGAACGTGGGCATCGTCGGAGAGAGCATGTTGTTTATTGACGTAGGCGTAGCAGTGTGATGCAAACAGAAGCGCTCGGTACCTTTGGCGAGAGAATGTTGAGCCGGAGTACGAAAAGCTCGTGACTGTTCAGGGTCCAACGAGAAGCAAACGCACACAAAAGTGACTGCTGAATGACGGAACCGGCTGCTTGGCACAGAGTCTGCAGCGTCTGTCAAAGTGCTTTGCAGTGACGGCTGTTCGGATGCCACATTCCGATTCGGCTTCGATCCACGCAAAGCTGAATCCCAAGCCGACAGGTGGTAGGCCTGCAGGATGTTGATGCCGTTAGCGAGAGGAAACTCGGCGGTTGGCTTAGCCTTCTCCGTCGAGTCGCCCGAGGCCTGTCCGCGCGCATCCTCCTCTTTCTCCTCCTGATATCGTCTGGCACGCTCCTTCCACCTCTCTTTTTGCAGCGTCATCACCATCATCCCTTGGTGAGTCGTGCCTCACCATGACAACGTCGCCTAGCGGTATTCACCACAGGCATCGCGACTATTACTCGGAGAACTCGCCCATCCCTTCCATCCAGCGCTTCTTCAAGAAGGGTCTCTCAGAAGTCATTGCCAAGCGCAACAGCATCGATTCCGACTCTGAGCAAGAGGACGCCGATCATCTGGCGGGGGTAGGAGGACAACCTTCGGACCAGCTCGACGGTCAAACAGCTCGTGCTGACCAAGGTCAAGGGGACCAGAACAGGTCGAAGAAGAAGCGCTTCTCTGATCTATTCTCGTCTTCATCGAGCCAGGCCAAGGACATTCAATCTCAAGATAGCAATAGAGCCGATGCTTCGGACGACGACAGCAACGCAGAAGAGGCATATCAACATCCTGACAAGGCAGACAAGGCGTACAAACGAAGTCGTAGACCCCGCAACGTAAGAGACCCTGTCACCGGACGCAACACCTGGGTCCATGATGTCGGCAAGCGCGAATACCGTCAGACGCTAGCACGAGCCGAAGCTGGTGACAAGCGCGGCTCACAAGAGGTGCTTCGCTCCAACCTCGACAGCAACGTGACTTCCACGGCATTCCCTCCCTCACCGCCGTTGCCTTCTTCCGTTCATCGGATAGATCCCCGTCTTGTCCTGCTTTTCGGCTTCTGGTCTCTACTCACAGTGCTGAGACTTGTTCCTGGGTGGATCAGTGTATTGCTGAATGCCTGGCTACTGTGGTTCGGATGGAGAGTGTTTCTGTCGCAGTCCGAGGATCAAAGGTGGGATAGAGAACGACGCCGAGGCGAGAAAGCTCGATTGTTCGACGAGTCCGAGGACACTGAAGGCGATCTTGCAGCGAGTCGAGGCATTACCGAAGGAGCAGAATGGTTCAATGGCATCCTGGAAGCGCTTTGGAGTGTTATGAATCCAGAGCTTTTCTCGTCGCTAGGAGGCACACTCGAGGATGTCATGCAGGCCTCGATACCTTCATTCATCCATTCCGTCAAGGTAGAGGACCTCGCACAAGGATCGACTCCCATACGCATCACGGGTCTCAGGATTCTTTCAGACGCTCATGCTGGTAGTCTGGCAAGCGACATGAGGAGAGAGAAGGGTCGACGACGTACAAAGCACGACCGAACAGACGATCAGCCTGCCCAGGACGAGCACGAGCAGCAAAAGGCTGAAAACAAGACAGGTGATGACGACACCGACGACAGAGGCGAATACTACGTCAACCTCGAACTTGGCTTTGTTTATCGAGCTCGTCCTACATCTCACGGCGTCGGAGGCAAGAGTCGCAATGCTCATCTCCTCATCAAGTTCTGGATCGGCGCACGCAAACTGTTGATGCTTCCTTTGCCGGTCTGGGTCGAGATCAAAGGCTTCGTGGGCAAAGTGCGTGCGCGCGTCCAGCTCACTTCGGACCCTCCCTTCATCAAGCATGTCACATTTACCTTTTGCGGACTGCCTCGAGTGGGCATCGAGGTGGTGCCGCTGCGTATCAACACTGCCAACATACCGTTCATATCGAGCTTTATTGAGAGCTCGATCGATGCGGCTGTTGGTGAATTTGTCATGCCCTCGTCGCTCACTCTGGACGTGGGCGAGATGCTGATGGGCGACAACATCAAACGCGAAGTCTTGACTGTCGGCGTTGTGGTGGTGCGCATTCATTCGGCCACCGACCTAGAAAAGCAAGACGTTCGAGGCTCATCGGATCCCTACTGCACACTCAGCCTCGCCAAGGTGGGCAAGATTCTGTACAGCACAAGGGTGGTGCTCAACGAGCTTTCTCCGCGGTGGGAGGAGCGACACGTGATCCTGGTGACAAGGGAGCATCTGGATTCGGATGACAAGGTTTCGATCGCGCTGTGGGACTCGGATCGCTTCTCGCAAGATGACATGCTCGGTCGTGCCGAAGTGGATCTGGTTGCTCTGGCAAGGCATCCGAACAAGCTCTTCGGGCGGTCTGATACGCTCAACGGACTGGACAGGGAGAGAACCAAGCAGGGCAATATTCATTGGAGTTTGGGATTCTTCACCAAGGCACCGTCGATGCGCGATGGATCGCCGCCCAACTCTGTGCAACGCAAGGAGAGCATCGACGACGAGGCAGAGCACGATGGAGGCGAGATGGAAGACAGGTCTATCGAGACCAGCAGCCCACTCTCGCAAGACGTGGTGGATCGGGAGAAGAATACACAGACGCGCAACCAGACGACTGCGGTGGATTTCGAGCCTCCCGATCCTAGCCTGCCGTCAGGCATCTTGTCAATGCAGATTCACCACATTGCAAACCTGGAGGTGGCAGATGGTCACACTTCTATGCGATCGCGCAAGAAGGACGAGCCGGGACAGGATGTCGAGAATGTCGAGACAGAAGACGACCCGGATCGCGCGCCTTCGGCGTACTGTCGCATCATCTTGAACGACGAAGTGATCTTCCAGACGCGGACCAAAGCTCTGAACGCGAACCCGTTCTACAATGCAGGAACGGAACGATTCGTTCGCGACTGGCGAAGGACGTTGATCATGGTGGTCGTGTACGACTTCCGAGTACGCGAGGCTGATGCCATCCTGGGTGTTGTGCCGATCAAATTGTCGGATTTGTTCAAGGAAAGCTCGCAAGTGACGCGGTTCTTCCCGTTGGCCGGTGGGGTGGGTCACGGCCGCATTCGGCTGTCCTTGCTCTTTCGTCCGGTCGAGCGCACCAGTCGGGAGCCAAAAAGACTGGGATGGAACATTGGCACTGTCCGGCTGCTGTCGTCTCCTGTGGCGACCGACTTTGACGAAAGCAAGGGCGCGAGCGGGCACGATTTGCACTTGGTTGCGCTGCGGGCTGCGACGCTGGCGGGCAGCGCCAAGATCGCCGCGAGCAGAGCGCGATATGTCGACAGAGGGTCGAAGGCAGCTGTTGAGTGGAGATTGGACGACAGAGAGCTGCCGTTCAAGGTGCCTGCACGCCGAAGGTATTCTGCACCTTACGTGATCGAGTTCCGCGCACTCTCAGCGCTTGGTAAGCGCAAGACAACACACATGTGTATCGTCTGGCAGCAAGACTTGTGCGATGACGAGGTGGTCGACGTTCAACTGCCCATCTGGCGGCCCAAGCCGGGGCATGACTTTCACCGCTTGCGTCAGAACTACCACGACTATCGCAACGAAGGCGAAACCGAGCAGTTGGGAGTGGAGAGAATTGGGTACCTGCACGTCAAGATGCAGTTCAAGTCTGGGTTGGGCAAGATTCACACGCAATTCGACAACAACCCAGGGGCCAAGTCGGTGATGGATGCATGGCGGTGTTGTGTTGCGTTGGGGTTGAGGAGCGTCAGTGGAGACTTTGCCAACTCGAGGACGAATACGGCTGGATACCTGGAGGACATGGACGAAGCCGAGCACGTCGAGCCTGGGGAGGGGAGTGACGATTCTGATACCAGCGACGAAGATGAGAGAGCAGCCGAAACACGCAGGAAGGAAGGGTCCCTGGGCGATTCTGAAGACCAAGAAGACGCCGAGGATGCGGGGGAGAACGAAGGGGCAGGGTTGCAGCGCAGTCGCTCACTTAAGCAAAAGTACAGCGACTGGAAAGCGGAAAAGGAGGAACTGCATCGTCAGCACAAGGGCATCAAGCAGTTCAAGCCTGTCAGGACGGTGTCGTGGTTGGGTCAGACGGCGAAAAGTGCAGGAGCGGGTCTGAAGGACCGTTTTGATCTGCAGGACAGGCGATCGCAACATGTCGAGACTGAGCTGTGAAGCTTGGCGGAGATGTGCAATGGACGTCACAGATCATGAATGACAGGCCGTGCCAGCATCTTGTGGAAGAGAGAGAATGCGTGTCTCGGTGTTTTTTGTTTGTTCATGTTGTTGCGTCGGCATCTCAAAAAAGGGTTTGTGCAAGCGAGAGAAAGAAAGGCGTTTGTGTTGTTCTTTTCTTCTTTCCTTTTTCGTCCACCGCCGAGCTGCTTGGACCGCGCTATTCCGCCGGCGGAGGGTTTATGCGGGAGAAATTGGGAATTATATGCACCTCGCAGATCAACACACGCTAAAACACAAAGGTTTCCGCTTCCTAAAGCGAGGTCATTGGGTGAAGGACACGAGTGGGCGGAGCAGGTTGTGAGTGGGAGTGATGGGTGTAAGCGTGGTAGAGTGTGGGACTGTGCGGTGGTCTGAGAAGAATCATAGTGCAGAGAGGAGCTGTGCAGAGGCGTTTAGAAGCTAGAGCCGCCTCATGCTCGCGGATCGAGGCCCGGTTAGGGGCAGCGAATGCATATGTTGGTCGCATTGTTCTTCATGAAGCAGGTGTCATCGGAACTCCATTTTGACGCTCACTTCACAAATCCACATCCTTCTAATTGACGGCTCTTTGATCCGAGTTGCTTCGCAAGCTACACCTATATATCTCAGTCCTAGCATCGTCGCTTCCTCAAGACCGTCATCTTCCCGGACTTCCTATTCTCCCACATCCGTCTCGCCAGGCATCAGATTCCAACCCAAGATATCGTCCCCACCACTCACTCAAGCACGCAAAGTGTCCCCACCACCCGCTCAACCCTTGACATCTTGCCGCAAAATGGTTCGCTTTCTGTCGCTCCTCACCACCCTCGCCACTGTCTGCACGACGCTTGCTCTCGGCCAGGCCTCCAACGACAACCCAGCGGGTAAGACATTGTACGTCAATTATCCCAGCTGTTCGTACTACAAGTGTCAAGTGACCTGGACCGCCGGCAAACCCGCGTACGTCAACTGGGTCAACGCACCCTCCGGCGGACTCCGCATCCAGCTTGAACCACAGGACGGCACCACAGGTCTGCAGACCTACACGCTCACGGACAAGGTCGGCAGCATCCACGGCTGGAGCGACCACAAGTGCGACAACATGGGCACCGGCGAAAAGTGCGGACGCTTCGACTTTACTCTCCCAAGCAATGTGAAGCCTGGGTTGTACCAGATCGTGGTGACGAGTTTGGCCCACCCGAACAAGTACATGGGCTACACGGATACGGTCAAGGTGGTCAAAGCGAAGAGCGGCAAGGGAAAGAGACACGAGATGGACAGGTTGCAGGAGGATCAGAGCTGAGTACGCCGGGCAGCGGTTTGTGGTTCAGCAGACGGCAGCGAGGTTTGAGCTCGCATTGCTCCCCGCTACGTCTGATTCGATAATATAGAATGCATTTTCAGTCCCGGCCTTATCATTTTGGCTACGTGATGTGCTCGACCTTTGATGAGCAAGACTCCTCCCCATCAAAGATTCGCGCGAACGAGATACTTCTTGAGCAGAGCACTTCGTCGAGGAAGCCTCGCTGAACTCATACCGACCCCATGTCCTGACATCACTTTCTCGCAGTTGCAGCAGACTCGAGATTTTCAAGTCCCGTCCAAACCATCGAGCCGGACATACAAATCGCGACCGAGCCTTTGCACATTGAGCCACTGTCACCCGTCACAACACCTCCGGATCATCCCTCGCCCTCGCCGCCTCCACTTGATCCTCGTCCATCGCACTGGTCATCAACCCACCCTCACTACCCCTCCTTGCCGCCGGCTCATCAAACCCGACCGAGCTGCCACCCCTACTCATCCGTCTCGACTCGATCCCACTGCCGACCTCGAAACCTTGCACGCTGGGAGGCGCACGCATGCTGCCCAGCGTCTCGGTGCTGTCCACGCTTCCGCGTCGCGATGGCGAGGCGACGGGGTATGCGACGTCGCTGCCGGTCGGACTGAGTGGTGGTGAGTTGGTGCCTGTGGTGGCGGCGGTGCTGCCTGCTCTGCTGACGTTGTCGAACGCAGCGCTGCCGGGGCCAGCGCCGCCGAGACGCGCTGAGAGTCCCGGTGCGAAGGCGAGCGGGGTGGATCCGCGCGCAGGCAGGGTGAAGCTCGGGATGGTGGTTCCGCCTACACCTGCTTCGCCGCCCATGAGTTCGCGTTCGCGCATGCGTTGTCGTTCGATGTATGCGGCGCGGAGAGCCACTTCCTGATCATCAGCTGTACCGGCGCTTCCCGGACCTCCTCCACCCGTGCCTGTCGACGAGACGCTGCCAGCTTCGGAGGGTGCGACGCTCGCCACATTGCGACCCAGCATGCTAGGTCCTGGACCGAGCCTCATGGCCGAGTTGAACGCTTCGGATGGCGCATACCCCACCGACAAGGGCGGTGACGATCCACGTGCTGATGCAGAATACGACGAGGACCCAGCTGTCGCCGAAGCGCTGCTAGTAGGTATACCGTACCGATCCGATATACCGCTTCGCGACGGTGTCGTCTCGATGAAGGGGCTTGTCGGTTCCGAAGGCTCCAGCATGCTTGCTTTGGGCGAAGCTGGCGGTTGCACGGCGACTGAAAATACGGAAGCTTCGCCTGGACTCTGCGGTCGAAAAGCCGAGGTTCGCGGATCGAGCTCTGGAGGTACACCGGGCACGGAAGCGCCACCTTCACCAAATGCACCTACGCTCGTGTGACCAGTCTCGAGGCTCTGAGCACCTCCATCTGCGTCGGAAGAGGTCTGCATGTCTGTATCGGCTCCATGCGAGTCGATGACTCGGCCGGGCAGACGAATTCCCGGAGCGAGCTGGTCAGCGTTGGGGATGCGCTCAAGGTTGTCGGCGGTGAGGGCTCGACCACGCCTGTACTCGGCGACCGGATCGTAGGGCTGACCAGCATCGGGCGGTGGAGCAAATTGTGCGCCAGTCGAGGAGCTGGTAGCGTCTGCGGGATAGTTGTTGTTGTTGGAAGGCGGTCGTTTGTGAAGGTGCGAGGTTTTGTTGTATTTGCGTGCGGAAGAGTCGTCTCGCATCGGCTCGTCTTGCGTCATGACGCTGTCCGGCAAGGTTTGAGACTGTGCGTTGAGAGACATTGCGATTCGAAACGTTGGCCAGGGAACAGTGCAGTTAGATTGGCTGTAATAGGCGGATATGCTGCTGAGCAACGAGCTCGCGCTGTGGATTGACGGATGCGATCAATGACCAAGGTGTAGTGATCAGGACGGGGGGAGAAAGTGTTGAAGGGATGAGGAGAGAAAGCGAGCTAGAGAGGTCGAGCCGTGTTGGACGTACAGACAGACGGTATCGCGTGTGCGCGGTTTCAGAGCGTAAATTCTGTTTCTCTGCCACAGCACCCAAACCCAAAAGGTCCACACTCAAATCCGACTGTGCTTCTGCCCTGCAACCAACGTCACGGCGCACGGTTCCGATTTGTTGCATGACCTAACATTTTCTGCGTCGTGCTCCATCACCTTTTCATCGCAAGAATACAGCCTGATCGGTGTGTATCACCGCATTGTAGCCTCATCCGAATGACAACACGGCATGACGATCACGTTGAACACAGCAGCTCGACATCATGAAGGGCTCTGACTGGCTAGTTGATGGTACGCTCTCATCTAGTGCCCTTATCTTTCGGCCGTACAGGGCGCTGCGCTACTCCACATCGAAGCTGAAACTCCGAATTCCGAGGTTTAAGCTTTTGGAATTTTTTATTTGATGTTGAGCCTCCTGCACGACATTCCACCTCTCCATCTTGCCTCTCTCCTCTGTGCATCCTTACATACCCACACCATGCCGACCGACACGAAGCGAAAAGCTGACAACGACGAGCCGAGGGCTGATGGTTCCGACTACGACAGCGATGGGTCCGAAGAACCCGACTTTATCAATGTCGACTTTGACTTTCGTGCACCCGAAGAAATCGACTTCCTAGCCCTCAAGCGACTCTTGCAGCAGCTCTTCTACACGCACAACACCAAGCTCGATCTATCTTCACTAGCGGATCACATCGTCAAGACATCCACCGAACAAGGCGTTGGTACGACCATCAAGATCGTAGATGATGAGGACCAAGATCCATACGCGTTTGTCTCGGCCATCCCATTGTCGAGCGACAAGAAGCAGGGATTGGAAGCCGCAAACAGCCTCACCAAGTACCTCTTGGAAGCATCCTCGAAACCCACAAGCAAAGCGGTGCATGATCTCATCAAGAGCGCTGCATCCAGCACTTCCACAAACCCGCCCGTCATCGCAGTGCTTCACGAGCGTATGGTCAACATGCCTCCCCAGGTAGCACCACCTCTCTACAAGATGCTGCTGGAAGAGGTGCGAGCGTCCCTCTCATCCTCGTCCGCCACACAACCCTCGCACTATCTCTTCTTTTCGCGTGTCTTCTCGGCTGATGCATTCTCGGACGACGAAGCCATGGACGAAGACGACGACGACGAACCCTCCGGTCTGGCAGGCGCGAGGAAGAGGAAGGCGAAACTGGCACGTCGTGAAGCAAAAAAGGCTGGTGCCAAGAAGGATGCTCCCAAGGCACGTGTTATCTCGGACGGCATGGCGTTGGCTGGATCATCGGACGAAGAGTTGGGTCTGTTCCACCCAGAAGATATCGCCATCTCCAAATTTGCGAGCAACTCGATCACGTATCGCTTCCCCCCACCTCCCGATGCCTCGGACAGCTTTGAGGCTCCTCTTTTCGGACGAATTGCGCTGGTACCCAACGACAAGATGGACGCGCTCTTGCAAAAGATCGAGGCTGACCTGTCGATGCCTATTTCTCAGTGACAATGCAAACTTTCACTCTTGGCGCCGAGCTGCGAGTGTGCTGAAGCCGGAATGTGATTGCGGATGGAGAATGCTGAGTAGGTGGGTGCTGATCAGGATCGTTCCGTTGGCGCCGAAGGACTGCTCAACTGGATCGCCTGAGTTTCTGTCATTTTAGGTGATTCCTTCGGTCGTGTCGATTGGGAAAAGAGCGACAAGCCGATGGTCCACAAGATGCCTACTGTCGACACGAACGGCACTCGATACCTGATCAGTGCGATCACGTCAGAAGGCAAATTTGGGTCAGCGGCAAAATCTCCACGAGCCCGGCAAAAGATTGCGAAAAGGCACTTACTTCAAAGGCATGTATCGGAAGTTGACGAGCTGTACCAGCGGCCACACCTGCCAATTCGCTAGCAGCGCGGGGATGTACATTTCGCGGAACTTGTCCTTGACGCCGTCGGTGCTTCCGCGTTCCATGTATCCCATCGCTCCGACGAACATTGCTAGACCGAACGGCGCACTGTGCAGAGAAGATGATGCGAGGTGTGAACGAGTGAGACGGTTGTCAGTCAGACCAAACTGCCTGGGAAGTGAGGATGATCGCTGGAGATGACTTACAAGACGAGCTGATCCATCAGAAGACGATTACCCAGAGCTCTGAAGCTGACCTTGCCTGCCGCTGAAGCCGCGCTCGCTACTGCCGATGCTGCTCCCGTACCCGCCGATGAACTCCTCAGAGGGAATCGGAACTCCAAAAATCTGTTCCACTCTGCCAGCAGCGGCGCCATTCCGACGTTGAACGCCATAAATCTGCCGGATCTCGCCAAGTCCCATCCCTTGGCTTGTGAAGAATCTGCTGATGCATCGCTAGCCGTGCGTCCTTGCCTCTCGAGCTCCTGTTGGCGCGATTGAGCTTGACTGATGCGTTCCAACGTTTGCGCTGCACCGTCGGCGATCACGCCGAGAGCACCGTTGGTGACGGCGAGCGTGAGCCATGGTCGACGCTCAAAGTTGCGCGCGTACATGGCGCTGAATGCCTGGCGGTACGACATGGTGGCCTCTTGCTTGTAGCTGAGGGAGCCTTGACGTGCTGCTTGTTGTTGCAAAGTTGAACTTGACACTCTGAGATGTTGTTCGCGGTGAAATGTAATACTGATCGGGACGAATGGAAGGCGTTTTGTCGGAGGAACTGCCAGCTGATCGATCGTGAGTGGGTGTGATGGCGAAGAATGAGGTGTTGGTTCTGTTCAGATTATGGAAAGCTTTCCAGCCTCGTGTGGAGGCATGACTGACTGACTGATAATCAGCCACTCTCGTTTGTTCTTCTTGCGACGCGCTTAGACCAACTCGATACTGCCTACGGACCCTTCCTTCCCTCTGACAGCCCGCAACTCATCGCTGATTCACTTTGCACCATCCTCGCAGTGATCCCACTCAGCAGACTGTCAGCTGCGGCCACTGCCACGTCCCAAGCTGTCTCTGCGATTCTCCCGTCACGTGGTTCCGGCGCCATCGGCTGGTCACTTCATCCCACGTTTCAACTCCACTATGCCACCCAAACGCAAAGCCTCTCCCGACCCCTCCTCATCCACCAATGCTGCGCCAACCCGCATTTCACACTGGCTCATGAAAGCGGAGCCAGACACGCGTCTCGAGCGCGGTTACGACGTCGCCTTCTCCATCGACCACCTCTCCGCCTGCAAAACCACAAAGTGGGACGGAGTACGCAACCCCGAAGCCCGCACCATCATGAAGGACAAGATGCGCTTCGGCGATCGCGTCCTCTTCTACCACTCCAACACCAAAATCCCCGGTGTAGCGGGTCTAGCCAGGATCTCCTCGCAAAAAAGCTATCCGGATCCATCGGCGTTCGACAGCAAACATCCGTATTTCGACGCGAAGAGCGATCCGGAGCAGCCAAAGTGGTGGTTGGTGGATGTAGAGTTTGTGGAGAAGCTGCAGAGGTTGGTTCCGTTGGGGTTGCTGCAGAAGTTGGCGGGGAAGGGCGCGGATGGCAAGGCGTTGAGCGAGGGAGAGAGGAAGGATGTTGGGTATTTGACGGATGAGCAGTTGCAAGCGATCAGAGGCATGGCTTTGTTGAACAGAGGCAGGCTAAGTGTTCAACCTGTTGAGGAGGTTGCATATGATGCTGTGATCGCCTTGAGCAGGAAAGGCGGATGGGAGGGATGGGTTGGAAAGTGGAACCCCAAAGTCGGTCCATCCGCAGCAAAGGCGAGCAACGAAACAACCACGACGACGCCCGCGTCAGCGTCCGCTGTCAAGTCGGTTCAGAACGGCAAGAAGAGCAAGCATCATCATAGTGCACCAGCTGCCAAAACAGCCAAGTCGAACGCAACGAAGAAGATCAAGACCGAAGAAGATTCAAAACCAGCACCCGCCGAAGGGCTCCGTCGATCCTCCCGTCGACAGAGCGGGGTGTGATCGACCTGTCATTGTAACCTGACATCCCTCTCAATGGCTTGTCAACGGTTCATTTCCTCAGTCACGGGACAGCAGACTATATTCGTAATACCTTTGTATCATGTACATTACCCATTACCTTCAACGTGTACAAGAGTATCACGTCGACAGACACCCGTGCTAGCAGAGATCGAGGACTTCGAAATGTGCGTTCACCAACGAACCCATTCCTCCACTGAACAAGAAAGATGGGCTGATACGGGAGCGCTTTTGTCTTGTGTCGTTTGTCTTCCCCAATTCTCAGTTCCCCTCCACCCGCACCTGTACAGGCCGGATCAAGGGGAGGCAATGATGAAACGAAACCGAACATCTTTGAACTCGATCCACTCGAAAAAGAACGAGAGGTCGCAAAGAGCAGTCTCTGCCGAAGAGGGGGTTCTGTGAAGGAAGAATGATGGAAGGAACAGTGGGAAGAGAGGTAATAGATGGGAGCCGTGACAGGGGTCGAATCTCACAAAGGTGCAGAGGTTGATGCTAGCACAGCTGTTGACGTTTTAGCAAGGGGCATTGGGAAGGTCGGTCGATGAGGCGCACAGCGTGGCAGATGAGGTTGCGATCTTTGATGCAGCGTCTTGTGATGGACAAGAAAGAAGTGACGGGGTTCGTGGGATTCCAACCTAAGACTCTGCGTGCTGCGGAGATTTTCTTCGCGTTCCCCGATCCAGCCAGACCACAGCAGACCCGATCCGAACCATCGTGGATCAACGCTCTCGAACCATCCTATGATCGCCCTTTCTTCCGTTCTCAACCTGGCTTCTCAAGATTCATTCCGCACCATCTCAAACAACATTCGAGCAGACACTTGACAGAGAGATTAGATGAGAATGCTTTCATTGCTGAGCCCTGAGCAGACCATTCGATCTCGCATCAGAAGGACAGAATAGATTTTGTGTCTCCTCCCGAAGGAAGTGACGAAATGCTTTGAGCCAGAAGAGCTCCGAGTCGCGGTTTTGGTGCGACCCGTATGTGTGTAGTTGAAAAAGAGAGAGAGTGAAGAAATGTGTGCTGCTACGCTTATGCATACAAAGCCGCGGGGGAGTATGCCACGCGGCTTGGCCCGATGGTGCTTACACCATCAAGTAAAAACAAGAGGGGATGAAAAAAGTTGGGGGAAAAAGAGGCTGTGAGCGTCTGGAAGGAGATGCGCAAGCGCAAATCACAGACGACGACCGCGGCGACCACCCTTTCTGCGGGTAGAGTCGGTGGGGACGGGGGTGACGTCCTCGATGCGGCCGATGCGCATGCCGGCACGGGCAAGAGCACGGAGAGCGGCCTGGGCACCAGGGCCGGGGGTCTTGGTGCCGGTACCACCGGTGGCACGGAGCTTGATGTGAAGGGCGGTGATGCCGACCTCCTTGCAGCGGACGGCGCAGTCCTGAGCGGCCAACATGGCAGCGTAAGGAGACGACTCGTCACGGTCAGCCTTGACCTTCATGCCGCCAGTGACACGGGTGACGGTTTCCTTGCCCGACATATCGGTGACGTGGACGAAGGTGTCGTTGAACGAGGCGAAGATGCTGTTGGGTGGTGGTAGTGCAAGAAAGGTAGCGGAAAGGTGTAAGTCCGTGTGCCTGCGAATGCTTACCGACCACATGAATACCAGCACGCCGTCATCGATGTCATCAACCAGGAATCTTCCATGAGCTTCCCATTCGACCATATTGAAAAGGCTCGTATCGCGCCTTGACCACCCACAGCTAGTTGCGAGCTGGGGTCTGCCTACGATGAGCACAGTATGCGCTTCACAGCCACCATACAATGCCATCGTGCAGCCAGATGTCACTCCAAGTATGAAAGCAACCTTGTTGCAATGATCCGTGCGTGACGTTCCAGTATCTGCCATCTCAATATCCTGCAAAGATTCCTCCTTCCAAGCAATCCTGCAGTCCTGACGTGTGCATGTGCGGCGTGCTGATAGATATGTGCCGGATGTATGTCGAAATGTATGGTAATACTTACTGAGCAACGCCGAAGACGAGCTCGCCCTCACCGACGTTGGGGCCGAGGGAAACCTCGTTGGTAGCAGCAGCACGAACCTTGGGAGCCATCTGTGGAAGTTGTCGAAATATTGCGTTGGCGTGAGGTACGAGTCGAAAGTGACAACGATGATGACAAAAGGTCGAAAGAGAGAGAGAAGTTTGCAACAAGTCGCGAATGGGTTAGAACTGGTTGTTCGATCGTGGTACGGATGTCGAGGAACGTTGGCCTGAGCTGTGCAGTACGAGTGACTGTGTCTGATGGTATGCTATCGCTATTGCCTTTGTCGCTGTTGAGGATATGCTTACCTTGATGTACGTGTGGTTGGTGTTCAGAGACGATGATGAGCAGCACCTGCGATGTTGAACCACACTCACAACAGCGAATCGAGATCTCGAATTCGATGTTAGTTCTTCCGCCAGCCAAGAGAGAGTCAATCATGTTTGAACACGCAAGGTCGCCATCTGCTGCCTCGATCTCCAGATGTGGAATCACAGAATTCAAGGACACTGGCGAAGTACCGAATTTCCGACCGTTTTTTGGACAATCACGTGAGTAGCCAGCTCGGCCGATCTATGCCCAGGGCAGGGCAAGGAAAGAAATTCGGTTCAAGACCGCGTTGGAAAAAAGCAGCCGCGAGGTCGCCGTCTTGGGCACGGGCAGCAGCATTTGGCAAAGTGAATGTTAGCCTGGCCAGAAGGACGACGCCGATTGTGGGTTCAGCACAGCGGGTCCAGTGCGGTGAGCTCGTCGACATCAACCTCTCCTTCCGACTCTACAGGAACACCTCACCACACACAGAGATCCGTCAAGATGGTAAGCATCAGCATCACCCTCGACACTCGGTACAGCAACAGCGACAGCACAGACATAGCATCAGCACGACATCGACACAGATGCAGCAATCGCAGAGAGCACAGAGAAGCAGAAACAAGCATGTACTAGGATGGCAGATTACGACTCAAGTGGGACACCATGTGGGATACTCGATCTACAGACCACGTCTTCGGACAGGTTGAAGGTTACGATTGACGCAAAAGCACATCGAGGACTGGAGGGAGATTTGTTCGATAGGACGCATCGGGAATGGTCCCTAATACCATTCACGCAGCAGGGATATGTCGCGTCAATAGCAGTTTAGGCTCTGCAGACATAGCATGGCAGCTCAAAGCCTTACAGACGAAAGTGACAGATGCACATGGGCCGATCAGCATTGCAAACATTCGCCAAGATTGGATGGTCACTGGGGCCAGTTCGATACAATCAATCAGGATACGGCGGGGAAGTATCCTCCAGGATAGCAGTGGATCTCGCAAGCAATATCTGAATGGCGGAGGATGGTTCACTGGTCGCCATTTGGTCGAACAAGGTCGTGATTCGTCATCTACAGCCACAAGCGAGTTACGCTATGCCTGGTTTGGATTCCGGGGAAAGGTGGCAGGACTCTTCGAACATGGATCACGCCTCTCTGCTTCTCTCGTCTCTGCTGCTCGTTGTTGCTCGACGAATTTACTCCGCATCTTCATCAGAAACCCATTCTGACCCACTTGCCCTCTTCCAACTTGCAACCGCTCATGTCCCAACAGCCTCAGCAGATTACCGACATCAAGAAATTCCTCGAGATTGCTCGCAGAAAGGACGCTTCGGCCGCCCGCGTCAAGAGCACCACCCGTGCCGACGGCAAGCAGGTGACCAAGTTCAAGATCCGATGCTCGCGCTTCCTCTACACGCTCTCGGTCGACGACAAGCAGAAGGCTGAGAAGCTCAAGCAGTCGCTTCCCCCTGGTCTCAACGTTGTCGAGATCGGCAAGCCCGTCAAGGGCCGCAAGTAAACACAGTCTTGCGCTCAGCCGGTTTTTCTCGACAGTTTCTTTGTACCAACAATCTCCAGCATCATCCTTCCTTTCAGCGCTGTCCGACTCTTTCCGTCTCGAACACGCATCAGTTCAGTAGCTTCAAGTCTGGATTAGCTCAAGCATTGAAGCCAACCAGACGGGAGAGTAACTACCACTTCGCACATCCACATCCAACCCAAAAAAGCCCTTTCTTCCAAGGGTCACTAGAGGGTCGTCACCCAACCCCGTTGTATCATTCACATGGCGAGACCAAACCTCGCACGCATACACACACCTCGCACCTCGTGATCAAGGTGTACAATTTGATCATATTCGTAAAGCAACTCTCAAAAAGCGTCAAGAATGACAATCTGGACGTGGCTGCGTGACGAAGTGTTGTGACACGGGCATGGATTCACACGCAGAGTTCTGTGGCAACACCGTGACGTTTGACAAGGAGGACAGAGTGCGATTTTGTTGGAACGCATCAAGGCTTGGGAAGGTACTTCAAGCTCTGAGGGCACGTCGACTTGGTGGTCGATTCAACCGCTTCGTAAAGACCGAAGTTGACCTGACCTCTGACGTTCCAAAAGTACCAGAATTCGTTCATCTCGCCCTTCTTGTTGCAGCCGACAAACGGCGTGGCACCGTGAGCGTTCTTGAGGGCCTGTTGGACCTGAACGAGTGTGTAGTTCTGGGACGAACTCGGGGTGATTCCGGCGGATTGGAGGATGTTGTACGTGGGACGTTCTTGGAACTTGTGAGCGATCTGACGGAAGTAGTTGAGAACGGCAAAGTCAGCCTGGGAGATCCAGGGGAGTTGGGGCTGGCATTGCGAACGCATGGTGGTGTAGCAAGTTCCGTGCTTGTTGTACTCGTGAGAGAGGAAGTCGGCACTGTCTCCATCGAGGTCTTTGAAGTAGGTCTGGTAGTAAGCGTACAGAGCAGGATCGTACTTTTGCATCACCGCCTCGATCTGTTCTCCCGTGTACTCCGGAATCCCACTGATGGAGGAGCAGAACTGAGGGTAGGTTCCATCGCAGTAGTCGGGCCACAGACCGTGGATGGTGGTGGAATCCTTGGGACCGTTGTTGGCCGGGTCTGGTGCATTGGTCGTCCAGAAGGAGGTGCTAAGGATGAGTCCGCTCTGCTTGCCACCGGAAACCAGGGCTCCGTTGAAGCAGCACGATCCGGCAGACGTGGGAGGGATGTCGTAGGATGCGTGGCAGGAGAGTTGGGTTCCGGCGCTGGCGCAGGCGGCGAGCTCTTGACCTTTGTTGGCGTACTGCTGACCGAGCTGGGCGAGCTGAGCCGGGTCGAGGTTTGAGAGCTGGTCGAGGAGCGGCTTGGCAGCGGCGGTGCTGGCGGCCGCGAGCACGGCCAAGGTAGCAGCAGTGAACTTCATTGTCTGTGACAGGGAAGACGAGGTAGGGTGTAGGTGATGGATGCCTTGATGATGAGGCGGAGGAGGGGACGGATCGTCAGAAGAGATTTATATGTTTGCAAACCAGCGGAGGCTCGTTGTGATACAGTGACCGTTTGGACGGCCAGACTCGATACGAACTTCGCCAAGAGACAAGTTCGACCAAAATCCTCTCGAGCCGTGCAGCCGCACACCTCGGCAATACGGTGCGATATAGTCTTCGTATTCCAGTCCGCGTTCCTGTTTGCTCTCGTTACAACCGTATTAACGGCGCGGAGAAGGAGGCACGGATGTCGGGAAAAGGCACCGGCAAAGGCGCATCAGAAGCGCAATCCGTCGACACGTTCCTGCTATCGTGCATCGAAGGGTTCATACAATCAAAGACACACAGTGTGACTGCAGTCAACCTCAGAGTGGCGGCAAAAGGGCGACGTGCATAATCGTGCGGGCAGCCGTGAAGCCAAAAAGGAGGATTTTCAGAAGAACTCGCTTCTGTCGGAAGGCAGGCCGCCGAACTGGACAGCAGCTGTTGGCAATTGATACTCCGTTCGCTTGTCAATCGAGTTAAACCCTTTTTCTTTCTTCTCGCTCGCTTGGCTTTGTCTTTTTCGAACAACGTTGATCGGACAAGACCGTGTTGTGCCTACGGTGCGGCTGCCGTTCAAGCGCTGTCTTCTGCGCCCCGGCAAAAATCAATGATTCCCACAAAATCGACGTGCAAGCGAAGTCTTGGAAAACGTCGCGAGCTGTGTCCACGTTCTTCTTCTGCCCACTCGTCCAGCTCGTCGATCCTAGCCAAGCACCCTTTCGCTTTCCCACGTCGGATCTTCTCGTCCGTCCCAGAGCGGCAGAAACTAGATCAACCGATCACGTTGTTCATCTCCGAGCATTCGTGCTCCTCCCACTTCGTTTGAATGTCGCGCAAATGTATGCCAGTCGCAACGTGTTCCTCCTTTTCCCCGCGTGTTGATCCTGCTATTGGCAGCTCTCGATACAACGTGCCCGAGCTGGCAAGTCTTCCCTCATTCACAAAACTGACAAGCTAGACGCAAAGAAACAAAGCTAGGACAGGTATGACCGTAAAAAGAGCGTGGTTCGCCAAGTTGTAATCAACTACAAGTACAAAGCGAGTCGCTAAAGAAGCTATTAAAACCGAATCGCAACCAGGCGATCCTTAGAAGCGAAAAAATCGGTTTCACTCAGTGATGGTGAAAGCGTGCGACAGGTACGACTCGTAACTGCTCTCGAGCTTTCCATCGGTCAAGACACGCTGAGCTCGCAGCAGAACCTTGTAGGTTCCTGGGGTGAGCGTCGTGCTTCCGTTCTGCGGGAGCGTCAGATCGGGCGTGATGAGCTGGACGTTGTACGAGTAGTCCGAGAGCTGACCCGTGGCGCTGTTTCGTCCGTTCCAGTAGCCGTTGCCGAGCATGCCTACCGTCTTGACGTCGGCGAATTGCGCGCCAGCTCCACCGGATCCGCCAGCAGGTTGGGATGGTTTGGGTGCGGGTGCAGGACCGGGTCCGGCACCGGGGGGTCCACCGGGTCCACCCTTGCCTGGACCTCCAGGGCCAGGCTTAGGCTTGGGAGTACTGGGAGCTGGCTTGGGCTGCGGCGTCTTTGGACCCTGACGACGGTGGTGCACGAACCGCTTGTGGTTGCCAGCAGCAGTAGAAGTGGTCGCCTTGGCGTTGACCGAACCATCCACATTGTACGTGGGCTGCAAGTCCGTCGTAGCGTTGACAATGTCAATCTGCAAGTAGGGAGTTCCGTAGTTGAGTCGGTACACAAACTGAGGCCACTCGGCAACGTTCTTGAGACTGTACGACGTGTTGTCGCTCTCGATGAACGTGTTTCCATCCGCAGAGGCGAGGACGGGGAGGCCGACGCCGAACAGCTCGCTCGTGTTGTCCAGGATCTGCGTCTTGGACGTGTCGGCCTTGTAACCTCCGTAGGCGATGTTGGCAGCGCTGTAGGCCGACGACTGCGGCTCGAGGTGGATGACACCAGAGTAGAAGGGCAGCTTGTCGGTGCGAACGCCCTCAGGAGGGGTGAAAGAGGCCGTGAAAGTGGTGGAGCCCTTGGGTGGCACGACGATGTTGTTCTTGCTCAGACGCACAGCTGCATAGTTGGCGCTGAGAGGGACAGGGCCGAGGTTGAAGAAGATCGAGTCGTCTTCCTGCGACTGGGCGGTTCCGAAAGGAATGTGCGAAAGGCTGTATGCCAATGGCTTGCTGCCCAAGTTCTTGACAGTGATGGTCTGCGTACCGTTAAAGTGAGCAGTGTCGTTGAGCTCGATGACAGACGGGCTCAGTACGATCTGCTGGTAGAGAGCCTTGTTGATGTCGACGAGTCCCGTGCCTTGCTTCGCCACCGACTCGTAGAGCGAGCCGTCGCTCGTCGAGTTCTTGAGTGGGCTCGCAGTGTTGGACAGAATGCTGTTGAGCGCTTCGGGCGAGAACTTGCCTCGAGCCGATTGGAACACAGCGATGGAGCCCGAGGTGAAAGGAGTTGCCATCGACGTTCCGGACAGGATGGCGTAGGCACCCTTTGCCAGCGGGTACGTGCTCAAGATGTTACCACCGGGAGCCGAGGTGGTCGGAGTGTCGAGTCGGTTCTCGTACGACGGGCCGTACGTGCTGAATCCGCTCATCAGACCGCCGGTGTCTGTGTCCTTGATGGTAGCAAGCGCAGTGTTGCTGAAATCGAGCGAAACCTTGACGCCGTTGTTGATCTGCTGCTTGAGGAAAAGTCCGTCGTTGCGCGTCAACGAGGCAGCCTGCTGACCCTCAATGTCGGTCTCGACGTAGGTGATGGAGGAGAGACTGTTGTACACCAGCACGTACTTGCCACCCTTGGCGTTGATGTTAGCAAACTTGGTTGCAAAGGTGCAAGTGCCACGTCCAACAAGCACGACCTTGTTGGTCAGATCCGGAGTAGAGTCTGGCAGAGGCGCACAGCCGTCGTCTGTGACGGTGAGACTGCTCGACGTCGGGTACACCTCGAGCACCTTGGATTGTCCGTCGGCAAAGGTGAAGGGAGATCCTTTGAGCACCGTGACGTTCTTCTGGCTCAGGTTGGTGGGAACGATGCCTGCCGTGATACCGGTCAAGTCGACGTTCTGGACTGAGCCGACCGCGGTCACATGGTCACCAGTAGCAGGGGAGCTGGCGTAAGCCATACCGTAAGCGCCGTCGTTTGCGTTGGCGATAGCAAGAGGGGTTCCAAGGCTGGCAATGCGACCAGCGACAGCAGACGAAGGAGCCTCGCTCCATCCTCCAGCACCTCCGAGCGAGAGACTGAGAACGTCACAACCGTCGAAGAAAGCCCTCTGAAGAGCAGCGATGATGATGTCGTCGGGGGTGCTTCCAGTGCAACCAAAGACTCGGTAAGCACGGATGTTTGCGTGGGGAGCAACACCGGTGAAGCCTAGGGCCGTGTCGTTGGCAGCTACGGTTCCGGAGACGTGGGTGCCGTGTCCTTGACAGTCGTACGGGTCGGGGCTGGCAACAGGAGTGTTGGTGCCGTTAAAGTTGTCATCGACGAACGCGTAACCTCCAATAACGAGACAGCCGGGACCGAAGCAAGGCTTGTTGCCAGGCTTGCCGCCGAGAGCTGGGTGACGGTAATCGACACCAGTGTCGATGATACCAACCACCTGGCCCTTGCCGAGGAAGCCCTTCTCGTGGACTTTGTCGACACCTGTCATGACGTGGGGGGAGAAAGTGTCCTTATAGCCCTGTTCGGCGTTCTTGGGCTCGTCACGGCGCTTCTTGCGGCTAGGAGGAGCAGCCGCGGCATCCTTACCGGTCGCAGCCTTGACAAACTCGTTCGAAACGGTCACGGGCTCGTAAGCGGGGAGAGAGTGAAGGGTGGTTCGGTAGACTGCCTTGACACCGGGAGCCGAGACGAGCGAGTGGTAGTCATCCTCGCTGTTGAGCACGACCGACATGCCCACAAACGTGTTGGGATCGTCGAACTCGTACCTAGTCTGGTATCCATTGGCGCGCTTGGACAAGTGCTCGTGAACCTCGGCATGCGGATTGGAACGCTTGCCAGACTTTGGGGAAGACTCGAGCTCGACAATGTAGCCGCGGGGGAGGTAGTTGGCTTTCTGAAGCTGGGCACTCTTGGTCCTGCTGTTCTTGATGGTGGGGGGCGCGTTGGGTGCCACAGATGGGCCGTCGAGAGGCTTGGGACCGGCGGCAGCGGGTGGGTTGTTGGCGGCCTCGACAGTGGTGCTGAGGAAGAGCAGGCCTGCGCTAGCTGCGGCTGCAGCAACGGAGAAGAACTTCATTCTGAGGAGCTAGTCTGTTTACAGACTGGAAGCCGAATTGTTGATGAATAGCAGGAAAAGGAATGTCTACGAGGAAGGGCGAGCTGCCGAGCCCGTTGGGAGTGAGCGCAAGCGCTACGAGGGGTGAGGGGAAGGCAAAGGAGCCACGGAAGCGCGGAGAGAGAGGGGAGAGAGATACAGCGATGGTAAGAACAGAGCAGGGGATCCAGGGTCTTGATTTGAAAGAGGACGACTTATAAGGCATTGAGAGGCGATCAATCGCGGCCCTGGTGAGCGGCTCCTCGATTCAGAGTAGGCAACCTTGGAACGAAGCTTCTCACAGGGAGGATCTAAGGGTGATGACTGCAATGTAGATTTAGCGACTCAAAGGCCTAGTGTTGCTTAGACCCTGTCTGTCAAGATAACGCGCATACGCGCGCTGAACGCAGTGACAGCCACATGGCGGAGCTGAGTTGTATGGAACAAGGTGCTCCGAAGCCAAGCGAGGTTCGATGGAAGAACAAAAGAGCAGCGGCGCTGAGTTAGCGAGCAGACAAAGACAGAGGGGACCGACGGCGCTGATCACGACAAAAAAGCAATCAAGCTTGGGCAATGAGGGTGGAAGGGGCGAAGGCGGAGACGGTGACCTTCCTAATTGGTGAGCGGCTGTCAGGGGACCGGGGAAGGTGTTGGAAGGGTGCTTGCGCAATTCGACACTGTATCGCGATAGCTTCCTGAGCATGCATGAACAAGGTTTCAGGCGAAGAGACGAGGCTTTGCTCTGCTGCGATACGGCTATGCATGCGCTTTGTCTGAGATTCAAGCGTTGCCTCAGCTGACCTGCTCGGTGTTGGTTGGCATCGCTGCAGCCTCATCCGACGCGCTCTCCTCCCGCCTTTATCGCGTCGCAAAAGGTCTCACCGAAGCTTTCCACGAATTGAGTGTTTCGACTGTTTCTGGTCAGTTGTCAACGGACACATCTGACTTGTGCTTGCAGACAAGCTCAAACAGGCGGAGTGAACCATAATACTAATACTACAAGATCGATGAGAGACCATCTCTCGAGCAAATCGAGAGGGAGTGGGTTCGGCTACGGACTTGCGTCTTGGCAAGTTGCTCGGTTGGTCTGGCGGACACTTCAGGGTTCAGATCATGGCGTCCTGTGGAGAAAGAAAGAGCGAGGCAGTCAAGCAAACGGCGAGTGCTCGCAAGTCAAGAGATCTTCGCTGCATTCATGCTACGCGAGCTGCAGGAGATGCATTAGCTCCTTTTGACAGCCAGCGAACAGGAAGCGTGAGTTAGTGAAAGATTACTTTCTAGAAACTCGGTAAATGCGAGGTCAAGCTTCAAATTCCAGCATCCTTATCTCGCTGCTGCCTCTTCCGACGCCGTGGGAAGGCATCGACAATAAACTTCCCGCAACTGAGAATTGCTTGCGCTTCTTGTAAATCATGCTCGGAAGCTCCTTGGCCGATTCCCGTTTTGATTTCCGTCTCGCCTCGAATCACTCTTCTGCTCGGAAAATCGGTCTGGAGGTCAGTGCGCTGTCACGTCCAGCTAGTACTCAAAGGCTGGACTGCTTCTGAGGGGTTACCAGTCAAAAGTGGGACCCGGTCGCAACCCACAAAGACGTGCTCGCGACGCGCTAACAAGTTCGGCCAATTGTTCGGTTGCATAAGCGAGGTTGCTCCGCTCGGGCGCGGCACCGTCGGCTGATCGACTTCCGACAGATATCGTATTTGCTCGTCTTACTCGACCCTGTCGCGACGTGTTTCACTGTGTATCTCGCATGATCCTGTTGATCTCGTAGCATCCTTGGCAGCAACGTCAAGGCTTCGAAGAATTGGTCTTGCCAGCGTTGCAAACCCTCTTTTGCATGTTATCTCCCGGATTTCGGCTTTGTCACTCTCGGTGCCCCGAGTGCTCTCACTGGCCAATCTGGCTCGTTCGCATCATCGTGTTCCGCATTTCTAGGGCCACCGGTCAAACCGTGATCCGGAACCTCATCCTTGTCACAGGCTGGTCCGCAGCAAGCTTCACGACGCCAAGATCGCGTGCGCGCGACGCTACGATCGTCTCTGGCACAACTTGACAGCGTGTCAATCGGCGATTTGCCGATTTGCTAGCACAGGTGCGCGAATAAGGCTGCCTCGAATTCGTAGAGCTTTTATCGCTGTCGTTAACCGTTTGTCAAAAGTTGAAACCAGCCAAGTGAGTATAAAGATACCCTCAGCCGAAACGACCGAGGTGCATATCCAGGCTTTGAGACTGAGCAACAGACTGTGCTTCCTTGCAAGACGAAAGGGATAATAATGTGATTGCACGCAATGGGTTGCTCATACACCTAGAAGCTCTCCAACACCTTCGCAGCCCAAGCGTTGGCCTCGATGCGAGGTCGGAAGTCATCCACGACTTTTCTTAGCTCCTGCATCTGTGCTTGAGGATCTGCCTCCAGACGAGGACGTTTCGGATCCTGCCCATCTCGCTCCTGCTGCAGCTTAGCGCTGCGCTCCGCCCACGTTTTCAAGAACTCGTCGATCAACGCGGCGCCCTCCTCGGTCACATCCTCTGACAGGCTGTCCAGTACCGAGTTGTTCTTCTCGTCTTCATCGTAATCCTCGAGCTCCTCTGCCTTGCGCTTCGCGAGCGCGATAACAGAAGGAGGGAAATTGGCCAGTTCAGCAACGTGGATACCCAAACTCTGATCGCTGATACCCGGCTTGACCTTGAAAAGCAGCGTGACATCCCGATCCTGACGCGTGCCGTCCTTCTTCTGATTGACGACAGCTGCGACGTGCAGATTGCGCACGTGTGACTGCTGCGTCGCCAAATTGGTGAGCTCGTGGAAATGGGTGGCAAACAGACACTTGCATCGGATCTTGGTGGTGATCCACTCGGAAATGGCCCACGCAAGACCGAATCCATCGTACGTGGACGTGCCTCTTCCGAGCTCGTCGATGATGATGAGAGAGTCGACGGAGGCCGTCTTGAGGATGGTCGCTGTCTCCAACATCTCGGCCATGAAGGTGGACACACCCTTGAGCTGACTGTCGCCCGCTCCGACACGCGCAAGGATGCAGTCAAAGACTGGCAGCTTGGCGCCCTCTGCCGCGGGAACAAAGCAACCGACCTGCGCCATGAGCGCAATGATGCCGACTTGACGGATGTAGGTGGATTTGCCGCCCATGTTGGGGCCTGTAATGACCAGGAACTCGGACTTGCCGGGCACCATCTCGGTGTCGTTTGGCATGAAGTTGATGTCGTCCATGACCTCGAGGCAGGGATGACGTGCGTCGCGCAAGTCGACGTCGGCGTTGGTGCCCCTTTCGCACACGGTCGGCTTGGTGTACGGGATGGGTGCGTTATCCGAGACGTGAGCGAAGCTGACGATCACGTCGAGATGCGCAAGTACGACATTGAGCTTCTCCAAGGGGGGACAGTAGGTGGATGCGATCGTAATGACCTCCTTGACCAGGCTGCTCTGTGATCGGCTGTACCTTTCGGAAAGGTCCTTGAAATCGGTGGCGAGATCGCGCAAAGCCTCGTTGGTAAAGTAGAGACCGCCCTTGACGGTGGCGATATCCGTGTACCCCTTCTTGTTGCGCACCAAGCCAGCGTCGGTACGCGTGACCCTGAAACAGTAGCCGTACACATGGTGATTCTCGAGATGCAGTTTCTTCTCGGTATCCATGCGCAGTTCCCGGCCTGCCAGTCGATGTTGCTCGTCGAGCTTATCGCGCGTGTCGTCGAGAGACTCCTTGATGTCTCGCAGATTGTCGTCGAAGTCGGGCTTGATGACGAAATTGTGGTGGGCCAACTCGTTGAGGTCGAGGGTGGCCTCTACAAGCTCGTTGAATTTGGTGAGGGCGGCCTGGTGAAGCTCGAATGGGTCGAGGTATGTGGTCTTGAGCAGCTCTGCGTGGGCGTCGGAAGGCGTGTCCATATCCGAAAGAGTCTGGATGAGACCAGGGAGCCTCAACACGGCCTGGTAGACACGGACGACATCCTCCAATGTGGCTACACCCTTCTGGAAGCGCTTGCTGATGCGATGCATGTCGGGCATTAGCTTGAGGTAGTCGTTCTGGATGAGCTGCCGTGTGCTGTTGTCGTTGATGAATAGCTCGACGAGGCCTTGCCTCTGCTGGATAGCGTGGACGTTGACCAGGGGTTGCTTGAGCCATTGACCCAACAGCCGCTGACCCTGGCCGGTACGGCAGCGATTGAGAAGGCCGTATACGCTCGTGTATTTGCTTGAGCCGGTCTGGCCAGGTTCGGGGAAAAGATTGAGTGCGCGCAATGCGGAATTGTCGAGGCGGAGATATTGTGAGAGATCGTGGGTAGTGACGCTGTACTGGCCAAAGTTGGATTCGTCGGTGAGCAAAGCGAGGAAGGAGATGAGGGCGGAAGCAGCGGCCATGGCGACTTTGAGATCGAGCTCGGGGATGTTGACGCCGGACGACTCCTCTTTGAGCAAGCGTCGCAGGTCCTGGTCGATGTTCTTGCCGGAGAAGTCGGCGCGTTTGTTGTCAAACATGCTGACGCCGCAGCGCTCGATGACTTCGCGAAGCTTTTTGAGGTCGACGTCGGCGCCCTTGTCATCCTTGGGCAGGATGCACTCCTTGACACCGAGCTGGATGATGAGCGATTCTGTGTTGCTGAAGAGGTCGTTCTCTGCATATTCTGAAACGCAAAGCTCTCTGTTTGAGGCGTCGGCGAAGGCAGCACCGACGGTTTTCACGCCGTCTCGCGTGGTCATCTTGAGAGCCATGACGATGGGCGAGCTGACAATGTCGGCATTGACAAAGATCATGTCCTCCACCTGTTGGAGGTTGCCGGGAGAAGCTTGCTTGATGATGGACCATTGGTTGTTGCGCTTTCCGCCTGCATTGCTGTAGATCTCGACGCGCATCTGGCGAGTGGTGAGGGCTTCGCGGAGAAAGTTCTTTGCGGCAGCTACGCTGAGGGTGATGGAAGGCAAGCCGCCTTTGTCCTTGCCACCGCTGCCGAGGTATTTGAGTGCAGAGTGAGTTTTGAAGACGAGGTTTGCGATGAGTATGGCATCGTCTCCGTGCGCAGAATAGAAGTCGGAACGATCGAAGAGGCGAAGTGTTCCCGGCGCTGGTTTGGGCATGGATCGGAATGTTTGGCAGAAGGAGCTTTCGGCAGCATTGTCCAAGCCGAGGTCTGGCTTGTCGGACGACGAAGGACCATCGTACATGAGTCCCGACATGATTGCGAGCTTCTTTGGAGTGATCTTGGTGTTGAGAAGAAGGGAGGCTCACGAACACCACAATTGCTAGAAAGCTGAGCCAAAGTGAAATGTGTCAAAGTGGCACTCTCAAGTCACACTCAACTCGACTCGACTCAGACTCAGACCCTTGGAAGCGCTATTTAACGCGTCGCGCCACGCCGGCTAAGCAGCGCTCGAGTGTGGAGAATTCCAGCCAGCCTAATTCAACTGTAGTGCAGATGTAGACCTAACAAACAACAACTCTCGCCATCCTACATGCTCTGAACGGCTTGGATCGTGACGACGTTGCTCGCCTTGATTGCACTATGATGAAGCTTGATTTGATACACACTGATGGTGGTTAGTACTCTCAATCTTGGGCTAGGCGCTGGACGACGCTCTGTTTCTTGCGCTGGTTCTCCGTCTGACCGTCCAATGCCGGCGCTGGCTTATCCGTCCGTGTTCCGATCCGGATGTCAGTTGCGATTCGCTGCGCTCCGAGACGGTGGACTGCCTCGTGGCAGAGCTCGATCGCTTTGCATACGGTTGGAAAGCTTCCCTCGAGATTGGTGCCGTAGCCGCTGCGAAAAGCGAGAAGAACAAGAGTCAGAAGAGCAAGTAATCTCTAGCTTTCGATGACGGAACAGGAATGCTCACTGAACTTCGTACCGGATTCCTTGATCTTTCATGCCTTCGAGTACGCGCTGACATTCCGTAATGTATTCTCCGACCGATGTCGTGGGTGTGGCCATCGGAATGACTGCAGGCCTTCCAAGTAAGAAACAAGGAGTCAGCATTGAGCTCGATTCGATGAGCAGTCAGGTCTCGGCTTGACTTACGGCAAAAGTCGGCCACAGCATATAGAGGAGATGTCGTCGTCTCCGACATGATTAGCGCTTGATGTGACGGTAGAAGATGTGATGGCGGACTGTTGGAAGGAAAAGATGAGGTTGACCGGCCTGTTCTTCTGGCTGGTTGGTGCGCGGAAGCAAAGTGTTGGTGTGGAGGAGACACGCCGCAAATCAAGTTGGACCCTTCTTTTGCAACTCCCAACACCATCTCTTCTAGACAGACTCGCGATCACGAAACAGCTCGCGAACAACGGCGATGCCTCAATCGCCAGCTCGTCCGAGCACCAGTGAGGATGTTACGGTGCCAGAGGCCAGCGCACAAGCTTCAAGCTCTACGCATCGGAGTGCAAAGCCCACCTCTCCACGTCCTACCGCCCTACTCACCAAATCCTGGACTTCTGCGTCCGTGCTACCTTCTGCAACATCGTCCCGCATCACAGTTGCAGCCAACACTAGCACTGCGGCCGACGCTTCTTCTTCTCGATCGCAGCCGACATCGCAGGGGAGCAGCTCAGCGTCAACAAGGACCTCAACCCCATTGCCGGAGCTATCCTTCAGTCCGTCCACACCACAATTCGCCGCGCAGGAAACATTCTCGAGCGCAGACCAGCTGGCGGTCCCATCTGTTGGTACCAGCAGCCGCTCGGTATCACGCCAGACTTCGGATCGAAGCGAATCTCCGGGTACCTTTGACGATGCTGCCCAAGATGAGCCAGAAGCTCTCGGTATAAATGCAAGCTCGAGCATCCATGCTCTTCACCTTCTGCACCGCGTCAATGATAAAGCAGCCGCAGACAGAGCTTCACATACTCGGAGCCTACGCTCACGACTCTCTCAGCTTTCGATCGGACGAGCGTCTGCCAGGAATCGCAGTCGGAGCAACAGCAGGGATGCTTCGACGAACGCACGTGGCCTTCCGCCAGAGTTTCTCGAGACAAACCAGCCACGTTCGGCCGCTGCAGATGCTGTTCAGGACTCAGCAATACCTACTCAACCAATCGATCAGAGTCAGCTAGCGCAAGGCACGGCACGCCCTACATTGCCCGAGCTTGAAGAGCAATATCCGGATCGCAAATATTACATCCTTTCGTCGGCTGGCAAGCCGATCTACATTTCACACGCATCGCTTTCTCGCCGCCGAAGACGCCGCGAGAAACGACGTCAGCAGCAACAAACGAGCTCAGTGGATGCCGAGTTTACAAGGGATCCCCAAGCTCGCCATGACAAGGGCAACGAGAGCGACGAAGAAGACGAGAGCAGCACCACACAGGTCGGCGTCATGCAGGCGCTCATCTCCATCTTTGCCGACGAAGACTCGGACAAGCTCCGTTTCATCCGGCAGGGTGATCTCCTCATCACCTTTCTCCTCCGTGCGCCACTCTACCTCGTCTGCGTCTCGAGCTGGAACGAGGAGCCTAGCACGCTTCGTCGACATCTCGAGTATCTCTATCTCCAAGTCATCAGTCTTGTTTCGGCGAGTCAGCTGACCAGGCTATTCTCCCGCATGCCCAACTTTGACCTTCGCAGGCTGCTGGAAGGGACAGAGGGCATCTTTGACTATCTGGCCAATCAACTCAACGCCAACGAAGCGGAAGACGACGGCGCAGAAGCTGACGGATCCGCACACAAGAGACCAGTCACCGACTGGGCTTCCTGTCATCAGTGGTGGCTCCAGGCGCTCCAACCTATCCGCATCACCGTGCCCAACCTTCGCGATCATCTGACTGCAGCCTTGCAGCCGCCTACCGCCGAGTCAGGATCATCACACGCTCAGCCGCACAGACCCAAAGATCTGCTATACGTGCTACTGTGCGCCAACGGCAGAATCGTGACGCTCCTAAGACCGAGGAAGCATGCCGTTCACCCAATCGATCTGCTCTTGTTGACCAATACCGTCATGGGCAGCCGTTCGATCAAACGCTCCGGTGGTTCCGAAGAAGCAGAGATATGGCTGCCTTTCAGCATGCCCAAATTCGCACCGCAAGGATTCGTGCATGCCTATGTCAAGTTCTTGAACCCCGAAAGCTGGATCAGCACCGAGCAGGCGGCATCCGAGCCCACCAGAGAAGGCAAGATGAGCTCGTCCGAGCTGGCAGTCATTGTCGTGACTGGCGACAAGGACGCTTTCCCAACGGTATCAAACTGGATTTCGTCTCTTGTCGCTCATCCTCCTGCCGCTGCTGGCCAGAACAACGCTTCAGATGCAGCCTCGATCAAGTCGACCGAGAGCACATCTCGTAAGCAGGCATCCAAGACCAGGTCCGCATCAAAGTCGCTCAAGCCGTCACGCTCAGTCTCAACGGGCGAAAACCTGCCGTCGTGGTTGACCAACTTTCAACGACATATGCTGACGCTCTGTCGTCACCTCACCGACCCACTCAACGTCGAAGACGGATCTCCACGCGTGTCCACCTACACCTGCGCCGAACTGAATCTGCCAGGACTACGACATTTCGTCTACCGAAGCAACAGCACCATCCAACTCACCTCTCCCACCCTACCCGCGCCCTACGCTACCAGCTCTTCCGATCGCAAACGCCTTTTCACGCTCTACTCGCTCGTCCATCATCACATTCACCACCCCGTACCACCGTCCACCTCTCCTTCACCTGGAGAAAACATCACCACTTCCAACCCAACAACCCCTGCCGCAGCCGCTGTCGCCTCCACCACAGGTATGCTCGACGGAGTGTTCGGCAACGCTACACTTTCACGCCCGCTGTTGAACGCCGATCGGAGGCTCAAGATGCACCTGGTCAAGACGGAGAACGAACAGGTGCTGGGCTGGATCACCAGTCCGTTCGAGTTGTACCTCTGTCTCAATCCGCAGCTGAGCAAGAGCGCCATCGTGGCGGTGGCGAATGGTCTGACAAAGTGGATCAAGTCGAACGAGAAGGATTTGTTCTTGGTCAATGCTGGTAGTTTCTAGATCACTCCATTTGCACAGACCGGATCGAGACAGTCGGATGTGCGTGTGAACAGAGTATATTCCGGATGTGCGAGATCACCTGCTGGACAACGATGACTGTGTATCCTTAATCTACCCGTGACGATCCATCTCTCCTACCCTCAACCGCAATGCCCAGCCCCTGCGTCCCATTCTGCCCTCCCTCTATCTGCCCACCATCACTCGCAACAGCCACCAGACTACCATCACTATTGCACGACACGATAAAGTCTCGCTCCCCGTGCTCCCCCTCCCCCTCCTCTTCCACCACCACCTCCTCCCGGCCACCTCTCCATCTCGGCTTGAGCCTATTCCACCACCTCCTCCCCCTTTCCCTCAACCCGACAGCTTCCAACCTCCTACTCAAATCAAACTGATCCAACATGATTCCAAACCCACTGCTCCCCGCACTCGGATCTTCCCTCTCCCCACCCTCGCTCGTCCCTGCGCTCCGCAAGCTTTTCCCCCGTCCTTCCGCACCAACACCTGCCGGAGCATCTGCTTCCGACATACTCCTAGGCAAATGCCTACCCGGTCGCTGCCAATTCGAATTGACCCTCGACAACGAAGGCGAACGTGGCTGAAGGTGGAAACCCGGCGAACTGGGACTGATTCCGATCGACAGACCGTGTTCGAGGATGCTGTTGTAGAGCGAAGGTCTTCGTCTACCGCTGGAGGGGTCGTGATCGTTGGGGTGCGACGATTCGGGCGAGTGATGTGTCGAGGACGACGTGTTGGCTTCCACGTCTTGGGGTGATTGGAAGGTGTTGTCGTGCTTAGGTGAGAACAGGTCGTCGCGCAAGGGAAACTCCAGCGTGATCGTTGGTCTGCGTTGAGGCGCATGGTGGCTGCTAGATGCGGATCGACGCTTGGGTGGTGCGGCGCCGAGTGAAGGTGTAGATCTGGTGCTGCTACCAGTACCGTTGTCATGATGCAAGGTCAACGGAGCTTCCTCGGGACTAGTTAAAGGAGCGACCTGATGGTCAACAAAGGAAGACGAGTGGTGAGAGACGTTGACCGGGGGCAGATGCGGACCCGTCAGACCGGCGCCATTCGCCACCAGCAGTCCTCCGTAATCTGCATCCGAAACCGATCGCGAACCATCCGCAACGTACGACGACAGCAGAGGTTGCGACTCATCCTCGCCGCACACCTCACCATCCCCACACGGCTCGTCATTCCCATGCAGACTGACGGTCCACACGCCTCCGAGCAACACACCCGTTCCCACCGCCACCAGCACCAAGTCGTACCACGCCAATGCGCCGATCTGATCGAAGTAAACGAGACCAAGCGCGATGCTCGACGTGTTGTAGAAGCAAAATGCGAGCGGACACACGAGCGTCGGATCCGCTAGCTTGAGCGCCTTGTTGAGATACCAGAGCTGAAGCAGTGCAGCAGCCAAGAGGATGCCGATGAGCAGCCAGCTTTGCCATCGTCCAAATTGATTTTGGCCAGAGAACGTCAGCATCAAAAGTTCGACGCCGGATTTTGCGAGCAGCAAGCACGCGCCCGATAATGTACCACTCGCGCCACCGTAGGCTACCGAAAGACCCAGCTTTGTCTGCTTGACAGTCTCTGGGGTGACACGCTGTTCGGCCTCCCTCAGCTCGAGACGCGGAACCTCGAGGCTCTTTTTCCGCTTGCGAGCGTTGGACTCGCTGCGTCCAAGCGAGCCATAGTCTCGTTTCGAGGTGCTGGTCGGTGCTTCGGCCGGTTTGGGGCGACCGTTGGGAACGGACGCAGCGCCGTGCGTAGCCGGTTGCTGGCCAACCGAAGATGGAGCCGGGGTTGCGACGATGCTACGGCCATACAGGATGTTCTGCTGAGGACTGGGACCGTGACCGAGTGTGGAATGACGATTCACTTCGTCGCGAATAGCGAGTACAGGCGTTGCGATGCCAGAACTGCTCTCGCTGACCTCTGCGACGGGCGCCAAAGTGGGAGCGGACCAACGTCTACGCAAGCGCCCTCGTAGACCGTGGCCACTGCGACTTCTTGGCTTTGTGGGTCGTGTTGGAAGAGAGCTGCGATGGACGCGCGTGTGCAACTGCCAATCTGTCAGATGCGCAACGGTCAACACGCCAACAAAGACGAAAGTGAAGATGGTCGCAAATGCCACGAAGGTTGGCCGAGAGTAGAGATCCAAGAGCTCGTCAAGACTGTGCGGCGGAGAAGGTACGACGCCAAAGTAGCCGATGAGAACCGCACCGGAGGCGATGAGTGCTGTGCCCATGACCATGTATCTCGAGAGCAAATCGTTGAGCAGGAAGCGTGCCAGTACAGCATTGTACAGCAGACTGACAGCACCCAAGGGAGCCAACATGACGATGGGTAGCGCGCCGATCTGAAAGACAGTGCCTCCGACATTTGCGACCAAGAAGATGGCAAAGCCGACGAGCCACAGTGGACGCTTCCATTCGGTTCTGCGGCGAGCAGGGGGCAGTGATTCGTTGAGCAGATGCGACTTCCTTTGAATGGTGAGGCCGAGGCTCTGGACGAAGCTGGCTATCAATCCGAGCGCGATGGCAGTGGGCACGCTGAAGGGCGCACTAGGATGCCCGCTGTCGCCTGCAGTGGTGGTGTTCGACGACATCGTTACCTGCTGAAAGCGATGCGACTGGCCGCGGGCGTCAGCAAACGGCCCGAGCTGTTCAAGTGGACCTTGATGAGGGCATCGATGATCTTGTACCGAGCTGCATATATATGACCGCGAATGTCGGACGGGTGCTGCGGAGATGATGGTGTTGGAGAGAGGTGCGTCAGGCATGAGCCAAGAGATGGTTCATGCACGATTGCCGGCTTGTGTTGCTCTCTCAGCAGTCACTTTGTCACGCGTCCATCATTTCAGCTCCACAATCTGCAACAAATCGTCAAAATGTTAGAGCCGACACAAACACGGCATGCATGACCGGCGAATCGTTCCACGACACTTGTTTGATGGCGTGAGAACTCTCTTGCATGCATGCTGAGAGGCTCCGTCTTGACTCGGGACACAATCAAGAAGCACACAGAACGGATATCATTTTGAGCAAGGGTATGTCTGACAAGTCTGTCAAGCCTTCTTCTCGACCACAGTTCTGGAGTCCTCCTGTTCCGATCTACCATTCCAACCAGGCATCTCGATCGAGCATTCGCCCTCACATGATAATACACTCGTCCTCGTTGCCAGTCGTCTGCTTGGCAAGGTCGCGCGTGAATGCCGCACCGCCCTGTCCGCTTCCGCGCAGGTTGACCACCAGCACACCCGCGTTGCGGGGGTCCAAGTGAGCTTCCAGTCTGTAGTCGCGCATCATCTTCTCCACCGCAGGTGCGATGTGCTGACGGTGATCCTTGCTGTGAAGGCCCTTGCCTACGATGATGCGCATTTCGGTCCAGCCCTGCGATTGAGCCTGTCGCACTGCCTGCTCTGTCCTTTCGAGCGCTTCCGAGGTGTACAGACCGTGTAGATCCACCGTGCCCTGAGGAGAGTCTTCGTTGTTGGCCATGAAAATCCAGTCGCTCGCCTGCTTGTTCAGCCGCTCCATGTTCTGCTTGTGCTCGTTTCCTTCGTTGCTCAGCTGCTTGGCACGCGCACCGTCGCCCTGGGCGTAGGCATTGTGCGAACGGTCAAAGCACTGTGCCATCTTGTCGCCCTCGGAACGCGCCTGGTTGCGCAGATTCATGTAATTCGCATCGTGTTGATTCACCTGGTTGTCCTGCGAGTATTTGTAGTGCGGTCCTTGAGACGGTGCTCCGTGGTGGGGCTGAGGTGCGCCATAACTACCTTGCGGTGGTGGATGGTCGTATCCTCCAGCTGCAGGAGCTCCAGCGTAGCCCGCCCATCCGCCTTGTGGAGCTGGAGGTTGCGGACCGCCGTACGACGCTGCTTGTCCGTACGAGCCACCGCCTTGCTGGCTGCCATACGAAGCTGCCTGTCCGTACGAGCCACCACCTTGCTGACCACCACCACCACCACCGCCGCCGCCGGTCTTGTTCTTCTTGTAGAATGCAAATGCCTTCTTGGCGATCTGCGTGATTTGACGCCTGTGCTGCTTGACGAAGCGAATGAGTTGATCCATGCTTGCAGAATCGTCTTTCTCGCTGAGCTTGTACAGGTCTGTGCAAATTAGATCTTGTTTCTATCGTGTGGTCTTGTGAACTGGAATCACGGGTTGTGTACGGTATTGGTTTGCTCACAGTGCCAGTATCGTAGAGGACGAGTGTAGCAGACAAAATGGATGGAACAAACGAAACTGACGAGCAGCAACGCTTGGACGGATGGAAGCTCGGCTAGCTCGACAAAGAGCCACTGAACCGCACCACGGCGTTTCAAATGGACGGCCGAGACCCTACAGAACACAGCTAAGCAACATTGTGGAGCATCTCGGGCAGCGTGAAAACCAAGACGCCAATTTTGTTAGATCAGAGAGTCATTTGCATACATATTAGTATCAACAACAGAGGTTGGTCAACACCATCCAGCTGTGATGACTGTGGTTCACATGAGCACTTCTTTTCCAAGTGCCAAACCAAGCTGCTGCCATATTCTGAACAAGCCTTTGTTATGCTTGCAGCAATACAAGAGATAAATCCGACACTATGCAAGTAGTACAATCCCATGAGCTAAGCCATTGTTACTATTTGATCTGGCTACTGTATTTAGAGCTATAGACTTAATGAGGCAGGCCTGCATTATTTGGCTCCTGAAGATTGTTTCTTGGAGTTTGATGCCCTGGATTTCAAGTTCATTGCTCAAGCCTGGCCCTTTGGCCTTATTGTTGCAGACTGCCTCTCATCCTTTGCTAAGACTCTTGTGTCTAGAATCCCCTCCAGCACGGGCAGATCGACGACGCGCTCGCCCAGCCTCATCGTTCCTGAGCTGGTGAAGCGTCTGGGCTTTTATGAACATCAGCAAGCCCAGGTGCAGGTCGCATTCAACACGGCGTTTATTGCTATCCTGGCCCTTAGCCTCGCATCTTCTGGAGGCAAGGTGATTCAGCAAAGCTACGGAGACATTTGCGACGGCATGGAGACCCGCGCAAGAGCGATCCTTGAGTCGCACCCCTTTTTGCGCTCTTGGTTGGAGCCCTCGGCGGAGCTTGTCAAGAAGGTAGCCCCGCTCATGAAGCGAAATCGTCACTTGACGTTCTTCAGCAATGGAAGAGACCTGGTGGCTGCAAGCGATGATATTCAGGGTCAAGACCCTGGCAACCTGCAGGTCAAGTGCAATCTGTCTTGCCACCATTGATAGTTCACTTCCAAGGCAGGCATTTGCTTATCTTTTTTGTTTCTTTTCCCCAATTACCACTTGCGCATCTTGCCTAAAATGATCACTTCACTCTCTTCAAGACTGTTAAGGCTGTGGGGTCTAAGAATCGCTTCCGCAGCCACAGCCGAGGGGTTCAGGGAGCAGAGAGGTTGTAGGGAGGAGTAATATGAGCGGGGAGCCTTGCGGATGACCGCAGAAGTGTTGCAGCACGTTACTGAGCTGCTATTGCTAGCAAATTTAAGTAGTACATGCAACAAGGAGACCTGAGACTACTTTGCAGACGGTTGCAGATAACATGATAAGGGCAGGGAGACAACGCCAGGTTCCGCGTTACCGGGGAAACAATCACCAATTAGCCAGATTGGTTGTGGAGATCCGGCGGGTGCGTGTTGGTTGTGGAGATCTGGCGGGTGCGTGAAGGTCCTAACACCTTCCAATGCGCGGGTTCCCGATCCCTGGCAATTGCCGTTGCATTGTGGGCGTAACACACCGTTTCTCCTGATTGTGGTGCGTTACTGTAGATACCGCTGAGCATGTAGTCGCATCGAATCAAGAGAGCGTGTCAGTGACAATCTGCATTGTTGAGAGAGCCGTTGTTGTGTACTTACCATCGCATGCGCCATTACTTGCCATCCATCTCGGCAAAGTAGTCCTCCTCATCGCGCTTGTTGATGCGGCGCTGGAACTCCTTGATGTCGTCCCAAGATGGGCAAGCAGGGTCGACAAGCTTGCAGGCGGTGGAGCGGCAAGTTAATGTGAAGCACGGCTTGCCACCTCGTAGGTGACCGTCCAAGTTGCTGTTATGCCCACAACGCAATGACGATTGCCAGAGATTGGGAACCCGCGCATTGGAAGGCCGATCCTGGTGTACCCCTGCTCAACTGCGGCAAAGACACCACCAGGGAGGACCTGTAATCCAGTGGGGCCACCAGATCCCATCTGTCTCTCCCTGTCAATTGTATTTTATTCTACACTCCTGTAGGAAAAAATCCTAGACCTGATTTGATTGAGTTTCCCACCAACGCTGCCTGCAACGTACCAGACCACCGCGCCCAGTAACTTGCCCCTGGCCTCATGCTCCCCCCCACCGGACCTTGAGGTTGTCAGACCCCAGGGGCATAACAAGGAGCTGGTGAAAATCAAACGCTCACAAAGGAAACTCAGCGTCACCATTGCTATACCTGTCAAGGAAGAAGCAAAGGTCAGTTTCAAGTACTTCTAAACGGATGTGATGAGTGCTGCTTGAGACGACGCTTGTGTTTGTTGACTTGACGGAGCAAGAGTGTTAAGAGAAGAACCATTGCAAGGAGTTGGGACGATGATTGTTGGTGTCCGTGATCAAGGAATCAGCAAAATCGATCACAACAACCGCCTGCAGTCGTGGACACCAGAGCAAATTCCGCATTGAATACAAGTCCCAATGACTGTTATGCCCCTGGAGTCTGAGGAGCTCAAGGTCCGGTGGGGGGGAGCATGAGGCCAGGGGCAAGTTACTGGGCGTGGTGGTCTGGTACGTTGCAGGCAGCGTTGGTGGGAAACTCAATCAAATCAGGTCTAGGATTTTGTCCTACAGGAGTGTGGAATAAAATACAATTGACAGGGAGAGCAAGGTGGGGTTTGGTGAAGCCACCGGGCCTTAGGCCTCTCCCCGGTTGTGATCTTGCCGCAGTTGAACTGGGCTGCACCGGGATTGGCTTTCCAATGTGCGGTCTCCCAATCCCTAGCAATCCAAGTTGCGCCGTGGGCGTAACACACAAGAGACTTTGGCAGCAATGCTAGAGGCAGCAACAGTGAGAGCAGACATAGGAGCTCAAGCAACTGAGATGGTGACAGGAGCATCTGCACTCAAAGAGAGACGGCCCAAAGTCTCTGCCATCTCACTGGCGTCAGTCTTGAAGACAGTACTGCTTCTCGCCTCCCTGTGCACTTGGTTGAACTCCTGGTTTGTATTAGGATGCATGCAACAGAGTGGGCACGCCAAAGAGATGGAGCTGACAAGAGAAGAGTGCGCAGGACCGCCGCTGTGCTCCTTGAATTCCTGTGCCAGATGAATAAGAGTCTTGCAGAGACAGCATGACACAGAGTTAGTTCAGATGAGGCAAAATGGCAAAGGGTTCTCGGCTAGGCCCTAACCCTAAAAGCTCGAGCCCCCAGAGTTGCAAGAGGCTGTTGTTGTTGAAGGACGGTTGTGGTCCTGACAGGAGTATATGTTGCACACGCAGACGTTCACTCAGACTTTGGCAAACTCCTGCAGACCGGGACAGAGCGTAGGGACAGATGAGGTGTTGTGACACAGGTTTGTGTCAGGTAGCAAACGCCCCTAGTAAGGCTGCCTTGTTCTTGTGCGGTGTACTGACATGCAACTATCTTCGCACTTCATTGTCTTTCTTTTAGCTCCGACAGTTTGAGAGGTGCTTGCGCCCAGCCTTTCGATGCTTTACGTCACAGAATGAGGCAGTCGATCGCCATAAAGCACGGTCAAGGACCGCTCTGGTAGCCGATATGCATTGAAGACTAGGCGCCGAAAGATCAGGCCGCATGCATTCACAGAGCTTCCTTAAGAAAGCATGTCGTCTTCTCACACGTCCACTTCGGCAAGGTACAATCCTAAGCTTCAGACTTGATTGCGAGGATGGCACTGACTCTTGTGATCGCTTCAGATTCAGTCTCAAACGCGCTCGACGAAGCCTTCTGACCTGAGAGGTCAGCAAGCCATATTCTCAGCGCATGTTTCGGTGCAATCATTTGTTGTAAAGAGAAGCTAGTGACGGGTACAACGTACTTTTCTTGTCGATCACACAGCTTTTCCCAACCTAGTGACTTTGGGAGCCGTGAACTACAAAGACTTTGTAACGAAAACCTCGACAGAGAGCGACATACCCGAACAGGGTTGCCGTCCTGTCAGAACTACGGTTGATTGTCCATTCTCTGTGAACAGACAGACAGAAATCGCTCATTGGATTCTGGCGATGTCTTTCTCAAAAAGCCGTCAAGTATGGTACGTTCTTTAAACAAAGAATCTCGTCGATTTTGGGAGCATCTCGCACAGCCCACCATGTGCCAAAGTACAAGTCGTTTTGTCAGATCAACGGCCTGCTGTCTTGACTCATATGGTGCTTTTGGTCGCAAAGGGATTCGCATTCGGATTCCGCTCCTTGATCAAATCACGATTCGTAGACTCAGAAGAAGGCATCCGATCACCGGATCCTTGTTTTGAACTGTGTCTCTTGTTCACATTCCGCACACATCCCGGCTGCTACATTTGGTCTGTTGAGATGCACAGATAGTACGTTCGCCATGTAGCAGTGGTGTGCGAGGCTCTCCTTACACAAGCGGTGAAGCAGTCTTGCACCAATCTTCATACGGCTCTACTTGCTGCGATGTGCGACGAATCGGTTGTACTGTTCTTGCGCAATCTCACACTTTGCTTTTTGTTAATCTTGTGGAGGTGTCGTGCGAGTTTTTTCGACATTCTTCGCGGCTTCGTCTCGAATTGACACTTTCACTCTTCCGCCATCATCGCAACACTACCCTCCTTCCACCTCATCCAAACATGGCCGACATCGAAACCTCAGAAGCCGGACCCTCGGTTCCCACCGGTCCCCAACCACGTGAAGTCGTCTACTGCGCCGTCTGCACCTTTCCGCCCGAGTACTGCGAGTTCGGTCCATCCCCTTCAAAATGCCGTTCGTGGTTGCAAGACAATCAGCCCGAGCTCTACTCGAAGCTCTGGTCTGAAGAAGCCATCTCGACGAACTTGGCGAACCTCACCACCAAGCAGGCCGAGGATCTGGAGAAGGAAGCAGCAAAGAAAGAGCGAAAGACGGTCGCCAAGGCAGAACGTGCACGTGCAGAGATGGCTGCTTCCAGGATCGTCTTGAAGAAGGAAGCTAGGACCAAGCGAAAGGTCACAACGAGCATCATTGGCCTGCATCTGTTCAGTCCGCCGCTACCCGCACTCAAGGTTGTTGCAAAAGCGTAAGTTGCACTCTCAAGTTGTGCCTTCAAAGTTTGCTTCGAGACGCATCACTGACCCGGTCTTTCTTAACATTTCATTTGCGAAACACAGTCTGTCCTCGAGATTCGCAACAGGTGCATCCGTAAGCAAGAGCGTCCAGAACCCAGGCGTCGACGAAATTGTCGTCCAGGGCGATGTCGCCGATGACGTGCGCGATCTCATCCTCAGCCGCACAAAGCCTTTCCACGAGCTTCCCTCCGAAGCAGATGGTGGTCCCTCGGAGAAGAACGTCGCTATTGAGGAGGACAAGAAGGTCGCCAAGAAGGCTGCCGCTGCAGGTGCTGCCGCTCCTGCCGATGATTGATCAGATGCAACAGGTCACTATACCGCAAAGTAATTCGTTCTTGCTCTGTTCCAACGAACCAAGGTGCTTGTGCTCGCGTGCGTTCTCTGGCAGAGACGTCGTGCTGTTTGACTAAGAAAGAGACCTTCCGCCACAGACGAAGGACTGGCTACATGATGCGGGAGGAAGCGTAACAACGACTGTGCCTCATGTACCTTTATTCATACATTTGTTTGCTTGGCTATCGTCTGTCGGCGAGGCTGACAAATCGCGAGGACAAGCACGGCAGGCGTTGCTCGGGATTGCACCAGAAACAAGACAACGGAAAGCGTGCACCTGCCACACCGACAAACCTCGCAACGGTTTTCACTCCCCGCTGAAACTCGTGATGATGTCAAGAGCATTGCGATGAGAAGCTTCGGATGACCCGTTGAGTTTGACAGCGTTTCAGATGTGACTCTTCGTGAAAAATCGGCAGTCACGTCATGAGGGCAACACGCGGTGCCTTGACGTGTCATACCAACTTTAAATTGTGTGGCTCTCGACGTCAAGTATCGCATCCAAGGATTTGCCAGGTTTGACGGACTTCTTGCACACACTCATTGAACAGGCGAAGACAAGCACCTTGATAATTCGAGCCGATCGGGTTGGCAGAATGATTGAGAGGATTCGCAAAAAGGTATAACTGCTACGCGACGAGCCAATCAGCTCGACGAGTGCATGCATAAGTACAAACTAAAATCAATCTCAAGGACGGACGAAGTGAGACCCCGTCTATGCCATGGACGTCTCGGTACGCTTCTCTCCAGCACCGACGAGGTTCCTGTCGAGCTCGATGAGAGGCTGAGGGCGCTCGACGTTCTTTTTCCTGAGCACCTGGGTCTTGAACCAGTAAGGGAGAGTCTTGGTGTTCTGGTGCTTGATGAACGTCGCGTGAGGTACGTCGAACACAGCATCAAGCTCCTCCAGAGTGTAACGAGCCGTTTCGGGTACGAAGAACCAAATGAGAATGAGAGCCATGATGTTGAGACCGGCGTAGAAGCCAAACGCACCCGTCGGTGTCATGGCGGTTCGCATTCGTGGGAAAGTGATACTAAGCACCGCTGCCCAGAAGAGACACGTCGCAACAGCCCATGCCATGCCCTGCTCTCGCTGAGCAAGAGGGAAGACTTCGGCCGAATAGGTGAAAGGCACTGGACCTTCTCCGACTGAATAGAACGCAGCGAAGATGTAGATGAAGAGCGCTACGAGACCAAGTCGAGTCTTGTTACCCTCGCCAGGGATCAAGAAGCAGAGACCTGCGGCGAGCAAGGTCCAAGCCATCTGAGGGAAAGTGAAGAGCAACAAGCTTCGACGACCGAACGTATCGATGGTAATGAGCGCGGGGAACGCGAACAGGAAGTTGATGGCTCCGAAGCCTACCGAGGCGTACAGCGCTTGCTTTGCTGTCGATCCAGAATCTTTGAAGATCGTAGAACTGTAGAAGGCAATAATATTGATACCGCACATCTAACAAATTAATGATCGTCGACCAATAAAAAGCGATGATGTTGATACCGCAGACAGCGCAAAGTAGATGGCGATGACGTTGATACCGCAGATAGCGCAAAGTAGATGGCGATGACGTTGATACCGCAGGTAGCGCAAAGTAGATGGCGATGTTGTTGATGCCGCACACAGCGAGTGTAAGATAGTGTACGGGCGTCAAGCGAAGTGTGGCGATGGTTGGATTCAAGTAGGAACGATCAAAGGGCAAACGTCAGTTCCTGTCACGTCGGCATACGCCTCCTTGATGAATCTCGTAACAACTTACCTGCTGAGCGAGCATGACGGTGGTGGCAGCGGCGGTAGCGCGACGAACACGGGGAATGGTGAAGAGCTCCATGAAACGCTTGACGTAGGTCTCGCCGCGGATGATCTTGCTTTCTTCGACAAGCTGAACGTGAATGTAGTAAAGGTCACGGCAAGCCTGGATCTTGTTGTGGCGGAGACGGATGAGCGAGCGAAGAGCTTGAGGGTAGCGGTTCTTCTTCATCAGCCAACGAGGCGACTCGGGGCAGAAGTAGATGAGGATAGCCAGAGGCAATGCGGGGATGAAAGCAGAGCCGAGCTGGAGACGCCAAGCGATCTTGCCGACGTCAGCGACGGCAACATTGGCAAGAAATCCGAGGAAGATACCAAAGGCGGTCCACAGCTGCCATCCCATGACGAGCGCACCTCGAATCTGAGGGGGCGAGTTTTCGGCTGCGAAAACCGGGACCGTAGATCCTTTTGCTCCCATGCCGATTCCGAGAATCAAGCGCACAATGAAGAGCTCGTACCAGTTGTGAGTAAGACCAGAGCAGATAGGCGTGACGATAAGGATGATGGCGGTGATAAAGATGCAGCCACGACGGCCGAACAAGTTATTGAGCGGGTCAGAGAGCCAGCATCCGAGCATGGCACTGGCAATGTAAGGAGCGGCGTTGACAAGACCGACGAGCCACTCGTTCTTCTGAGCTTGTGCGTCGGTGATGTAGCCCGGTTGTCCAGGAAGGACGCCGACGGGAGACGACTCGGGGATACCGAATTCGGTTGGGAAACTGAGGTTGGCGCCGTTGGAACCAGTCTGATCCCAACCCTGAGTGGCGGCGCCGATGGAGCAGACAAAGATGGTCACGTAGAGGAGAAGGGGGTGCGACCACTTGTTTGCGTACTCGTGAGCGATGGCATCCTTCTCGTCCTGAGACAGCTCGTCGATGGCGTTGTACTCTGCAGGACGCTGAGCGAGCAGAGCGCCCTTCTTGAGCATGTCGAGGTCATCGGTAAGGCCTTTCTCCTGGGCAAACTGCTCGACGTTGCGAAGCAGCTGCTCCTTGGGGATGCCTGTGAGAGGGTTGTTGACCTTGCCCTCGCTCGACTCGGTCTTGGAGATGTAGTGGACAGAGTCGGTGTGGGAGCTGGCGTCCTCGGTGGCGATCTTGCCAGCGCCGGGCTTGTCGTCGACGTGCGACGTCTTTTCTTCGAGAGCAGCCATCTTGGAGAGAGGCAGGCGTAGAAATGGAGAGATGTGTAGAGCGTCGGACGAGAAACTACTTCGCTAGCCAGTTTATATATGCTGGGGGCATCTCATTTCATTCGCTTAGTGCAAGCGGAGACGGGGTGCTAGATGCTCAGACTTTTGATGTGGGGCCACGCTCATGCGGCCATGGTGCCCCGCAAAGCGAGCGCTTTGTTTTCCCCCACGCTGTGCTGTCGAGTTAGACGCGAGGAGGGCAAAGTCAGAGTCTCGTTTCGAGCTTCGAATACACCATGCAACCGCGTAGCCGAGGTTCACACGCGGCGAGACACCTGATTGGCTGTGTTGGGACGCTCTTCAGAGACGTTGCAAGACCATGTAGTCACAAGACGCCCCGTCGTCAATGACCGATCGAATTCATGCACACTACGCACACTGTGTAGCGGCGAAAACGCTCTCGAGCGACAGTCTCAAGTCGCTCGTTATGCTGCCTATTGTAGAAAAGGACAAGGATGGATTCGCAGCCAAGCATTCTGTGTTCGGGGTATGGTTCAGACGCCACTCATCGCGGACAGCGGAGTCGATATTGAGCGGCTGTTTGTTTCCGTTGGAAACTCGTACACGGCTACGAAGCTACGACAAGTTGCCGAAACTTGCTTTCTGTTCCCCACGCTCTGCACGAAGGTAGCGTATTTGCAGGAGGCTGCAGCTGCGCGCTGACTGAACACCAGCGTCGGAGTGTTTGCGGAAAAAGTTGACCAAGGATGCAAGGCGCGACACAGTGGCGCAGCCTTTGCTCGCGGGGAGTTTCCTAGGCGCCATGGATGCTTCGAAGTGACTGTTCTGCCGCGAATTCAATTCCGCCGAGAACAGCGAACGCTTCCCCGCCAAACGTTGCCGTAGACTGAGGCCGATGGATGCCTTTCCTCCCCCGCCTTTCGGTCGATCTGTCGGACAGCCGAGCTGGAACTCGAGACTTGGCAAAAGCCATCCTCGCTCTCGAAGTTTCATTCTCTCCAACCGAGCTGCGCGCGTCAAAATCGGTCTGCACAGCAACTCAAACTTCGTATACAAACTCGCTCTTGTCATTTTCGGTTCAGTCTGGCACGATAACACACAGTGAAGCTGAACTGATTGTAACGGTCTGCATTTGGATGCTCGTATGGCTGCCACATGTTCTCTCACCAGGAACGATCGCGCGACTAGCTCTTGCGGAAACGTCGTCGCCAAAAGCAAAGGCTGCCGGCCATGTTCACGCCTTGATGGCGGAGTTTTAACCGCTACCTGCGTTCTGTATTCGCCGGTCTTTTTCTCCCACCGGTCCCCCACAATCCTAACAGCGCAACTGCCCCGCCGACATCTCTGATCTTCGGTGGTGACAGAGCGTGCTGTCTTCAAGGCTGCCTCGCCATCCGGCGCGAATTCTTGCCAGGGCGGGTAAACTCTCTCCCCTCCTCTCTCTCTCTCTCTCTCTCTCTCTCTCTCT